TCTTGGCTTCCGGATGGAAGTTGGCTTCGACATTTATTGATTTTAGTGATCATTATAGTAGTTATTTGCGTTATTTTGTGTTGCTGTATCCAATGTATTCCTTCCTTAATCTCTATATGTACTGCATGGTTCTCCCGTCAGCGGCCTGCTTCTGGCCTCACAAGAGTTGCCTATCGCGCTCGATATAACCGTATTGGTAATGACATATATGACTCTGATATAAAATAAAGAAAGAGGGCATGTGGGAGCCATGAAGTCATGGCAAAGGCTTGTAGCGCCACCTGGTGCCTCGCTGACCTCGGTGACCTGCATGTCCGTGCCTTGCAGTGTATTAAGTGCATAACCTTATATGGCGATGGGTGGGTTAAAGCCATGACCGGATGTAGGTAACGTGAGACATTGGCAAACAGCCATGCGACAGGAGAGAACAAAGGATAATAAAAGATACCGGAGAGGAGAGAAGTTCGAAAGGAGCTGCTCATACCATCCTGAAAATATTGCTGGCTCTCTGTGTCTTTTTTCAAATGCTAAACCGCCATTTGTGACGGCTGGCTTCCGTCACTTCCATGGTATTGGGAGCTCTGCATTATTGGAGTTCCTGGGAATCTTTGCCAACATACAAGGCTAGTGTTGTGTTCACCCAAACCTATAAAACGCATCTCAAGCACATTCTTTCCATTCAAAGAATTCTGGGCACTGTAGTCAAGCCCACAGAGTTTCAGTTCCTAGCTACCCTTAACAACCCTAGAATTCTTTGAGGGGGGGAAATGTGCTTTGAATGTGTTTTAAAAGTATAGTGTGTGCACAGCCATAAACACAAACACAATGGTGGGAGGGTGAGTGGAAAGTGCAATGATGGCACAGCAAATGTTCAAAATCAAACAGTGTGTGAGTTTGAAGATGGCTACTATCTCAGTGAAAAATACAGCGATAGGAATGTTTTCTTTGAAAATTATTGTTGTTGACCCCTTTGAAGAATCTTAAGAGTTTTAAAGAGTGATGCTTTTAAGCCTATACAAACATAGATATTTTATTCCTACTGCAACTGGCAGTGATACATTTTGCTTTTAGTGGCTATGCAAATTTTTAATTTGCATAGTATATGATCTACCATCTGCTTTCCAACGTTGTCAGATTATTGAAAGCTCATGAGGAGTGGTTAAGGGATTACTTTGGAATAATAATTACCGGTATTTCTTCTATAATATATCCTCCCCCCTTTTTTTAAGCTCATTGAGAACATTGCCCAGATGTTGGTTTTATTTCCTTGCACATTTCTAGTCTGTCCAGTTAGGCAGAACATTTTTAATTGTAGTCTGATGATTTGCCAGACTCTTCAGACAAATTATTCTGAAGTTATCCTACAGGCTTTTAGAGCTGCTCCAGAGCTAGGACAATTTTGCAAAAGCAGCTACCCCACATCACACAGTGTGTGACATGGAATGCATGTCTAAGGCTGCACCTGGGAGTAAGCCCATTGAAGTCAATGTGGCATACTTCTGAGTAGACAAGTATAGTATTGCACTGAAAAAGGTGCACTGAAAAAAGGTAACAACTCACCAATGAAGGAATAGGACATATTATATGATTCTGCAAGTTATTGGAAATTTCCATTAATGGGCTTTTCGTGTGTGTGTGTAAATCACCACTTCAGACATGGCATTTGTAATTTGAGAATTGGCAGCCTGCGTATAGCTGGAAGTAAATTCAGCAGTGTTATGTAAGGTAACCCTGCCAGTGGGGAATTCTGGGACATTTGCCATTGACTTTTATGGAGGCATGATATACTTATGGAGCAAAGTATACTTTGCTACAAAAATTGTTCAGCTCTTCTAAATCTTTCCTCATGCTAAAGGCCTAGCTCTGAGTGGCCTTAAAGAACCTTTTGGTTATTAAACACACAAATAACACAAGCAGATGCACAACCCCCAGTTGCGGGTTGTAGAGAGAATATTGATAGCGCTGGTTTTTCGCAACTGTGGCTTCATGGGATTATTTTCAAACTTTTGTCATATAGCGGCTTGTGGGATGGATGCATTACAAGAGCCACTGCCAATATATTACAACCTGAGACCCTAATTGTACTCTAACTTGCTTAGGTGTGTCTCCTTCCCATATCCCTTTGCTAAAAGTATCCAGCCTATGGTGTGTTTGTGCGGGTTGTGTATGAACAAGAACCACACTAGCCCTGACATGCCTTTGATGTTTCAGTGTCATTGCTGTCTGCATTGCCATTTTAAAAGAGCAGAAATATGTCCTCGTCGGTGCTGAGAGGTGCATGATCCTTTTCACTGACAGCATACTGTCGAGATGCAGCACTTCAAAAGAGGAAAAATCTGAAAGCATCCTGCTGACGATGGCTAACAGATGTGCCTGGCTTTAATGAACATCCCTTTCGCAGAATATAATGGATGTCTCATATGCCAGAACACTACAGCTCTGCAAAGCATTACCAGTTGTATACCTGGCAGGGTACTTGCACCTTTTGTGGCTTTCTGAGGGGCATCCAAAACAGCAGAGAGACCCACGGGACCTGAGAGAATGACAAATGCATCCTGAATCAAGATAAGGTTTTTATCCCTGCAGCAGTCAATTAGCTCACCCATGCCCAGTATGTGTGTGTTCTCATCAAAACTACTTTGCAAATGGACAATGTATTTATTTAAGCTTTTAGCACGGCAAGCACGCTCTGCATATCCTGCATTTCATTTTCGTCTCACCTCACTGCTAACATTTTCTTATTTGCACACACCTGGCAATTAGGATAATGGGGGGGAGATGCAAAAGAGGACAGGGGTCTTGCATCTTTTAAGAGGGAGTTGAGAATCATAGAATTGTAGGATTGGAATGGACCTCAATGGTCAGAGCCAAACTATCTGAAAGACTGTATTCTCTCATACAAACCTGCCTGGGTTTTGAGAACATCGGGGGGAGGCCCTTCTTTCAGTCCCACCAACCTCACAGGCACATACGGTGGGGATGTGGTACAGAGCCTTCTCGGTGGTTGCTCCAAGACTCCAGAGCTCCCTCCCTGGCAAAATTAGTAGACTGGCTCCCTCTGTGTTGTCCTTCCGCTTTTTTGTTCCAACAGGCTTTGGGAAACCGGCTGCTTTTAATGAAAGGGTTGGTGCCATGCTCTTTATTTTCCCTTTATTTTTTACAGCGCCCATCACAATTACTGTCACCAAAAAATAGGGTATAGGACAATGATTAAAAGCATGAACAGGAAAGTCTCTGATTCAAGGCTCAGGTCAATTCTGAATTTATTGGATGGCTTTAGGCTATGCTTAGCCTGAAACCTCAGTGTGTAGCATGGGGATAATAATCCTAGCCTACCTTATAAGGCTGTTGTAAAGATTCCTCTGATAAGATCGTGGAGGGGTTTAAGGTTTACAGTGATACCTCGGGTTAAGTACTTAATTCGTTCCGGAGGTCTATTCTTAACCTGAAACTGTTCTTAACCTGAAGCACCACTTTAGCTAATGGGGCCTCCTGCTGCCGCCGCGCCGCCAGAGCCCGATTTCTGTTCTTATCCTGAAGCACTATTTCTGGGTTAGCGGAGTGTGTAACTTGAAGTGTACGTAACCTGAAGCGTATGTAACCTGAAGCGTATGTAACCCGAGGTACCACTGTACTTGAAATGGGTGGGTGGAACCAAATTCTAAGTTTTCCCCTGAGAGGCTGCAGTTATGCAGTTCACCACATGGGGCAGTGGTTAGCACTGAGACTGACATCTTGCAACATTCATCTCCAATTCACAGGTATGCTGCCTCTGAACATGGATGTTCCATTGAACATCATAGCCGAGAGCCAGTGTGTATATATGGGTGATACTGGAGCAGAACAGGAGGGAGGATATTTGGTTGGGTGGAGCTAGAGACAGAGTAGGTTGGCATGCTGGAATGAACTTTTTACAGTGGTGCCTCGCAAGACGAAATTAATCCGTTCCGCGAGTCTCTTCGTCTAGCGGTTTTTTCGACTTGCGAAGCAACCCTATTAGCGGATTAGCGCTATTAGCGGTTTAGCGGCTATTAAAGACTTAGTGGCTTAGCGGCTAAAAGGCTATTAGCGCCTCAGAAAAAGGGGGGGAAAGCGAAAAAAATCTCAAGACTCGCAAGACATTTTCGTCTTGCGAAGCAAGCCCATAGGGAAATTCGTCCTGCGAAGCGCATCGAAAAACGGAAAACCCTTTCGTCTAGCGGGTTTTTCGTCTTGCGAGGCATCCGTCTTGCGGGGCACCACTGTAGCAAGTACTGTCGCCTTCCTTGGAGGTTTTTAAGCCGAGGTTGGATGACCATCTGTTATGGATGCTTTACAGTAGTTGTGATTACTGCCTTTTCCAGGGGTTGGACTAGATGACCCTTGGGGTCCCTTCCAACTCCACAATTCTATCGTTCTATTATGTGCTGGGCCAGATTTAGGTTTGATGAGGCCCTAAGCTACTGAAGGTAATGGGGCCCTTTATAGGTCTAGCTGTCCTTTGTCAACAACAAATTGTCACTGTTTTGTGTTGAATATATGCTATATGGTAATTTATGGACCTAATAGGTCCATACACAACACAAAACACTGTTGCCAAAATTAGGTTTTATTTTATTTGTTTTTATCCCCCTCTTTCTTTTTTCCTTTTTTCCTTTCTCCTCCTGTGATGAGGCTGCATTTTAATGTTTTAATGTTGTATTTTAATCTTGTTTTTAAGTTGTATTCATTCAACTTGTTTTTATTATTGGTTGTTAGCTGCCCTGAGCCTGGCCTTGGCTGGGGAGGGCGGGGTATAAAAAAAAAATATTAAAATTATTATTTTGAAAATATACACCCAGTGTGTTTTTTCCTTTAATTTTTTTGGGGGCCCCCAAGAGAGTGGGGCCACAAGCTATAGCTTGTTTAGCTTATACGTAAATCCGGCACTGATGTGTACCAGTATTGAAGGGGGGGGAAGCATCCAGATCTGGACCCTTGACGGTTTCCTATTGAAAATGCACCTGCCCCCTCCCCACCCAAAAGATGTTGCGTATGTGCGCGCTCCCGCAGTCTTGTGTGAGCGTCGTTGTTTCGCTTTTCACGCCGGGGTGGAGACCCGGAGGAGAAGCGTCGTTGCTTCGCTAGAAACCTTTCCGGCGCTAGGACCCAGGGAAGGAGAGCGGGAAAGAGTCGGAGGGCCCAAGTGGGCGGAGCGAGTGGAATCCATGGATGCTGAGCTGCGTCTCGCTGAGGGTCGCCGTTTGCTCAGGTAACCCGGGCCAGGTGCGTGGCGGGGGATGCGAGCGAGCTTAAAGGGGTCGCCCAGCGCCCGGTCGGGGCTTCCTCTTCCCCCGGGGTGAACGGCCACGTAGGCGCGGCAGCCTGCGGCTCGGGCGGAGGCGGAAGTACGAGGCTGCAGCCAGGAGAACGCGGGTAGTGGAGAGTTATAAGCCGATGATATGAAAACAGCAACACGTGAATGCACGCAACTTTAGCTGCGGGAGCAAGGGGCTCCGCCCTGTCCTCCTCTTGGTCCGTCCGTCCTGGATCCCGTATTCTGGGCGCTCCCTTTTTAAGAAGGAGCTCCGCTGCAGAAAGTAAACGAGGCGTATCGTGGTGGCAGGAAGCGAATTCCTAAGCCTTTACTGGTACATCCGCCTGAAAGTTATTAAATCATTCAGATGTGGGAAGTGCTCATATTTTACGTTGGCTTCAGCCTTTTGGAATTGCATAGGGAAACACCTTTCCGGTTTCCCAGGGTTTAATTTTTTTTAGTTGTGACTCTCTTTTTTTAGTGATTTTGTGCAGTGCTGAGTGGACTGGCTCTACTAATTTTGTATGGCTGGCATCTTAGAAGGTTATTCCAGAAAATGGGAGATCTCCTGACAAAAATATGTAACTTGTCCCCTAGGTCTGAGGTTTGTAATGACAATTCTTTAAAAGGGGGCCTGAGAAATTGCAGACTGGTTAGCATAACTTCAGGTAAACTGTTAGAAAGCACTTTTGCAGTTAGCAAGCATATAGAAGTCACAAGTCTCGCTGAAGCAGTGTGGCTCCTGCAAAGATAAGTCCTGCCTCATTAATCGTATGGAGTAAGTTGAGAATGTAGGCGAGTGGATAGAGGTGATCCAGTAGACCCGGCCTTTATCAACCTGGAGCCCTCCAGATGTTTTGGACTGCTGGATGGGAGTTGTAGTCCCTTGTATTATTCTCTGTGGTTTTCCCATAACTGGCCACTTGTGGGGAAACAGGATGCTACACCAGAGGAGCCCTGTCCTGATGCTGCAAGGCCCTTTTGTGTTGATAGCACTGGGTTTTTGAGTGGTTGCCCTTCTTTAATTTTGCTTACAGCCCAGCAGAGCTGCTGTCTGCTCGCACACGTGATCACAAGGTCCCTCAGCGCTCACATGGCCAGAAGGATTTCCTCCGCGATGGATCGCAAGAGCAAGAGGAGAGGCTGCGGCAGTGCCGGGAAGAACACTGGCAGCTTTTGGAGGAAGAGCGTGTGGAGCGGTTGTACGTAGTGTAATACCGCAATAATATAGAATAATAACAAGCAACAATTAAAACTGTCATTTAAAAAAAAGCATTCAGACATCAAGGAGAGATTAAACCACATTTTGCTTGCATGTGTTTAAGCCTAAAAACCACAAGAGAATGGGCTACAGTACAAACCCGTCTAGGGAGGTTGTTTCAGAGCCAGGGTTACTGCAACGGAAAATGTTCTGTCCCATGTCCCAGGCAATAAGTTTAAGGATATGGAACAAAGCATTGGATGATGAGCTTTGTATGGGTGTGCAGGTCCAAGAAGGCAGAGACAGTCTGACAGATTGCCTGGTCTCAAACCGTTTAGACTGCTGGCCTGACCTAGAGGGTAAAGAAGCTTCAAACATCATTTGCCAGGCCACTATAAGGAAGTACCGTATATTGCTGCCTCTGTGACTGATGAGCACTGCCAGCCCTATTCTGCATATTGAGAGATGGAAGCATGTATACAGTGAAATAACTGAATGTGTTAAAAATGTAGATTCACAGTGCCTGCTTTCTTTGCAAGGCAATTTGAAGCTGGATAGAGAAGCAGTTTTTACATAAGGATATGTACATAAGTTGCCCCCTGATCTTTTTTCAAAAGGTTGTGCTTCCAGCTAAGACTAAAATGGTTTCTTAACCCCTTTTCAGTTAAGGTAACAGGATATAATTTTATTTAAACTTCTTTTGTAGGGGAAGTCTGGTGGCAGCTGAGTGGAAGCCCCAGGAAGGTATTGTCGAGCTGAAAACCCCTGCTGTAAGTTGCACTGTTCATCTTTATGCTGTTGTTTCTTGCTCTTTATTTTTTAATTATGTAGTGTCCCTACAGAGCCTGGCTTCAAATAAAAAAAACCCCACCACACAGAGTGGAGTTTGGATTGGGGTCTAGGCTTTGCCTGGTATAGCTTTTCCTATAGCACAGCTCGGTGTGGAAGCTGCTTTTGCAGTGTTCAGCTTGGGAGCAGCCATGGCAGAGGGCTGGATTGGTTTTGGAACCTGCTACTCTCCCTGGAGAGCAGCTTCTCTGGTGGGGCTGGCCAGTGCAGCGCTTAGACGATGTGGCATTCTAAGCCAGGCATAGGCAAACTTGGCCCTCCAGATGTTTGGGGACTACAACTCCCATGATCCCTAGCTAACAGGACCAGTGGTCAGGGATGATGGGAATTGTAGTCCCAAAACATCTGGAGGGCTGAGTTTGCCTATGCCTGTAAGCAAAAGATAAGGCAGGAAGGCCGCCACTGTAATTGAAGCATGGGACATGGATAGGTAGCCTGAGTAAGTAATCTAGAGCTGCATAGCTACAAGAATGTCGTGCAGAGATCTAGATGGGGAAGCTATGGGTATCCTTAAATAGCGATGTGGAAGGTAGATTGTGCCCCACTGTAATCTTCTCAAACAGTAGCTTTCACAAAAGGTAGAAGGTGACACATCCTCAAGCCTCACCTGCAATTCATGCCACAGGGCAACAGATCAGGTTCTCCTCTTATGTATAGCCAAAAGCCTGATGGAGAGGATATGACTACATCACAAAGTACAGAAGAGAGTCTGGAATATTTTCCTTAAAGGATCCAGCCTTTCTGGGCATGCCTTACCTTGCAGAAAACCATTTTGAAGGCTTGTGTATCTGTCTAGAGCTAATCCTAACAACTGACATTTTCTTTCCTTGCCAGGGGAAATTCTGGCATACTATGGGTTTTGCAGAGCACGGAAAGCAATGCTTGCATCCAGAAGAAGCCCTGTATCTCCTGGAATGTGTAAGTAGACCGGGCTTGCAGGCTTAAGAAATTTTGATTCCATGTTTTTATCAAGTGCTGAGTGGGATTTTGCACAGGCAACTGCCTTCCCCTCCTCATTTGTTCTGCAGCACCTCGCAGAAAGGTCTCAAGCTCCATGAAGCCACCTGTCGCAGAATAAATGATGATCGTTTGCAAATATGCACATTTATCTGTGGAGCACAGAAGTAGGATGGGGACAGAGGGGGAAGGAGAGTGCAGAATGTGCACAGGGGTAATCGTGCACTGCTAAGAAGAATTGATGTAACAAACCATGCCTTGTATTATTGCCGTATTCCACCCTAGCTGAAGTAAGGAGAGGATGTTACTGTGTGCTTAGAAAATAGCTGGCATTGCCCCTTTGTGTTTTTATGGTGCTCAAACCTAGACAGCATCTTAAAAAGTAGAGACATCACCTTGCAAACAAAGGTCCGTATAGTAAAAGCTATGGTTTTCCCAGTAGTGATGTATGGAAGTGAGAGCTGGACCATAAAGAAGGCTGATCGCCGAAGAATTGATGCTTTTGAATTATGGTGCTGGAGGAGACTCTTGAGAGTCCCACGGACTGCAAGAAGAACAAACCTATTCATTCTTAAGGAAATCAGCCCTGAGTGCTCACTGGAAGGACAGATCGTGAAGCTGAGGCTCCAATACTTTGGCCACCTCATGAGAAGAGAAGACCCTGATGTTGGGAAAGATGGAGGGCACAAGTGGAAGGGGACGCCAGAGGACGAGATGGTTGGACAGTGTTCTCGAAGCTACAAGCATGAGTTTGACCAAACTGCGGGAGGCAGTGGAAGACAGGAGTGCCTGGCGTGCTCTGGTCCATGGGGTCACGAAGAGTCGGACACGACTAAACGACTAAACAACAACAAGAGAAGGGGTCAATATACCCTTGCTACAGTTTGCTCCATTGTTTTCTGCTGCTTCCGTTGCCTGGTTGCCTCTTCTTGTCACAGACTGAGAGCAGACTCTGTTACACTAGTGTCACCTTCCCCAGTTGGACTCCCAACTCTCATCACTCCTAGCCAGCGTGGTCAGTGGTCAGGGATGAAGGGGGTTGTCATCCCAACAACATCTGAATACCTAAGGTTGGGAAAAGCTGCCCTTGTTCTTTGTAAAGGGTAGGCAGTGTGTACCTGTTCCTATGGATCTGTAAGCACCTGGGTGCATGTGTTGGGATTGGACCAGGTCCCCAAAACCTTCTTGCAATAGATGTTAAGGATCCTATTCAGCTCAAGTTGGACACACCCTCTGTTCTCCACCTTAATACATGCTGTTGCCCTAAATCCCCAAGAGGGAAGGTTAAAGAAAAAGCAATGTACTTTTGAGTTAAAATGGGCTGGCTGGCTCCTGAGACCACAGAATATGGTCCCCACAGAGTTTTAGGCAGGCTTTAATTCCTAAATGTTATGCTCCTGTCTTCTAGGGATCTATTCAGCTGTTCTACAGAGGCCTGCCTATGTCAGTTCAGGAAGCCTATGAGAATCTGCTATCCCAGAAGACAGTGAGCCTGATGAAGTACCAGGTATGCCTCAGGATTTGGGTTTGGCTGCAGGTATTCAATCTCGTGGAAAAGTCAACAAAGCCCAAGCTCACACGTACGGCACTGAATTGGAATGAATGAAAATGGTGAGAGTTCTGCAGCAAACACAGAACCACATTTGGAGACGTATCAATCTGTGTTGGCGAAGTATTTAGTTTCTGAGTGATGGAAGGAGTTTCTCTCATTCCCTGGGGACTGGGAGTTGCATGGAGGTTCAAAGCAAAGAGCCCTGTGCCAATTTAGTTACCACAATATAGTTAGCAGATGCATTTACTCTGGCAGCGAAGGATGTGTGTCAGTATACTACCAGTGTTTTGGGCTTTCTGTTAAGTAACATAGGAGACTTAAAATATTTTTCACGCTTCAATATTGTATGAAAGCATAAACAATAATCTGCTGTGGTATCTGATAGCTCTATAGCCCTTTTATTTTTTTAATTACTTTTTATAAAAGTTTGTGTGTGTGTGAGAGAGAGTGTGTATACGCCTCCTCTTTTTCTTTCTTTTCCATAATGGGAAGTTAAGATCTGTGAGTCTGGCGGTATATGTTGGCATAAGGGCTCTTCAGCTGATTTGTGGCATTCTCCACAAGGGTGAATGGTGCCTGTGATTATGTTTGGAAGAGAAGTGCAAGCCTCTCTGGCATCTTACCAGGTGCTGCAGCACAGGCTATGAGCTACTCTCCTTGTAAATAATAATAAGTGCTTTGGGGTGGCAAAGCATTAACATGCAAAGCAAAATGAGTCACGATCACTCTGCAAATATTGTTTTTGTTTTGTAATGTGTTTTGGAGAAGCTTATATGATAAATGTGCCTTTGGCGACATGGATCTGAGACAGATTTTTATTGTTACTATTTTATTTCCTAAAATTTATACACCGCTTGATTGTAAAAACAACACCTCAAAGCAGTTAACAAAAAGATAAGGCGATAAAATCAAGCAAAATTACAACCCAACTTCAAAACATACTAAAGTTAAAATACTAAAACCGATTAAAATTACCTCAAGTTTCTAAGCGTCTGGGTAGGCTTGTCTAAACAAGAATGTTTTTAGCAGGTGCAGAAAGGGGTGAAGGTGCCTGCTTGGTCTCAATAGGTAGGGAGTTTCAAACTGTTGGTGCTGACACACACACACACACACACACACACACACACCCTACCCCTACACACCTCTGCTGGAGAGGCAATAGCAGCAGCTGAGCAGAATGGCTTTCCGTCATGGGTAATGTTGATTCAAGTTTTGTTGTATGATCCTGAAAGGACACAAAAGTCAGACTTCATTTTCATCCCTGTTTTAAGGTATTCAGCCACTTGAAAAGACTGGGTTACATCGTTCTGAGATTCCGTCCCAGGTAATTGTTTGATGGTGGTCTTTCCCCCTCCCTTAGAACACCCTTCTCAAGGTTTTCCTTTAGGCACCCCCTTAGCATTGCATGTTGGTTCCTTCTGTCTCTCTCGCACTCCCTCCCTTTTGACACCCCAACCTCCCAAGGTTAGTGCATACCTTCCCATCCTTTGGGTCAGTCATGAGACCTGTATATGGATTTTGCTTCCCACTTCTTCCTTCGATTTCAAATGAGTCTGTGGATTAATCAGCTGAAGAGCTGATAACCAAGCGGAAGGGCGGTTTCCTATCATCATTTCTGCGTTGCTAAAAAGGGTTTTGCATCTAAGAGTGAATGGCAGGTCTTGGTTTCCATTCCTCCTTCTCCTTCCATGGTTCATTTTACATATCTTGCATCCCTGCATATTTTACAATAACCATTCAAATCAATTTCCCACTATTACATCCATCAAGAATTATTAACACTGTTGAATTTATCTTAATGTTGCCAGCGTTTTCAGCTGTACATGGCTATTTTCCATATACTCAATAAACATTTCCCAATCTTCTTTAAATGTATGTTCTCCTTGCTCTCTTATTCTGTATGTTAAATCTTCAAGCTGTGCATATTCTGTCAACTTGAGTTGCCAATCCTCTTTAGCCGGGACCTCGCTCACTTTCCATTTTGGGGCTAACAAAACACGGGCTGCAGTTGTTGCGTACATGGATAACCTTTTCTGACACCTGGGGATTTCAGTCTGGGTTATCCCCAGCAGAACGGACTCTGGTTTTCTGGGGGAAAGTAATTTTAAACATTTATTTTTTTTCGGTTCATCATAGATCATTTCCTAATCCTCTTTTACCTTTTTACATGTCCACCACATAATAATTTATTATTTATTATTTATACCCCGCCCATCTGGCTGGGCTTCTCCAGCCACTATGGGCGGCTTACAACAAACCACTCCAACAAAATATTAAAATACAGTAATACATCAAACATTAAAAGCTTCCCTAAACAGGGCTGCCTTCAGATGTCTTCTAAAAGTTTGGTAGTTGTTGTTCTTTTTGACATCTGGTGGGAGGGCGTTCCACAGGGCGGGTGCCACTACTGAGAAGGCCCTCTGCCTGGTTCCCTGTAACTTGGCTTCTCTCAGTGAAGGAACCGCCAGAAGGCCCTCGGTGCTGGACCTCAGTGTCTGGGTAGAACGATGTGAAAGAATGTTCCCTCCACCTCTTTACACTTCCAGCACTTATCTGCTTCTGTCTTGTAAATCTTAGCCAACCTACTCAGAGTTTAATACCATCTTCTGATTTCCCTTTTAACTCCACAGCACTGTTCCAACGCCATATGAGAGGCAGCTGAATCTGGATAGCCACTGCCAGGGCACAGAGAGAAGCCGCAGCAAGAGGCGGAGGAGCTCCAGCCCTCGGTAAAACCATACAGATGCTGGGAGTGGTGCCCTTGACTGGCTAGCCCTAGGTGGGCATGTTACTGCATACTGTGAAATGTATCAGTTCTGTTTCTGTCCCGTCCCCCCGGCAATTTTCATGTTTGCCACTTGCCACAATGTAGGGGTGGTCAATTTGGTGCCCTGCAGAGGTTGCTGGACTCCAGCTCCTATCATCACTAATCATTGGCTATGCTGGCTGTGGCAGATTGGGAGCTTGGTATCCCAACATCACCTGGAAGCCCGCAGGTTTTGCACCCATTCCCAAAGGGTAGGTAAAGGTAAAGGGACCCCTGACCATTAGGTCCAGTTGTGGCCGACTCTGGGGTTGCAGCACTCATCTCGCTTTATTGGCCGAGGGAGCCGGCGTACAGCTTCTGGGTCTTGTGGCCAGCATGACTAAGCCGCTTCTGGCGAACCAGAGCAGCGCACAGAAACACTGTTTACCTTCCTGCTGGAGTGGTACCTATTTATCTACTTGCACTTTGGCGTGCTTTCGAACTGCTAGGCTGGAAGGAACAGGGACCGAGCAACGGGAGCTCACCCCGTTGCGGGGATTTGAACCGCCGACCTTCTGATCAGCAAGCCCTAGGCTCTGTGGTTTAACCCACAGCGCCACCCATGTCAGTGTAAAGAGTCAAGAACTCAATAAGAGCAGTCATTGTGTTAGATAACAGGTGGGGCCTAATTGATTCCTTCGAATACTGTGACCTTGCTAGTTTGTGATGGTAAAGGAGCATGCCCATGTTTTATTTGTCTGGGGCCTTCATTATACATCTTTAGGTGCCAGGCGAAAACATTATAAGGGAAGATAGTAATTAGTCCTCCCAGCACACCAGGTCTGAAACTACAATGTTTATGAAGGGTTACACAAGTGAAATGGATTTTATATTTATAAGATGTAACAGAGGCCCTGTTTGTAAGGGGGGTAAAGGTCAGCTGCAAGAATGGACTAACGACCAGTGAAGGATGATGACTGGACATTAAACGAGATGATGTGGCTACGGGAGGAAATGGATTGACTTATGTTTGCAAGAGGAGTTGGAAACCTGATTTTAAGAAATTGTATTAAATTTAAGTAATTTGGTTTGATTTGTAATAATTTGGAAATAATTTTTAAAAAATAATTAAAGAAAAAGAAAACATTCCTCTTCAACCAGGCCTTTGGCTGATTAATATTCTATGGTCTTTTAAATATGTTTGTGGGAGGGGCATTTTTGTTTTGTTTTTGTTTTAGCTGTTAATTTTGTGCTTCTATCCTTTTTTTTATCTTGTGAACCACCCTGAGACCTTCAGGAGTAGGGTGGTATATAAATAATAATAATAATAATAATAATAATAATAATAATAATAATAGTAATAATAATATCATCACCACCAGGTTCAATTCCTGGCATCTCTGGTTTATTATTATTATTCATTAATTTCCCTTTGGTTAGGTTGTCACAAGACAAGAAACCCAAAGCATCAGAGAAGTCTCAGGAGTGCAGAGAGTCGCCCCAAAAGACCAGGAGGTATCACGAGAGTTCTAAGCACGCGACATCTGATGATTCATCCAAGGAAAGCACGAAGGCTTCAGATCCTAAAACTGCAGTTGTGGAGCCAACCCCATCTTGTAGCATCCCAAGAGACGCTCCAGCTCGTGCTCAAGATGACAAGAAGAGGTCCAGCAAGACCTTTTGTGGGGACCGCAGCGACGTCGCTCCTTCCCGCTGGGATTACACCACTATTGCTTTCCCTAACATGGGTGCCGATTGCTCGCAGACCCTCCTGGCAGAGCCTGATAAGAGGCTCCTTCCGGAGAACGTAACGGCCCGGGAGGTTGATGCAACCCGTTGGCGCAGGAAGCTCAACCAGAAGCACGAGAGGCTGACCCGCAAGGAGCGGGAACAGCTGAAGTGGGAGAGCAGGTACAAAAGCAGCGTCAACGAGGATAGAGAAGTCCGGCTTTGCTCCACTTGGCAAGAGTATAAGGCGCTTCTGAAAGAGAGGAGGCGGTGGAAGGAACGGAACCGCCCTGCACACCTCTGGGAGCAGGCGGTCACCCCACTTGTGAAGCCAGACCAAGAACTGTCAACAGGTATTGTTGAAAAGAGGCTTTGTTCACTTTTGCGGGAGGGTGACGGGCTAGAATTCAGGTTTCCCCAGAGGCTCCTGAAGGGCAGTTCTTACATCAGTCCTCTGGACGGAGCAACTCCTTCAGAGGGATGACATTCCCAAACAGGCCTAGGACCAGGCCAAGAAATTCTCCATTGCATGCACCTTTCAAGCTGATGCCTCCAGGGATGTGATGCTATTGGTGGCAAGAACCATTGGGGCAGAGTGCCTACTAGCTTGGTAACCCAGTTCATTATTTCCCCCTTTATATTGCCTTCACCGCATCTTTTTCTGTGCCTTCCCCTACTGCCTAGCTACTTATTTTTTTTAAAAAATTTTTTTTAATAATCATAAATTAATAAGAATAAAAATGTGCACCCCACCACCGAGACTATTCCATTGTAACTATCCAACCTCCCAAAATTTTAACACCTCTTGTGATGGTTTGACCCCTTTCCATTTTAACAGTACAAATTCGACAAACACCTTCCATATCTCCTCAAAATCATTTCTCCTTCATATTCCCCGTCTTACCTTAATGGCACATGTTAATTTATCATTCATAGCTATATCCCACACCTTTTTTTTTTTTTAACCATTCATCCATTTTATATTCTGCCTGTCCCTTCCACTTCCTATCTGTAATAATTTGTGCAGCTGTCAATAAATTTGTGAGCAAGTCCTTCATAGCCTGTGAACCTTCCACCCCATTGTAAATTGCTAATAATGCTACCTCCGGACTTTCGGTCAGCTTTAACTCAGTGATTTCTGTTATCTCCTTAATCACCCTTTGCCCCCCCCCCCAAAGTACATATTTATACCCCCACCACGTCTGAACATAATTCCCGGTTTCCTGGCATCCCCTCCTGCCCGGTTACTTCAATTAGAAAACCTTCTTGTACTTTGAGAAAATCAGTACATGCTCGCCCACCCTCTTTCTATTTACCAAATTTGCATTTTATTGCTGCATAGACTTCATTCTCTTTGCATGCAACTATTCTCATTCACAGATCCTCTGGGCAGAAGGAGAGGAAGGTGCATATAGCTTTGTTGGAGTGGAGGGTGCGGTGGTCAGAATGATGAGAATGCCTAATCAGGGCAGATAAGATCTTTGAAGAACGCATGCCCCTAATCCAGACCTCTCTTGTGTTCTTCCCACTAGCGAGTGTGCTCCAACAGATCAGTGTGTTCCAGCCCTCCCATATCCTGGATGAGGCATCTCTGTAAGTATCAAAACTAGAAAGCTGGCCAAATGCTTTTTAATCTCTCTTCAGTGGTTCTAGGTGTTAGCAGCTATTCTATACTTTGTATACTGACTTTAAAATATTCTACTCCTGATTTTAAGTTGAAACATAGCTCAGTTGGTTAGACTCGCAGGGGCCAGCAAACTTTTTCAGCAGAGGGCCGGTCCACTGTCCCTCAGACCTTGTGGGGGGCCAGACTATATTTTTTGGGGGGGGGATGAACGAATGCCTATGCCCCACAAATAACCCAGAGGTGCATGTTTAGGGAAGTTTTTAATATTTAATGCTGTATTGTTTTTAACACTCGATTGGGAGCCGCCCAGAGTGGCTGGGGAAACTCAGCCAGATGGGCGGGCTATAAATAATAAATTATTATTATTATTATTATTTAAATAAAGGCACACTTTCTACTCATGTAAAAACACCAGGCAGGCCCCACAAATAACCCTGAGATGCATTTTTAATAAAAGGACACATTCTACTCATGTAAAAACATGCTGATTCCCGGACCATTCGCAGGCTGGATTTGGAAGACAATTGGGCCGGATCCGGCCCCCGGACCTTTGTTTGCCTACCCATGGGTTAGAGCATGGCACCAATAACGCCAAGGTTGCAGGTTTGATCCCTGTATGGGACAGCTGCCCATTCCTGCATTGCAGGGGGTTGAATGAGATGTTCCTCAGGGTCCCTTCCAACTCTCCAGTTGTGTGATTCTGTGGCAGCTCATGAACTTCGAATGCTGTTTTAAATTATGTGCCAGACACGTGCTTACCAAAGGACTAACATCCAAACCAACTAATCATCATGGGCAAAGCGCAGTGTGTACCTGAATGCCCCTGCTTCTTCCAGTCATAGAAGTGGGAGGATATCAGTTGCAAGTTCAGTTCAGATTTATCTGCTTGCCATTCATCCTTGTCAGTAGAGAACATCCTTTGAGAGACGCTCTCGTTCATGAGTCTCAGACGGTGGCAATGCTTGGAATACTGAAATCCAGAGCCTGTGGTTCCATATCTGATAGGGAAGCTTTGTAATTCTGGGTTGTGTAAAGACTGCATAAATCAAGTTAAAGACTTGTTTGCTGTTAATTGGGAGCATGCAAATGAAATCTGCTATGTGTGGTGGTTGGGGAGGTGGATTTCAGAGCCCAGAGGAAACACTGCTGTCTGTTTAAAAGCTAATGTCTAACCTACCTAGCTGTGGAATTAATCTGGATGTCTGTTAAAGCAGGTATGGCCAAACTTGGCCCTCCAGCTGTTTTGGGACTACAGTTCCCATCATCCCTGACCACTGGTCCTGTTAGCTAGGGATGATGGGAGTTGTAGTCCCAAAACAGCTGCAGACCAGACTGGAAGACCAGAGTGTGTCTTTGCTATCCTTCTGAGTTCCCTGGCCTCATTATGATGCCCACTCTCAACCCCCTCTCCCAGCCAACTCTTTTAACACCTCAAGAAGTTATGGGTCCCCTTCCCTTAATTCCACTCTAGATCCTGCCAAAATATGCTGTAGCTAAAGATGTGCTTTCCTGTTTTTCCCTCCTCTGGTACTTCTCTGTGGGTACAGGAGACCTTTAAAGCTTTGTACTGATAACTAACCTCCTCAACAGACTGCAGAACGATACCAGGGATATGAAGATTGATTTTGATGTGTATCAAGCAGATGTGGCTTCCAGCTTCAAGAAGAATGACCCTGGGAAGCCTTACGCCCGGATGTGTGTTCGGAGGTACTAGGCACTCATCAGTTTATTGATCAGCAAAGCTACATATTCTAATCTGCTAAAGAATTTAGCTTACAGTTTTGTTATGGAGGGAGCCTAAGCCTGCCTTCAAAAAAGTGGGAGTTAGCTCTAATGGGTTGCATTAACAATCAATTTTTAGAGTACTGTAGTTGAATGGTTTGAAGTCCTTAAAAGCAATGTACATGCTGAGAAAGTGGAACTCTTCCGCAGTCAGTCACCAAGGATGCCTGCCTTTAGAGAGGAGATCGTTCCAGCTGGGCAGCTTCCTGCTGCTGTCCAGGTGTGGGTGTAAGTATAAGAGAGTCTTCCACCAACCCAAGAGACACACAAGGACTGTCTTGTTAGTAGTGCTCTTTGATTTGGAGCAGGAACCTGGTTGTGGAGACCATGTGAGGACTCTGAATCCCAGCTGCTGAATTCCCTAGCCCCCTCTATACTTTCTGGTTCTGTGGCCGATATTTTAGCCCAGAGGTTTTCAATCTCTTTGAGTCCACGGCTCCCTTGACCAACTACATTCTTTCTGTGGCACCCCTGTGGGGCTCAGGAGCCCAGTTATATCACCCCTGGCCTGCAGAGCTGGTAGCCCCTCACCGTTTTTCGAACGCTCTCCCTTGTTGGGTGTTCCCTCAGGTTCCTCTCCTCTCTCTTCTCCTTGGGAGTCCTCTGAGCAGCCGCTGCTGCTGCCCCTGGTCTCTGAGCTCCCCCTCTGTCCAAAAGAGAGGTGCCTCCTCACACTGCCCCACATGGGCCTGGGACTTACCTGTCCATTCCCAACAGCAAGGGCTGGCAGACCAGCTGGCTGGGCTCCCTCACCCACTTGCTTGTTTACTCCGAGGCCGCCTTAGCTCCTGGCAGCCAGCACCCCCTGACCAGCCCCCAGCAACAGAGCGCATACTTGCACTGCCAATCAAGGGTGTCTTACCCATAGAGGCTAGTGGCGCGGGGCGCCAAGTTCTGGAGGGTACCAGGGAAGAGGCAGAGCCTCCCGACATCAGCTCGCCGCCTCCGCCATGCCACGCCAAAGTAGTGCTATGCCTGGAGCCTCCGTCTGCCATGGCCACCATGGCACGAAGCAGCCAGCTGAGCCAGGAGGCGCCGTGTCCAGCCTCTGGCTCTTCCCCGCTGGAGGAGCCACCCTCCAGACGCTGCCTGCCTCCTCCAGTCCCACCGGCAGCGCCATCCTCCCTAAAAAAACTCTGGGAAATGGGGGGGGTGCCGGAGGGAGCTTTGCACCACGGCACCGGATATGCTTAAGACGGCCCTGACTGCCATGGCACACTGGTTGAAAACCACTGCTTTAGCCAATACTTACTTGCATGGTTAACAAAATTCTGTCCCTAATCATGAGGGCTTAAAATTCCCTGGCCCCCCCCCCCCCCACTGAACACAGTACTAGATTCCCAGGAATTTACATATGTCACCAGACAGCTAGATCATGGGAATACCAGTTTCCCAACCTGCTCCAAGTTAGATTATCCAGGATGTCTTTTTTCAGAAAATCATGCATGTTTGCTGTTGAGAAAGATAAGCATCTCTCTCTCTCTCTCTCTCTCTCTCATAGGTTTGATGAGCCGATCCCATCCCTGAGGGCAGTGAAGCAGCTTGCTTGCCAAAGTGGAGATGTCACAGTGGTCTTTGCACTAGTAGACAATGGAGACATCGCTTTCTACTCTTTCAAGGAATTCAAGCTGCCTGTGGACGTTCATCCCTGATGTTCCTGCTGTCACATCGGGAAACATCTTTGGAACTGGTGTGTGTTTTATACAAAATATTACTCAGGACTATATAGAATTTAATATCTACCTACCTTGTGTCACCCGTAGATGCAATTTTCATGCAGCAAGAGCCTGCCCATTTCATAAAAGCAAAGAGTAGTTCAAACAAAACAAACATTTCTGGACAGAAACGTGCAAATGTATTTTGTTTGGTCTTTGCCTGGACATGGCATAGTGGCTCTGCCAATCTGGAATGATTTGCTAGTTATTTGATGCCAGGGAAGTGTTTCCATGATAAATAATGTTGCTCGTACCATCTGGAAGCCTTGGCAAACATAAACTCTAGAAACCAACATTCAGTATCAGTGATTCAACAAGTGACGCAGAGCAAGCCATTACTGCAGGGATAGCCAATGTTGTTGGACTGCAACTCTCATCATCCCTGACCATTGACCTCGCAGGCTCTGGCTGATGGGAATTGTAATCTAACATCTGGAGGACCATATTGTCTTTCCCTGTGTTTATTGCATGATGTTCTTTCTAGTCACAGAACAGCCAGTGAAAACCTGAGAATAGTCTTCTGTGGTTGGGCAGATAGATGATTCTTCAAGTGCTTTCCCCACCCTCTTCAACAGCAATGATCTTCCAGAGGAAAGGAAACTACAGAACACGGAGATCTTGCAGAGAGTCCATGGAAAAAGACACCACCAGTTTGTGTGTGTGTATGTTATTTCCATAAAGTTAGTGAACCTTTAATTATTCAGAGCTGGAGTCATTATTACTGAGCTGCCATACTTCTGCTTTACAGCTTCTCTCCAGGATGCAAATTGATATTCCCTGTTGAGAATTAACTGTCTATATTACAAAGTTTATTTATAACCCTTGCTGCTATGGAGTTTTTTTCTTCTTCTCCAGATACCAAATTTCTGCCTCTTTTTTGCCTATGAACTTGCTACAGTCGTTGAAGCCAGAAAGCAGTTATCAAAAATAAAGGGCCTGTGTGTTTTTTCCTAAGAAATTTTAGAGGTAGTTTTGTTTATGAAGGTTGGGGTTTTTTTGCCAAGTGTGGAGGCTAAAGCAATAAAATAACAATTAGGTTTACATTAATACAGTGTCTTGTGGTCCTTTTAGGGTGCTTTCATAGAGTGCATTTCTCTTAGGCAAAATATGATTGACAGCAGTTAATGCATTCTGGTCAAATACTTCAGGGCTTTCTTACTTGGCAGTAGTTTGCAGTTTACTACTGCCAGCATTTGCTAACAAGTGGATTCCCAAATGATCTCCCAGAATGCACTGCATTTCTTTTGTGCCCAAGACAGAGAGAAGCAACCGAAAATTGTTGGGCATTTAGCAGCTTTGCCTACCCAGTCATAGTTACCTGAAAGAAGAGACACTAGGTCTATGATCAGAGCTGTCCTAGTGCTTCAGTATAAGGGGAGACAGAGACCGTATAAGGAGAGACATGGTGTATGCTATAACAGAAAACCCGTAATCCCAACACATCCCAAATACCATCATGTTCATATGATGTCAACATTATGCAGCAAGCCTTGCCCTCTGTTCTCATAAAGTGTATTTGTTCCACCCAATTTGGATGGCTGGCTGAAAACGAGTTCTTTCTGGAGTAGCTCTTCTGACATGGCTGGTATGTGGCTATTACCCTGTCTGGATTATGTGGGTTGAGCTGTCAGAGGGTGGAACACCCTGATTTCCTATAGAAGACTGGGCTAGAGAGCCTCTAGATATGTTCTGCGCATCGTTATTATTATTATTATTCATTTCATTTCTATACTACTTTATATGTTTAAGAAAAAATCTCAAAGTGGTTTGCAACACACTAAAACCGCAAATAAAACAATCCAGAATACAGCATTACTGAAGAAAGTCAAATGTAAATTATACCTTTGAACATAATGAACAAGCAACTAAAATGTTATTGTAAACATTTCAAAAGAATACATTACAAAGGAAATCAACAATGGTATGTACATTTAATGCAGCAAAGTTAACAAAAAAAATCTTAAAACATTTCAAAAGAAAACATTTCTAAAGGAATTCAATATAAAATGCAGATTTAAAACAGAATAGTTAACAAGAGAATAAAATATTCTCTTAAGAATAGAACATATCTGCTGCTGTTGCTGACAATCCTGCAAAAGGCGGTTCATGATGTGGAAGCTCAGGGTCGAAGACCTGGGACCGCCCTAAGAGACAGCCAAGATCAGGCATAGGCAAACTCGGCCCTCCAGATGTTTTGGGACTACAACTCCCATCATCCCTGACCACTGGTCCTGTTAGCTAGGGATGATGGGAGTTGTAGTCCCAAAATATCTGGAGGGCCGAGTTTGCCTATGCCTGGCCAAAATGGTCTCTGGCTTCTTTGGCAGCCTCATCTTTTGTAGCTGGAGTCAATTCCAGGGCCTTTGCCTCCCAGGCCAGGTGGAGAAAGGCCTGCAAGGCAGGAAGCAGGTCTTCCAGGACTCCCACACACAAAATGCTTTACAGCCCAGACCTAACCTTGTTCATTTAGAAGTATGCCTCAGTGAATTCATGGGAGATTTTTCTGGCTTGAGTTTCTGAGGGACCAAAGAATTTCCTGATCTGGTACCAAACCACTACAGAGGGAGAACTTGTGGAAAGAAATGAGAACTTTTGACTATGATGCTGTGTTGCAGTTCACAATTATCAAAGGTGGCTTTCTGAAATCTGCAGACCATAATGGGGAAACTAGTCAATCCCTTCCCTGGGCTCCAGGATAGTACATCACAAAATCACAGCAGTTTTGTTTCCATTAGGTAACTGATGGATAATAGCACTCCAGCTACCTCTAATGGTCTACTTCTCCACACGCGCAAAGTTGTCGAACCATGTCCCAAACTTATGTTTTTTTCATGCCAGCAGAGAGTTTTATACAAAATTGTTGGGAGACAATAAGCACTAAATTTCTGCCACTCATCCAGTCCATTTTCATTATTTTATCCCTGTCTGAGAGCCACCCATTATACTTGGCTGATCAGGGAATGATTTCCCGACAGTACAGTATGAAAATACAAAACCATCTACCTTAAAATATGCCAGAAGGACTGCCATTTTTTGCAGCCAGTCCAGCAGGAGCCACTATCATTGTGTCTTACCAACCCAAATGCTAATCTCCCTTGTTTTGGTGACAGAATGACATTTGCTTGCCTTCAGGGATATATGGACCAAAATTCTGATGAAACCAGGAAAAGAATAGTGAAAAAAATAAGTAGCAATTCTGGAGCTTCCAGTTACTTGCTGCTTAATAATGTGTTGTTATCTGAACAGTGTCACAAAAAGGTGTGTGTGGCAAGGTGACTCAGTTTCGGCCTTCCTTGTAGCCAGGCTTCACAGTACCAGAGTTGTTTGCTGGAGGGGGAAAACCAAGATGAAAGCTACAGAAAATCCCCTGAGGCTGAATTCACAATCTTTGTCATTCAGCTGAAACTAAATCTGTTCACTTATTGTTGTTTTCTTTTTCTGCTGTTTAGCCCTAGTTTTGCTGATGCACAGAACAGCCTCCAGCCTCTGATTTGTGGCATCGTAACTCAATCATAAGCCAGTTGGCTTGGGCAATACAGAACAATGAACAAAAGTAATTTGATTGCTGCAGCGTGGCTTTTGGGTTTCTTGTTTGTTTGTGTTAATGGTGAATAATATTTGAAAGTTGAGTGTTTTATTGTGGGCTGAAAGACTATCAACTACAAATAAAAAAGATCACTTTCACAACTGCTAGATCAGTAATTTTGCTTTAGATCACGCCTTCCTTTTCCAAAACTTGCAACCTTGTGATTTACTTTTGGGGCAGTTAGGCAATTTTAGTCTCTGGACTTAATGCTCTTACGCAGCCCATCTTTTGATTAGGGATGGCCAATATTGCATCTGTAGGTGCACATATGCCCACAGTGGCCTTCTTGCAGGGGTCTTCTTCCCTTTCACCCATTCAAATTAGCCTTGAAAGAAGCATTTTATTGTAGCCAATAGAACAGGTTGCAGTGTGTGCTTGGTTAGTGCCGGGGGAGGGGAGGTCCATGACACTTTACTCAGGTTGAATGTGACTCGGAGACCCCAAAAGGCTGGTGACTATTGCTTTAGATGTAAGGTAGCACTGGTACTCTCTGGAAGGGGGTTTCTGAGGGGGCATGTGTTTTAATTTACTTCAAAATGTGGCAAGATAACCCCTGTTTGTGTATGTGGGGACTCTCCTGCTTATTTTGTTGAATGGGGCCTTAAACCTCAGCCCCCAAATCCTGCCCTAACAGTACTACTACCATGTTTAGCCTTGCAAATATGCATTTATGTGTGCTCATTTAAAAAGCAAGTAACATGTTCAGGCTCTATCAGCAGCCTGTATACAACTGTGGCACATGTGTCATTTGAATCAATGCAGTTTGTTATTTCTGCTCCAACCAGGCTTACTGAGAGAAGCATATATTGAAATAATTGTCATGTCAGTGCTTCCCCTTCCGAAACAATAGCAAGAAACTGGTCAGATCCTCTTAAAGGACTCCCTTCCAAGCATAATTGTGAATACAGTACCTTTAATCTACAGCATGATATTCTCTGACGCAAGTTTAATATACTACTGTTCAATATGATTGCTCTTAACGTAAACAAGCTCTTAACGTAAACAAGAAAGAAGATTCCACCTCAACATTAGGAAGAACTTCCTGACAGTAAGAGCTGTTCGACAGTGGAATTTGCTGCCAAGGAGTGTGGTGGAGTCTCCTTCTTTGGAGGTCTTTAAGCAGAGGCTTGACAACCATATGTCAGGAGTGCTCTGATGGTGTTCCTGCTTGGCAGGGGGTTGGACTCGATGGCCCTTGTGGTCTCTTCCAACTCTATGATTCTATGATTCTATGATTCTATGTGGCTTGTTTTTATCGCTTGATCAGATCCTGCCTGCTGCTCTCACCACCACAGCAAGCAGTATAAACTCAACTACCATCAGAAATATTATAAACAGCCTTGTGGCAGCTTAAAGACTACTCGGAGATGATATTGTGGCGTCAATTGTGGCACAGATTGCTGTTCTTGCTGCAACAGAGTTAACAGGGCAACACCTTTAGAAGTTATCACAAGTATCATGTGTGTAAAAGAGAGATAAGAGGAAACAAAAGACATTTGGCCATGATCAAGAGTCAGAACTGTCATGAATATTAGTAAGAACAAGACCTCTAATTAACAGTGGTAATCTTTATTATACAGCTTGGGGAGGGATCTCCCTAAAGGAAGAGGCAACGACTAGGCTGAGAATTTTAATTCGAAATCCAAGTTACCAGTGGTATCCCGTCCAACAACAGTAGTACGGTCCTGTTCTAATTACTGTGTGCACTGAGCGGCTGTTTTACTTTTTTTGCGACCGGTATCTCTTTCCTGATTGGAATACGAATCCATCCGCTCTTGTCTCTCCCTCACCTGCTCCAGAGCAACACACAAGAAAACGCAGTCAAGATTGGAGGAAATGCAATCTGGAAAAGCGCCACGTTCGAGTTTTTGTTCTTCGCAGGAGCTCCTACTTGCTCTGAATCAAGGGAGCAGCCTTAATTACGATTTAGCACCAGGAAAGCAGCACCCAGAATCCTATCTTTGCTCATGCCCTTTGTACCCCTGCTTACACACCGTCTCTCCTCCACCGGAAAAAAGCAAGATAGGTGCGCCCAGAACTCGGCGGATATGGGGCGTGCTCACGGCGTCTTAAGAAGCCAAGATAGTCATACTGGAATTAGCCTACTTTGATCTCGATCCCCCCTCCTCTCGTGCGCCGATTGCTATTGGCCGGATGCAAAGTGAAAAGAATGCAGGCAGAGGTTTGCTGATTCCCGATTGGCTAGGCGGGTAGCGGTGAGCGCGATGAATTATTCACGAGCGGCAGAGTTGGGGGGGGGGGAGAGAAAGGGATGCACCACGCCCCCTTTGTGATTTGCATATCCGGCGGGCACGCCCCCCCCTGCTGGAGGTATCCAGGAAGGAGAGGTGGCGGCGGCGCCGGCGCAAGGAGGAGCTGGGGCGCGTCGGGGGACATTGCACGGTAAGGCTCAGCCTGGCTTCTCTGCACGCGGCCCTCCCCCCCCCCCGGTGAGCTGGGGGCCTGGGCGGGGGGACGGGGCCGAGGCGGCAAAGAAAGCGGGGCGGGGACGCCAGGTAAAGGGGGGGTGCTTTCCGGGGTGGGGAAGAGGGAGAAGCTCCCTTGGACTGGCGTTGGGTGGAGTTGAGGCTTGGACTCCATGCTGGAAGGTGAGCAAATAGGAGACTGCTCTGAGCTTTGTCATGGATCCTGGAAAGAAAGGGCAAGGCTGGTCGGGGAGTGCCTTGCAGGGCGGGCGTCGGAGGGATTCTTTGGTATGATGGTTAGGGGGCGTGAAAGCTGGCCGGGGGTGTTGCATTGGGTTGGTGGAAGGGTGCCCTCGATGGGCTGAGAAAACGTGTAGGGGGGCATCACTTTGGGTGCGCTTGGCCTTGAGAATTATGTGGGGTCTTTTTCTGGTGTCTGCCAGAAGTGTGGGGAGGAGGGTCTTTGTGGGTAGTAGATGAAGTTTGGACTTTACCTGGCCCAGTTAGTTGTGGATTGTTTTTTTTTGGGGGGGGGTTGCCAGCATTGAGATCTGGCCCTGGGGAGGCAGGTAACTGGTTTTTGTTTTTCGTTTTGAATTTTCGCCGGTGAAGCAAGCAGTAAGTTGTTAGGACTCCTGTTGTTCTTCCGATGCCCCTGGTCAGCATTGCCTTGCTATGTCGGTTGTTGGCTGGAGGTATTTCAGAAAGGTTTGCTTTTGTTCAAGTACTTGATACTTTTTTGGCAGGCTGTGCTGTTTGCACAGGTGCTCTGGGACTACAGTATGGCAAGCTGGCAAACCTCTGTGAGGGGGCTTGATTTCCCCTCTGACTATTGTTGATTCCAGGTGGCTTTTTATTTCTTTGGTAGCAGGTCAAGACGAATCTTGCTCGTCATTTCCTTTTCTTTGAAGGTCAATATGTCGCTGTTGACTGAAATTTAGTATAATAAGCTCTAGGAGGTATCGGCCAGTAATTGCCATCTTGGTGCCTGTTAGTTGTCTGAACCACTCCATTAGCCTATATAGGATCAGTACTCAGTGGGGAAATGTGTCCCTCTGATGTGTTGGACTCTGACATATCAGCCCCAAGCATAATCAGTGGTTAGGGAGGATGTGAGTTGGAGTCCAACAGGGTTTGATGGACCACATGCTCTCTATCCCTGGCATAGGCCAAAGGTTGGCTCTGGGATTTCACTGAGGAAATCCAAGATGGCAGATCCTCTCTTACAGAGCAATGTGGTATGTGTGCTTTGGGGCATTTGGCGTTAGCCTTGGGCAAGTATGATAATATCAGCCCGCATTGATGGAAACCTGCCCTTCATTGTGTTAGATAACTGTTTGTGGTACTGAAATTACCACATGAACTGAGCCAAATTTTCCCTTTGTTCCCCAAACACTGCTGACGTCTGAGGTAATGAATGCCCCTACAGATAAGCTTGAGGCAAACTGAAATCTCCATGCAGTCTTTAGCAATATGAGTGGACACCACACCCTAACTAGTAAAGGTATTTGTCAAGTATCACAACTGAGAATAGCCTTGTTGTGTTCTCCAAAGGCCAGGCACATAAGTAACAGATCAGTTTAGGCTTCTATAGCTGAGAAACTCCCTTCCTGCCCTATTCCCCCTCCCAGTTTAATTTGGACTCCATGTGTAGCTTCTAAGACAAGCTGGTCTCTTCAAACAATGAAGGCTTGCTAGTTGTTCAACCTGAAATAGTAACTGCTTTGGAGGCTGGGAAAACTTACCGGGTCTCATTAAATCTGACTTGTTTGAGTGGAAATTGGAGCCCTTTGAAATAATTTCATTGTTAAATGAATCTCTTTGAGGTTGCCTTATTAATGGTCTTTCAACAGGTTTTCATTCCAAGCTCAGACAATGGTGTATTATTGCTGAAGTGAAACATGTCATCTTTTTCTTGGAGGTGGGTCAGGTGACCCTGTAGGTGTTCATGCCTATTGTATTGGAAAGACTGGAACCTGAAACTGGAACCTGGGGGTGGTTCCTTGAAGTTACTTGTCTGCTGTTCATGGTTGAAATTTGTGTTAATATTCAGAGTCTAGAGTCACCTATACAGCATAATGTTTCATGAGGAGCAGCAAGTTTGAGCTGTTAAAGCGGTTTACATTTTCAAGGTCTGTGTAGGAAGCAAGGGTGTACTATGTATTGTTGAAGCTTCTGTTAAAATATATTTTGCCACAGGTGTGCTCAAGCTGCAGCTGGTCAAGCAGCTGCTGCCTAATATTACATTTAATATGTGGGTTTCATCTTAAATGAGAACTTGTAGTCCAGAGTGTGCACAATTTTAATAATGTTTATTCTGCTCCTATGTGATCTTCTGTGTGGTTTATTGTTGAGGTCTGTTCCTGCTTTGCTGCGGCATCAGGTGTTCCCAGACCATCCCTGGTTCCCTTGAGCGTACGCAATTACAATAATGGGATTGCTTTCTGAGTAAACATGTTTAGGGTCTGTGTAGTAGGGTATACTTCCAGATGGAAAAATCAGCAATTATTGCACTTGACAAACCTGTAGGATGAATGACAACTAGTATTGGTATACAACCAAATGTAAACAGAGAGCCGCTTTTTACAGTCTTTCAGCAGAGTTGGGGAACTTCACTTGTAACTTCCGTCATCCTGACCATTGACCATGCTGACGGGGGCTGATGGTAGGTTGAGAAACATCTGGAAAGCTGCATCCCTGACTTACAGGCATTAATATATGGTATAATAGCAATGGAAACTAGTTGCCATTGCTTCATCAGAGGCGTGTGAGCAGCTTTCGGTCACAGAAGACTCCATGTACTATCACACTTAAAAATATCTCTGACTCTTCCCTATGCAAATACTTCTCACAGGAATTAACACCGAAGCTGCCTCACTGGAGCATATAGTATATTTTAAAATTGTCATTCTGAAGATTATGGTTAACGAGTTTGTCCCAAACGGACAATCTTTTTCCAAGTAAGTTGGGTGATTAAAAGGAAAGATAGCCCTACCTCCTTTTGCAAGATTATGGGAACATTTTTGTGTGATATGTGGTATTTTCTATCTCTAATATGAATCAACTATCATGGAATGTCATTGCCATGTACAGCATCAAATAAAGTGGAAAATACTGGCTATTACATCACTCAAAAGATTAATTAAGTGATCTTAAGAATGTTCACTGCCACTGTTGCCTTTTTCATTTATATTCTCTGCAGTAACTTAAGCGTGGTATAACTTCCATAGTTTAAATGTGGTATTGTGGAATTATCTACAGTGTGATTTTTACTGCTGACTTATATAGCTCAACTATGAATTGAGAAGTTAGCTTCTGGCAATAAAATGACTTGGTGGTGCATGTATAGTAATAAATTTAGTAAGCAACACAATGTTTTTATTGCTGTTGTTTTTTTGGGCTAATCTTGCTTCTGTATGGAATGCAGATGTGCTTCAGTGGTATGCCCTGCTGCAGAGATGGGAAATCTGTAGCCCTCTAGATGTTAATGGAATACAACTCTTATCATTATGACCATGCTGGTTGAGACTGATGGGAGCTGAAGTACAACATCTGGTCATCTTGCTCTGAGGGTTGTAAATAAGGTGGCTTGTGTGAACTCCAAATGCTGCTGTTCGCTTGCACAACCGACTTCTTCTTGTGCAATGGAATGTCCCTTTCCTCTGCTGTCGCCTGCAGGCCTCTCCCACACCCACAAAATCTGCTTCAGAGTGTCAAGCGTCCCTCTGGATCAGTTTTGGGAAGCATGCAGAGAGAAGAAAGGGGAAGCTCTATTGTGGGAGTGGAATGCTGTTCATGCAGCGCTGGATATTCTGGATCAGGCATAGGCCAACTCGGCCCTCCAGATGTTTTGGGACTACAACTCCCATCATCCCTAGCTAACAGGACCAGTGGTCAGGGATGGTGGGAGTTGTAGTCCCAAAACATCTGGAGGGCTGAGTTTGCCTATGCCTGTTCTGGATCCTGTCCTATGACCTGGCTATCTTCTTGGCTGTTTAGTTTGTCACCTTTGCAGCAAGGTGAATGCTCTGTCTGACTGAGGCTATGTTGATAATTTGAGTTAATCTGAAATATTGCTGCTTTGTGGTTAGTTGGTCTCCTATAAAATTTGCGTTTAGCCGTGTGTCATTTCCCCATATCTTACATCTGATCTCTTCAGGTCTCACAATACAGATTTAAAATTCAAGGGTCACCTGTAAAAGGGAAAGAAACCCTGTGTTGATTGTGCATCTTCTAACTCAGTCCTAAAAAGGCTTACTCAATAAGAAAATCCCACCAGGTTTGGAACTTGCCTTCTGGACATTCCATATTTAGAATTGCAAGCCTTATTCCTCATAGCAGTGAATGGAAACCCTCTCTGTGCTGTAGAACATACACCAAATGTTTTCAGATATGATCAGGGCTTTTTTTCAGCTGGAACTAGCTGGAACTCAGTTCTGACACCTCTCAGGTGGGTGCCATTATAAGAGAACAAGGGAGGCGTTCATGGTGAGTTTTGGCAGCTCTTTTTCTAGAAAAATAGTGCTGGGTTTGATGCTTTTCAGTGTTCCTTCCTGATTATGTATAGGCATATGATTATAATTTTAAATGTGATTTTGCCTAGTTTTCTCAAAATTAACTAAAGTGGAAACAAATTTTGGAGAGTTCTCAAGTATGCATGGATAAACCCACTTTTCAAAAGCTGCTCTGAGTTCCTGAAGACTTGTCACTGCAACATTTTATTCAAACATTCTGTTTAAATTCTACTTGGAATAATTGGCTTAACTTGTCACCTTGTCATTCTGCATTAATTTCTCTGACTTTTTGCCAGCTGCACACATCTCTGTTCTTTTCAGATTTGATTTTGGGCTCTTTAGTTTAGAGGCAGGAAACTTGTTAACTGCAATACCTCAGGATCAGAGGTTTGTTAAGAGGCTACAAAATATGTAGTATTTTAGTTCTGTCACTGCAGGGGAGTTCAGTGATGACATTTTAAATAATATTCACAGGTCTTCCTTAATGGCCAGAAGTAAGTCTGGTGGGTTGGGGATGGCACAGAACAAAAGTCTTAAACATGCAGATTACCCTTCCATTTAAGACAGGATAAACCACTTCCTAACTGAAGAGTCTTGCATATTGTATCAATCAGAGACCTGTTTTAATGAAAGTGATAGGATAACAACATTTGCTCTTGTTATGAGAACCATAACTGTCAACCTTCCCTTTTTTTGTGGGAAATTCCCTTATTCCATCACTGTTTCCTGCTGCTTCCTGCTGCTATCCCGGATTGATAGATATCCCGTAGACTGTCCCCGGGACAGGTGAGGCTGCTGATCCCTTATTTTCAAATCTGAAAGTTGCCTGCTATGATGAGATCTGATTAACACATTTTCTGGTCTTGTTGAATAGGTCTGTTGTAAGCCTGCATTGCTTACTGAATACCATAGCTGCAGGGAGGGGCATAAGTCTCTCTCTTGATCACTTGTCAAGCCTGTATCTCTGCTACCAGCAGCTGGGCTACTCAACATACATGGCTGACTGAGTGCTTCATATTCTGGGCGCCATAATGGAATTTCTTATGCATCTGTGGCCCAAACCAGGCATATTCTACTTTATCTTTTCCCTTTCCGCCTAATCCTCTGATTGAGAGCAGGGCTGCGTGGGAAAGGAGTTTGTTGGGGATGCAGAAATGGTGGAAAGGGGTAATTGGCTCCTTTTCCTGCTGCTCTTCAATTTCTGATGGCAACCTCAGTTGCTGCTGTTGTTTTTAAAGGAACCCACAACTATGCAACATGTAATTTGGCCCTGAGATATACCTGGCACCTTGGCTTCATTTCCTTCATTTTAGTACTGTCATGGTAAAAAAACACCCTAGCAAATACACCTGAATCTTATAGACCAATCTTATAGACCAACCATGTGGACCAAAATGAAAAGAGCATCTTTGCAATCTGATGGGTTACTATTCTTCCTATAACTTTCCTGTTGTTTAGATTTTTGGAGACAGCATTTATCGAAAGTTACTTTAAGAGAAAGAGAGAGAGAGAGAAAGAAAGAAAGAAGCATGCCATGATGTATGCATGTCTGTCTGTCTCTTTTTTTCATACACACTGAACCACTGCTGTTGACTGTCTTTATAACTTGTCACGTGGCTGACAATAGCCAGTAAGAAGAGGGCCAGGGTTGTTCAATCATAGGATTATTTTCCAAATTAAACCTTTAGAAGTAATGTACTTAAATTGTTGAAGTTGGCTGAGCTTAATCATCATCCCTAATGTTCTACGTCCCTTTAATCAAAACAGCCTTGAAAACACTCACATCTTTATATCCTTCTAAGAGGCCTCAGAGGGGAAAAAACCACTTGAACATACTTGTTCTGTGATGGGGTACTCCTCTTTCATCCATTTGAGTCAGCAGTGTGAAATTATACATTTCTCAAAACCTATTGGCCACTTCAGCTGTGTCAAGTAAGTATTTGGCAGCTTTGCAGTACTTTGGATGCTTATGCCACTGCCACAAAAGATTTTCACGGATAAAATTATGCATCCTTTGAAGAAAGTGGGTAGAGGGGGAGTTTTCACACACCCCCGCTCCATCTCTCTTAGCACTAGAACCCAGGGTCATCTATTTATGCTAAATATTGGAAGATTCAGGTAAGAGCATATTAAATGATGGTGGCCACTCCCACATTATATAATGGTGGCCACCAACTGTGATGGCTTCAGAAAGAACCAACAGATGAATTCATGGAAGACCAGGTTACCAATGGCTATTTGTCATGATGGCTGTGTGGTGCCTTTTACATCAGAAGCACTACTTCTCTGAGTGCCAGTTGCTGGGGATCATGGAATCGTAGAATTGTTGAGTTGGAAGGGACCCTGAGGATCATCCAGTCCAACCCCTGGCAATGCAGGAATATGTATATGTCCCATATGGGGATCGAACCTATGACCGTGGTGTTACCAGCACCATGCTCTAACCAGCTGAGTTATCCATGAGCCAGGATAGTGCTCTTACACTCATATCCTGCTTGTGAGGTTCCCAGGGGCATCTGGTTGACTGCTACTAGAACAGAAGGATGCAGCAGTCAATCTTTTGGTCTTATGTATCAGGACCCTTTATATGTTCTCCATTTGCTTGGAGCAGGGCTGTGAAAAGCATAACAAAAGTTGCAATATACAGACCGCTAATTGGCACTGCACAACTGGTTAAAATGTCAACCTAGGGCAAACTCCTGAAGGTCAATTGTGTTAGCATGGTGCATTAAAAATTACCTTGGACTCGCCAAAGCTTATGCACAGTAACTGTGTTATCTTCAAGGTGCTACAGCACTCTTGATGTTTCAGCCCAGTATTTTAAAGGTCTTCTGCGAATCTGCCAGGTAGTGCATTTGCAAATTGTCTGAGACCCCCTTCTGTGTTTCCTCACCTTAGGAGATGAGGTAGATGGTAAAAGGTGAGAGGGCCTTCTTGGTAATGGTGGTCTGGGTCCAGAATATGCTCTGCAGGTGAGGCTGATGTCTTTTCCAGCAGCATTGGCCCATGAGGCGCTAGAGTGAATGTGCCTCCTCAGCTTCCACATTGAGAGCAGAGGCAGTTTTACACTGCACTCCGCCAGCTGGGGCCAATGCAACTTGTTTCAACATCATAGTGGATCACAAAACCACGATGTTTGGCTGGTGATACATCAGTGTTGAAAACCTAACATCGTCCAGCCCTAATGCTGAGGATGGTTGTGACCAGTGAAGAAATTTGTCTCAAAGGCTGTTCTATAAGCTTTATTGTTCAAACTGTGTGTGCCCTGAATTGTGCTCTGTGGAATTGAGGAAGCAAAGAAATTGGTTGGGATCCAGTATGTTGGGGTTTCTCCACCACTGAAGACTTTTCCAAAATGTATATGTTGTTTTCTATGCGTTGGTTTCATCCTCAGTCCATCACAGCCCTATTCCATCCACAGCTGATGAAGAAATAGAAGTTGATTTTGTGGATATTGTGTGTATTGTATCATCAATGTTTGTAAAAATCGTTTTAAGTCAAAAGGAAGTCAAAAAGGGCGCAGTCTTCTGCATGAACTTTCAGTTTTGTAGTTGGGTGTATTGGAGGGTAAATCATTTCCCAAGACTGGAACAAGAAATCTAGTCGTTCGTTCATTTTAGCATTATGTTGAAAGCATCGCATTTCTCTCCTGTCTGTTTGCGACAATGGAGGTTAAGTGTAATTTGACCACATAAACCACATTTATGAGCATCTTACTTTATTTACTACTTCCTTCCCTCTTTTCCTCTCTCTGTTGTTTTCCTCCTTGCAAAAGTTTCCATGGCAGACAACTGGGCACTCTTTCCTTCACACCTTTTTTGCTAATTGTCTTTACCAAGCGCTCCTTGCCCTGTCAAATTAATGCACCAGATAGTTGCAGTTTTTGCTCCTGTTGGTATCTCAATACTCAGAGGCTAAGAAGCCACAAAATGGGTTGTGAAGTCTGTGAAATAATTTGCTCAAGGCCTGAGGGTTACTTTCCTGAAGTGGAAAGTACGTACAACTCCCAGCTTGGAGGATGTGGAAAGTGAAAAGAACTCATGAAAATTATACCATACATTTCTGCCAAGTGGCATCCAGGTGGTTGGTTTTTCAAGCAGCATTGGGCTATTGTTGAGGGACATATTGAATAGTCATGCCTGATACTGCATTCTGTAGCAATTGGTTGCTGCCAGACTTATATGGGTCAGTATGTGCAAGGCAGTATCAGAAACAAAGTTGATGTCATGCTTAGTCTCCATGCTAGGAAGTGCTCCCTCTTCCATGAGGCATTTCATTTTCTTTTGCTGGAAGAGCTGCCATTTTGAAAGCAGCCTTGGAAATTATCAAATGGATTGCTTATGGGCGGCATCCCAGTGTCTGAATATTTGGATTGTTGGTTGGTTATACATGGGAAAGGTTATGATGAAATAGTTACTTGCCCAAGATGAGATCTTTATGGCTGAGGTAGCATCTAACTTGGGTTTCCCAAGTCCTAGTCTGACATATTAACCATTAGAGCTTGCTAGATAGGTGATCGTTTTCACTCCCATCTGCTGAATGGTCCTGCTTTGATGCCTACCCGCGAGCATATCTGTCACATGCTTCTACAAAAGAAGTCTTCTAAATTAGGGATGGGAAACCTGTGGACCTGCAGATATTGGTGGACTCAACTTCCAGCAGCTCCATGGCCAGTGGTGAAAGTTGTCATCCAACAAGATCTGGAAAGCCATAAGTTCTTCCTCCCTATCCTAAATTCTTCTGTCACAGTAAAATGTGTGAATGTACTGTTCTTTCCATAGATAAGTATGGAGTATTGGGTGTTAATAATTTAGGAGAAGAAAGCTTACTCGGTCTCTATTCACTAAACTGGTGCACATCGGCTGCACACCCTAACGCCAATGCTTGTATATGGAGACGTTGAAGAATTTGTTACAAGAAGGGGGAATAGATCCAGTTGTATTCAGTTTTACTAATTTGTTCTTCTTTTTTTGTACAGTCTGGAGCAGCCTTTCTCAACCTTGGGTCCCCAGATGTTTTTGGACTACAACTCCCATCTCCCTGACTACTGGTCCTGCTAGCAAGGAGTGAAGGGAGTTATAGTTCAACAACGTCAGGGGACCTAAGGTTCAGAAAGGCTGGTCTAGAAGGTAAGAAGTGCAGCTGTGTGGCAAATACTGAATTAGCTGGAATTGGTAGTTTTCTACATGGGAAGCTGCCTGTGTATCAAATCAGATCGTTGGTCTATCTAACTCAGTATCGTCTACTGATTTGCAGCAGCTCTTCACGGTTTCAGGCACAAATCTTTCCCAACCATACCTGGAGATGCCAGGAATTAAACGTTGGACCCCTTTCCGTGCTACTGAACTGCATCCCTTCTGCTACAGCTCATGCTAGTTGGGTGTAAAATATGTTCACCTTGTAACTTCTGTCCCTTAATTTGGCTGTCTATCCTTCACTCTTATGTGGTGGCAAAACTCATAAGGGAATAGTTTGATTTATGACATGCAGGGGGGGCAACCTCATTACTGGTTGGAATGCAGAGAGAATGAGCCCACTTGTTTATATAAGCATAAAGTAATAGAAACATCCCCAGCTGCTAAGACCTTTGCTGTAGTCCAAGAATTTCATATTGGAGTGTGTGTGATGAGTGGCCTCCCCAGGGTAGCGACCTTTATCGTGCCCCTCAGTAGAAAACAGCAGTAAATTGTTTGCTTGCTGCTTCTAAGTTATACTATAAGTAATTTGGTTACGTTTGCAAATATATGGGACTCATTTCTAAAACTGAACATTTCATGCTTGGTAGAATACTGTGCTGATTTATGAGAATCCTTGTATTTTCAAATTGCCCTGTTTGGCTAAATTACCTGGTACCAAAGCAGCATACTGAGAGGCAACTTAACTTGTTCTTGCTTTAAGCCTTTATGGTCTACCTTTCCACTCAAAATTCAAAAGGGTCTTACAGTCTAAAGTTGAACAACTGTTAGATGCATCTGCAGGGGTAAAGCTGAAATTCTTACCTGTGGTCTGCCACTGACTACTGTTCCAGTTGATTTGCTCCTTGGCAGACCACCTTAATTTCTTACGTTATTGCTTTTATGTGTGTGGGGTGGTGTTTGTGCTTTTGTCCTGTATTTTTGTATTGTGAACAGTCCTGAGATCTTCAGATGAAGGGTGATATAAATTCAATAAATAATAAAGCAATAATAATGAGGGTCCTTGTGGGACGTGGGTGGCACTGTGGGTTAAACCACAGAGCCTAGGACTTAACGATCAGAACGTCGGCGGTTCGAATCCCCGCGACGGGGTGAGCTCCCGTTGCTCGGTCCCTGCTCCTGCCAGCCTAGCAGTTCGAAAGCACGTCAAAGTGCAAATAGATAAATAGGTACTGCTATGGCAGGAAGGTAAATGGAGTTTCCGTGCGCTGCTCTGGTTCGCCAGAAGCTTCTGGCCACATGACCCTTCTGGCCACATGACCCGGAAGCTGTACACCGGCTCCCTCGGCCAATAAAGCGAGATGAGCGCCGCAACCCCAGAGTCGGTCACAACTGGACCTAATGGTCAGGGGTCCCTTTACCTTTACCTTTTAATTAGGGTCCTAGGTTCAGGTCCCAGTTAATGACATGGCTGTCCAGACTGAGATCTCTTCTCAGTCAGGGTAGGTGAGACTGGGTGAGAGGGACTGATAATCTGACTCTCATTAGAAAGCAGCTTTGTATGTTCCGCATTAAAAAACCCAAACCCTCCTAAGTTCATATCCAATGGTTATTAGTAATAATGGCTATGTTCTCCTCCTATTTTTGGAAACTGTATGCTTCTGAATACCACTTGCTGACACCGCAGAATGGGGGAGAGTACTGTTGTGCCTCAAGTCCTCCTTGTCTGGTTCCCATAAGGTATCAGGTTGTCGGCCACTCTAAAAACAGGCTGCTGGACTAGATGGGCCACTGGCCCAATTCAGCAGTGTCTTTTTCATGTTCTCACTTCAGCCTAAAGAACACATATGTGGCTTGATAGAACTGGGGAAAACTTATCCAATATGTGTTGCACATAGAAAACATGTTCCCTGCAATGATTGTCCACAGCAGCGGTGGGGAACCTTTTTTCTGTTGGGGGCCACATGGGCTTATTGCTGTAGCTGAGAGCCTTAAAGTTGTTATCATTTGCTATTGTGAGATACAAAGGTGGTCCAAAAACAGCTCAAGAATAATTGGATACAGCTGCTGCCCAAAATATACATGGCAAGATGGGTGGTATACCAGCCATCGTTTGTATGCAAAATTTTCTAAGTGAAACTGCAGATATCCTTCTGCTCTACTGGATCTTCCTTTTCCTTCCCTCCAACATAACACCTTTTCCTAAAACATGTCTATTCATCTTGGATTTCTCCAAGTTCCCAGGCCTTGCCCTTCTTAAACTGCTTTCTTCCAAGGCTTAATGTTTTTCACACCTTGTTTTGTGAGTGAAGGTAGGTGAACTCTTGGCTTTGCATTTCCTGGTCCAAATGCTATTGTTAGCTCAGTTGCTTTGGGTTATTCCTGTATTTACCATCTTTTATTAGCTTTTGCAGAGGCATTGAGCAGCGGTATCTGCAGAGGTGCAAAATACCTTAAGGCTGTTGCATCTTCCATGGCAGTTGCTAGTTTAAGCGTTTGTGGTTTTTTGTAGAAACAGATTAACAATTAACCTGTCTCCACACCAGATCTTGATGCATCAACCAAGGACCGCTGAACATTTTTCTCAGTGCTGTAAACACCGGGAAGACTCCCACGTGCAACCGCTGTAGAAAGCATCCATGTAATGTGTACAACTGCATCTACGATTGTGTGTTCCCCAGAATTTGGCAGAGCGGCTCCTTTAATGAAAGCCTTGCTTTCCATTTGCTTTATTTTTAATAAAGGCTTCAATCCTCCATGCAGCAACAGATTATTTCACTGGAACCTAAGTGCCTGTTTTGAATTAGAATTTCAGCTAAAACCTCCAGGCTTTCATAGTGTCAGGGATTAATACAACCCCTTTGAAGAGATCAGAAGAGAGAATTGGTGTCTCTTGAGCAGAGCATAGTCTCTTACTGGTGGTGCCTTATGTGCCACAGCCCCTGGCCTCACCTACACCTTTCTCTAATCACCCAAAATATTCTGTGAAAATGCAGATATTCTAGCCAGATACCACTAGACAAAAGTAAGTCTCTGAGCACAGGTTGCATACTCAACATTACAAAAATTCTAGGTAGTTGTGTTGGTCCACTAGGGAGAAAAAAATAAGAACTTACAATAGGCTATTGATTTTATTAGTATTTTGATTAAGACCTTCACAATTTGACAAGATAGTGAGCAAGCTTTCAAGTTCTCCAGAACTCTTCTGGGCACGATGTTGGAAGTCCCAAAGTATGCAGTTCTCAAGAACGTTATTCTTTATATATTTAACAAAACGGTCGGGGTAGATCAGGCATGTCCAAAGTCCGTTTCGGGGGCCTAATGCGGCCCACTGGTCGGTTTAATCCGGCCCCTGTGGCAGTTTATTTCCTGGGTTAAAATTCCCAAAAAAAACCTCCACAACTTCAGTCCTAAAAAACGTTCCACAACTTCATAAAAAAGCTGAACATCTTCAATCTTAAAAAGGTCGGCAACTTTGGTCGGCCCTCACAGCCCTTCACTTCATCAGATCAGGCCCTCTTTGAAAGAAGTTTGGACACCACTGGTGTAGATAAAGCTGGGTGATGTTTTCTGTCCCTTAGGGAAGGGGAACCTTTTTCATCCTGAGGGGTCTCACTCCCTCTTGGGCAACCAGTGGTGGGTGGGGCCAGAGGCAAAAGTAGGTGGAGCAATGCAGGTGGATGTTACTTTAATATACAGTGGTACCTCGGGTTAAGTACTTTATTCATTCCGGAGGTCCGTTCTTAACCTGAAACTTTTCTTAACCGGAAGCACCAATGGGGCCTCCTGCTGCTGCCGCGCCGACAGAGCACAATTTCTGTTCTCATCCTGAAGCAAAGTTCTTAACCCGAGGTACTATTTCTGGGTTAGCGGCGTCTGTAACCTGAAGCGCATGTAACCTGAAGCGTATGTAACCCGAGGTACCACTGTAGTAGGCTACATTCCACCCATGCAGGTGCAAGAGGCTTCTGCATGCACACACATTTCTCTAACCCTGGTTCATATTCCAGTCACATACAACCACTTAAGGAGGTCATGAAGCAGACTCAGTAAGGGCTGTGGTTTGGCTGTGGCCAAGAGAGAGTCCCAAGCACTAGATTTCGGTTCCTCACTCCTTTCCTACCCTTTTCACTTGCTGCTTACGGGTTGAGTGTGGATCCTAATCCTGGTTTATATACCCTGGTTGGCCACTGTGACAACAGGGTGCTGGATCTGGCAGGTTGTTCTTATGCTTAGCAATTTCTACGTACCAGGGTGGTGCAGCTTTGGAATAAATAACGCTGAACAACGTAATGTTGTAGTTTTGGGCATGCGACACTGCTGTTTCTTTCGACACAGAAAAAACTTAATTCTCTTTAGTCTCATGAGAATAGTTGAACTCCCTCTTCCTCTCTCCCCCTCGTTCATTTAATATGAGACTGGTGTGAAAACAGATCCCAGTCAGGGTTGCCAACCAATCTGGGAAGCTGGGAGAGTCTCTAGAATTGATCTTTTAAAATGCTTATCTGCTGTGTTATCTCTCAACTGTTGCCTGACTTCTGGTGCGCTCTCTTTTCCACTTCTAGTCAGAGAAAATCAACCTGAAATATGGAAGTTATTTCAGTTTTCCTCGTGTGGAATGTTCTAGGTAGGTTGCATGTGATCCTTATCAAATCTTCTTGTTCTTCCTTAGGTTTAGGGGCCAAGCGGTTAAAGAGGAAAATGAGAAGATTTTTGAGACCTGGACATGACCCAATAAGAGAGAGGCTCAAGCGTGACCTTTTCCAGTTTAACAAGGTAAGTTTTGGCCCTGAATGCAGCCTAAGTGGAAACTAGTATGAACGCTTTTAAAGAGCAGCCTGCCTAGGCAGGCTTGAAGGTGTGGGATCACTTGGCGTTGTGTGGGACAATCCTTCCTCGGCCTTCAGGTTAGCACAGAGCATACGACTAAACAAATATTTGGTAAACTGGTGCGGGGCTTGCCAACAATGTCCTTTTTATGTATGTATGTGCCTTAAGCTAACAAATTATTTCCTGAGTTCCAGATGGACGTTCAGATCCTGTGGCTTTTATTTATTTATTTATTAAGGCAGAGAGGGCCTTTATCTCTTGTTTAGCAGTATTTTCTCCTTTGAGGAGTTAAATGGGAGCTATTTTGGTTTGGTTATAGCACTGCCATTAAATAAACACGTATGGGGCTGTGTACAATTCTCGGGCTTACATGCACTTCCGTATGCTTGGATGTGGTTGGGAGGAGTGTTAGAATATGCTTTTTTTAAAAGCTTAAAATCAGTCTCTGTGTGCTGCCGATCGCTGAGGTAAAAACTGTGAAAAAGTGCTGTGTGTTGTGTTCTTCCTTTGGCAGCAGGTGTGTTATGAGCCAGCGCTTTAATTGCTAAACCACGGTAACAGTAAACGGATCTCTGTTAGGATGTACAGAAGCTTGACCTTCAGCTAACATTTTGCTGCTTCTAATCTTCCATCGCAAAGTGGTGTAACTATCGGCTCAGATGTAGTAAAAAAATTATAGAATTTGTGTGGTGCGTACCGTATCCTGCAAACTCTTTTATGGGTGGTTTATTGGTGTGTGTGTGTGTGTGTTTTGCAAGTGCGCAAGTAGTAATTTCCACACCTTGGCATTCATGAAAAGGAGTGTCATGTGGATAAAGGGATGGTGTTGGGGGGGGGGAAACAGGAGGAAGGGTATGTAGGGCTTGATTGCCATGTTTAGCAGTGGGAACCGTAGCTGGACATGATTGCTGCTTGTATTTTGTAAATGCTGGGGGCAGCTAAGATGACTTGATTGCTCAGTTGGATGCCACACCAAAGCACTCCTAGCTTTTAAGAGGTTGAAGCTTTGCTTTTTTTCCATTTTGGGAATGGTAACTTGAGACACTTCTGTGTTGGAGTGTGTGTGTTTTTTCATGCGTTGAAACTATAATCTAAATAACACCCATGAATAGCCCACCTTGGAAATCCTGGACAGTAACCAGAATCAGCACATTGAAAGGTTCATTGTTGACATCTGAACCCCATTTGCCATCCTAGGAGTGCTGTTCACACTTTGATCTGCTAAAGTGTGAACTAGGTGTGTAGGAAGTGTGTCCTGTTTAGGCCCTTTTTTCATATTGCTCTACTGCATGGGTAGGCAAACTAAGGCCTGGGGGCTGGATCCAACCCAATTGCCTTCTAAATCCAACCCGCGGACAGTCCGGGAATCACTGTGTTTTGACATGAGTATTTAAAACGCTTTTATTTAAAATGCATCTCTGGGTTATTTGCGGGCCCTGCCTGGTGTTTTTACATGAGTAGAATGTGTGCTTTTATTAAAGATGCATCTCTGGGTTATTTGTGGGGCATAGGAATTCGTTCATCACACCCCCCCCCAAAAAAATATAGTCTGGCCCCCCACAAGTTCTGAGGGACAGTGGACCGGCCCCCTGCTGAAAAAGTTTGCTGACCCCTGCCCTACTGCTTAAACTGAAATCCGCAAACATTACATTTTCATCAGTTGTCCTGTTAATCTATTCTCAATTTCTCTGGTGTATGTTGCGTATATTCGCCAAAGCAATAAGATTTGGTGGCAGGAAAAACAGACAGCTTGCTTAAAAAAAAAAAAAAAAAGCCAGATGCTTGCAATTCATGTACAACTTGAACATATCCCCTTTAAAAATCTGCATGAAATGGGAAGAGGGAACAATTTATAACTTTGGTGTCATTCGCCTGTGATAGACTTCCCAGTGTTTTTCAAGGTAAGATTAAATACTTTGCAGTGCTGGAGTGCCTTGCATAGTTAACCATTTACTCAGTCCCATATCTCCAGAGCAGGTATTAACTTACCTGTTCTTAATTAACTATTTGTGTTCCATATGGGAAAGTGTTTTTCTGGGTGGTGTGCTGCCTAGATGGAGTGTTTGCTTGTGAAGGACCCTTGCAGGTAGTGTAAAACTGTCAGATTAATTGAATTTTAATGGGGAAAGTTCCAGAACCCGGTAATTTAAAGCATATTAAATCTAATATTCAAATTTTCAGCGTCTTAGTGAAGGTGGTAGAAAAGCCCATTAACTACAATCTTAGGGATATGTTCAGCTCACTGTGTGGAGTAATTCAGTAATGACTCAGTAGAATGCCACTTTCTCAATGAGTTTATCAAACCTTCTTCATGATGAGAAACCGCTCTTTCCATTTTTAATTGGCAAGATTTGTGTGCGCGCACATGCACATTGCTTAGAAACCTTTTTCTTGTCTCATTCCCCCCCCCCTTTTTTACTATAGGTTACATTCAGCTAACTTTTACCTAGAGTTAACACATTGAAGCTATTGTACAAATGGGAGGTTGAGGAGTAATTAGGGATGTTTACTTTGGGGTGCATAGTTCATGTGTGGGGCTTTTAAGACAGGAAATGGCGCCTTTCATAATTAAACCAACCATTTCTAAGGCTTGTGCCTCTTCCTGCACCAGCGTAAGTCTATCTTACTCTAATGATAGAAACCTTCTATCCTAAACTGCTGGAATGCTCTGTCTGCCCCTCCTTTGCTGTGAAATCTCATCCACCCACGTAGCGCAGCCAAATTCATGGCATTTCTAAGTCAAATCCATGCCCTTGATGACTCATTAGTAGTGACACAATGCTGGCAACTTTTGTGTGAGCATGCATGTACATTGTCTAAGCAGTTCTGTCCTTGCTCAGTTCTAGAATTATTATTATTTTCCAGGTTGGCTGGGAAGCCGGTATAAAATCTTGGCTGGTATGGAAACACTGGGTTTCCACTGCTCTACTGCACCTGCAAAGGCTGAACTTGTAGATGTGGCTGTCAGTGCAGTGTGTGGTTATAGCCACAAGCTGTTCTTAATTGTTTCTGGGATTTCCCACCCCCCTTCTGGGACTTTTGTTCATGCAGTACATCAAAAGCAGTTTCTCTGTCTGTGTATATTGAATAGCATGACAAGGGAAGTGATAACTTACTGAGTGCAATTTTGGCTTCTTAAAAATAAGAAAAGAAGTTGTCAGACTCTATGGCGTATTTGTCTACAGAACAGAATGGAAAACAGAACTTCCTGATTGTAGATTCTGCTTTTCAGCTGTAGCCCTCAAAGTGGCTCCTGCGGAGGGAGACAAATCAGCTGTAATAGAAGCAGGTGTTTGGTGCTGGTGTCTTTGCCTCCTTGCCTCTCCTCTGCATCCCTTGTGACTGGGTAGTCTGTTGTTTCACCCTTTGTCAGGGGAAGAGGACATATTATTGGTAACCCTTGGCTTCTGAACGGAGAGACAAAAGCTAGTTGGAATTTTCCCTTGCACAGCACTTAACTGTTGGGCGGTTCAACAGTTCAACAAATCCAACATTGCAGGGGTCAGGCAACCTGGCTTGGCTTATCCCGAGAATAAATTCCCCAGTATTTCAACAGTTCCTTCTTGCAAGGTGTCTGCTCTCTGGGTACAATTTCAAGTGCCACCCATGCTGGATTAGGCACTCCGCCCTGGTTTTGAAATAGTGTAATAATAGAATTGTGGAGGGAAGGAAAGAGGTGGTGCATAGCACAAAGTTTGTAGGGGGTGGGGGTGGACTGGGGAGGAGAAATCCTGAGCAAGTGTAAGGAAAACAGTACTGTGGTACCTCGGGTTAAGTACTTAATTCGTTCTGGAGGTCCATTCTTAACCTGAAACTGTTCTTAACCTGAAGCACCGCTTTAGCTAATGGGGCCTCCCGCTGCCGCCGTGCCGCCAGAGCACAATTTCTGTTCTCATCCTGAAGCAAAGTTCTTAACCCGAGGTAATATTTCTGGGTTAACGGAGTCTGTTACCTGAAGCGTATGTAACCTGAAGCGTATGTAACCCAAGGTACCACTGTATACTTTAGTAAAGACATTACTTTTCAGATCTGAAACCATTAGTAAGGGGCAATGCTCCTTATATCATTATTTCACAGAGTGGCTCTTCTAGTGGTGTCTTCTCTCTTATTTCAACACCCCCTACCCCCCGTTTTTAAAAATATTTTTAACCCTCCTCCTGCTGGACAGTAGATAAAGGCTGTACAATAAGGACTGGGGTTTATGATGGCAGCGAGGGAGCTATGACACCTACATCCAAGAACCTTTGGGATGGAGGTGCAGGTGCTCCAAGAGACTGAGCTGTGAATTGGAAAGTCCCCGGTTCAAATCTTGCCTCTGCTAGGAACTCACAAAGTGGCTTTAGGCAAGCTGCTCTCTTGGCTTCAGTCCCTGCATCTGCAATACAGGGGATAATAATACAGACGTGTATAGTTATTGTTTTTTTATTAAGTTTTAAAACTGGATCGTGCCCGTGAAGCGCTTCGAACACTTAAGACTTCATATTGTTTTAAGTATCACATGGGAACAAGCTCTTGGTGGTTTTCCACAGATGCACAGTGTAACATTGAGCCTCCAAGCCTTTCGAATTGCATCAGATCCAAGGGTTAGGATTGGTGGATTCTCTGACTGTGGTTCCCATGTATTACTACTGCAGCAGGGAAGGAATGCTTTGAAACTGAACCTCCCCCCTCCCGCCCCAAATGGCATGACCTCTTGCCCTTCCAGCTGCAATGGTAGTCCTGTTGAGGCCATTTCCCACTTCGAACCAAAATCTTGCCCCTCCAACATTCTCTGCCTCCCCCCCTTTTTTTTTCTATTCTAAAGACAAGTCTTAAAACCTGCTGACTTTCAGGTCGTCTTTAAAAATAAAAGAGACATATTAAACACCCTGTTAATGCAGCTCCTAAAAGCCAGCATTTTATTTTCATACACTTGCAGTGCTGGCAATCTGGAGTGCTGTCCAACCTTCGTTTAAAACAGGCACCCCGAAACTCGGCCCTCCAGATGTTTTGGGGCTACAACTCCGCATTGCAAGAAGCCCAGCAGAAGCAGCCTGCAAGTATTGTGCTCCAGGCTGGAGTCTTGGCTGATGGGCTGAGCTGCTTAGTCATAGGTTTCTGCTGCTAGGTAGGGCAGCATCACACTGCCAGAGAGGCAGGCTGGAGTCCTTCAGAGTTTCTCTTTGCAGCTTTATTAAGGTTGAGGTATTTTGACGTTCCTGCAGATAAAAGCAAAGCAGATGTAAGCACTTGAAAAGAAGCCCTATATGATGTGTGGTTTTACCTAGAGTAGTCCCATTGAACCTAACGAGCATGACTGAGTTAGATGCATTCATTTCAGTAGGTCTGCTCTGTGTAAAACCTAGTTGAATACCACCCAATGGCTTTTGAGTTGAGGTTGAATTTTATAGGTCTACAAATATTTGCCAGAGTAAATGCCAGCATGTGCCAATTTTAAAAACAAGGCTCTGAGCCCACCTTACTTCTCTGAACATACTGGCATTTAATGGCTTCTTATTTTGAGTTGCTTGCTAGGTGCTTTTGTGTTTAGTTTCTTCCCTTTAAATTGTGTCCCTGTTACAGGTGGGCACACAAATTTGTTAAAACAGTTTTATATTGATCTGTTTTCTGTTGAGCTGGATAGCTGTATTGGTAGAGCGCGTCTCTTAATCTCAGGGTTGTTGGATGATTCTCAATAAATAAACTGCTATCTTAGAAAGGACTTGCCAAAACTGTTTACTTTCAATGCCAGTCCTGAATATCCTTTGGTGGGAAGACTCTATCCAGTGTGCTGCCTGAAGAGCAGTTCTGCTTGCAGCTTTTACAGTCAAACCTCAGTTCCCGAATGCCTCCGTTATCGTACGTTTCGGCTCCCCGGACACTGAAAACCCGGAAGTAAATGCTCTGGTTTTTGAACAACTTTTGGAAGCAGAACGTGCTATGCAGCTTCTGCTTGAGTGCAAGAAGCTCTTGCAACCAATCGGAAGCCGTGCCTCGGTTGCTGAACGTTTTGAAAGTCAAAGGGTCTTCCGGAATGGATTACCTTTGACATCAGAGGTTTGATTGTATTTGGCTCTGTTGTCCTGTTTACAATGGCATGTTTGCTGGGAGCAGTATTCCTCTGCCATTCAGACCATTGCAAGGAACATTGTGGCAAGTGAGTGCCTTGCAGGAATCTGCTGTCAGCCGGATGGGGAAGTTTAGGATGAAACTCTTCAAGGAAAATAAAGGCGGGGTATCTCCCTCTTAGTTTGTCTCATGTAAAGCTCTGTGGGGCAGGCATGTCTCGACTGGCGGTGTTAAGTTCGCTGATTGGCAAAGCTCAGCTACCAGACAGGCTGGTTCACCTGTGTTTTACCTAACTGGAAGCATTCCACTTAATTCAGGGGTTCCTTGCTTTCTTCTGTGTCTCCTAACCTGCCCCGTTAATTGATGTAAACACAGGCTGTGTCTCATTGACTAAGCAGTTGTGAAAATCTGATTCACCACTGGCTAGACTTCTGCTCATCCCTCTCCCCTTCTGAAGGAGAATTCTGCAAAGCAGCTGTTCCCCTCACAGTTGTTAAAAAAAACCTCAACAACAATGGCAGAAGTGAGTGAAACAGCTGCCAATGTAAATCCTTTCAGTTTTGTGCTGGAGTTGGCCTGCTGGTTTACCACTGCTTCTAATTGCAGGCAGAACTCCCAACCAAAAAGTGTATTTCTGTGTTTTTATATTTTCCACCTGATCCGAAAAGGAAACAAAAGCGCTCTTAAAAGTGAAGGTTGCTGCTGATCACCTTCTGAGTTTTTCTCTCTCTCTCTCTCTGTGCTAAGGCACTATTACAAGAAGTCCATTGTTCTCTCTTCTTCCCTTCCCCCACCCCCATTCAAGGTACACCTGCTCCTCTGGTCTCTTGGTGCATGTGATGTAAAATAGAGCCAGGCATGCAGTTTCTGTCTCTCTCTCCCTTTAAAATCTGAAATGAATGCATGTAAGTGCAAGCTAAAATGTGCAAATAAATCTTTGTAATCAGCCTCATTCATTATAATCTGTAATCACACCTGCAACGCTATAAAGAGCTAGAAAGCTGTGGTCAATGTTCATGGAACTAAGAAATAAGTAGTATCAGATGGAATGTAGTACATTAACACAAATATTATTTGTGTAGCTGAAGCCATTACAGAAGATAGGTGGAATGTAAAAAATTGTGAGTCTAGTTCTGGTTATTCAAGGACGCTAAATCAGCTACTGCCACACTCTCCTTTGCACTGTAAAAAAGCGGGGGGGGGGGTGTTAGATAGTGCCTCAAATGGGGTGTGAATGATGCAGAACTGGGAGGAGAGGGAAAATTGGAGGACAGGGGACACCTTGTGAAAGCAGAAGAGCCTTCCATTTATGTGACATGCTCTTTGGATGCAAGCCATTTTTCCTATTTTATGCCCTTCCCCAAAGCTGGAGGCAACGGGACAGTTAAGCACTGTCTCTATGAATCCATGTTCCTTAAAGGACATGGATAGAAATAGTTTATTTAATTAAAAAAACCTGGATTTTAAATGGTTGTTTTAAACTATGTTTACTATTACCACCACCACATAGAAAGCACCTAGTATTTTCTAAGCACTGTAGAGAGATTAAAAGATAAGGCGCTCCCTGCCCGCAGGCTCAGTCTAGTGGATATGACACAAAAGGAAACAAGGAGCTGGGAGGGAAGAGGAAAGCTAGCGAACTGAGGCGCCAGTTATTGAAGCTACATAGTTGCAGCAGCAGCATCTGATGTGGTCAGGTGGGCCTTCCTGCCTTTAAGTACAGAGATGTAATACCTGTAGGCCCTCTGTTACCCAGCTGATGACAGAAGATAATCGACCCTCTGCTGCCTGCAACTGGCATTTGGAGCCAAGTGTTCTTTTCTGGTGGTTGGGTAGGGGCGAACCAAGTTTTCTGTAGCTTCTGCTGCTACGGCCAAATTATGAGCCAATCTTGTTGTGTTTTCTTTCTAAAAATCTGATTTAAAGTGTCATCAATATTGAACCTTTTAAACTGAAACCATTAGATTGTGTTTTCCTGTTAAAAACAAAAATGGAGGGGGAAACAACGTATTTTCCCGTCTATAAGACGCTCCCTATTTTCGGGGACTCAGATTTAAGAAAATGGGGGGGGGGGGAGATGTATCAGTGTATAAGACACCCCCTAATTTTTGACATTTTTTTAAATGGGGAAAAAAAACTAGCCTTATAGACAGAAAAATACGGTAATCTGATGCAGTCAAGTATTGCAGATATGGCCTATTCTCATTTTAAGTTTTTCTGCTGGGCCCATGTCTTGACATATCATTATTAATATTATTTATTTCTATCCTGCTTTTTATTCAAATAAATACCAAAGCGGCTCACAAAAAAAGATGAAAATAAAATAATGGAACATCAAAAATACAGCATAAATTGTATAGAATACTTTACAAATCATCAGTAAAACAATCACAAATCACAAACATGGCGTGGGGGCCATGATGGCTTTTGTCTCCCTGGCAGTATCCCAACAACAACTACCATCTATGTAACACTATTAACAAAACAACTAAGAAATAAGCTAAACATCACCGTTACACCAAAAATAATATTATAGGATTCACAAAGGTACTACAGCATTCATATCTATGAAACAATATTAACAACATTAACAAAATAGCAACAAAACAAACAAAGCCCTGTTGAATTTGTACACATACTTGCCTCACCACCACGACTCAGAAACTTTCATTCTATTCAATGCATCAAAATACACTGGCACATAATGTTCCTGGCAGCAATTCCCTTCTGAAGGATTCTTGCGATGGAGGTAGTCAGCACAAAGATACTCTCCCCTCACATCCTTTCTGCCACTATGACACTTCCATTTTCATAACAGAAAAACGGAATACCAGAATAAGAAGAGGCTGCAATTTGGAGGTTAGGTGATACTCTGACATGTGTTCAACTATGATTAAAAATATCATTAGTTAACATATCTACATGATCAGTGTGGGAAGGATAAAATACTTGAAATATCACATTAGACCCTTGAAACCCTTTTCCAGTTTTCTTAGGGAAAACGCCTTAAAATTATTACATTACCATCACAGGCACTAGCTTCTCTAGAGCCCTGGAGATAACGATCGTGTATTTCACTAAGATCGTTTTGCTGAGTCTACCTTTTTATGCCTTAAAATTACCTAAACCCTGCAGTTTGTAAATTCCTCAGATTATTAATATTTATGACTCTACCAACCCTGTACTGTATTGACATTTACTTCCATAGCATAACACATCTGGGAAGTTCTGGGCTCTTGTGCTGCAATCCTAAAAGTCCTGTTGAAGTCTGGCTTCCATTGAGTAGACATGTACTGTATAGGATTGCTCTATAAGTCTTTAAATCTTGCTAAATGCATAAATACAAATAATCCCTTACAGTCACAACCGCCCGTTTTTCAGTAAGCATAAATAATTCTGTAGTGTGATAGACATGTGATTAAAGACACAGACTTTAATTTGTTACTCTAATAAAATCTTTAATAAATATGTGAACTACAAAATAAGCAACTTTGAAAGATTAAGAAGTTAAGAGAGCACTTCAGTATCCCAGGACTCTCTGAAGACTTTTCAGATCCGCACTGTATTATTCTCTTCCTCCAACAATAAAATCCTTGAAAGACAGACTACAGTGTGAAATTCCTGAAGTATAATTGTTATCAGTTAGTTTGAGCCCTGAATGAATACAATCAGGATAAGGATTTTCACTCCCACTTAGTCAAATTAACGTAACAAAGCTAGGAAGATCTATTGTCACAAATAGCTGCAATTCTGTATGGTTACTGTGCTTGTTATGTTGAGATGAGCTTTGCACGGAGACACTGCAAACTCTACTCATGATCTTTGGACCTCACTATTTATGTTTTTCTGCCTCTCTAAGCCAACAGAGGATAACACTTCATGCAACTAACAAAGTGCATGTCCAAAACCTTAAGACCGTGAATCTCTAAAGGGTCACAAGACTCTTGCAGATCTGCTTGCTGCAGCAAACTAGAATGACTAGTAGCCCTTATGCTGTGGAATTATCTCACTTCTGAGTCACTGCCTTCCTCTTTCCAGCTGAACTTTAACATTCCCCCCCCCCCTTTTTAAAGGGAAGCCGGGTTTTACAGGCCATACATAAGTACTTGGGGAACGGATTGGCAGTTGTGCTTGCTTGCTTGCTTCTTGTCTATAAACTAGCATGTGCATATATGAACAGAGTCAAAATATTACACATGTTTTTTTCTGTACTGCTAAAGCTGTCTTTTAATTGTCATGGATGACAATATTCTTGCACCTTTAAAATTTGTTCAGGGCTTTCTTGTGTGTGAATCTAAAGCAAGGCTGCGCAGATCAGGAAACCAGAACAGGGGCCTGAAGCACATTGCTGCCCTTGAACTGTGACAAAAGTGCAACAAAGACATGTTAGAGCGGGGGACGATGAGGCATTCCTCCAGTCCACAATCCCAAGCCCTTCTTAAGGTAGCACCCTTGGCTACAGTACTAGGAACGGCCTATTGAATAAGGCAATGAGGTGAAAATGGACTCTTCCCAACTGGCATAGTTGTGCTCTGGCTTGGCTTAGACTGCTCAGATGGTATATGGGAAACTGAAATGGGACCAGTGTCCCTCTTAGGCTCTGGAGATGGAGAACTTGCTGTCCCTCCAGATAATGTTGTTGAACTCCAGCTCCCATCAGCCCCAGCAGTCATGGCCAGTTGTCAAGGATGATGGGCGTTGAAGTCCAACAGCATTTGGAGGACTCCAGGTCCCCCACCTCTGCCTTTGATACTCAAGGCCTCCGCCTTCGCTAGCAACTCCCATCAGCATGGAATGATGGATGTGCAGGTTCCCCATCCCTGCACACAGGCATGATCTGTTGAACCTCTGCCTTGTAGTTTCCTGCAGTGATCCCGACTGAAAACCACTGGGTCAGTTTCTCTTCATGTCCACAGTGCTTGCTCAGCTACTCTTGTCCTGTACTAGGCTGACGTTTTTGCTGAGGAAATGTTGACTTTATTCCGGCACTCAAATAGCTGCTGTCCCTCAGGCGTGGTCTTACTGTTTGGCTGCCTTGTGGCCTTTGGGCTCCTTTTGAAACGAAGGGAAGAAACACTTCCATGTGTTTTATTGGTGGCTTCTCAGAAATGCCAGGCGGGGTGAGGTCATAGTTCTGTGGCGAAGCATGTCTTTGGAGGCCACAGTCTGGGGTTCGATTCTTTGCTGTCTCTGGTTAGAGGGCTTCTGGCAGCAGGGAAGACAGGTCTTTTGAAGCACCAAGCTGCAAAGAAGAATGTGGCAATGTTCAGAAGCCCAGCTGCTTCTGTTTACGTTACAAGGACCGCTTCCCCAAAAGGAGACCCTCACAGTACTTCTGAAATAAAACATAATGTTTGTTCCTACGCAGCTGGATCTTTGTGTGCTGGTTTTGTTGTCCTGAGACACTGCAATTACGGGGTGCTGTTGTCAAGGAAGGCTTAACTAGGCTATGTGGGTTATTGATCTGACTCTGTGTAAGATGGCAACAGCAGACCTTCCAGCGAATAGGTGTCAGCTTTTGTGGCTAGCTGTGTTTACAGAGCAGAGGAAGTGCCATGTAAGGTGGCTGCGGCTTTGTTTTCTCAAATAATGCAGACTCTCTTCTGCCTGAGAAGATGGATTCACATAAACAAAGCGAAAATGAGAGTTCAGGAAATAGCTCTAAGTTACTTGGAAACCAATCTCTCTCCCGCTCGTGCTGAAGCCATGGTGGTTGGATTGCACAGTAAACCTTTGAAAGTCTGTTCTGTTCAGTACCTTTTAAAAACTGGTTTAAAATGGGTTCCCTAAATCTTGTTCTAGAAGTAAAAATTGTTGACGTAAACCCCCTCTGATTCTGCCAAACTTAATCCAAAATGGTACCTTATCTTGACTATATTGTCTGACTTCAGGATTGAGGTATATTAATGATGGAAGGAAAATAGTGATTTCTCTGGTGCAAGTATTATTTGGCTTCAGCTGCTTTTTTGTCTGCAGTAATTGTCTTTTGTGCTTCAATTCCCAACAGACTGTTGAACATGGCTTCCCGCACCAGCCCAGCGCACTGGGCTATAGCTCTTTCCTCCATCTCATGGCTATCGGGACCCGATCAGGAGCCATCAAACTGTATCCTTTTCATTCATTTCTGAGCTGCATAATGGCTTTTCAGCAGCAGCAGTAGGTATGTCAAAATGTGTAGAGATAGTATTTATGTGGTGCTTCCTTCAAAGGGCTTTGCATTTGTAGAATCAGTAATCCTAACAATCGCATTATCCCCATATTGCTTTCTTTTCTCAGATTACTTAGTAGGTTGTCGTTAATGTAAGTTTTGAACCTAGATAATCAGTTCAATTGCACCTCTGATAATGAGGGCCTCTGGTGATCAGCTCTTGTGAAATGTACTAAAATCGTTGTGGAAGCTACTCTTGAGCTAATCTGGTCTAGTGGAAAGTGGTGCCTGTAGATAAATAGCTTTATCACCCACATTCCAAGTCTGTTTTAAATATCCTGACGCAGAGGAAGAGTTCATTTTTAGCACAGTGCAATATTTGTGGTTTGAATTTTGAGTCATAAATAAATCTTTGGCTTTCCTGTCTTGGTAGTCCTAAAATACTGGGCTAAGCAACAAAGTGCTTTGAAGGTGCTTTCCTTTTATCCAGCCTCAGTGCAGAATATACATGAACACAAATCTGTTTCTAGTGGCACTGAGCCAGCTAGGGTAGGGGAAGTGAACTGTTCCTCTTTCACTGAGGGACAATCTGAGTCCTTTCCAATGACACTGCCATTTTCCAGCAACACATCTCTCTGGAAGACTCTTGCAAGCAAGCATTGGGCCATCTGTCTCCTGATGATGGATTTAAATGGAATTGCAGCATCCGGAAGACAAGAATAGATGGGCTCCTGTCACTCCATCTTGCCCAACTTCCAAAAGTGCCACATAAGCAGGCTCTCCCAGCTTTTGAATTTAAAATCAAGTAAATGGTTGTCTTCGCTTGTTTTGCTTATTATTTATTTATTAAATTTCTATTCTGCCCTTCATCCAAGGATCATAAGGTGGTTTGCAATATAAAAAATGTAACGTAATAACAAATGAAACAATAGCCCTCACGGTTTAAAAGGCCATAGATCGTTTAATTAGCCAAAGGCCTAGGAGAAGAGGAATGGTTTTTTTGGTCTTGCTCCTAAAGCAAAGGCACCAGATGAGCCTCCCTGGGGAGAGGATTCCACAAATGGGCAGCCACCCCAGAATAGGCCTGTTCTCATGTTGCCACCCTCCAGACCTCTTGTGGAGGGGACACATGAAGAAGGGCCTCAGATGATGATTGCAGGGTCCAGGTCAGTTCATATCTGATGAGGCAGTCCTGAGCCATTTAAGGCACCTTGATTCGGGCCTGGGAAATAGTTGGCAGCCAGTGCAGTTGGACCAGTGCAGTTACTGTAATATGCTCAAACCATTTTGCCCCAGTGAGCATCCTGACCACTGAATTTTGCACCAGCTGAATTCTCCAAACTCTATGCGGAGGCAGTCCTAGATATAATGCATTGCAATAATCTAACCTAGACATTACTAGAGCATAGGCAACAGAAGGTAGGTGTCTGCTTCTTCTAAGTAGTGATAATGGAAATTACCAGGGGTGACGAGCCTAATACTAGTGCTTTATGGGGAGACATCACAATTATTCTAGGATAGAACTAATTTGCCACAAAGCGAAGGCAGCAAAAATCAATGTACACATAAATACTATTGACCTCAATCAGTCATTCAGCTATGGCGCTCCAGGGGTTGAGTTCATGGGCTTGCACGAAGAGACCAACACTGTCATGCAAATACATTTCATTCCTGGCCAGGTGAGTAGAATTCCATCTAAATTCTGTGCTTCATACATCAGATATGTTTTCAACTTTCTAGGGTCTGCTCTAGGGTTTCAGGGACTGAGATGGACTTCACCCACTAGCCCTCTGTAATGCGAAAACATGATAGATGCCATGATGTTTTTGGCAAAGGGATCCAAAACTACTGAACGTTTTAATTATTGTTCCCACTTTTGAGCACCTTGGCAAACTCTTGATTGTGTAGATGTAATTGCAAAAGGAGGAGAGATGCCCACCTCCCCCAACAGCCTGCAGTTCCTTACCCAATTCCTCAATATCCAAGGGCAAAAGCTGGTTATGCCTCCTGTTTCAGCACTGATAAGAACCTAACATAAGAAGAGCCTGCTGAATTAGACCAGTGGCATCGCGAGCTGTGTGCAGGTGGCGTGTCGCTTGTTGGATCAACGTCTTAGCAGTGCTTATGACTTTGCCACCCGTGACCCTTATTTGGGCACTGTATTGAATTACTAAAGGAAGCCTTTAAATAAACTTGCCATAGTGAAAGTTCTAATCCTGAGTCTGATGAGGGGGAGCCTGGACAAACGAACTTTGAGAAGTCGTTTGTCATTTTAGTCACCCTTCAGGCTGCCATCTCCGTTCTGCAGCAGTCCTAGAATACAAGGGAAAAGAAAAACGATGTTTGATCATTGTTGGAGCCAGAAAACTGCTGTGCACAATTCAACAAGCATCCTTTGATAAATGCAATTATTGTAGCATAAGCTTTTGTTGGCCAGAGTGTAGGTTCATGCAGCAATAAATGTGTTCTTTAAAGTACTATAGGACTCGGTTGTTTTCCCTACAATATACTTTAATAGACTCTGCCTCTACTATGTGGCATTGCTTGTAGATTGAAGATCGTTTTTGTTTTCATTTTAAAAACTGGATATACTTGAAGGAGCAAACATCTTGAGGGAGGAGAGCGCATCAACTAGCCCTGCACTTAGCAGTCTCAAACCTGATTTTGGTTCTAGACCACTGGGAGTAGTCTGAATATATTTCAAGAATGCTGCTGTGTCACTCTTGCTCATAAACATAAGCCCCAAATCCAGCTGCGGGCAGACAGCTTTTAATTATGTTGGAGAGGATTTAGAATTGTTACCGCTTTGGCCTTTGTCCTGCATGCACTTTTATATAGAGAGATGGCTCTCCATGTAGGACAAATGGATGTGAATATAAAGGGACCCCTTCTACTTTATTAAGAAACATGCTGCAGGAGTAATTTCATAAAAGTTGTAACTCAGCAGGTTGACTCTCCCCAAAACTAATGTTTCAGAAGCACACTTTCATGAGTACAAACTCCCAATTATCCTGCAATGTTAGAAGAACCTTCAAATTATTTAAAAGGGTTTTGCCTCTAAGATTGGGAAGGAAAAGTTCTGTGTTGTGAGCATTTTTATTTTAGCAAGCTGCCTTACTCATTTGCCAAGCCTGGGCTGATCTTCATGCCTTAGTGGAATCACATAAAGAGAGAACATTTGGAATGAGCAATAACTCAGAATACTCATGGGAACTGTTACCTGCTGTACTAGGTGTAGCTTCAGCAGACAGTGCTGGGTTTTAAATACTTAAATATTGGCCAGGGTTGGGCTTGTAACAAATATTCTGGGGCACCACTCCTTTAGGATGAAGTCAGGTGAAAAGAATGCAAGGTGAGAAAGAGAGTCACAGAATAGGAGCCACTCGCTCCTAAACAGGGTGGGGATGTGTTTTTCACTCAGAGCTACAAGGAGTTCAAGTTATTAGCCCAGCAAAGCTGACAACTGAGCAGGTACTTCTCTGGGACGTGAAGTGCAGAATTCTAACATGACAAAAGAGCACAGAAATGACCAGGTCTCTACATAGAGCACTTGACTATGTGTTAAGTGAACAAAACATAAAGAAAGGGCAGGACCAAGTGAAAGATTTTGGTGCTGCTTCAAGCACAGTATCCTCAGTACTCCCTCTCCCTGACCTAAGAGAAGCAAGACATGCAAACATAGAATTCCCAAACTGCATCGGATCTGCTTCTTTACTCTGTGCAAAGGAGTGATAATGGTCTTGGGGCCCTGGCAGATGCCCAGCCTTGCCACTGCCTGGAGTTTGCTCTGGGGAACAGGAGGTTGATTTAAATAGCGGTCAAGGTGTGTGTGAGTCATGGAAAGTAGTGGCTGATTGTATTGTGGCTCAGGAAAGCCTTTACTAAAGTGGAGTTGGAGAGGTGCTCAAGGAGTGACTTAAATATAAGAGATGGAGGTAGTATTTCCAAGCGTAGAGAATCAGCACAGATGAAGGCATAAAGATCCTGATTGGAGAAAGTGGAACAGGCCAATTGCTGGTGAAGTAGTGCATTACAAAGAGACTCATTCTCAACTAGAATAAGCAGTTAGGTATATTCAGGTTCATTTGATTTGTATGATTGTGATATTTACTGGAGCTGAAATTAGCCACCTCCCCTGTCCTTCTCGTCAGTTCTCCTCTGCAAATTCTCACATCAAATATGTGCTGGATGCTCAGACAGAATTCACCATATCAGCATCTGAAATTGATTTTGCAGTAGCATCCAACGTTCAGTTAAAAACATCCTCTTGAAGGGACGAAAGCAGATACCAGTTGCAATTTGATGTCACACAGGGTTCTGAAGTAATATTTTAAATAATTTTATTTAAACAATATTTAAGCATACAACAATCTAAGAATATAACTTACCAGCATAAGATAATTTACAAAGTTACATAAAAACCTGAAACCTGTATGTCAAATGTCTGGATCTGATTTTGACTTTAGAATCCAAACTGCAAAAATATTGAAGATTGTTTTGACATTTTGATTTTCTTGCAAGGTGCTGTCTTACCGTAGAGTTCCCCTCCATAAGGACCTTACCCTATATAGGAGTTTAATATCTCCTGGTCCTGTGCTGAAATGGGGGGCTACCTGTTTCTATTGATTTTCCCGCCAGGAGAGCCATGTTAGTCTCTTGAAGCAAAAAACCACCGGAGCTCTGTAGCATCAGTTTTGTGGTCTCATGCTCACTTTGTCAGATGTGTTTATTTCTACCAAATAGCTTATCTTCACGTTAATAGGACTACAGTAGTACAAACCCTTCTGACGGCTAAAACTTCATTCTTGATTGGTCATGTACTGTGGCTTAATAAACACAACTGCTGAATAATGTGCCTCTTGAAATGTTGCGGCACTCTGTACTACTTGAATGCTTGCTCATTCCTCCTTTTGTGTGTCTAATTTTCAGTGCCGCTTGTTGACATTGCTAGATGATAACAGCCTGCATTTATGGACCCTGAAACAGACCCACAGCAATATGTCTGAGCTGCAGGAAGAAAGACATTTCACACTCCGAGGGCCTCCTGGGTAACTGGGATACTTCTTTCTCCATCAGAAGTGGGCCAGGAGATGCATTCTGATAGACTTTTGTTTTGTTTTTATTGTTTAAGCAAATGCCTGCTTTTTTGCTAGTTCTGTGTGCTCTGGGAAGCCTGTTTCTCATTTCTAAATTGGGAAGAAAGGTTGCATGCATGTGTGTTACATGACTTTCTACAAACTAAGGGTTTATTCAGAAGTAATATTCGCCAACCTTCATGTTGTGCAGGGATTAGGAGCGTAGGCTTGTACTTTCCTCTGACTTAATGGAGCTAAGTTCTTCCATACATCTTTGAGCAAGCCACAGTTTGCTGTTACATCTGAACCAAGCAACTATAGTTTGGTTCAGTTAAGGGAAGGAGAGAATCTTGAGTGAGCAAAGAGCAAAGAGACGGCTGTTGTCTAAACTGGCCAGGGGTTTGTGTGCTACAGGCTTAGTGAAAGAGTTCAACACCATTGAATTTGTTTTTTTGGGGGGGGATTGCTGCAGATTTTGTTGCGCCAAGTGATTCGCTGGTTAGCTTAAAGTTTGAGTGTGCACTTATAAAATGTTTAGTACATTTTCCTGTTCATTTGTTTTGTCTTTAAACCCTGCTTAAAATATTCTATTGATTGCTTAAATCAGTGGTGTCCAAACTTTTTTCAAAGAGGGCCAGATTTGATGAAGTGAAGGGCCGTGAGGGATTTTACCCCAGAAAATAAACTGCCACTGGGGCTGGATTAAACCAACCAGTGGGCCAGATTAGGCCCCAAAAACGGACTTTGGACATGCCTGGCTTAAATTGTTTGTCCCTGTAGAGTTGTAGGACAGCTTACTAGCAAGTTTCTATTCCCACACTAATGGTATGCATTAGTCCTTTTTGTATCATATGTCCTCCCCCCCGCCCCTGCAACTGAGAATTGTGGGTTGAGAATTTATACTTAAATATCTGGTGATGAATAATGATTTCCGAAGCCTTTACACACAGCTGTTGGATCAAGTATCTGCTTTGTATTACAGTATATATAAGCTGCCTGGGCAACTAATTTCACCCAGCTGTAATTTACCAGTATCTCTCTTCCCCTCCACTTACAGTTCTCCTCCAAGTGCTACCCAGGTAACAGCAATCCTCGCACACTCCTCGCAGGAACTTCTTTATCTTGGCACCGAGAGTGGTAATGTCTTTGTGGTGGAGATCCCATCCTTCAGAGTGCTAGAAGACCGGACCATCAGTCCAGATGTTGTGCTGCAACGGTAAAATGAGACGCTGGAGTTGCACTATCTAGGGATGATTTCGGGTTGTTGTGTTGCGCATGCGTTACGATGAGGGTAAAAATCCTGCAAGACCTTTGAAAACTGGTTATATTAACATATTAACCTGAAGTAGTAGTATTGGTGCCACCTCCGTGGTTGCTCTGGAAATGTATTCAAGTCCCTGCCTACATGGTCTGACTTGAACTCTTTCTTGTTCCTGGGACTTGCATGTCGTTCTGGTTACACGGCAGCTTCTTAATTCCAGTGTTATATGCTGGTTTGTTGGTGTGGATGAGCAGGTCTCTGTCCTGGCAGACTGAGCTTCACAGGTAACCAGGAGCTATACTCAGCCCTGCCCCCCAGTAGTTGGGGTGCGTTTTTTAAAATTTTCCGGTGTGGGTGTGGCGGTGGGAGGGGAGTATAACAGTCCAAGTAAGGTTCAGAAGCCAGTATTTTCAGGATTCAGCTTTCACCCTTTAATAATTTAAATGCAGTGGTACCTTGGTTTTCGAATGTCTCCGTTGACGAACATTTCAGAACTGGAACGCTGTAAACCCAGAAGTAAATGCTTCAGTTTTCGAACATGGCCTCGGAAGTTGAACATGTCACGTGGCTTCCGTATTGAGTTTTCCGTACTGAGGCTTCCATATTGAGTTTTCGGTTTTCAAACGTTTCAGAACTCGGACTGGCTTCCGGAACAGATTACTTTCGAAAACCGAGGTACCACTGTACATTAGTTGTGACTACCTTTTAAATACTTCATAATAACTGTGGTACCCTTCCCCAACCTAGTGCTGTCCAGATGTTGCGGGCTGCAACTCCCATAATCTCTGACCATTGGCAATGCTGGCTAAGGCTGTTAGCAGTCTGGAGTCTGACACTGTCAGGAAAGTACCTGGTTGAGCTACAGCAATGTTGTCAGTATAAGTCAAATTGACACTTCCATCGCTTAAGGGAAAAAAAGAAGAGTGAATATAATTATTTAATTGTAACAACAGTGACTCAGGACATGGGAAACAATTTCATTGACTGGAGATTTCGGGGCTTCTTTGGGAGAATCACAAGGAGCGAGCACTTGGTGGGAAATGGCATCAAGATCTTCTACGGGAAGCAGTTAATAAATGGAATAAAAAACAAATTATCAGAATGCCTCTGGGCTGCAGTGGCAGATATAGAGCAGCATAGTTAGGATGGAGGCTGTGAAGCTACAAGCAGGTGGTTTTAGCCAGGCTATTTTCCATGATGTCCAAATTGATCCCTGACAAAGGTGGAGAATTTCCAACTGTTTCCTTTCTATCCTTCCATATATTGGTGGCTTCATTGGCATTCATAATAGTTCATAACCTTTCCCCCCGCATTTCTTCACAGTGTGCCAGAGGAGTACCTCAACAGAAGGTCCCTTGAATTGGTGGAAGCCTTACGGGAACATCCCCAGAACCCCAATCAGATCTTGATTGGCTACAGCAAGGGCCTCATTGTCCTCTGGGACTTGATAAATAACAAAGCGACACACCATTTCCTTGGCAATCAGGTACTAATACCTTCTGGGGCTTTGAGTTGCAGCCAGGAAAGCTTTTCATTCCTGGAATATACAGCAAGGTGCAGGGAGAATTCCGTATAGGAAAACAGAACAGGAAAGCCTACTTGAGCAATTAATTATGTATTCTATGTAGCATGTTGTAATGGAGTCCTAGAACCATTTTTTAATGCAGATGTGGAAGAGACTAACCCAGGAGGTGGATGCTTAACCCTGTAGTTCATTTACACAAAGTCACCCTGAGCTGGCACACATGAAGTTAGCCCCTGGGCTACGGATCTTCAGTCCTTAGAATAAGATTGCATCCATAACTCTGTATAAACTGCACATACCGCCCCTCTCCAAATCCAGTTCTATGTTTGGAATAAGCTTTAAGTCAGGCTTGCCAGAAGCCACCTTTTAGTTTCTGACCCTTCAGCCGGGGTACTGTAAGCGCAAGTTTTTCCTTTGTTCCCTCATAACGACGGCTAAGAAACTTACTTCCATTCTCTGAGACTTGCATGCAATCCCGTCCTCGTGATGGTCAGGTGGCCGAATTCTGTGACTAGCAGAACACACACGGTTCTTGGTGGGGTGTTTCTTCTGAATTGGACCGCAGTAGTGGTTTTGAACTTTTGTTTGCTGTTTCTCCCTAGCAACTGGAAAACCTCTTCTGGCAGAGGAACGGCCACCACATCATCAGCTGCCATTATGACGGGAGTTATGCCCAGTGGCCTGTCTCAAGTGATGATAGGCAGCCAGAGCCCCTGGAAAGCAAAGTGCCTTACGGTCAGTATGGGCGGGGGCTGGCAGTGCATGCCTTCGGAACCGTACATGATTTGACGTGTGTTCAGAGCAGCAAGTCTTTACAACATGGGACCCACCAAGCTGAATGCTGCCCGCTTGAGGCTCAAACGTCTGAATTGTGCCTGCCTGAGGCGGCAAAAACAAGAGAATTGTTATATTGTAGCCTGCCGAAATCCATATGCCATAAAATATATTTTGTGTAGGCCTTAATTAGAGCACTGAATTGGAGCAGTGCCCTGGGTGGGTGGTGGCATCTGAGGACCAAAGTCTTGCTAAAGTGATGGTGGCTTTCCAGACTTTGGAATGCAGGAGCCAGTGGGAAATAGTTGGCTTTCTACTGTTAGGGGTGTCTTTAGTGAGTGAGTGGTCTGTTTTTAGTACAAGTAGTTTCTCTATTGTTTGGTTCATAAGCAACCTTTATTATTCATGGTGCTTCTGATGGCACTGTCTGTGTGGATAGCAAGACGAGGTTGTCAGGGCAAAGTTATGTAATGAACACTTTCTTTTTCATATGGGAAAATTAGGGGCGTGCTGCCATGCCGTGTCAGGTTAAATGATAAAACTAAAAGATTCTCCAGCTACTTTCAGTCGTGTGGATTTTTGACTAAAATAATTGTCTTAGATTTGAAATGGTTTTATATGTGCAGTTGTTTTTATATTTGTTTATTGCATTGTGAAATTGCTTTGTGGTGCTTCACAGGTAGCGATACATAAAGAAATAATAAATTGACAACAATATAATAAAATAAGCATTTATTTAAAACATGGCATCTTCTTTAAAAATCTGCCCTTCTAGGTCCTTTTCCTTGCAAGGCCATCTCCAAGATTTACTGGCAAACAACAAAGAATGGGTAGGTACTTTGGCAGATATTACAATGCTGCCCATTCTCCTAAGATTCTAGAGTGACCTTTTAGTAACAAGAGCTGAGCTGCTGCTTGCTAGAAATTCTGCAGCTGACTGAGGTGTCAGCAAAAGTCCTCTCTTTATAATCTGAACACTGAAAGCTGATCCACATAATGGAAGGGCAGTTAGAAATTGCCTGCTCTTTTCAATCCACTCAGAAATAATACTGTCATAGTTTTTTTTATATAAAAAAATTAGGATTTATATCTTACATTTTACCATTAATTCCTTCCTAGGTGGCTTACAAACAAATAATCCTAAAACAATAACATTCTATATCTGTAGCAATATAATTAAAAAGGAGATAAAAGCAAATAAAAACAGCTAAAAAGCAAACACAGTGAATAATAAATATTATGAGAGAACAGGTGGACTTCTTGAAACATCTAAAAAATGATGTATTTGGTTCTAAGTGATTCTGCTGAAGGAGACTCTTCCACAGTTTGGGTGCCACAATGGAGAAGGCCCTCACTCCGCTGACCACGGTTCTGACTTTTTGAAAGAGGGAAGGGGGCACACAGAGAAAGGTGCTTGACAATGTTAATTGATGGGTAGTGAAAGCTGGCCTTGAGATCCTGTGCCCAGGCCACTTAGGACTTTAAAGCAGCAAATTTGTGCTTCTCTGATTGCTGGAGACTTAAGAGAAATTCTAAAGATTCAGGGGAATGCATTTTGCCACAAGAGAGAATTATTCTGTCTCTGCAGTGGTTTGATTAGCTTGTAGCATGAAATGCTTTTAAGTTGGAGGAAGGTACCTAAATTGTATATCTGTTACATTTTCTTTTTCTCTAAGGCTTCCTTACATTATATTTCAAGGAGGGATGCCACGCGCCAGCTATGGTGACAGGCATAGCATTTCTGTCGTTTATGGCAATCAGCAAACTGCCTTTGACTTTACATCGCGAGTGATAGACTTCTTTGTTATTGCCAACGCAGATCCACTTGCAGGTATGTGGAGGATTTTGATTTCTTGGGGAGCTTTAGTTGGAACTACATTTTACTTTGAGGGTTCAGATTCTGGGTGTTGCTTGGAGTTGAAATACCCAATGTGTTATTATTAGCGCCCAGATTTGGGTGATCATTGTGGAATACTAGTTGTGTGTTGGATTTTTTTGTTTTACAGTATTTTATTTTTTGGTAAGCTAGTAAACAGAATGATGTTTTGTATTTATAGGCTCCATCTTTTGGGAGCTAAAAATGTAAAGCATTTTGATAGAAATCTAGAGAACCTTGATAGCAATTACAGCTTTCAGCTGTGAGAATGATCATTGGAAATCTTTCATGGGGGTAGGATGCTGTTTCATATTGCTAAATCAAGTAGATATTACTGAACTTCAACCCGCATCATCACTGACCATAAGCCATGCTAAATGCAGCTTATTTGTTTAAGAGTTTTTATACCTCTTGGCTAACAACACAGCATACAGTATAATTTAAGCAGGAATATAAAACAGGTGTAAAACCATATATCCATTATAAACACAGCAACACTAAGTCTAAACTCCAACCAGCACCAGCACCATAATATTCCCTATAAGTTGGAAGTTCGGCAACATCTGGAGGACCACAGATTACCCACTATTACACTAGAGATTCTTCATATTTTGCATCTGCAGTGCTGCCCTTAATTACTCTCTGAGACGTGTATCAATTTCTTGAAAGTATTTATACACTGTTATGAAAAGTGCTCAGTACAAAAAGTGCTCAGCACAAAGCTCAACTAAACAGATTGGGACAAATGGCTGGCATCCATAGCAAACACTTCAGTAAACAGGTAAGTTTTCCACGTGTGCTGAAACTGCATCACTGTAGGCATATGACTCATTTAGTTTTACAAACACATGGCTATTAGTGAGAAGGAAGTCAGCCCAGTTCTCATTGTCTATGAAAACAGACTTTTAAGGTGAAAGGACAATATTTTACCTTCCTGCCACAGTGGTACCTGTTTATCTACTTGCCCTGGTGTACTTCTGAACTGCTAGGTCATGGGGATTCGAACCGCCGACCTTCTGATTGGCAAGCCTAAGATTGCTTCTGGGCAAGAGGAGTGGTGTTAGGTGGAGTTCCTCAGCATTTTGGGTTTGAGTGATTGTCTCCCAACTTGTTGTTGCACAGCTGTTCATACAGGCCACGTGTGCAACAGGGCATACAGGAACTGAAGAAGGAAGTGCTACAACTGCTGCAGGCTTAGCCCAGGAAGTCGTTCAGTCATCTGAGGTTCCTGTGGTTGGCCAGCTTCCCTGTAACTGACCGCTTAAGCCTAATGGGAATCTGCCTTGGCTCACCTCACATGCTCCTTCCTTCGCTCAACAGAGTGTGAGAGTGGGCCACTCATTGTGCACCAAATCCACTTAGGTTAATGTGTAATGCTTATGTAATGGCTCTGGTGGTGTTGGGAAGCTATTATTTCACTTACCGAGTGTCCGTGCTGTGGGCAAGATGCTTTCAGAGCTGATCATTTGGGGTGACTTCTTACAATGCGTTATGTAACTGGAGAGGTGGAGTACAGAAATGCTTTGTATCGTGTCAGTTGTGTGTAAATGGCTGCTTTTCCTGTCCTCTTCATAACACAAGAGCAGGGCTTCTATCTTTTCCAGTAAGTGGGGCTGGAAGGGCAGAAAGCAGTCTTTTTTTGCAATTGGTTTGCTACTATAGCTGGAGTACAATGTATGCCTGCTGTCTCTGCCTCGGTACTAAATGCACCATTAGAAACGACTCTCTGAGATTGCTTTGTGCTACTACTTGGCAACTTCCAATGAAAAGGATACACGATCAACTATGCTCAGCAAAGATGACTTTGCTAGCAACATTAACTTTCAAAGCACTTGGTGCTTGGAAATTTTGCAAATAAGGGGTTCCAAATAAGTTGTCTTAAGCTTTTATCCCTCCCTAGTAGTTCGAAAGCACGTCAAAGTGCAAGTAGATAAATAGGTACCGCTCCGGCGGGAAGCTAAACGGCATTTCCGTGCGCTGCTCTGGTTCGCCAGAAGCGGCTAAGTCATGCTGGCCACATGACCCAGAAGCAGTACGCCGGCTCCCTCAGCCAATAAAGCTGTCTAGAGTTGTCCGTGACTGGACCTAATGGTCAGGGGTACCTTTACCTTATGCTGAAATGTGAAAACTGGGGGCAGTATCCAACTAATTCGTTCTGTCAGCACAAGGGTTTCTGCTTGCATAGTGGAACACCGCCCCCCCATGGACCCCCTAAATCTGTTATGGGTTTTCCCCCAACCCTCCAGAGCAGATTTGCAGCAGGTGTGAGATGCACATGGGGGAGGGGGAAGTTCCTTTGTGCAAGTGGAATTCCTTCTGCTGATAGAACAAATTAGTTGGATTCTGCCCTCCCACAAACCCCCATAGCTTAATGTTCCATAGAAAACAAAAGGCTAGCATGTATAATAAATAAAGAGACACTTGATTAGTATACCTGGCATCCCCATATTATTTGATTATTCACACATTCCAGCCCTATATGATGGATCGCAGTATCTATGGGCAGTGTAGAAATTGTCAGTGGCAACAGATGCTGAAGAACCTTTCTTTAAAAGGAACAGGGTGTTCAGCTCTTTACAAAGGCTCTCTCCTGATTAGAGAGTCATTTGTATGTTTACTCAGAAGCAAGTCCCGCTGTTTTCAATGGTGCTTGCTTCCAAAATAAGTGTGTGTAGGATTGCAGTTTTAGTCTGTTACCCGTATGAGTGGTGCCTGTTCATTGATTGGCTAAATTTGCTTAAGCAACACATAAGCAACACATTTCAAGCAAATTGCACCCTTCTGTTGGACTGTGCCTGCTCTGCAATATAGGTGCATACATCAAAAGAGACATTCTGTCCTATGTCCTTTTCTTAACATAGTGGTTCATACCTCTGTTAATGTATATAATCTGCTGTGAGGTACCGTATTTTTTGCACCATAACACTCACTTTTTTCCTCCTAGAAAGCAAGGGGAAATGTCTGTGCGTGTTATGGAGGGAATGCCTACGGGTGGCGGGGGGGGATCTGCTGCAGTCGTGAGCAGAGGATCCATGGTTCCCCTTCCTTCCCTCCTCCGTGGCTCGCTTTGAAACAGCAAAGCGGAGAAGAGCCGCTGAGTCGGGAGGAGAGAGGGACAGAGAGCCTGCTTCTTTAAAGGAGCAAAGCGGGAGAGGAGAGGAGCCGCTTACACGAGTGTAAGCGGCTCCTGTCCGGTTGGTTCCTTTAAAGCAAGCAGGCTCTCTGTCCCTCTCTCCTCCCCACTCAGCTCGCTACATAGCAGCAAAGTTTTTCAGCTCGCTAAGCCGGGGATGAGCGGGGAGGAAGGAGAAAAGCAGAGCCTGCTTGCTTTAAAGGAGCAAAGTGGGAGAGGAGAGGAGCCCTCTTCTTCATTATTAGCAGCATCCTTCTCCACCCACCCCACACGTGCTCCTTCTCCCCTTAAACCCCTCGCCTGCATTATTAGCAGCATCCTTCTCCACACACCCCACGCGTGCTCCTTGTCCCTTGAGTGCTATTCCTTCCCTCCCCACTTAAAAAGTAGTTACAAAGCACGGATCCACATGGATCCTCAGGATTTTTGCATTGGGCTACTCCAAACTCACTGTCAGATCACATGTCTGTGGCCACAGCATGAACCACAAAAATCATACATCCACTGTTTTGTTTAGAATATTTTTTTTCTTGTTTTCCTCCTGTAAAAACTATGTGCGTGTTATGATCGGGTGTGTGTTATAGAGCGAAAAATACGGTAATTGGGACCATTTTTTTAAAGTCTTATCAGAAGATATTAGTTGCTTTAAGTTTAAAACATGCAGTCCTACTCCCTTAAAACCTACATGCGGTTTTAAAATGACAAATACTGAAATGATAAAACATAAAGGGAAGTTGTTTAGGGAAGTTTTTTATGTTTGATGTGTTATCATGTTTTTAGTATTCTGTTGGGAGCCGCCCAGAGTGGCGGGGGAAACCCAGCCAGATGGGCGGGGTATAAATAATAAATTATTATTAAAGGGACATTTAGGAGGAGGCTTTTTGTTTCGTTTCAAGGAACAGCCTTCTGGAAGCACAACACACCCAACAGTATGCATTAACTTGGTGCAGACAAGCGCTTGCCGAATTGCCTCTATCCCTTTTAAATTACTGTAATACTTCAATTAGTTTAAAATCCACCGGTAGCCCCACCCCTGGGGAAGGTGCCATCCAGAACATGCAGTTGGGCAGATCTCCAGGGCCAGATGGCTTAACCTCAAAATATTATAGATCCTTGAAGGACTGGATAATTCAACCACTAAAGGAGGTTTGTAATGAAATTTTGGAGGGGAAAAAAGCGCCAGAGTCGTGGAAGGAAGCTTATATTACACTAATACCGAAAAATGAGTCTGAAAAGACACAACTTAAGAACTACCGCCCCATATCCCTGCTTAATGTGGATTATAAAATTTTTGCAGATATTTTGGCTAAAAGGTTAAAAAAAGTATTAGTGGAGGAGATTCATAAAGACCAAGCTGGCTTTCTCCCGGGTAGACACTTGTCTGACAACACAAGGAATATAATCAACATTTTGGAGAAGTTCTAAGTGAATATTAATACTAAAGCAGTTTTAATTTTTGTGGATGTGGAGAAAGCCTTTGACAATATTTCTTGGAGTTTCATGAAGAAAAATCTTCAGGGGATGGGGTTGGTCAAGGGTTTGAAAATGGTATAAGTGCAATTTATTCAGAACAAAAGGCTAAACTAATAGTTAACAATGTGGTGACAGAGGAATTTAAGATAGAGAAAGGGACACAACAAGGCTGCCCAACTTCCCCATTGCTTTTTATTTCGGTCCTGGAGGTTCTGCTAAATATGATCAGAAGGGACCGTCTGATCAAAGGTATACAGGTCGGAGCCAAACAGTACAAATTGAAAGCTTTTGCAGATGATTTAGTATTGATGTTACAGGAGCCAGAATCTAGTACTAAAAGAGTATTAGAATTGATTCAGGAATTTGGTCATGTGGCAGGATTTAAGTTGAACAAGTTAAAAACTAAGGTGCTTGAGAAAAATTTAACACCGATTGAGAAAGAGAGGTTTCAGAAGGAGACAGGTTTAACATTGGCTAAGAAAGTAAAATACCTGGGGGTTAATATGACCGCTAAGAACTTAAACCTATTTAAAGACAATTATGAGAAATGTTGGTCAGAAGTGAAAAAGGATCTAGAGATATGGTCAAACTTGAAGCTTTCCTTGTTAGGTCGAATTGCTGTTATAAAGATGAATGTATTGCCAAGAATGTTATTTTTGTTTCAATCATTGCAAATCTTGGACAAAATGGACTGTTTCAAGAAGTGGCAGAGAGACATTTCTAGATTTGTTTGGCAGGGCAAGAAGCCCAGAATAAAATTTAAAATATTAACTGATGAAAAGGAAAGAGGTGGATTTGCCCTGCCAGACCTTAAACTTTATTATGAATCAGCAGCTTTTTGCTGGTTGAAAGAATGGCTGCTTCTTGAAAACACTGACATTCTGGATCTAGAAGGTTTTAACAATGTATTTGGATGGCATGCATATCTGTGGTATGATAAGGTCAAAGCACATAAAGCATTTAAAAACCATATTATCAGGAAAGCACTGTTTTATGTTTGGATAAGATACAAGGATTTATTGGAAAATAAAACCCCAAGGTGGCTGTCACCGATGGAAGCGAAAGCTCTGAAAAAGCTCAATATGGAGGCCAAATGGCCGAAATATTGGGAAATTTTGGAACAAGATGGAGATAGACTGAAATTACAGAGTTTTGAAAAATTAAAAACAAAGTGCGAGACTGGCTTCATTATTATCAGATAATGGAGGCATACAATTTGGACAAGAAAATTGGCTTCCAGGTGGAAAAATCAAAATTGGAAACAGAACTGTTAGAACCCAAAACTAAGAATTTGTCAAGAATGTATAACTTGCTGTTGAAATGGAATACTCAAGATGAAACGGTGAAATCTGCTATGATTAAATGGGCACAAGATGTTGGACATAATATAATGATGGCTGACTGGGAACAGTTATGGACCACAGGTATGAAGTTTACGGCATGTAATGCCTTAAGAGAATATTATGAAAATGATATACAGGTGGTACATGACACCAGTCAAGCTTGCAAAAATCTATCACTTGCCCGATAATAAATGTTGGAAATGTAAAGAAACTGAAGGTACACTCTTTCACCTTTGGTGGACGTGCCCAAGGATTAAGGCTTTCTGGGAGATGATCTATAATGAATTGAAAAAGGTATTTAAATATACCTTCTTGAAGAAACCAGAGGCCTTTCTCCTGGGCATAGTCGGCCAACTGGTGCCAAAGAAGGACAGAACTTTTTTTATGTATGCCACAACAGCAGCAAGAATACTCATTGCAAAGTATTGGAAGACACAAGATCTACCCACTCTGGAAGAATGGCAGATGAAGGTGATGGACTATATGGAACTGGCGGAAATGACTGGCAGAATCCGAGACCAGGGAGAAGAGTCGGTGGAAGAAGATTGGAAGAAATTTAAAGCCTATTTACAGAAATATTGTAAAATTAATGAATGTTAGAATGATGTTGGATAGAAAGTAAGTAGTTTCTAGCTGTAATACTATAAGGGAATATGAAAAATGGATTACTAACAGGTAAAAATTTAATGTTACAATACTTTAAGATTAAAGACTTGGATAAACAAAGAGGGGAAGGATTTGCTGAACCAACAAACCGAACTGGAATACAAAAAAGGGAGACATGAGGAGGTCCGGGAAATAAGCTAATGAAAAATAAGTAATGGAAAGATTGAGTTGTTTTTAACTATTTTTATTTTGTATTTTTCTTTTTCTTTTTTTGTAATATTTTGAAAATTTCAATAAATATCTTATAAAATAAATAAATAATAAAATCCACCGTGACGTCTTCTTTTTGTTGCAAAGGTGCTGTGCATCTCCATGTTGGAGGAGCCACCTTTTGCCAAGTTCATTTATAATGGAAAACAATACGACATGTGATTCTGTGACACATTGTGCATTTTGCTTTCCAAAAGCAGAGCAGTGATGAGTTTCTGGAGCTGCCTTCAGAAGCGGCTTTCTGTTTGTAATGAAATTCTTCTTGTTCTCAAACGGATCAACCGCTCTCAGAACCAGCAACGCTGCTACATTTTAAGCAGCTTACTTTGCTGGGATTGGCCTAAGTTCCTAGAAATGGTCTAACATACCACTAACTGGGTCACTGCTGAGCATGCACAATGCAGCCTGTCTTTTAACCGTTAAAGGATGGCAGGTGAAAAGAGTCACATAGCCCACCTGCTTGCATCGGGTCCTTGATTTCCAGTTCTCGGTCATTTCACGTGACATTTTTTACTCCATAGATAATCTTGGATAAAGCACATAAATGGCCTATTAGGGATGTCGGCGATTGCACCACAGGAACTTGGATTGGGCAGAAAAATAAAACTTGCTCTTCAGAGACGTGCACTTCGTTGTTGTTTTTGAAGAATTTATACCCTGCCCTTCAGCAGGTTTCCAGGCAACTTTCAAAGTGAACATTTCAATACAGTGAAGATGAAAGCAGACATGGAAACACCGTAATATAAAAGAGCAGCATAAAGGAAGCAGGAGTAAAAACAAAAATTCAAAGCAGCTTAAAAACAAAGCAGAGATGATTGCAGGGTGGGGAGCCCATCAGCTAAGTTTGACACAGAGTAAAACCCACTGGAATTAATAAACATGCCTAAGTTAATGAATTTCAATGGCTCTACTCTGCGTAAAGCTTTTGAAACTACTTTTTTGACTGGGAAAATAAAATATTTTTGCCTACTGCCAAAAAGACACCAGATTACGCTCTAGTCGGGCTTCCCTTCAGAGCCAGATTTAGGGCAGTGCGGTTGGTTCCCTCGCACTGGGCACCAAGCCGAGGAGGGTGCTGTAACTATGATGCAGTGCATGTGCAGAATGGAAGGCGAAAGGTAGGGACACCGAATTTTGGTCTCACACAGTGCACTACTGAAATTTGAAAGACCAAAGTCCACCTTTGCTCCCTTGAAGAGAGTATTCTGCAATTGGAGTGAACCACTGAGCAGAGCAGTCTGTTTCCCGCTTCATGTGGCCGCACATGAAAGCAAATTGTTCTGGTGAAGGGCTTTGAAGCCGAAATCAACACTTTCACTTGAGCCCTGGAACAAATGGGGGAGACGGTGCAATTGACGAAACCACAGGCGTAATGTGCTTTTGAAAATATTTTATTTTATATGTACTTAATCCATTTAAAATGTTTTACATATGTGTCTTCTTTCTTTTTTTTAAATTGTATTGTTTTGCTGCTTGGTTATTTGCCTCCATTGGGAGAAAGGAAAATATAGAAATTCAATAAATAAAATGTATATAGTACCATCTTTATATTTTCTTTTTTGCCAGGGGCAGGTCTGACTGGTTTCTTTTCCGGGGGATGTGCGGTCTAAACTAGACCCATGGAAGCAGTGGAGGAAGGATGAAAATAGAGACAAGGGTAGAGAAGGGGAGGAATTGTGTGATTATTTCAAGATCCATAATGTAACTAATATTGCTGAGCCACAAGCCTAGATAAACCATGCTGCTTATTTGTGTCCACTGATGAAAGTACTTCACGATCATTTTCTCCCTGCTGCCTCTCCCCCAGTGAAATGATGGCTACTTATTGATTCCTTTTCCTGCAGAATTTGATGACCCATCTGCCATGGTGGTGCTAGCAGAGGAAGAGCTAGTAGTCATAGACTTGATGTCTCCAGGCTGGCCATCGGTCCAACCCCCGTACCTGGCATCTCTTCACTGTTCAGCCATCACATGTTCCCACCATGTCTCCAACATCCCTCTCAAGTTATGGGAAAGGATCATCAGTGCCGGGAGTAAACAGAACTCCCAGTTCTCTAATATGGTATGACTTGCATGCATGAACGTTGGAACGGAATGAACGAGTCCCTTTCATATTAATACTGGATTTCACACTGCATCTGAAGTCCTGCTTGAGAGATAGAAGGCACAAGCAAAGGATGAGGCCGTTTCAGCGATGTAATCTTGCATTCCAGCCTGAGTACTCAAAGATAATTATGGCCCCCAGACCCAAATCTGCTTGCTTATCTCATTTATTGCATTTATATCCTGCTTATCCCTCCAAGAAGATCAGATTGGCATATGTGGCTCTTCTCCCCTATTATCTTTGTAATGAACCCTGTGAGATAAGTTAGGCTGTGAGAGACTAGCCTAAGGTCACCCGGTGAGCTTTCATGACTGGGTGGGAATTTGAACCTGATCGCCCAGGTCCCAGCTCAGCACGCTAACCATTACACCACACTGGCACTCTTGTCCTGGGGCACTCTAGGAATAATGCATTTTTTAAGGTCTCTGCCTTCCTTGGGGAGCAAGGCCTTCTATGTTCGCTGACTCTAGAGGTTCTGGGGTGCTCCAGTGAGATCTTGCAGGTCTTTCCAAGTTCCCATGACATCTTGCACAGGGGCATCTCAGACCTGGTGCGTGGAGAGGGCCTTGCTTCCCAAGCAAGACAGAGAGCTTAAATGCTCTTTTCGTGCTAGGAAAACGCACCACAAAAAGCGCTCTGCTTTGCTTGCTTTTAATTTGCGGGATTGCAATCAGCGGCCTTCAACAGCATATGGTTGAAATTGCTGAAGTGTTAAACACGTGTAGGATGCAATGTTAAAGGTAAAGGGACCCCTGACCATTAGGTCCAGTTGTGGCCGACTCTGGGGTTGCAGCGCTCATCTCGCTTTATTAGCCGAGGGAGCCGGCGTACAGCTTCCGGGTCATGTGGCCAGCATGACTAAGCCGCTTCTGGCGAACCAGAGCAGCACACAGAAACGCCGTTTACCTTCCCGCCGGAGCGGTACCTATTTATCTACTTGCACTTTGACGTGCTTCCAAACTGCTAGGTGGGCAGGAAGGATGCAATGTACTGCACAAGAAAACATGCTGAATTATATTGTTAGTTTGCCTGCGCAACTTGTCACAGAATTCAGAAATTTAATAACTTTAATTTGGGGGTGTTTGTGGCTCAGGGACTGAGGATCTGTTTTGCATGCAGAAGTTCCTAGGTTCAGTCTTGGGCATCTCTTCTCTGAAACCCTGAGAGCCACTGCCAGGCAGTGCAGCTAGAAGAACCAATCTTCTGACCTCTGTTTTAAGGCAGCTTCTGTGCACCCCACTCTAATCTAGAATTCTGTTGCAAAGGACTCTGGCTCTGAGCTCACATCTAGATGCAGACAAGCAAATTTTACACGTTTTGTACACTGCTGAGAGATCAGAACACTTGAAGACAATATTCTGCACCCTGACAAAGTTGTAGTTGCTGTGGGTTCGGTTTCAGAAAGCCCCAATAGTTACAGTTTGCAAATATTTACAAGCTTTCTGCAGCAGCAGCTGCTTACAGAAAAAAAATGTAGGTTAATGGATTCCTCCCCATCTTATATTAAACCTTAGCATAAGGAAATTGGCTAGTAAAACCTTAAGAATGTATGCCTTAATCCAAACAAAGCTTAATCTGCATAGATTTGGTGTTCAATGCTTTCCTGCTCCCTCTGTGTCTTCATTGCTTATGTACTTCCAACTTTGCATCCATTCTGTCCCAATTTCTGTTTTCCTAGCAATGGCCAATTAATGGAGGCACCAGCAAGGCTCCAGATCCTCCTCAGAGAGACTTGCTGCTTACTGGGTAGGTATGAAAACAGACGTTTTCCCTCTGGTTACCATTCTGGAGCTTCTGACCTCACGTTTTGTTTCCACCTCTGCTTAGTCAGTCCAATACAGCATGTGAAGATCATCATTTGTGCAACAGCCGTTAAAGTGATTACCATTTTGAACTTGGGTATTTAACACTTCAATGGTAATGAACTCTTCTGAAGGCAGAAAGTTCCAAAACAATTACCTGTTTGTGTGCGTAGATGTGAATAAAAAGTCTCACATCAAGTGGATGGGATGGAACAATCGTTTCGTTTTGCCCCTCCATATGTCTTTCTCTGTACGCTAAATAGGGCTTCGTTGTTGCTTTTCATCTGGAATTTAAAATATATGTATCCTTAATACTCCTGCAAGGACGAAAGAGGTTTCCTGTCAAGATCCCTGATAAGATTCTCCCAATTAATGGTCCAGGCATCCTGCCAGCCATGCTAAAAGGATAACATTAGCATACAGGAGCTAGAATACTCAGTGTCCCTGAGAACCGAATGTACTGATGTTGTGGAGAGAGGATTGAACGTAAGAGCCCGTCACCAGACTTCGTAAAACCCAGTGGGATACAAGCTAATTTCTGGAATGTCGCTTGGTGTATTTCAAACAGCAATGATGCAGGGGGAGAATTCACGTTGATTCACCCAAGCAAGCTTGGTGCCTCAAGTGCCGCAGCATAATGTTCTGTGTTACTTATTTAACACTTTGTATACCACACCGCAAGTTAACGTGGTTTTACAGTTTTGGAATAATGGCTGAGGATGTAAGAAGCATGATACAATAGAGAACAGAGGTGCCAGGTTGCCCCGCAAATTGATGGAGGGGACAGAGTGCTCTGGAGGAGCCAGCCACTGGAACTTCGACACACAAGTCGTCGGACATTGTGTGCAGGGCCACCTCAAGATCGAGGGGGCCTGTTCCCCTTAAAACAAATACTGAGGGAGCCGAGGTGTCTTCGCCCCCCACCCCAGTTGATGCACCTGATAGGGAAATGGTAGGAGGAGGGGGGAAAGCCAGGTCAGGTGCCAGCCGTTTAAAACTGTTAAAGAATGACCAGGCCGAAAGGTCACCACAGGAGATTGCTTGAGCAGAGGGGAGGAGCCCAAATGGCAGCTGGTCCCAGCTGAGCTGATGGAGTGGTCCTTGCTGTCGAATGGCCACTGATGGGAGACAACATGGATCTAATTTGGCTGCTGCGAACGCATTTCTGTGTACGCCCATCAGATTATTCCTGTCAAGATTTATTTTAAATGCTCACTGCAATTTATGTTCCTTAAGTTGACTTCACTAAGCTGGACCTAACAAGAGCCTTTTTAGAACGATAGCCACAAGGAACTAAATCTCTTTCAGCCTGACAAAAATATTAATAGCCTAAGTTTGTGTGGAAACATATATGGAGAGCAGTTAACTGCCTTGGGTGGTAGTCTTCAAAAAAGTCAGGAACTTCAGGAAAGTCCAGTAGTTAGTAGTAGTTGTCGTCGTAGTAGTAATAATAAGAATAACAATATTTATTTATTTATTTATACATACATACATACATACATACATACCCCACTCATATGGCTGGGTTTCCCCAGCCACACTGGGCGGCTCCCAAACAGAATATTAAAAGCACGATAAAACATCAAAAATTAAAAACTTCTCTAAACAGGGCTGCCTTCGGGTATCTTCTAAAAGTCTAGGCTTCCCCGGTGGGCTTGGAAGCAGTGGCAGGCAAGCTTCCCCGAAAGACCCTTTGCCCACCATTGCAGACATTTCCTTGCAATGTGCAGACACAGGGGTGTGGTTCTGGGTATATAGTTTTCCTTTGTACTGGGCCGCAGTGAGGTTTTGCATGTGTGAGTCGGCTATTCACTCCACCAGAATCCCCTTTGGTGTGCATCAGTTCTCCAGCAGTCAAGTCAGCGTAGAAAGGGGATCACGAAGGAGGAAAGTTTTGTAGCCGCCTGGGCTATCTGTATTTAAACAATTAGCCCAAAAGGATTTCAGTGGCTCATGTGGCAAATGTTCAGTGTGTTCACTTACCTGGAAAGTAAGCAGTGCTGCTGGTGTAATCTGCTTGCCCCCTTCATTTCTCCCCCCCCCCCCCCAAATCAGGCATGAGGATGGCACAGTACGATTCTGGAACGCGTCCGGCGTTTGTCTGAACCTCCTGTATAAGCTGAGCACGGTGAGGGTGTTCCTCACGGATGCTGATCCCAATGACAATCTGAACCAGATGGGGGAGGACGAATGGCCTCCGCTGCGCAAGGTGAGGAGTCCGTGGCCCAGCTTAAACCTTCCGAAGCCAAGGCCTGCTGAACTGAGCAGCAGAGAAGCTGCCCCGCAGAAAACCTTGCTTTGTGTTGATATGGTATTTTCTTTCTTGCCTGTCTGCCCTGCTAGGTTGGCTCCTTTGACCCTTACAGCGATGACCCCAGACTTGGGATCCAGAAGATCTTCTTGTGCAAATACAGTAGCTACTTGGCCGTGGCAGGAACAGCAGGGCAGGTACTGAAATGCACTTGGATAGGTTTTTGGGCACACTGCATCCAATAGCACAGACCTTACTTTATCTTTTGCCCCCATCAATTGGGAAATGCAGGAGTTTGAACTTCCCTGCATGTTATGCCCTGTGTTCTACATAAACTTTTCTCCCAATCCTAGTGATCTGCAGAGTGTAGGAAGCATTCTGTACATGTTCAGATACCGTCATGTGCAAATTTCTCCATGTGTATTTTGTACCATCTTCACCTTTGTAACTGCCACCTGTGCAGCCGATCACTAGTTAAGCTGTTGTTCTGGCTTGTTCATCTTTGGGGTTTCAATTTGAATTTGTTCGCTCTCTAAATCATTGTGTTTCTTGGCCAGCTGGATCCTGGTAGTAGTATATATAGTACGAATGTGTGTATATATGTCTGTATATGCGGCAATGTCTGTAGGGAAGATTAAGTCACTAAGTTGATACTAGGCGAACCATTCCACTAGTCAGTGGACTGTGTTGACAATGCAAACTTTCTGGGCTAGTTTCCAGCTTGCAACTTAATTTTTTTCTATCTCTGCTCTTTAATTCCCTGTCAGAGAGCATCAAGGAGAATCCTTAGTTTTGAATTACTGATTTGGGATAGAGTGGCCCTTTCCATGGAAGACATTTTGACAATTCCTGCCTCAACACCACTGGCCTATTGAAAGCCTTTGTTGCTGTTTAGACTGTGGAAGGCCAGGGCATAGACAGGGTTCACAGATGCTCTGCCCCATATAATTGGATAAAGAAGTTCATCTATGTCAACGGGGGGGGGGGGTATGGGGACAAATATGCATGTCTTCTCCTGTGAAATGCAAAGCTTTTCAAAGAGCCTTAATTCAGGTTAGAAGATAGTTACAACTTGCTCTTGGGCTCTCAGCTGTGACGCACCCACTCCTCTTCTTTTTGGCTTTCTTAACTTTGAACTGTATCAGATCACCTTCAATGTTGCATTTTTAAATTGCTGCGACCTGTTCAGGAACCTTAAGGTCAGGGCAGGTAATAAATCAAAATAAATAATAATAATATACACCAGCTCCTGGCATCCGAAACACACTCTTCAGAGTAGATTCCCACTGCACTTGTAGGAGTCATGCAGCTCTTTCAAAAAACCAAAACAGCACGCCTGCTTGAGTCATGTGGGCATTGGCCGCAAATGTCAGTTCACACTGGATTGCCAAACGAGCTGCTTTGCCTCAGGGCTAGCAACTTGCCCAACCCACCTGTGATGAGAAAGGAGCAGCGTGTAGTTTTCTGAATTATGACTCTTCTACTGCTCTTTAAAGACTTCGAATGGGTGAGTGCAAATCATCATGAACCAAATGGGTAACTCAGTCTCTTGTGCATGTAACTGCCAGGCCTCTCAAGCAAAATGTCCTGCCAAAGCTATGGGCAGAGAATCTTGTCCACATTAGGTCAGAAATAAATGAAAGCAGTGGATAGATTTAGCATTGCTGCAGGGCAGAAACATAAAGATTATTTTTGCCAAATAGTTTAGCGATAAGATATTCATGAACAGTGGTTGTTGCTGTTGTTTTTTTAAATGGTGTTGTCCTTACATTCCACTGTATTTGGGTTTTGCTGCTTCTTTTGATTATATGTTCTGCCTATCACTTTCAAAAGCTGCCTTGAAAGTATCTGAAAAGGTGGGGTAGAAATAAATTGAAATAAGACTGCTAATGCTTCTTAGATTCACAGTGTGCTACAAGAGCCACTTGGTAAATGACTGCCTCTGTTGCATAATTACATAAGCCTACAACCTCTTTTCTTTTGTTTTACTTCAAAGTTCATTACGCTGCAGGAGGGTGTTAATACACTTAATCAAAAAGTGAATTGGGTTAGCTCGAACTCCCCTGCTGCTGACGTGATGTTGAAAAACGAGTGAGGAAGGATATAGGTGAAATGCAAAAGTATTCCTCAATGCTTTTGAGAGTAAAGGCCCAGAGGAGGAAATGCATTTGTCCTGGCCTTCGTTCTTGCACAAACTCTGTGGGTTTTGCAATGCTAAGGTTTCAAAACACACTTCCAAATGACCTTCTCCCTTTTCCCTACCCTGCCCCGTCCAGGTACTCGTAATGGAGCTAAATGACGAAGAAGCAGAGCAGGTGGTTGACCATTCAGAGGCGGACCTCCTCCAGGATCAGGAAGGCTATAGGTGGAAAGGTCACGAGCGGCTCAAAACTAAAGATGGGCCTGTTCGGTTTGAACCAGGCTTCCAGCCCTTTGTCTTGGTCCAGTGTCAGCCGCCAGCTGTGGTCACTTCGCTGGCCCTTCACTCGGAATGGAAACTCGTAGCCTTTGGTACAAGCCATGGTTTTGGGCTCTTTGATCATCAGCAGAAGCGGCTGGTCTTTGTCAAGTAAGGGGGTTACTTCCTGATTTAGATAGATAGATAGATAGATAGATAGATAGATAATTTTTAAATTGTATTCCTGACACAGTGTAGGGTTTAGGTGAAAGTCTTGCATTGAACGTCCAGCCATTTTCAAAAGCCACGTGCTTAAACAGGGTTTTCCTGCCAGACTGGTGAGGCGTAGTGCTAAGGGTTCAACCAGTGAACTGGAAGTCCTGGATAAAAAGTTCAGGCAGGAAATTACTTAGGCAAAGCATTTTCCTCCCAGCCTTAGGCTTAGATCTGCAATAGCTTCTCCTGATTGTTTAAGCGGGTTCTCACAGTGGCCCTCCAGATGCCATAGGAAGCTTGCAAGCAGGGCTGAACACAGCAACGCTCTCCCCGCCTGCAGTTTCCTGAAAAGTGGCATTCAAAAGCACACTGCCTCCGACAGTGGAGGCAGAGCAGAGCTGTCATGGCTAGTAGCCACTGACAGCCTTATCCCTCTCCTTGAATTTATCTAATCCTCTTTTAAAGTCGTCATGGTGGCCCTCATGGCGTCTTGCCAGAGCAAGTTGCATAGTTTTAAGTACGCACTGTGTTAAGAAGTTGTTTTGTCTGTCCTGAATCTTCCGGCATTCAGCTTCTCTGGATGTCCTTGAGTTCTAGTGTTATAGGAGAGAGGGAGGAAAAACTTCCTCATCCACTTTTTCTATACGGACACCATGCGTCACGTTATATGCTTCTGTCATAATGGCTCTTTCTCGACTTTTCTCTCAAGTTACAAAGCCCCACTTGTGTGGGGGTGGGTAGGCAGCAGGTACCCCCAACATATTCAGGAATTGGGGAGTTGGAGAGAACTCTGCCTTCCTCCTAGCCCCCACAAAATGCTGAGATCCATCCCTGGCGGCCGAGGATTACCATACTCCAAAGCAGGAAGTTGTTTCCTGACCACAGCTTAGTCAACACTATTAGGCTCAGGCAGGCGTGCTCTCTTGGAGTCCAAAGGTCTTCTCTTCTCCCTTTTGTTGCCTTGGGGACAAAGGGAGGCTGAGCCCTCCCTTCCTCCTGATCATTATGGGGAGAAGGTTTTCCCCACAAATGTTACAGTACACTTCCGCGAAATTAATACTGGTGTGTCCTACAGAGTGATAAAAATCATCAAAGTAATGCATTTAAAGTGCTACGTAAATTCTAAATAGTATAATCCTTGTGGAATGTAAGGGCAAGGCAGTGTAGCACTGTTTTTGAAAAGGAAAACAAAAACACACCATCAGATTTACTTTGAATCCTCATGGCTGTTGAGAAACACCGAAATGGATTTTACTGATGGAATACCTTTAGAGCCTTCTAGGAAAACTTTAGTAATTGCCAACATTCCACAAAAGCAAATACTGTGAACAATATAAAGTGTGCAGTTCAGAATAGTTCTGGTTTTCTGAATGCTCTCTTGCCTGGTTTGAGAACTGCAGGCAAAAAGCAGCAGCATTGTCCCATGTTGCTTTACATCTGGGATGGCCACCTCAGATGATGTTGGGCTCCCAAGTCCCATCAGCCATAGCCTATGGGCAGGGATTATGAGACCTGCAGTCCAACAAGTATTTGCAGGACTACAGTTTCTTACCCCTGATGCAAAGCAACTAAAGGCCTTGCCAATGCCTGTGCACGGTATTTCAGACCTCTGCGCTGCAAAATGTGGTAACTCTCTTAATGGGCTTCCAATGTGTGGCTGCAACTTGACCAAAAAACAGTTTGGTTTAAAAAGGGAAACTGAGCCAACCCTGTTAATTTCCTTCTAGGTGTACCTTGCATCCCAGTGACCAACTGGCCTTGGAAGGCCCTCTTTCCAGAGTGAAGTCTTTAAAGAAGTCCCTCCGCCAGTCCTTCCGACGAATGCGAAGGAGCAGGGTGTCTAACAGAAAGCGACGAACTGCAGAGGTGAGGGGCTGCGCTGTCTGGGCTTCACGTACAGTGGTACCTCGGGTTACAGACGCTTGAGGTTACAGATGCTTGAGGTTACAGACTCCGCTAACCCAGAAATAGTACCCCGGGTTAAGAACTTTGCTTCAGGATGAGAATAGAAATTGCGCAGCGGTAGCAGGAGGCCCCATTTGCTAAAGTGGTACCTCGGGTTAAGAACAATTTCAGGTTAAGAATTTACCTCCAGAACGAATTAAGTTCTTAACCCGAGGTTCCACTGTATTCAGCAAAGCTCTGGTGCCACTCATGACGTTAGAAAAAGCCCCCTTGTACAGTATTGGATCTCAGCCTAGCCACTCATGGCATTGATATGTCATATGAGGAGGAGATTCGGGCAGCTATAGGCTAATCCTTTTGGAGGAGAATTGTGCCGGTTTCCTGGAGTACGGCAAACTTAGTCTTCTGCCATCATAAAGAGGTGCAAAAGGATTCATTACATGGCCTTAAAGCATTCTATTTTTCAAAAATAGTTTCTCTTCTTCAAAGCAAGCATCCCTATAAGAAATGGCTTTTTTTGGAACTGGCTTGACTTCTTTTTATTAAAACCACCTGACACCAGCTAACATGCATATTACCGTATAAAACACCCCCATGTATAAGACGCCCTCTATTTTTGGGGACTCCAAATTGAGAAAATGGGGGGAGATTTTATCCGTGTATAAGACGACCCACAATTCTGAACATCATTTTTTAATAATAAAAAAACCCTAGTCCTATACACAGAAAAGTATGGTATATATATATATTTAAAGATGCCATTTTATCATTCTAATCTCATTATCTGCCCACTTGAGAGATGCTAAATTGAATCGGGCCTTTAGTGTGGTGGTCTCTACACTTTGCAATGGTCTCCCTTACGTATTAGGCAATGTCTGTTGTCTTTTTGACACCTACTGCAGACCTCCTCCTTCTGGCCTTTAAAGCACAGATCTTTATCTCAATCTGTGCTTATATTGGAACTATTTTAACTGCTGTTTGCATTGTTGGAATTGTTTCCATTTTCTGTATGGAATGGTTTTTATCTGTTTTATGGCTGTAACTGTTTTATTTGCTTTTATAAATGTATATTTTTTTCTGTTGCAAACTGCCCTGGGACCTTACGGTAAAGGGCAGGTAAGAAATCTAATAAAACAAATGAAAAGGGGTTGCTTGCTTAGTTCTCATTTTTGTTTTGCGGGCAGGTACAAGAGGGAATTTCCAGGCATGATCATGACGCATTGCAGGAGATAGAGCTAGCTCCTGTCCAGCGGAAGATTGAAGCGCGGTCAGCAGAGGACTCTTTCACTGGCTTCGTTCGCACCTTGTATTTTGCCGACACCTTCTTACGAGACAGTGAGTAAGACCAGCTTCTATGTGCTTGAACAATATATTACACCCACAAAGTAATGTACATGGGTAGATAAAACCAGCAAAGTCTGGCCTGGGGGTATAAGGAATGGTCTTGCTTGCTTTCCCTTGGCGATATGTGAAACTTTGGCTTATGGGCTTTGTTATCTCTGGTCCAGGTTCCCGGCACTGCCCCTCCTTATGGGCTGGCACCAATGGGGGCACAGTCTATGCCTTCTGTCTGCGTGTTCCTCCAGCCGAGAGAAGAATGGATGAGCCTGTCCGAGCAGAGCAGGGTGAGTGAAAAGATCAGACGACTTTCGATTTAGATGAAATAGCTGCCCCCCAGATTTAGGATTGAAGGTACCTTTGTAAAATGCCCTGGTGATGAAACCAGAGACTCCCATCATCCTCTGCCTGTTGGCCATGCTGGACTGGGGCTGATGGGAGTTGGAGTCCAACAACATCCAGAAGGTTGCACGCTTCCCACCACCTGACTCTTGAGAAGCCTTAGTGCTGAATGTGGAGTAGGGTGTCAGAATCTGTGTGCGCATTCTGGAAGAGCAAAACATTTCACTGCAGGACTGTACCAGCCCCCAGGCATGTGCTCTGATTCTTTTAGGAACAGCATTTTTTGGTAATTAATGTGGTTTTCTGAAGGAAACAGTCTTGTACATAAACACCTACCTAGAAATGTTATGAGCTTGGGCAACAGTTTTTACTTCATTTTAGCCTCTGTACTTTTTTGGAAAAGTCCTTAACACACCATAAAACAAGCCCAAGGGCTGTTTGTAAATGTTTCTCTCTGGTCACAAAAATCTGGAAAATATTTCATGTTTAAAAGTCAGGAGGGTCATCCAGCCAGACATAAGAGATGGAATTCATTTCCATAACCATATCTATAGGACAGTTATGTGTATTTTCCTTACGGATCTAAGGAAGGTGGCTCGGCAGCTTCCCCTTTGGCTTCATGTGCCATTAATCACAGTTCAACCTCCAATACAGAAGTAGGCAAAGTCCAGAGCTGCTTTGTCTTTTACAGAAACCCACCAAGCAGAGCAAAGTGTAAAAGATATGAAGGATTAAAACACAAAACAAAATAGGGCATCTTTGAGCACATTCTCAGCCTAGGAACTTGTTTTTAGTGCTGGAACTGAACTGAGCGCTCAGTGGTGTCACAAAAAATGTCTCCTGGTTTGGTTTTCTGCATTTCACAGTCTTATTTAGCCAGAAATAGTTGTTTTGTCTTTGTGGTGAAGCAACTGGGAGCCAGGAACTCTTGTTTATCATCGCTAATCATCTAGAGATCTACCACTAGACCCTGACCTTCATTTTGTCCCGTCCCCTCAATACCTATACTTGCCTTTGTACAGTGTAAAAAGTGGCTTTTTGACTGTACCCAAAGAAATAATTATGCAGTTTCTATGCGGCATCACAGCTTAAATACTTCAGTTCTCCTCTAAACTCAATCACTTTTTAATGCTTATGTGTGTACAGTGGTACCTCTGGTTAAGAATTTAATTCGTTCTGGAGGTCCGTTCTTAACCTGAAACTGTTCTTAACCTGAAGCACCACTTTAGCTAATGGGGCCTCCCGCTGCCACCACTGCGCGATTTCTGTTCTCATCCTGAAGCAAAGTTCTTAACCTGAGGTATTATTTCTGGGTTAGTGGAGTCTGTAACCTGAAGCGTCTGTAACCCGAGGTACCACTGTATTGTATTTGTATCCAACCCTTCTTCCAAGGAGCTTTGAGTACCATATGTAGTTCCTTTTGGCCACAACCACCCTGTGTGGTAGGTTAAGCTGAGAGATAGTGACAGGCCTCAAGTCAGTCGATGAGCTTCATGGCAGAGTAGGAATTTAAACCTGGGTCTCCCCACTCCTAATCCGAATCTCTAACCACAATGGATTGGGTCCAGTGCTGACGTGCAACACTGGGTTCAGTCCAATATTTCCTCTCTGCTGCCCTTTGTATGTCCAGCATGGTAGCTTCTCTCTGAACCAAACCTCCTGCCTCATTTGGCGTGTGCTTTCTGCTGTCTCTCCAGCCAAAGAGATCCAGCTCATGCACAGAGCTCCTGTTATCGGGATCGTTGTTCTGGATGGCCAGAGCACTCCCCTTCCAGAGCCGCTGGAAGTGGCCCATGACCTTTCCAAGAGTCCCAACATGCAAGGGAGCCACCAGCTTCTCGTGGTGTCGGAAGAACAGCTTAAGGTAACACAATAGCATTCTTGTGTATATGCATGCTCTTTGCCTATTGGAATAGAGCAGCCAGAGACATTATAGTATGAGAATTCATTTCCTCTTGCAGATCCTTCCTGGAATTTGCTTGTTTTGAGGTGATACTTGGTTGTCACCTTTGCTGAAGGGCATGTTCAGATTCGGGGAGGTGGAAAAGCATACTGTATGCTTGGAAGTTTGCAAAGATTCCAACCTTCCCTGCCACCTGAGCAGATCATAGAATTATGATACACTTTCCCTACTCCTGAATTTGATATTCTGCCCATAGATGCTTCTCTAGAAAGTGGCAGAGTTGGGCTAAGGAAAAAAGACTCTGTTCAGGGATTTTGACTGCAAACCGGCGCTCTGCTTATTTTTATGTATCTGAGGATTGATATTTGCAAGCCCTGATAATCAGACTTGATACGACCTAGCCATGTGAGAGATGCTTGCAAATCCCTTATGTACAGCAGTGAGCGGCAGCAAAGTTGAGCTACTCCTTCCCTTGCCGCTGTCAGAAATCCAGGCTTTTTTGCTGCTGAAGGCGGGAGAGAGACTACACAGCTCCTTTTTGGCAGCTAGACTTAAAGCATGCTGCTTTGCTGCCACACACCAGCAGGAAACTCATTATGCATTGACCGGAGATTGGATGGCTCTTGCACGAATGAAGGATTTAATACGCAGCTTGTTTACGTTGGCAGGTTTTCACGTTGCCCAAAGTCAGCTCCAAACTGAAACTTAAATTGACGGCCCTGGAAGGCTGCCGGCTTCGGAAGGTGACAGTGACCAACTTTGCCAGCTGTAAGAGTGAGCACAGTGAGAATGACCTGGCTGTTCTGACGAACCTGGGAGACATCCAGATCATTTCCCTGCCTGCACTCAAGATACAAGTGCGCTACCCCTGTATCCGCAAGGAGGATGTGAGTGGCATTGCCTCCTGTGTCTTCACCAGATATGGGCAAGGTAACAACATGGTCATCCACAGGTTACCAAGCTCCATTGTGTTAGGTCTTGGAAGCCTTTCTGCCTCTTGTACAAAATAGATAAATGTGGGGTGGGGGAGAGAAGGGGGAGTTATTTTGTCCCTCTATCCACAATAATGTGAAAGCAAGAAAGAAAAATATTAGTTGGGATAGTAGTATCTGCTTTGAAGGTGACCTGGAAACTACAATTAATCCAGAATGTGGCAGCTAAACTGGTGACTGGGAGCAGCCGCCGAGACCTACATTGGCTCCCAGTACGTTTCCGAGCACAATTCAAAGTGTTAGTGCTGATCTTTAAAGCCCTAAACGGCCTCGGTCCAGTATATCTGAAGAAGCGTCTCCACCCCCATCGTTCTACCCAGACACTGAGGTCCAGCACCGAGGGCCTTCTGGAGGTTCCCTCACTTCGAGAAGCCAAGTTAGAGGGAACCAGGCAGAGGGCCTTCTCGGTAGTGGCACCCGCCCTGTGGAACGCCCTCCCACCAGATGTCAAAAAGAACAACAACTACCAGACTTTTAGAAGACATCTGAAGGCAGCCCTGTTTAGGGAAGCTTTAATGTTTGATGGATTACTGTATTTTAATATTTTGTTGGAAGTCACCCAGAGTGGCTGGGGAAGCCCAGCCAGATGGGCAGGGTGTATATAATAAATTATTATTGTTATTACTACTACTACTTCTACTATTTTATTAATAATAATAATTAAAATTTTATACTACCCTTCATCCGAAGATCCCAGGATCGTTCACAACATAAAAATACAAAATGAGAATACAAAATACATAATAAAACCTAAACAATCCAGTAAACCCCCTTTTAAAAATACATTTAAAAAGCCATAGAATGTTAATCAGCCAAATGCCTGGTTGAAGAGAAACATTTTTGCTTGGTGCCTGAAGATATGTAATGAAGATGCCAGGAGAGCCTCCCGAGGGGAGAGAATTCCACAAACAGGGAGCCACTGCAGAAAAGGCCCGTTCCCATGTTGCCACCCTCTAGACCTCACGTTGAGGAAGCACATGCAGAAAGGCCTGAGATTATGAACGCAGGGTCTGGTTCGGTTCATATACAAAGAGGCGGTCCTTGAAGTACTGCAGTCCTGAGCTGTTTAAGGCTTTGTAGGTCAAATCCAGCACTTTGAATTGGGCCTGGAAACTAACTGGCGGCCACTGCAGTCAGGCCAAGATTAGTGTTATATGCTCACACCATCTTGCCCCAGTGAGCAACCTGATCCCCAGCTGAAACTTCTGCACCATCTTCAGAGGCAGCCCTATGTATAATGCATTGCAGTAATCTAACTTAGAGCATATTAAGTTAAAAAATGGTTTACACAGGGGTCTGAAAAGAGTGCGCTTGAGAGAACATTGCATGAGAATCAGACAAACATACAGTATTTGGATCTTTCCATGCATAGGAGTCCCAGAGATCTAGCTGAGAAATATTAAATAGTAACATGGGATCTCTTTAAAAAAATCTGTCACAAGCACCAAGCATGACTTTGGAAAGTGCTCATGCAGCTGAGCCTTTGTATGTTTACTCTGAAGTTAATTCCAGGTCCGGTCCGCCCCCCCCCAATTGCCCTTGTTTCAAAATAAGTGTATGTGGGTTTGCAGCCTTAAGCTTAGTCTTCTGAGTGAGTAAGATTTGTAAAAATGTATTTTGGGAAACTCTTGTGAGACGCTTTCTGCATCTGTGCATGCACAACTTGCCATTTCTCCATCTTTCTCCTCTGCAGGGTTCTATCTCATCTCCCCGTCAGAGTTTGAGAGGTTTTCACTTTCCCCAAAGTGGCTGGTTGAACCACGATGCTTAGTAAAAGTACCTGAAAACACAGGCAACAGCCATGTGCACAGCACACCTGGTGTGGAGAAGGCATCAAGGATATCCAAGTATGAATGATTGTGGCATTTGTATTGTGTGGATGACAGAAAGGGTGCAACATTCTACTTTGTATTGCTGGTTTTGTGTGTTGAATATGACATGCGTAGCCATGGGAACTGCAACAAAGGAGGCCCATGGTCACTCTGGAAAGGGGTTAGGGTTGCTGTCCTGCCACCATATGCACCTACATGATCTGACAATGCCTCTGCTCATCCCCTAATGCAGTCATAGGCAAACTTGGCCCTTCAGATGTTTAGGGACTACAACTCCCATCATCCCTAGCTAACAGGACCAGTGGTCAGGAATGATGGGAATTGTAGTCCCAAAACATCTGGAGGGCCAGGCTTCGGGGTGCCTGTTTTAAATGAGTTTGCCTATGCCTGCCCTAATGCCATCCCAATGTACTGACAAGGCTTTCCTTATCTGCCACCCACTATTCATTGTTCTTATTGAAGTAAGAAGTGGTTTTAAAAATGCTGAAGTTGCATATTGCCATATGTTCTGGTGCTGAGATTCTACCACCTGTGGAATGACTCGCCACAAAACAAAGCCTTCTGAGCTGGGTACAACATACAGTCCCCAGGCTGTGTAATCATTTTGTGTGTGCACTAAGTGGGATGGTTAAAGGGTAGCAGCAAAATATGTCAGAACTGGTACACGTCAATTCTAACTAACCACCTAACCATCTCCTAGTTGCCATAAGCGGATATGCCTCTGCCTAGACCGCTGATGGGGGTTCACATGGGGGAATATATATCTCCCTATCGGTCTATCCCTAGATGTAGAAAATCAATCAGTCGTTTTATTTGTATGACATGTTTCCAAAGCTAAAGCCATGCTGAAGGCAGAATACAACATGTACAAAATTTACAAGCATAACAAAAGTAGTCTTAAAGAAAAAATCAGAACATAGAGAAGGGTTCTTGTTGTTTTGCTTACTCTTCTTCTTGATACGTTAGTTTTCAATATGCTGGGGAATTTTATAAGGATGAGCAGTCATGTGAACTCCCACACAAATTTTGAACTGACTTAAAAGCTGAAGGTTTTTTAAGAGGCAGAATGTACCTGTCAAAGTAGTGCAGTGTAAACCAAGGGTGCATGACTTTCTGTGTGCCTATGATAATTGCATCTGACTTGCAATGTCTAGAGGGTTGGAATTGGTTTATGATCTTATCTAATTGACTCTTCTTTCTATCTTCTGCAGTAGCAAGGAATCGGGATGGAGTACCAGTGATCCGGGTGCAGATGGTAAGAAAAATGTGAATGTACAGAGAGAAATTGCTGGTCCAGTGCTGCTTGCTTAGTAATGTAACATAACATCCAGTTTGGATTACTCCAGTAGTGCAGTACAGGAAACGACCCATGAAGGCAGGTCAGAAACTCAGATTGGCTTAGGATCTAGCTTAAAGGCTGTTGGCTTGTTTCAATAGGAGGGATAATGTCTTAAGAGCTTCATGGACTACCAGTTTGTTTCTGGACACAATACAAAGTGCTGGTTGTGACTTGTAAAGCCCTCAGCCTAGGACTTGGGGTACTTATGTCCCATGTCAACCTACAAAGTTAAGATCTTCAATTGGAGGCCCAGTCTTCTGGAGGCCCAGTCTGCTTGTTTCCTTTTCAAGGTAGGGAACTTTAAAAAATGGGAGAAGGCATTTTGTGCCGCAGGAGCATAGGTTGGTGGAAGTATATTTGGTACAGCTGCTTGTATGTTGGCTTCAAATTCTAAAATAGGCTCTTAAAGAAAAGACCAGATCATGATCTTTATCACTCAGAGGAGTAATAGATTGTCATAATCGGGTTAACTTGCCCTTTTAAAGAACTTCAAAGGGTGGATATGCCAAGCATAATGGGTTGTCTTCAACTATGTTTTACCCAGAGTAGAACCACTGAAATGAATGGCCCTAAGTTAGTCATGTCTATTTATTTTAATGGCTCTACTCTGAGTAGAACTTACATTGAATACAACCCAATAGATCTAATTTGGGGGGGCTTTGTGAGTTTCTTTGTATCGTGGGAATTGACTGCCTTAACATTTGTCTGATTTGCCTTTCAGAGAGGACACATGGCAGATTGATGGAGCATGCCCTGCTCAATGATGAGAGTGAGAAAGACATGATTTCTTTCGTGCTATAGGGGTGGAGGGACGGGCATTCTGTGGGAATTGGCTTGAGCCACTTTATTCACTTGCTTCTGGTTATTGAGTCTGCTCCCCTCCTTAATACCAGCAGCCATACAACATTAGGTAGATTTCTCTTAGGGATGTTGTCTTCATGAGTTTGCCTCAGTTAGGCAGGCAGTTGACCAGTAACATACCTGAACATGTCTATATTTGTGTACAGCTGCCCAATGGCATCTCATAATTGCTCTTTGGTGCTTAGCACATTAGTATCCAGCAGACATTCAGAGTTCTGTGGCTATTGCACTAGGAGGACTTGATCTACACATTGGGCAATGGATATCCCAACATCATGTCCACATCTGTAAAATGGGAATAAATTGTGACCTATCTCACATGAATTTTCGTGAGGGTAAACACAAAGCCTTCAGAAGCATTTTGCCATTTTAAAACTGGTACATTTAATAGTGAGTAAACTTGCTATACCGTAGTACCTCGGGTTAAGTACTTAACTCGTTCTGGAGGTCCGTTCTTAACCTGAAACAGTTCTTAACCTGAAGCACTACTTTAGCTAATGGGGCCTCCTGCTGCCGCCGCCGGAGCATGATTTCTGTTCTCATCCTGAAGCAAAGTTCTTAACCCGAGGTAATATTTCTGGGTTAGCGGAGTCTGTAACCTGAAGCGTATGTAACCCGAGGTACCACTGTACTGACATATGTTGTTGCTGGGTGCTTCCAGAGCTGGCAGCTCCCAATAATTGCTGTTCTGCTTTAAGGTGGAAGTGGGATAGCAGATTTCTAAACACTCTGTAGCCAAGTGGTCAGTCCCTCTTTCCTCAATTGTTGGAGAGAAGCAATTTTCATTGGGATCTTTGTATGTATGGGATGAGTTAAATAGCCCCCTCCCCTCACTGAACCTCTGCTGCAATTTGGGGTGGGGGGAGGGAGATAATGACCAGAATAGTAGCTTAATAGCAGCTATATTGACTATAAGTAGGTTGGATTTGAGGGGAAGGAAGTAAAAGCCTAATGGGGAAAATGTGAGAGGGGGTCTTTCAATCACAGTATCATGCCAGTGCCCTGTAAAAAGTGACTGAACAAAATGTGGTTATTCCACAGTAAATGTCTGGTGTGGAAGCAGCCAGTGTTTCAGTGTTTAATTCAGCCATGAGTGTAGGGTCTGTGGAGAAATTGCCCCAAATAGAGATACCAGAAATGCTATTATTTGTGTACATGGTTGCCAAAAGAAACATCCTACGCATGTTGGCTTCAGCTGGGGTGGACCATTTTGTGCACATCTGCCACTATGCACATGTTTCCTTTTTGACATGGCACTACAAATGCTGGCATCCAACTTTAAAGACTTTGTTTGGCGAAATTATAGATTTAAAGGAAAAAAAAACCTAAACTTGAGACCTAAGCAACCTTGAGAAACACAAAGTATGCAACCCTTTTCTCTTTTGAATGCTAGCTGCAAGCTTTTATGCCGCATAGTATTCTTTCTGAAGTGCAACTGAGCAAGCTAAAATAATATCTGTATGTCTATGTTTGGTGTCCTCCTTGGCACATTGGTTGTGAGACGCTGGCAATTGTTTAGCACAACAGGATTGTATTCAGTTACCCTGAATCTAAACAAAGTTATTGCCCAACTTTTAATCAAATACATTCCAGACATAGATCTGTTATATTAGACAGTAAGTTGAACACAACATCATCAACTAGATGTCATCCTTCCTTAAGGATAAAATCTGAATTTCATGACAGCTCTGTAGGAATGGTTAAAGTTCGTTTATTTATTAATGGTACTTATCTGCTGCTCAGTAGCAAAGTTACCTGGACAGCTTAATAGCAATGAAAGCATTAAAATATAAACCGCAATAAGCTAAAATAAAATGAATTCTGCATGAAAATTCCAGCAAGAGAGAAGGAAATCAATTTAAAAGTCCTGTCACAGAATCTTTGGAAGATGGGGCTTAAAAAAACAACTGTTCCAACAGTGGAAGTAAAACTGCTTCTTGAATACTAGAGATTGAAGAATATATGCACTTATTTCGCATGAATGTTTTTTTCCTCCCTTTTCAGAAGTTCTAAAAGAGATCCAAAGCACTCTGGAGGGTGGAAAAGGGTGAGTGTCCATGGTTTCTCTTAGAACTTGGGGAGTTAAATTGTTCTGTCCTTGTGATAGAAGGGGAGTGACATAGTGAACATCTGAAAACATGCATTTAGCAACCCTGAAACCTGGTGGTGTGTTCCCCAATGGCTTCCTTCACATTCTCAAATATTTAACCTTCTGTTAAGTCTGCTGCCAACACTGAACAGATTCTGTACTTCTCTGTACATTGTGCTATGAGGGTGGTTGTTGTTGTTTTGCTTTCTAATTAAGATCTTTTCACCCAACTTGAGTTGAGATACCCACTATCCCAATCTTGTGAATAGCTCAGGGCAGACGTAAGTCTTTCATTTTTAGGACTTGTCGACCAGGAAGGAGATACAGATCTAAAAACAACATTAAGTCAGCTGGTGTCGAAGAGGAGGGTGGGTGAATTGGGTCCCATGGATTTACTCCCTGGCACTAGGGAGGCAATTCTTCTTTTGCAAAAGGAGAACCAGTAGAATACAGGTTGCCACATATGACTTACTTTTAGGATTTGATGGGGGGATGGAAGTGGGAGAGAAGGCGCCTCTATCTACAGGCATATGGAGATTTTGGTGTTGAGAACCAGAATGGTACAAGTTGTCTGTCACAGTTTCCATATGGCGATTTTGTCTTTGCAGGAGTTATAGTGACAAAAACTCAAGGAGAATTCAAGTAGGACACAGACTAAGCAATGGAGGAGGTATGTGGTTATATATGTATAGCTGTATTTAGAGAAAACAGTATGATTTGTTATAAAAATACATCTTTATGTAGCTTCCTTATGCCAAAACTGGTGTCTTACAAACCACGAACAGAAAACTTGAAGCTTCTGCTCATGGTTTGTAACAGATCAGTTTTTCATTTTGTCTGAATATGGGAAACAGTAGCTTCCACAAATAATAATTTGTTTAACAGAGATTTGACCTCAGTGCTTGGCCTCCTCTGCTGTCTTCATGCAGTTTTGTTCTTGAGATGATGGCTGCCAATGCCTTCTAGAGTATTTTTATGTCTCTCCCATTCCAATTCACCTCTGCAAAAAAGTACTTGACAAAAATGAGGAAGTAACTTCTCACTTTTCTCCCATTCTCTGCAATTTTCTTCCTTAAAGGTAGACTGCAGCTGGGAACCTGGCCAGAGTTCACTCTATAAACCAACAGTACTTAAAAAGCAGAACTTGATGCCCCAACTTGGGCGGCATGTAGACTGTTCCTCTGCCAGCTCCCACCAATGATGTATAACAGGAGATAGGGACATGGCAGAAATTATATGCAACCGTCAAAAGTGTTACTTCAGGATGCTGAATGCCTTGCTGTTGTGAGACTGGCATTTTCAAAACATTAGTTTGTGTCCAATTATATATTTGAGTCCAACCAGGCTGGGACACACACACACATTCTTCACCAAAAACATACCCATGCGTTTTCACAAAAGTGCAATATGCATTAGACTATGCTCAACAAAAGGGACGCAGGTGGCACTGTGGGTTAAACCACAGAGCCTAGGACTTAACGATCAGAAGGTCGGTGGTTCGAATCCCAGTGACAGGGTGAGCTCCTGTTGCTCGGTCCCTGCTCCTGCCAACCTAGCAGTTCGAAAGCACATCAATGTGCAAGTAGATAAATAGGTACTGCTCCGGCGGGAAGGTAAACGCCGTTTCCGTGCGCTGCTCTGGTTTGCCAGAAGCAGCTTAGTCATGCTGGCCACATGACCCGGAAGCTGTACGCCGGCTCCCTCGGCCAATAAAGCGAGATGAGTGCCGCAACCCCAGAGTCGGTCACGACTGGACCTAATGGTCAGGGGTCCCTTTACCTTTACCTATGCCCAATAAAGCAACAGCCTCTTCAGGTTGTGTAAAATAATTCTGCCCTTTTCTCTTCCCAGCAGAATGATTGTGCTCCTGCAGTGTCTCCGTGATGTCTGACGTTTGGAAAGAGTGCCATAACACTACTGACTACAGGCCCACCATCCACTGGAAGAGACATCCACTGACCGTGGCCTTGGATTCAGTTGCAGGGCTGAGTCTTGCCTGGCCACTCACCTGCTTATCATCCTCTTCACTGTGCCTCACCTGAAGCCCTCATTTTCTCTGAGATGCCAGCCTTGCACTAAGGCTGGAATGCTTCCCTTGGCCTGTTTCCCTTCATGCCTCTGGATATGTTTTTGCAATTCTTCAATCGTTTGCACAATTTCTTTTAAAATAAAATATTTCTACTGGGATGGGTTTTAAATTATAAATATTACTGCCTTGGGTGCAGAGATTTTTTAAAAAAATAAATACTGTTACCTCTGACTAAGATTATTTTTTGTACATTTTTTTTAAAAAAAATCATACTGGGTGTTTGTTCAATAGAGATATTTTAGAAGAGTTCTTTTTTTAAAAAAAAATCTTGAATGAAATAATATATGTCATTTTAGATTCCTGTGGCTGCTGTAACTTTTTTTTTCTCCTTCAAATGAGGAAATTGCAAGGGGTTTGGGTTTTTTTGGTCATGTTACTGTTAAGTAGTTTTGCAGACTCAGGTAGATTCTTATTTTTGTAGCTGATCAGAGCTGGAAAAATTAATCAAATTTAACTTGATTTGTGTGTGGACACTACATTGAACTGTTGTGAAATAAACCCGTACTTTTAACATGCTTTTTAATTTGACCAAGAAACTCTGTTGCCTCATTTTGACGCCCTCTGAAATGTTTGACAGCCTTGCAACTGCAGCACGGGAAGTGAGCCTCTTCACTTAGATGCTTGTAGTGCTTTCCGTGGTCACATGAAACATGTTCTATAAGCCATGAGTTCCCCACATTCTGTGAAAGGCAGATAAATCTCACCTGGAAGGGTTTATTATAGACCACTCAGCCTTTCAGTGTAATTGCCTAATGCCTTTCTAGGTTGCTTTCTAGGGGATTTTACCAATTTTCTCAATCTAGTCCAGTTTACTGGACCAAAGGTGGAATCCCAACTGTATCCTAACCTTCCAAAGGTAACAGATCATATTAATTTAGGTTTGATTCTATGCACCAATCAAAAACACAGTATAACACCCAGAGAATGAAGTGTGTGATAATGATAAAAATTATCCTTACTAAACCTACAAACAAGCTGCTTTGCTACAGGGCAAGGTAAAAAATGCCTTGTAATCAAATGAATCTTATTTTTAAAAAAATATTCCTCCATATATGAAGAAATATAAACTGATGAAGGGGCCTGTATAGTACTGCTAGGGAGACTAGAGCTAGGTTTAGATTCTGCAGGCAGGGGACTAAGAAAATCTTGGGAAGATCATTTATCTGTTCCCATTTTGTAAAAATGGGAATAGCAGCGCGAACCACGAAGAACTTGCTCTTAAGTATGTGTAGAGAGGCGAAAATGACGAAAAGGCACCAGGAAGTAAATATACAAACATTAAAAAGAGTTTATTTGAAAAGTACAAAATTAACTTATTTTATTAAATACCTCAGTTAGGGACTATGCTAAAATATATAAATATATATACATATATATAAGGAGAAGGAAAATCCTCCCCAATTTAAAAACCCTGTGTACCGGCTGCTCCTAGTACACTGCCAATATTGCAGCATGTGTCCCTAGAAGAAGCCTTGGGTATACCTTTTCTTTGGCGGAAGGTGGCCGTTTTGAGAAGAGTCCACAGACCGTTTGGTTGCCACCGTGAGCTCAGACAGAGGAGCGCTCCTCTTCAGGCTCAGCTTCCGGTTTTGTGTGCATCTCATCCTGGCGGTTCTCCTGGCACCCTGTTGGCAGGAAGCTGATTCTGTGGCCCTGGTAGGTAGCCGACACTCCGCCTGTGGGCGAAGCTGCCCATCCCTCCTGGAATATCCTTTCCGTTTCTGCCCGAGAATGAAACTTCGATAGAAGGATTCCACCTCGGGAAGGTCTGCCAGATTAGTCATCTCTATGGTATCGAGCAGATGGCTGTACTCCAGGGGGACAGGACTTCTTTGGCACTCTTGCAGTGGGGGCGAGTCCTGCCTCTTCAACACCTCCACGTGCATCTTACGGTTTGGCGGCAGCAGCCGTGGCCTCTTCCTCTCTGCAGACTTGAGCAGCAAATCTGAAGCGCAGATCTGCAGGAATTCCTCTTTGGGATTTGCTTCCGGCTCCAGTTCTTGGGCCACATGATGCAAGTCTCTTTGGCGGGGGCACTGTGCCGTCATCCGGCTACTTGCGTACAATTGCGCCTGAGGGGGAGGCACCACCATCAGGTAGAAAAAGGCATGTGACAAGGATGTGTCCCTTGTCCAATTCTCCTGGCTTGGAGCACAAGCTGGTGACCCACACCCTGACACTTGAGACGACACGGTGGGGTGTGTCTGGGGTTTCCGTTTTTCATACCACGCTTGAAGAAACTTCTCCCGGCTGGATTTGGGCCCTCCTACATCACTTGGGCACACGGCTTCCTCCCCTGGAATGGCTCCCGTTTCCATGTAAGGATCTGTGATTTCAAAGAGCGAGACGGGGGAAAAAAATAAGTGAAAGAACTTTCTGACATGCAATTTAATAAGGGGTGATAAAATGGAGTCTCGAATTGACCTGCAAGGAATAGCTGTAGCGTTGCCAGGCAACCACACGCATTCTAGATCTCACCAGTCTCAAACAAGCTTCTTGGCCTAAGCCATCACAGCAATAGCAGTTGGGACAAGAGGGATCAGGCTTCCCGATGTCATAAGCACTCTGATGTCAGTAACTTGGACAGTTGCTCACAACTGTTCACAAACCCACGGTGTACTATTTATGTGACCTGACCACTTGCCAAAGCTGCAGCTGGCAAGTCTTGACTACTGAGTGTTAGTGGTGGCTGGAGTCATGGAGGTGTGGCCAGTGAGGTCACAGGGGCATGACCAGTTGTTCTGGTTTTCTCCCCATCTTGCCTTTGCAAAGATTCTGTGGATACTTACGCATTGTAGTTGTACAAATACTTAGGACCTAACTAAACCGATAATTGACTTACAGGAATGCAAAACCTCCATACTTAAAAGTTGCAAAACACACACAGAAGACACCCACCATTTCTCCTTCCAATCCTCTTACCCATTCACAAAAATAAGTGGAAAATATGTATTACAAAGACACACACTGTCCACCATTGCTCTCAACAAATATTAATTTGAAAACAAGCTGCTCAAATTAGTAACCACACACATTCTTCCTAGGTAGCTATGAAGAATGTGTTTTGAGGTGTGGCTTTCAAGAAAACCGTTCTGAGCAGGGTGGATAGAAATTAATGATTTAAAATAAATAAATCAGATTTTTAAAATAAAATGCTTTTGGAGGAAACACCTTTCTAAAGATAGTTTTCCATTTAAGTTACATTATAGTCCAAAGGCTATTCATCAAGAAATAAGGATTTGTTTTACGTTTTTCATATTAAACTTCAACTCAGTCTTTTTAAAAAAAAAAAAATTTAACCACATCAGTTAACAAACATGGATACATATGCTATGTTATTGTTTTAGTAAAGTACAGCAGAAAAGTCAAAATATAAACAATTTCATAATTACCTGTCTTTGTATTTCTAATAGTACAGTATAACCAAATCAGTAATTGTTCATATAACTGTAAAAACTACTCTGAAAATTTATTATTCCAAAAATGAAACCTTCATCTGTTGTTAATATTAATATTATACCAGCAAGAATGAGTCTTTCTATAAAAAAATGATTTAATCAAGCCTTACTGACTAGTGATTTAAATCAATTTGATTTAAATAAAATCAGTTTCCCTTTAATTCCAATATCAGTTACGTGGTACGTGGGGACTTTTTAAAAACATAGCTACACTTTTGGATTAGCAGTGGCTGAGTGCTGCAGAGACCTGATTAGCCAGAGAACTAATTAACTTTATTTTTTTACAATTTATACACCATGATTGGGCGGGGGGGGGGGGGAGAAATCAAAGCAGTTTACAAAAAGAGAAAGAATAAAATTATCCGTAAAAAGTTAACAATGTTTGAAGATGAAAATGGAAGTACAAAATGTGTCTGAGACAGGAAAGCTGAGGAGGGATTTTTTTTTTAAACATTCTTCTCAGGAGGAAAGGCTCCGCCACAGTGACCAGCCTCCACCGCCCAAGGTGTGTTTACAGTAGCAATACTGTTTCTGAATGCATAATTTTATCTGGTGCCAACAGCTTTCATAACAGAAGAGAGCATCGTAAAATAACGGGTATGCACCACTTCTGTTTACAGTCACTAGGTAAGGCCCCCCCCCCCCCGCCAAAAAGAACTCAATTAAGAGGCCATTGCAAGTTTTCCAAACTCCTTTTGGATAAGATGTCCTCCCACATTGCCATGGGAAGCTGCAGCGTTTAGTGCTAGAATAAGCATTAAATATCTCCGCTGCTTGTCGCATCCCCTTGTCTGTGTGCCAGGTTACATTAGGCCCCAGGCTGAAGAGGATCTGATTTGATACCTTTGCATTGTGCTTTTGTTAGATTTGGCCAAGGCAGTCGTAATCCTATCCGTTTGGGAGTAATTCAATTGGCTCTGCTTCTCAGGACTAAGCAGTTCCCGTGCGCTCCCCACCCACCGCAATCCCCGTTTCCATTTCCTGCAATCTTGTCCTATGAAGTGGGCGCATTTACCTATGACATTGTGCCAGCCCCCTTTCACACTATTTGCGCGGATGTTCTTGAGGCGGAAGAGAGCCCAACCGAGCCACTCGGAACAGCTGCGCTCCAGGCTTGTGTCTTCTAATTACATCAGTGAAGAAGTGTTGTAGGCAAATGACTCCTCTAGTAGCAGAGCATTGCAGTTTAATGTGCAACATGAGCTCCTAACCGGCAGGCAAAACAACACTTCAGCTGAGATGGCCGGCCCCATGACCTTGGCTGTGTTGTGTGGGTGGGAGGGTGAGAGAGAGAGAGAGGAGAGACATGGCTCTCATAACAACAGGATTACTCCCTTGAACCTTACAGAGCAGCTGACAATTAGGCAACAAAGAGCAAGTGAAATATTTAAAGGAGGACTTTTTCCAACCTGTGTTGCTTAATTGGTTTGGTTTGCTTTCCCTGGACATGAATATTTTATAATCCCACCTCAGGTTTCCTTTGAGAAACAAGTGACTAGAACCTACTTTCTTTTTAAATAGTAGCATTGTTACCCTAAAGCTGTTGATAGCTCCAGGATTTTTTGTGGGGGTGGGTGGGGGAGGAGGCAGGCTTCTCACACACAAAAACAGTGGTACCTCGGGTTACAGACACTTCAGGTTACATACGCTTCAGGTTACAGACTCCGCTAACCCAGAAATAGTACCTCAGGTTAAGAACTTTGCTTCAGGATGAGAACAGAAATTGTGCGGCGGCAGCAGGAGGCCCCATTAGCTAAAGTGATGCTTCAGTTTAAGAACAGTTTCAGGTTAAGAACGGACCTCCAGAACGAATTAAGTTCTTAACCCGAGGTACCACTGTATGGGAGGAATAGTGCCTGAGCGTTTTGTCAGGTGTCTCACGTCCTACAGATGCTAGAATCATAGGATTGTAGAGTTGGAAGGGACCACAAGGGTCATTTAGTCCAATGCACTGCAATGCAGGAATCTTTTGGCCAGCATGGGACTCGAACCCACAACCCTGAGAGTAAGAGTCTCATGCTCTACCAACTGAGCTACCAAAGATACTCCTTTCTTTTTTTCTTTTAAATGAAAGCTGGGAATCTGGTGATGATGCCACCCCTAATGGATGGCCATGCCTGAACCTGAGAAGTAAATCCATTCTGAGCCATGAAGCTCCTGTGCCTTTAACTGTACAGCAAGCATAAATTCAACAGAAGGGGGAAGTCATGTGTTTTGAATGTGCATTGGATGTGCGTTAAACTAATGATGTGGATTCCGCCCCCCTTTTCTATCACTGCATCTTGATGGTAGAAGTAACAGAAACAACGCTTTCTCTACTCCTAATAACACCAGAGAGGTAAGGAAGGAGGGGGCAGAGAACAGAACTGGTTTTAATAACTCTGAGAGGCATTAAAACACTCTGCTTATATTCAGAGGCACTCTTTCTAGAGGCGTTCGAAACTCCCACTGCTCTAGACGCGTTTTGCGACAGTGAATTTCATTCATGCGAACAGTTTCTGAGCTCTGGGCGCAGTACTGTGCCTATGATTTCAGATTAAAACTGACACTGCTGGAAGAAAAGGAGGACTTTTTTCTGACTCTCCACTTCTAGCCACTCTCTGAAGACTGGAGAAGGGAGCCTCATAAGAATATTAGGGGGGCGGACAGGGGAGGTATAGCTTTGTGTGTGTTTTTTGCAGTCTTTGGATGAGGACTAGACCATGTGAAAAATGAACATAAGATTTTAGCTGCAGTTCATTCATTTTCAGCTTTGTATTCTTGTTATTAAAAAACTGTGCCGAGACACTCCATTGCAGCGCCCACAACCTAGGTTTAAGGTGCCATCTAGCTCCTAGCTTTCATATCTCAAGTTTCTAATACTGAGATATGAGCAGCTATTGGGAACTTTGGGCTCTCCAGATGTTGCTGAAAATGGTGATGAATGGAAGGAAATTGTTCTTCTAGTTGATGGGAGCCCAGTAAGCAAGGGGACCCAGGAAAGGCTGCTGATTTCTTGCAACAAGACTGCCTCCAAATAATTTCCTGCTTATTTCTTTTAGGGGCGGGGCTCTACTTTTCCTGGGCTGCTGAGGATACACTGAAGCTTGTTTCCATCCCCATCTCCCCAAAAATTGGGCCTGACAGACTTTTGAGTAATCTTTTCTAGCTAGGACACTGTTCAACACTGATCTTAAACCTTATCATTTACTTATTTACCACCTGCCCTTCATCCTAAGGTCTCAGGGTGGGTTACAGAACTAAAAACAATATTAAAAGTCAATTTAAAACATCTTATATGTTTAACAGAATTTACAGCTGTTAATATATATAGAAATGAGCAAACCAGTGATATTTTAGGGAGCAGACTAGCAGGCGGGGCCCATTACTTACATCATAGCAGCCTACACAACACAAAACACTGTTGCTGCATGTAGGTTTTATTTTTTATCTTACATTTTGGAAATGTGCAACCAGTTTTTCTTCCCTTTAAATTTTTTGGGTGCCCCCAAGAGAGTGGGACCCTAAGCTATAGCTTATTTAGCTTATACGTAAATCCGGCACTGCTCCTAGCCTGAGTGTCCAAAACTGTAAAAAGAAACCACAGCGACTTGAACCTGCCCTTACACACCCAGGACCCTACTGTGTGTCGCTGTTAGAAAAAGTCCTAGAGCTGCGTGGGTTTTGCAAAGGTTCCAGGATTTCCTTTTATCATACTTCTCTCCAAAAACTGAAGCTGAGAAACCTTGGTTGCTGGGATGCGACTGGCTCAGGGTCATCCCAGGAGCTTCAAGGTTAAACCTAGCTTTCAACAGCTGTTGGCCTCTTTGGAAAACCCCTTATCATATCTTATTAGCAGGGAAGAGCGAGATGCTCCTCAACCCCCCCTCTCTTTCCCCCCTTATGTCCACGCACTCTTTTTGCAGGTGGGTCCCAGGCATTGCACTGGAGAAAGCGAGAAGGCGCTGTGGAAACCACCACCCCCCGTCCCCCTTCAGACCTCCGATTGAATTGTATGGAGGTTGGGAGCGACGTGTGCACTCTTGCCCCCACCCCACCCCAGTGAGAAAACGGTGGAGGGTTAATCATATCTACCGATATTGAGCCTTGGTAAACGAAAGCAAAAGCCCGACTCCATTCTGGCCTCGTGACCAATGCTGCCACGTTTGCTTTAGGATGGGTGAAAAGTTCTTTTTTTTTACAGTGCGTGGTTGGGCCCAGTTTAAACTCGTCTGTTTTTTTAATGCGCAAACCGCATTCGTGTTTTAGTTTAGGTTTTTTGGGTTGTTTATTTTTAAATGGTAAGAATAAAATAGAACCTGGAGTCCAGGCCTCTCCGAAGGCCTCTCGAGAGGGGTTTGCAACGAAGCGGAGCCAATCTTTTTATCTTATCGGAAGGCGGCGCGTACGAGGCGCGAAACCCCCGATAAGGGGGGGGGGGACAACCTAAAATTTTGCTAAGCAGCTTTCCTACACAGCACCACAACCAGCGTGGATGGGGAAACCCAAACGGGTTAGAAAAGCGGCGACTTTAAAAGCAACCCCTTACTATGACGGCGGCGGTATAAAGCCGTTCTAGTTCCTGCTCGGTTAGCTGTATTATTCTTATTAATTTATTTTTTATTACCCTCCCTCCCATCTGATTATGTTGTTCCAGCCACTCTGGGCGGCTTCCAACGCATTTAAAAACCATAATAAAGCATGGCTCTTTCAGGAGATCCTCAAAAGATGGAGAATCGCAACATGTCGGGGAGGATTATGTGTGTTCTGCGTGTTTTCCTTGGTCGGACGAGGTGGACAAAAAGCCCTACGCCTACTCTCCACTGTCTCCCCTATAGAGAAGCTCCTCTTCAAGGGGGCGCTTTGCTAAAAGGCGACGCCTTGGGTCTCCCTCTTCTGCCCCTTCCTGCGCCCACCAGTCTAACACGGATGACAAATCTTGCTGGACAGCAGCGATTGCCGCAGCCAGATCCTGCACAACTCCGAATTTTAGTGCTTGTAAACCGCAGTAAGGCGATGTCTTTAACTAAGGCACTCCCGCCGCCAACCCCACTTCTAATGAATGCGTAAAACGGTGTGCAAGGTAATATTTCCTGATTCGGTTCCAGATGAAGATGACTCGGGTGGTGGAGAGGAAGCCAAGGCCCGCTGAGTTCAATGGGGCTTGTTACTCCCAGGTAATGGAGTACATAACTGCAACCTTCACATGCCAGCTGCCCCTTCAAAGTGCACACACCCCTTCAAATCGAAAAGGGATGGGATTTGGAAAAAATATATACCGCCGGGCCACATCAATAATTTGGCCTACGGGAAAAGGAAGGAGGGGGATTTATTATTTCGGACGAATTAGCTTTAAATATAGCGGGACATGCAAACAAACAAACACAAACAAACAAACAAAGGAGATGGTGAACTAACCTGTTTCTTTCCAGCTACCCGTTGTGTGATCCCACCTCTCCTGACTGGAAAGGGACGGCAGGTAAAATGCAAGTGGCAATCTTGCTTTTTTCTTTCTCTTTTAAAGATTCCCTCTAAACGGAGGTTGGCTAAGGAACCTTGTTGGGCAGAAATACAGGCCCCACCCAACATGCGTAAAGTAGTTCCTGCGTATGGAAGCCTTATCTTAATGACCCTAATGATGGTTTTGGGGAGGGGTGGTGGCTATCCTGCTTATCCCTTTTTAAAAACAAAAGTTAGCTCCGCCTAAGGTTATTTCCTATTTACCCCTTTTCCCTCCCGCTAGCAAGGAGGCAAGTTATTTTGAGAAAGGAGCTAGCTCCTGAAAAAAAGACCAAAGTAGGATGTATGTTAAGAAAGGCTGATGGGCTTGACAACTTGGCCCTATGAACTTTACTTACTGGACACAGGCATGGCATGGTTACCTCTAAAAAGGGGCCACTATCTGGAATATTCTAGTACCAAGAAACAGAATCATACCTATTTGAGGAGAAAACTTTGCCCCAAGGAACAGAACTTTCTACTCTATTGAATCCTTTCAGTTTTCCAAATGGAAAGGCCAAGAGGGAAAGAGCAACATTATGTTTTCAGTTTGCTTTTCCACTCAGGATTTAGCTATCTGTCCTGTTCATAAACCAGACTAAATAAAATGTCACTGAAAGTCTGTGCAGGATTCAGGATCCCCTTAGTAAGCAAACATGAGGAGAGAGAAGAGTCCTATGCTTCCTGGTAGGGCCTGAAACAACAAGGCCTACTTCCACAGCAAGCAATTGGTCTACTTTGTAATATTTTCTCAGCCAGTTAACTATTTGTATTATACAAATGCTCCCATTGTATAATATGAAGAAAGACTACAATGCACAACATTTTTTTTATACTGTTGCTTTAAGCATAAACAAGGGGAGTAATATCTCCTGTAGTGCAAGTATGCCCCCTACCTAGGCAGTAAGACTATCATCTATTTAGCAGGGATACAATATTTTAATTTTGGGGACCAGTGTTCACATCTTCCTATTGATTTCCAGAGAGAAAGCCATGCTAATCTCTTGCAGCAAAACCAGCAAAAAGCTTTATAGTATCTTTAAGGACTCGCACGTTTGCCATGCCATAGTCTAGTGTCCATAAAAGTTTATGCCATAATAAATTTGTTGTATTTATAGCGCTGCTAAATTATTTGTTTTTATGCTACTGGTAAAATTGTTGAAGCTTCCCTCACCCTAATCTGGAATGCCCAATACAGCAGTAACAGCTGAAACAAAAACATTTCTCTATTTAAAAAAAATGGATTAAGGTCCCTATACTTCAACTGACAACTTTAAAAAACAATGCCCCAGACTGATGGTGTTAGCTTGGAATTCATATGTAAATTTGACACTATCAGACTGAACAGAAAGAAAATGATTGAATTTTTACCTCCACAAGTGCTTCAGGTTCTTTTGCTAATTAATTACCAGCTGGACTCACTCTGATTGGATCTTTTTATCCATTTGAATGGCCCTTGTTTGCAATAGTAATGGATCACATAATTTTTATTATTATTTTGCTTTCTAGCCTTCCTTTCTTCTGTCTCCTGCTTTCTGAGGATTTCACTTTATCTGCAATCTACAAGCTTGTATTGTAGTTACATTGATTTACACTTCAGTCCCAGTAAGTAATACATGTGTCTTTCAGAGCTTCATGTTTTGCTATTGTGTCTGACCCTAGCATATGCTTTACTCAGGCAAAGACCGTTGTCTCGGTTTTCCCAGTGCCACTGCTAACCATCTGCTGCCATCATTGGTTGAAAAGTTCGGCCATGCCATTGGGAATCTTGAATTATTGATGCCATCTTTCCTTCATACTCCGTGTTCCCTCACGGCATAGGTATCCTGGCTGAACCTAAGTTTGCTATGAAAGTGGATGTACTGGAAATATCAAGAAGGGCTTCTACAGGCTGTTGAAGAAGAAAGGAACACTCTTATTAGAGCATTAGGCTGCACAGAACGCTGACTTCTGATCTCATCACTGCTAATCCCATTGTTGGAATTGAGAGGGAGGAGATTGGTAAGTTGGATAAGGACATTTAGACTAAACTGAAAATGTAAACAAACTGGCTGACTTCGAAATGGAAACTTGAAAAAGTATTCTTAAAGTGGCGCCTCTAAAATATTGAAAACTGCTTTATATTCAGAGCCCACATAATTGCTGTAAAGGATGCAAAACAAAATAATGTATTTTATTGGACCAAGTTACATTAACATAAGATTAACATAGGCAAGTGTTTTTAGAAGATTTGCACTGCACTCATTCAGACAAGATTAAAGCCTTAGTATTCAGTGTAGGTAACATGTTATATTGCAGAATTTCACTCATACAACAAGTGAAAATTTTCATTGGACTCAAAAGCCAACGTATTGCAGTCCTGTTTTCTTTGGAGCTCATGTTCCTTCTCTTTTTTTGTTTCTTAATTTAATTTTTCCTACAGATAATTCTTGAGGCCACTGCCTTTTCCACATAAAAAGGGTGAAATGAAACAAATTACTCTATAAATAATAAATCAGTATAAATTCTATCCATTAAACGTTTTCGGATATAAAATCTTCTATTCCTAACAATCCTTAATAGGCTTCCTCATATCTGGCATGCTGGAACAGAATCTTACGTTTTGTTATGCTGAGTGCACAATAGTGCTTCAATGAGTTTGGAACACAAATAGTACTTTCCAGTATTCCTCTTATCTTCATAGACATTTTCTGCTTCCCAAATTAACAGTGATTTGTGGAAAACACTGAAACCACATGAGAAGTAGTTGACAATGGTCTACTGGAAATTTGTGTCTAAATACTAATTTCAAAGCTATGGGAGTATAGAGGTCTATTTTTCTGTATCAGCCAAACCAACTGAGTCTCAAATTCCCTTAATTGTTTTAAATATATTTGCACAGTGATGTAAATATATCCCACAATGCATGGTATATAAATTAAGGCACATGGTGGAGTTTATGTGCCCAATTTGTATTGTATGCCTTATTTAACAAGAACAGAAACTGCGTTTTTGGATGCCATCACAGTTTTCTCAATGTGGGCTGAGCAGAGGTGTGCAAAGTTTTGTCTTTCTTATTTACTTATTACAGGGGTGGATAATCAGGCTGTAAATGTGGTAAATCAGAGGTGGCTAAGCTGTGGCCTTCCAGATGTTAGACTACAACTCTCACCATCCATAAACATTGGCCATGCTGGCTGGGACTGATCTGAGGTGGAGTCCAACAACATCAAGAAGGCCACAGCTTAGCCATCTCCAATTTTACCACATTTGCAGCCTGATTATCCATCCCCCATGGAGTTCAAGGTAAGTTGAAGTATTTGGAGTGAAAGCCCCCACCCCACCCCCAAACAAGGAATGGCAAAAGTTTTGTATGCAGCTTCACATGGAAGGGAAATATAGTGGTACCTTGGCTCTCAAACTTAATCCGTTCTGGAATTCCGTTCCAAAACCAAAGCGTTCCAAAACCAAAATGGATTAATCCGATCCAGACTTTTAAAAACAACCCCTAAAACAGCAACTTAACATGAATTTTGCTATCTAACGAGACCATTGATCCATAAAATGAAAGCGATAAACAATGTACTGCAGTCACACAATCAATCAATTAGTAGCTGAACTGGGTTCCACACAGTCACAAAAACAAAAAAAGAGCCGCAGAAACGCAAAATAAATAGCAAAAACAGACAGCGTAACACTCAAAACAGAAGCATGGCACTCAGATCAGAAGCATAGCACTCAAAACAGAGCACATTCAGCTTCTGACAAAAGTTCGCAAACCGGAACACTTACTCCTGGGTTTGCAGTGTTTGGGTTCCAAGTTGTTTGAGTACCAAGGCGTTTGAGAACCAAGGTACCACTGTGCATGTGTGAGAGAAGTTCCATACTTCAGTGTAACATTTCCATGTCAGTTTTGTTTGTGATGCCATAGGCATGTCTGAGCAGTTCCATAATTGTGGTGCCCTTACTGCTATGTGACATCAGTTTTGCTATCAAGCTGCCCACATCAGCAAAGGCGTGTGTCAAAATACAGTTTCAAGTCTTAGACCATTGGAGAATAGAGAATAAAAAATCCAGATAATAAGAAATCGGCCACCCCTTCTGCAGGTGATTTGTGGATTAAAAAAAATTTACCGTATTTTTTGCACCATAACACTCACTTTTTTCCTCCTAGAAAGTAAGGGGAAATGTCTGTGCGTGTTATGGAGCGAATGCCTGCGGGTGGCGGGGGGGATCTGCTGCAGTCGTGAGCAGAGGATCCATGGTTCCCCTTCCTTCCCTCCTCCGTGGTTACAAAGCATGGATCCACATGGATCCTCAGGATTTTTGCATTGGGCTACTCCAAACTCACTGTCAGATCACATGTCTGTGGCCACAGCATGAACCACAAAAATCATATATCCACTATTTCATTTAGAATTTTTTTTCCCTTGTTTTCCTCCTCTAAAAACTACGTGCGTGTTATGGTCTGGTGTGTGTTATAGAGTGAAAAATACGGTACTTGCACATTCATTGCACATAGAATATGACCTCTTTCCTCTTAATTGATGATGTGCTTATGTATATAGGAAGAATGGCACCTTCTCGGTCTAAAGCAGAACGCAAAACATCCAGAGAACAGAAAGCTGAGCATGGCAGCCAGGTAATAACAACACATGTTTCTCGAAAAAATAAAAAGCATGTTGACGAATCAAAGAACCAGGACAGAAGGCTGAAGAAAAGAAAGAGCAATGAGAGAAATAATTCTGAAGATTCATCCTCTGATGAGGATGGGGTTCCTGTTGTCTCCGTGCAGGGCCCAGCAAAGGGCAAGGGAGAGGTGAGAAGGCTGAAGGAAGGAAGGAAGAGTAGCTTCAAGAAAGAAGGAAAAGAGAAGAGAAGTTCCAAGGTCAGAGAATGTCATTCTGATAGAAGACATGAGCAGTTAATGTGCAAGGGAGAGAAGAACGAAAGAAGGGTTGTGAGGCAAGATGATCAGATTTCAGGACAATGGCACAATGCCAGCGCGAAAAGCGCTGAATCAAAGGACGCTGAAGACAATGAGAAACACAACTTGAAAAGGAAACGTAAGAAGCAACCAAGCAAGAGAAAGAATATTGCTGATACTGAGTCCCTCACAATAGAAAATGAACAAGGTTCCCCTTGGAAGAAGCAAGAGTCATACCAGAGAAGTCATACTGAAAGCAAGGAACAATGTAAGAGGAAGCCTCGCTATAAGGCTAGTGGTAAGACTACCAGAGAAAAAAGTGGAGGGCACAAGAAGACACATACTGGAAAGTCAGCTAGAATACTTTCCAAAGCAAATCCTGTGGATTCAGAAGGTTCATCATCATCATCATCTTCAAACTCCCAAGATAAATACAGTTTGAACCAAAGAATGGGAGATAAAGAGACTGGAAAGGACAAGTTCAAAGTCAGAGAGCGTAGACAGAACTCTTTGGAAGATGAAGATGAAGAACTCTGTTCTAAGAAAGTGTTACCCGCTATTGGGGAAGATCAACCTGCAGGCAAAACTAGTGACTGTCAAGAACTTCAGGAAACAGCCAGTGAAAGTGAAGGAAAGTCAGAGATCATAGCAGCAAGACAAGAGGCTGAGAATGAAGAGAGCCACTCTGAGATAGATGAAAAAATAAAAGGGAGTGATAAAAGATATGTGGCAAGAAAAGTTACAGCAAGTGATAATGATGAGCAAAGTGGTAACTCAGACAATTGCAGTAGTAGCCCTACAGAGGAAGAGAGCAATGATGGGGAGCATGAAAATCTTTCGGAAAAGGGGAGTGGCAAAGAAGCCTCCGACTATGAGCAGAGTATACCTGGAAGTGAAGAGGAGGAAAGTGAGACGAGCAGCTTTGCAAAAAGAAAAAGTAGAAACAAGAAAAGATCAAAGCTCCTCAAGTTTGGCTCAAACAAAAATCCTCAAGAGAACCACCAGACGGAAGAGAACTTGAGTGTCAGTGACAAAACAACCACCTCCTCACTACAACTAATAAAGCACAAAAGTGAATATTGTGGTAAGACTGATCCATCCAAACAAGGCATGCATTTAGAAGAGCAAACAAGCCGAGATGCAAGTTCAAGAGTAGATGCAGTGGCCTTGCTCGAAAAGAGATATAGCCATCTGACTTCACAATCCCAAATTCTGCTAAGCCTAAAAAGCAGGCATAAGGATGCTAAAGCCAAACTATTGACAAGTGGCAGTTGTCCTAAGGCAGCAGAAATTGGCTCTGATTTGAAGAAAGCTGGAAGCATTCATCCGAAAAAGAGTACCAAAAGAAATGACAAAATTGTTTCTAGAGCCAAAGAGATTAAAGAATCAAGTCTCTCTACTGCTTCAAGCTCAAACGTTAACACTAGAAAGCTTTCTGTTGAGAAGAAAAAGAAAATTGGAAAAGTAACTGGAAATGTCAAAATGGCTTCAAATCAGGTCCTGGAGACAAGAGAGGAAGAGGAGCTAGTGGAGGAACAAACAGTTGAAGATGCTGTCGGAAAAGGCACAATCTCTTCTAAGCAAACGAGATCCAAATCTCTACAAACCCTTTCAGCGTTTAAGAAAGTGACCCATTGGCTTAGCCATAAGCCTCCCAAGAAAGCAAGCCTGAAAGAGCGCTTCTTACGTGTGGCACGTGCAGTTGGCCTCTCTGGATGGCTCTTCAAGAAGTTTGGCAAGAAGAAGAGGAGCAACAAATCATTTGGATTCAGGAGAAGAATGGCCATCCGGATTGTTGGCACTGTTGGGCTGGCCAAGAGATGTGGCAGGCCTTTCCATGACTCAACAGGGGAGCAAATGAAGAAACACTTGTGTAAAAAAGGGTCTTCCTGTTCCTTGTTAGAATGTGATCAAACCGGAGATGAAGATACAGTTGTGAACAAAGAACTGGAAGAAGGGGCAAGGTCTTCAAGGAATTTCCCCTGTAATGAAGACAACTTAAAACCTTTGCTGATGAATCTCAGTGGACAAACCGAGGAAGAGAAAAGCAGTATCACGGATGCCAAGTTTGCCATTGTGTTCCCCAGGGTTCATCAGTTGGTGAAGTCCAAAAACGCTTCTCTTGAAGTTGACTGTAGTGGACCACAGCTGCAGTCATGTGATCAACCAAGCAGGAAAACAATAATATCTGTCCAGCCAGATGTTAAATTGCAACATGAATATTCTAAGCCAAATGGCCAAAGGAATAGTCAAGTGCTTCCTTGCAGTCCTCAAGCTGATGTATCTATACCAGGTATGTAAAATCAAGCTAATCCTAAAGTAAGGTAAAGGGACCTCTGACTGTTGGGTCCAGTCATGGACGACTCGGGGGTTGCGGCGCTCATCTTGCTTTATTGGCCGAGGGAGCCAGCATACAGCATGTGGCCAGCATGACTAAACCGCTTCTGGCAAACCAGAGCAGCACACGGAAACGCCGTTTAGCTTCCCACCGGAGTGATACTTATTTATCTACATGCACTTTAATATGCTTTCGAACTGCTAGGTTGGCAAGAGCAGGGACCAAGCAACGGGAGCTCACCCCATCATGGGGATTCAAACTGCCGACCTTCTGATTGGCAAGCCCTAGGCTCTGTGGTTTAGACCACAGCACCAAAAAAGCTATTAAGTTGCTTATGCCAAATAATAAAGACTCTTAAGAAAAGGAAAAAGGCAGGTCTTTAATTATGCTCCATTTCCCCCCAAATATAGTCCTCCATGTACCTTCCTCTCAGCTTTCCTGCAGTGCCTCTTTCCAGTCAATGGCCATGTCTATTCTATAACTTCAGTTTGTAAGCCAGGAAATGTGCCATTAGCTCTCCCTTACTCAGCCTTACGCTATATATCCCCCCCCCCTTTCTCTCATTTCATAAAACCAGACAATGAAAAAAGGGGGAGAAATCCTTTGGGCATTTGTAATAATGATTTTGAATGTTCTTCTGTTTTTTCTTTTAACTATAGCTGAGGTAAGAGCTGTTACCACACTACCTCAGGAGACAAACATTGCTCTTTGCCATGCTGCCATTTTGAAATCCCATCCAGTAGGCTTTTTCTGTTGAGCTGAAATTCTTGAGGGGGAATGGTGGGTCAAAACAGTGTTTTGGTTTTCATTAGTATACATTAGTGAAGTTTTTAATATTTGAAGTTTTATTCTGTTTTTAGTGTTCTGTTGGGAGCTGCCCAGAGTGGCTGGGGAAACCCAGCCGGATGGGCGGGGTATAAATAATAAAGTTATTAAAGTTATTATTATTACTGTGATGTTCCTCTAATGATGTGCCTTTGATCCAAGAGGAAAGCAAGATCGGGTTCCTTGGATAAGAGTGAAGCGTTCATTTGCAAACTTCAAACTTGGATACCTTCAAATACAACTAGAAACAGTTGATGTAACATGTAACCTGCTCTCTTTTCTTCTAAGTTGAAGGAAGGGTGTTACAAGACTCTGTACCTTCCAGCTTGGGGGAAGATGACAAGGCAGACCTCACCCAGAGGAGCACGCCAGAAACAGTGGATCAAGTGCACTGGACTCAGCATCAGCCTTTTACATGTGACCCTACCGCTTGGCTGAATTCTGAAACGCTGCTCCCACGGTTCACCATTGAGAACTTAAGCAAGTGGACTTTATATAAAGAGCAGGATCTGGCCAAGTCTTCTAGGTCAAAAAAAGCATTGCAGGGAAGGTGGGAGGCAGAAGATGTCACTGAAGATGTTCTTGAGATGGACATGATGCAAAAGCAGGTTGGTGCATTCTGTGCTAGAGATCATTGTGTGGGATGCGGCTGAATTGATGTTATGTATCTCTTTGAAATGCCATTGTCATATACCTTCCAGATGTACAGAGATGAGGATTGCTACATGGAATTTGAAAAAGTGGAGGACCTTTCCAGGTTGGAGTAAGTATGGTACAAGGCGTTTTTCTGATAGAAGTGTATGAGGAAACCCAGGGTCATCAGGGTCCGATCCAGGATTCAGAGTGTAGTTATGTATTGATTTACTTCCGACATCAGTAGTAAACATTTCTTCAAATTAACTGCTGGATTTTGTTTTGGGGGGTAGAAAAATAGGTATGCTATCAAATCAAAATCCTCAAATATAATATTTCTTCCCCCCACCCAGGGAAGTCAGCGAAAGCTCTGTGCTGCTGTGCCTGAAAAAGAGATTCCATCGCAACTTTATTTATGTATGGATATTACTTTCTTAATCTCTGTAACTGATTGTCATAAGGAGTAAGTGCATGTGTGTAAGAATGTTGAGAATGGGAGACACTGATTTCCCACATGGGGAAGAATCCGCAATGGAACCCCTTGTGACTGAATAACAGTGCCATTTTCTTAGTGTGGAACAGGGGTTGGGAACATTTTTCAGCCAGAGAGCCACGTCTTTATCTCTCCCTCTGCTGGTGGGCCAACCTAGGCAGGTGGGCAGAGCTGGCTACCTGTCTCTCACCTGACATCGTAGTAAGACCAGGGAATGCTTCCCGTTGAAGCCCTAATGGTTGCAAACCAAACCATGGGGCTTTCAAACAACCCTTCATAATTGCAAGAAGAGCTGGCAGGCAGGCGGGAGTGAGCCTCGCTTGATAAAGGAAGAACTATGAGCTGTTTGATGTTGGGTGTGTGGTAGGTGGTAGGTGGATGAAAATGGCCTCATGAGCCAGTTGGGGAGGCCTAGAGGGCCATGTTAGGTCTGCAGGCTGGAGATTCTCCACCCCTGGTCTTTACAAGAGTTAAGAGAAGGGACTTGGGTTTGAAATTCCTGCCCTGCTTTTGAGGATAAGTAAAGCCAAGGCAATGCTGTGCTTCTTCCTAGACGTACATTGGGCATATCTTGATCTGTATCAATCCTTTCAAGCCACTCAGCCTTTTTTCCGAAGATGTGGTGATCCAGTACCAGAATGGCCTGCTCTCCAGAAATGCACCGTATGTCTGCATTGTGTTTTCTCCTTGCCTTATTCCGATAATCTTATTCATGCTGCATACAAAATCCTGGCTTTCATTTGCAAGCTTGGGCTCATTTCACTTGGCCAAAGTGATTGTGCCTCTCTTTGGAATTTAGGAATATGGCACAATTCTTTCACTCATTTCAGTGACAATGTTGCTATTGGATTTTATATATGCTTGCTCACACACAAACACACACACACAACGTTCATCATCTCACTCAGATCTGCAATGTAATTTGTTTATGTATTTGTTTTTGATTTCTGGGGCTTGGGCAACAAATTACTGATTTTTGTCATAGGGTTGGAGTTTTTGTCCCAGGGAAGCAGGTCACACACAATAAGAGTGTTCTAGAAACAAAGAACTTTACAAAGTGCTGCTAACCCACTGTGGGTTTAAATTCCCACCCAAACCTTTGATCATTTTTAGCAATGCTCATGCTAGGGTTTTTATCATAGAATACTGGTATTATTTTGAAATAAAGCTGATGTCCTCCTCCCCCCCCCCTTTTTAAAGCACTTTCTGAACACATGACTCCATAATGGAAAGCCTGAGTGATCAATTTAACACACGCCTTACAAAAAGTTGGACTAGGACAAGTTATCCTTGCCAAGCTGACTTTAATTACCAGCATGTTGTTGGTTTTTAAAAGATATTTCATAGACACTCCACAAATACTCTAATTTGTAAATACTTTGCAAAAGCGGAAATTACTGAAAATAAGGTGTTTGGGTGCTGACCTTTGCACCTGAGCAGCTTCTCTAGCCAGCTGTGGCTTTTTCTCCTATGCCCTAATGATCCTATGAAGGGTAGTCTCTCCTATTCCTTAATTCAATCAGGGGAAAGAAAGTGGAATTGATTGTTTTCACAACACTGTGTGCTTGCCTTGCAGGGTTGCAGTTTACACAGAAATAAAACAAAAGACGAAAAGATTCCCAACACCCAATATATTTAGTAGGTTACTGTAAACTAGGTTGACTTTGAGATAGTAATGGTCAGCCTCATTTTCAAAGAGTATACAGTTGTTTGTTTGTGTTGGTAAAATCATAAACTAGAGGGTGTCCAGAGATCCACAGCAAAAAGCAGCCTCTATTCAATAGCCCTGTGTGGTAGACAAGCTTTAAGATTGTAGTCCTTGAATTGAAATAATTTCCATTAACAGTAAAAAGAGTCTTTAAGAACTTGATTAACTTTTAGATGCAACTCTCTTATTTATCCCTTCACAACAACATTGCTGTAAGGCAGACAGGTTTTAAAATTGTAATGGCCAGACTCATATTAAATCAACAGGGCCTGATTTATATATTTCCCATTGGGGAGATTTTTTAAAAAAATAATGAAACAGTTCTTCACAGTAACCCTCTATGGTAGGCAACTTTTAAGTAATCTCTGGTTTCAAACCAAAAATAGAAAAATTCATGGTTTCTTATTGCTTATGGAAAGTAATATGTAAGTGTGCTGCTGATTTAATCTGAGGCTGGCTATTACAGTCTTAAAGGTCTGCCATGCAGGGTTGGTGTTAGTGAAGGGTTGCAGCTAAGAACTAGAAAAATCCACCTGTTCAAATGCCAGTATAATGCTTTGATCTGAGACTGGCTTAAACCATAGAACAACAACAACAAAATCTGTATGAGACTCATTTTGCTATTAATATTCTGATCACTCCAGTTTTAAATACCTTCTTATCTCACATGGCTGTATTATGCCAAAGTGCTCAGCTTTGGGGTTTGCTGCCAACCAAAGTACTTTATTACAATAGCTTGTGGAGGACTAAGTATAATGTGGGGAAGTTTTTAAGCCTCCTGGTGTGCATTCCACTAAATCTAATGTTTATCGCCAGGATGCTCAAGCCAGTGTGGTGTAGTGGTTAAGAGCGGTGGACTCATAATCTGGTGAACCGGGTTCACGTCTCCGCTCCTCCACATGCAGCTGCTGGGTGACCTTGGGCTAGTCACACTTCATTGAAGTCTCTCAGCCCCACTCACATCACAGAGTGTTTGTTGTGGGGGAGGAGGGGAAAGGAGAATGTTAGCCGCTTTGAGACTCCTTAGGGTAGTGATAAAGCAGGATATCAAATCCAAACTCCTCCTCCTCCTTCTTCTTCTTCATCTTCTTCTTCTCCCAACCTCTCTCCCAATTTCATTCTTTAACTAAAACTTTCCATGGCTCAAGCACTCTCAACCCTAGACTTAATGGCTCTGAGCCACAGCATCTGCACAGTTTGGTTCTGTTAGGTTACAGGTGGGCAAGCTGTGGCCCTTGGTATAATTTTTGACAGTTCTCGGATACAACAATCCAGAGAAAGTTAAGCACAATTAAGTTCTACAGAAATCTTGCATTTATTGGAATAAGCTGCTCTGGTTTCTTTCCCCCCCGAAGGAGTGTGAGGTATGAAATGTTAATAAACATGGTCCAATTTCAACATCTGCAACCCAATGTGGCCACTTCTGCCTCAGGAATTTCCTGTCCTCCCTTACCTTACCGCTCTGCCAACTGTGCTGCCTAAATATTTCAATGTGTTTGTACAAAAAGTAGCTGTTGATAAGGTGTTGTGTCAATCTCTGTACAAATAAGCCTGAACTAATTTTGATGCAACTGGAATTTAGTAATAACTAAAAACTGGCTGAGTAATAACATGGGTTTTCTTCTTTCTCTCTCTCTCTCTCTCTCCCCCCCCTCCATTTCTTTTGGTCCCCTTGCAGACATATATTTGCCATCACAGAAATGGCATATGCCTTCTCTCAGAGCTCAGAGAAAGAGCAGTGCATTGTCCTCAGGTAAGAGAGAGATAAAGGCAACTTTCCTAAGATTGTCTGAGATTTATTCTCCATCTCCCTATTGCTTCTTCTGCACTGATGCAAAAGGGGCCCAAGTGTCATTAGGGGCACTATTCAGGCCATGTTTGTTGGGTGCTTTCCTGGAAGTAAGCAATTGAATTCAGTGGAACTTACTTCTGAGTAGAAATATTGTGGTGTTGAGATTTCTCTTCAGGATTCTGCTGCTTCTGCAGCTAATCTGCAGCCATGTAATACAGAGGGCCAATAGACAAGCCACCTGCTTGACTAGCACAGGCTTCCTCAACCTCAGCCCTCCAGATGTTGTTGGCCTACAACTCCCATGATCCCTAGCTAGCAGGACTAGTGGTCAGGGATGATGGGAATTGTAGTCTCAAAACATCTGGAGGGCCGAGGTTGAGGAAGCCTGATCTAGCACATTCTTTCATTGGGACAGGAGGGGAGGAATTAGTGCTTTGGATATGACTTGCCAGCATTTGGTGTGTTTAGGAGCATCATACCAATCTTCCAAATATGCATCTCATGTTGGGACAGTATGTGGGAACCTTGGTGCGTGATGGTGGTGGTGGGAATCTGCCATAGTTGGTTTTCAGCATGGCTTTATTTTATGGACTACCTGCCCCTTATGATCAAACCTATTGATTTGGGTGGCCATTAACACCATTGAGGTTTCTCTTGAGCTTCTAGCAGTCTTTTCAGACTGGTTATATTGCCATAAAAGTTGTGTTTTGTTTTTTTCCCCTTTTTGGCTGACAAATTATCTTCTTCTTTGTTGCTGTTTATAATAAGCAATGGACAATGAGATCTTAATTGGATTTTTTTTTTCAAGAAAGAAAAGGAAAAAAACCCACCAGTTCAACTGTTGATAAACTGCACTGGTGGAGAATGTGATCCAGCAACTTAAATAACAGTGACGATCTTTGCATTACACCTCCCTCCTTTTTAATGTTTTCCAGTGGACACAGTGGCTCGGGAAAGACTGAAACTGCCAAAGCGATCATCCTCTATTTGTCCAGGCTATACCAAAGGCAAGAAAGCCATGGGATAAAGCAAGTATGTGTACTATTATTTAACATTTCTTTAGTGACAATAAGATGTTCAGAAGTTAGGTTGTCATTGAGCACAATTAGTGCATGTTGCAGCCCGAATACTAAATGCTTGGTCTGAAAATAAATCTTAATGAAATCTTCCATACAAATACATTAAAAAAGGTAATGAATTAATTAGAATTTTATATCCGCTTACCCTGGGGATAACCACCATTGAGCTCAATGGGACCCATAAGATTGTACTAAAAGTAATGTAATGTTGTTGATTGATTAAAAAAAATAAGGCAGCATCTTTAATATTAATATTGTCCTTGTCCTTACAGCCATCTGATGTGTTACCCATCTTGGAAAGTTTTGGAAGTGCAAAGACCATCTTAAATGACAACTCCAGCCGCTTTGGAAAGTTCTTGCATGTCCACCTAAGACAGTGAGTTAAAAAAAAGAAATTAATATTTCTGTTTGAAACAGAAAAAGCATAGATAGTGGGGGATGGAAAATCAACAGTAAGGTAATAACTTTATTAGGAACAATGTATTTTTTAAAAACTTACTGAACGTGTTAAGCTAGTGGATGTGTTAATGGAGGATATAGCCTTATCAGGGATTCCTGTTGGCTCATGTTCACATGCTTGGGATGGATTCCAAGGGATTCCAGTCAGCTTCTCTTTGCTGTTTGAAGAATGATTGTCTGCTCTTAAGAACCGTACGGACGCACCAAGGAGTCTTGAGCACAGCCTGCCTCTGTCACATGAGAGGCTGTTCTCTGAATTGTTTCCAATGAGAGACTGGTTCTCTTGGGCTCCACCCAGAGCAAGGGCAAGGAGACAGGTTCCCTTCCAGCAGCAGGAGGAATGGAGCTGAAATGGCTTACCTCAGGAATGGCAAAACTATTGGCCCTCCAGACAATGCTGGACTCCGGTTCCCATCATCCCTGACCTTTGGATGTTCTGGCTGGGGTTGATGGGAGTTGGAATACAACAACAACAGGAGGGCCAGATGTTCACCGTTTCTGACTTATTATAAATCTGTTAAGAAATAGTGTGCAAATCAGCTCTGGTCTACAAGCTGGTGCCTCTTGAGAGATGACAGTACTTCTTAATTTATTATGTAAAAGAGACTGGTGCAGTAACAACAGATTTATCTTTAGTTTTTCTCACATAAAAACTACCATGTGCCTTAATTTGTATGTGATGCTTTCATTGACTGGGTCTCACTGTGCATTTCAAACACTTAGAGGGATTTGAGAGTCAGCTGGTTTGGTTGCTGTAGAATAGGGAGTTCTAAACTCCCACAGCTTTGAAATTCCAAGTATTCAGACGCCAGTTGTCAGTATTCCCCAGCATTTATTTGAATCAAAAGACCTCCCTCAGATACTTTTCCATGAGATTTCAGTGTTTTCCACAAATCACCATTAGTTTGGGGAGCAGGAGCCTGTGTTTTGAGAATGCTACTAAACCTCTGAATGCCTTATTTCTTCAATGGCGAGTGTTCAAAAAATTGCCTTGCATTATTGAACAAAACCTCCCATTCCATAAAGTCTATAGTCAGGGCAGAAAATAAAACGACTTGTCTTACAGAAATCTCTTCCTCATAGCGGATTTATGGTGGGAACGTCCATCTCTCAGTACCTTTTGGAGAAGTCCAGAGTTGTTTTTCAGGTAAGGACAAAAGTGTTCTCGCATGTCAGATGGCCGATAAATTACCTGTGTGCATGAGACGCACTATTCTATAGTAAGTAATCCCGCTTCCATGTGTGACCTGCAAACCCACATAGGGAAGAGTTTTTTGGGTAAAAGGGAAGGGATGGGGGACAGGATTTGTGGAGATCTGAGTTTGTGCTAGTTGTTTGTGGATGCTTTTGATATTTCTCCTTTACCCTGGCCTTTGATACCTTGAGATGTAAATTTTTAGGACCCGCCCTATTCTTGTGACTGCAATTGTTGTATTTTAAATGGCTGTGATCCACTCTGGGGTGTTAATGGTGATGATTATGATACCACCTACACATGATGTGGGAAGTCACATCTTCTTGAGCAAAAGCTGCACCTCCATGTGGGAAGGTAACTAGTCTACAGAATCACCTTGCAAATTCTGAAGCTTGAACATGGCAAATTGGGGGGGGGCAGGTCTATAAACATGGATTATCAGTGAAGTTAGACATCAGTCAGTAGTATCCTACAATCACTGTGTCCACCATCTGTACTGTTCATTTTAAAATCTCAGAAAACTGTTGGCAGTCAGCAACTTTTTTTCTCCCAAGTAGTATATTCCTGTTAAAGAGAACGATGCTGATCCACACTATCCACTGATAGCACAGCCATGACTCTCTCTAAAGCAGGCATAGGCAAACACGCCCTCCAGATGTTTTGGGACTACAACTCCCATAATCCCTAGCTAACAGGACCAGTGGTCAGGGATGATGGGAATTGTAGTCACAAAACATCTGGAGGACTGAGTTTGCCTATGCCTGCCCTAAAGAATCCTGAGAACTGTAGTTTGTTAAGGTGGCGGTAATAATAATAATAATAATAATAATAATAATAATAATAATAATAATTTATTTATACCCTGCCCATCTGACTGGGTTTCCCCAGCCACTCTGGGTGGCTCCCAACAGAATGTTAGAAAAACACGATAAAACATCAAACATTAAAAAAATTCCCTAAACAGGGTTGCCTTCTCAAAGTCAGATAGTTGTTTATTTCCTTGACATCTGATAGGAGGGCGTTCCACAGGGTGGGCGCCACTACTGAGAAAGCCCTCTGCTTGGTTCCTGTCTAGGGACTGGTCCTCCAAGAAGGGAAAGCTGCTGTTCCCAGGACTCTTCAGGGCTGAGCCACATGCTTTAAATGTGTGTTGGATGTGCTTTAAATGTATGGGGTGGGATTCAACTTAAGTCCTAAAAACTAGGGCAATGGGGCTTCCGCCCCTCTCCTTGTGCACCCCCTGATATTGACTCATTGGAGTCAGAAGAACCTCCAAAAAAAAAGTGCAGGGGGGAGGAGGAGGAGGATTGTTCTGTTTGGCAAGCGAAAAAGCCTGAGATGACATAACGATTGCAATAGCAGAATGTTAAATTCCTCCCATGGTGTGGATCTGCAAGGGCTACCTCCTCTTTGTTTTTTAGGGCCGAGGTGAAAGGAGCTTTCATGTGTTTTATGAGCTGCTGTGTGGTCTTCCAGTAGGACAAAAAGAGGAACTTTACCTGCAAGAGGCAGAGACTTACTTTTATCTAAACCAGGCAAGTAAATAGATGGTTTTAGACACTCAGCTGAGCCACAGCAGTGCTTGCCTTGCTTTACAGAAATAGCTTGACTCGGATGTGTTTTTCCCACTCCCCAATTCTGCAGGGCTAACCCTTTTATAAGGATTTAAAAGGTTTTATAGGGGGTGAAATTACAGTACTTGAAAAAGAAATCTTGCACTCTGAACTAAAATAAATGACCCATATATCTCATGGGCAGGCTGACCCATTAATATCGATGCAATTTCATTTTACCTGCCTCTTTCCGAGGGCTTGCGGAAGTAATAGCATATTCTTGTTGTTGTTTTTAAAAATTTCCATACGGCCCTTCATCCGAGGATCACAGGGCAGCTGAAACAAAATGCATACAAAAGTAACAAACCAAAGCAACTCCCCCAAGAAATTCACTCTATACCTACATAATCCTGGCTGTGGAATGGCATCCAAAAGAAGGCAGTTTTTAGCACTTTCAGCATGCAGAAGCTTTAATAGACCAGAAGAGGAAGGATGTGGAATAGTTGTATACCCAGTCTACAATATGCCACTTATACACCCAGTAGGTCACTGCAGCCTGTGGGAGAACCTCTTCCTCATGTTCCAAAGAGCTCTGAAGCTCTGAAGTAACTTGAAGCAGGGCTTTAGGGTGGCTGCTCCCGCTCTTGCACTTTCTGGAAACAACTGAAGACGTTGTTCCAACATCCCTTCCCAGGTGGATGAATAGGTCTCTGCCATTGGTGCCTTACTTGTGTGGAAGGCGATTAAATGTGAGGTGCTCATTAAGTAAAGGTAAAGGGAACCTGACCATTAGGTCCAGTTGTGGCCGACTCTGGGGTTACGGCGCTCATCTCGCTTTATTGGCCGAGGGAGCCGGCGTACAGCTTCCGGGTCATGTGGCCAGCATGACTAAGCCGCTTCTGGCGAACCAGAGCAGCACACGGAAACGCCGCTTACCTTCCCGCCAGAGAGGTACCTATTTATCTCCTTGCACTTTGACGTGCTTTCGAACTGCTAGGTTGGCAGGAGCAGGGACCGAGCAACAGGAGTTCACCCTGTCGTGGGGATTCGAACCGCCGACCTTCTGATCGGCAAGTCCTAGGCTCTGTGGTTTAACCCACAGCGCCACCCGCGTCCCTGAGGTGCTCATTACATGAGAACAAATTCTGCTGCCTGGGCTAGAGTTAAGTGGACTTGGAAACCCTTCAATGGGCCTAGTTCTCATTGTAGAATATGTTGGCAACCCAGGTCTAACCTCTCATGTATTTTGAAAATAGCCCTTCATTCACAAAAATCCAGAGTTTATGGGCTTCCTACCAGGAAGCGTAAGTATTCCCAGTGCAAGTTCATCCCTAACTATGCGAACTTGTGTTGACTCTCAAGGGCCGAGTGTGTGAGCTTCCAGGAAAGCGGGATGATCACGATTTTCTGGTCTTGATTAAGGCTCTCCAGACGATAGGTCTCTCCAGTGACCAGCTGAACTCCATCTGGGCAGTGCTCTCTGGCATACTGCAGTTGGGAAACATCTGTTTTACATCCTGTGAGGTATGTTGCATCTTTGCAAATTCAAGGTGTCATTAGCAATACCACCTGAGCCCAGTGGAAATGGCCCAGGGACATTTTTTTCCATTTAGGGTGCCTCTGAACAGCCAGTATTTTGTGTGTGGCAGCAGGGGGATTCTAGAGCTAACCCAAACCTTAGGTTTGCACAGTTAAAAGTGCATTAAAGGGCTCTAGTGCAACAAGTCCACTTTTTTTAAAAAAAGAAACAGACTTTTTGCAGTTAGGAAGCTGACGAGGAAATGTACTGAAAATGTGGGATTAAATAATTGTTAACCACAGTGTCAGGGAACTGCCATCGGCTCAGAGGCAAGAGATAGACGGGCAGTTGTGTTACAGGGAGCCTCCGAAAATCTTGCGAAGCAGTTACTCTTCCAGGAGGAGGAAAGCCCCACCTCTAGTGGAGAAGAGGTGCAAGGACCAGAGGATGCTAGTAAGAGCCTTAACACCGCGCCTGAGCAAGCCGGAGAGGAGGGAAGCACACCCCTGCCATCACCCATCATGCGCAGTAGTTTGAGGCGCAGGGAGGGGCGGAAAAGGCTGGGGGTGACGAAACTTTTATGCTGAGGGAGGTACAAAAACAGACCACTCCCGAATTCTGCTAGCGATTGAGCCAGACATGAACTTAATGACATTCTTCACTGTAAATAGTTTGCACCAAAATAAAGCCTGTAAAAGACAGGTCGGAGTCCTGCCTGGTTATTCTCGAGCAACCGCAACAGCACCTGACACACAGGAAGAGACATAACGCCTGCAGATCAAGACAGATGCTTATTGTCATCTAACCACCCCACAGACAAACTGGAATGAATGCTCAAAAAAGACCCAATGTGTTCTAATCTCCAGTTAGGCATTTGCAAGAGATGATGATGATTTAGGTAACCTAATCCAAAACTAAGGAAGATCTTAAGAGTTTTAGGAATACTGACACCCTGTGAAATGACTACATTGCACAGTGCTGTCTGTGTTCTTGGATGTCTTAAGGATTGAAATTTTGGTGTAAAGAATGTCCTCATTTCATATCTTCCTCTCTCTTTGTATACACGACCATCTAGAAAGAATCCTCTGAGTTTGCACTCATCCCCAGTGAAACGGAAATCCAGATTGTTGCCAGTTTGCTGCATATTTCAGCAGATCTTCTTCAAAGGGCCATCACCCACCGAGTCACTGTGAGCATCTCTTTCTCTTGCTGGCACGTCTTGCTTCTTCTCATCATGCATTTCACAGAGGAGGATTTTGTATTTAAGTGATATGGATTGTGTTGTGTTGCCTTGTTAAGGGTGGGAACAAGATACAAGAACCTATCTGCCTGCCTTCCCTTTGGTTTATCTGCTGTGGGATCAGAAAAGAACGTCTACTGGTAGCTGGCTCCACTGTGCCATCTATTGTACATTCGTAGGACTGTCCTATCTTGCAAGCACTGTTTTTTTTATATGTCGATGTAAATGTCTTTAGGAAAACAAATAAACTCCTTGATTTTCCTAGCTGGAGCATAATCAGACAGTCAAATTGTGATTTTGGTTTGGTTCAGGTTTAAGCCTTCACTCGCATTAAGTATGTTTAATTTGGTTCTAGCCAATAAAGCAAAATAATGTGAAAAGCACCTGCTAGATTTGATGGTGCGTTAGACTCGAGTAAATACGGTATTTTCAAAACAAGGTGAAAAGGAATGCATGTTTTTCATCTTGGTGCAGATTATATCAGTTTATGGGTACAAACATGAATGCCTACAGATGAAAAGAAAGAACAAAGATGCAGAGTCATATTAGAGCTTTTGTAATCCAAAGACTCCTGAGCAGAAATCTTTATTATACAAAGTGATTGAAATTGCCCAAAAGCTCCTGTTTTGAGAAATTAAAATGCCATCAGTCTCTATATCTAACATTTCTCTCTCCTCAGGAAACATGTTATGACCGGATATTCACTCCATTGTCAGTAGAAAGTGCTATAGATGCCAGGTAACCTTCATTGCTTTTATCTGTCTGGTGCCTGTCTGCTAGCTTTTCAAAATAACAATATTTTCTGTTTTTTTCTTTAAAAATAAAATTGCTCTCTCTCCACTTCTTCAGGGATGCAATCGCCAAAGTTTTGTATTCCCTGCTCTTTGAGTGGCTGCTGATGAAAATCAATGAGTGGCTGGCCCCGTTGGAAATGGACAGCACTGTTGGCATTGTTGACATATATGGCTTTGAGGTCATTTCCTGTGTTTACTTTACAGTGTCTTTGAGGGCAGCTTTGTGTTTTTGCCCTGTGCTAGTGTATGCATGAATGCTGGCGACAAGTCTTCTTGAAGTTGCTTGTGGGAAATACGTCGGCAGGTGCTTTTCCATGCAGTCTCCCTTGATATTTGCTATGTAGGATCAGTTGGCATGTAGGCATTGGAGTCGTCTGCAAAGCAGCCACACGAAATTGGGAATGTTGGCAGTTTGTCTGTATTGAAGTTCTGGGCATAGCTGTCAACTTTCCCCCTTTTTAAGGGAAATTCCCTAATTCCGAATAGGATTCCTTGCAAGAAAAGGGAAAAGTTGACAGCTATGGGTCTGGGACACAGCGGGCAGCACTTCCAGAGATCTGGTTATGATTAGTTTAATGAGCACTCATGAAGGCTTGTCTCTGGCCACTATGTGGCATACCCTCCCCACAAGTATTTAGGTCAGAGCAGTTTTGCTTCTCCCTCTCAACACCTCTATGGTTCTAAAATAGTACTGACGAATGGTTCCTTTTGCTACAAATGCACGTATGAGATATATCTCTTTCTCTCTATACTGTCTTCTCACTTTGGAAAATTTGGGAAATTCAAATGCCCACCAGAAAGAACAGTGCAGTGGAGAGGAGGTGCATATGGACTGTCTCTTAGATCCATAAACTTGTAGTATTTCCAGGGCAAAACTACTGTAACGGCCAGCAGGTTGTAGACAAGAGTCCTACCAAGTCTCAGCCATTAAAATTGGTTAGTGCTATATGCTGAGACCATGAGGGTCTGTTGCCATTTTCTTCTTCTTCATGCAAGGTGCCACCTGCCACTTTCCTTGTGGACTTTGTGTACCGGAAGCAAAAGAGGTCTGGGTCTTTCTTTGTATCCACAGGATCTTGGGGTGAACAGCCTGGAACAGCTGTGCATTAACTTTGCCAATGAACACCTCCAGCACTTCTTCAGCAGAATAGTCATCACCCAAGAGGAGGTAAAATATAAAGCTAGGCACATGTAGGTAGGTGCACAACTTGTCCTGGAGCAAAAGAGGGAACCATTACATTGCACAGAGGCAGCTTTGTGTTATTGCGCTTCAGCTTTGAAAAGGCAAGTTGATAAAGAAAAAATTCACAGTACATTTGCAGGTCTGAATCCTTTTTTCATGATTCATTGTGGCTGGTTGGGGCCAATTCATGCATAGATCTTGTCTTTTAGTTTGTGAATAAAGGCACAAAGATTTGATATGTATACAGCTGGCTCCAACCAGCATCATTGAATCATGAAAACAGAGTCCTCCTTATCAACCTGTCTTCTCATAGCTTCCTACCTCTCATGCAAAGGGTGTGTTTTTGTATGTATTGTTGGGAAAAGATACCTGAACCATAGATTAAGAAATAGTTTACAGCACAGCTTTCCAAACTTTTAATGTTGGTGACATACTTTTTAGAAATGCATCACTTTGTGACAAATTCAGTTTTACTAGCAAACCAGAGGCTAAACTAACCCCTTTCCAGCTCCAGGAGGAGTGTGGGGAGCGTTCATGTGACACACACACACTGCAGCCGACACACTAATGTGTTGCTGCACAGAGTTTGATAAAGCTCCGGTTTACAGAATGACACATTTGATATTATGGATGCAGGCTTCATTTGAATTATCTTTGACCACTAGGAGGAGTATGCAGAAGAAGACCTCACCTGGAGTCCTGTGTCCAAGATACCCAGCGAGTCCTGCCTGGATCTGATAGCTGCAAAGCCCCATGGGATTATGTGCATCCTGGACGATCAGACTTTACTATCACAGGTCAGGAGTTCATTAGATATCCTTTTCATATTTGCATGTCGGGTCCGGGGGTATTTTTGTGACGGATGGTTCGTAGAGAGGGAGCAAAATGGGTGCTCTCAAAGAGGGTCCATGAGTGCCTCTTCCTCAGAATGTTATTTTTCTTACATTGGATTTTGTTGAAGTGTTACAAGAGGTAGGTTATACCTAGATCTGGTGAGCAACATGCACACACACAGAGAGAGAGAGAGAGAGAGAGAGAGAGAGAGTTTGACAAGAGTTGTTAATCAGATTTGCTGTGTGTACTTGGGTGACACATTGGCGCCGGTAAAGGTAAGGGACCCCTGACAGTTAAGTCCAGTTGCAGATGACTCTGGGGTTGTGGCGCTCATCTCGCTTTACAGGCCAAGGGAGCCGGTGTTTGTCTGCAGGCAGTTTTTCTGGGTCATGTAGCCAGAATGACTAAGCCGCTTCTGGCACAATGCAACACCGAAACCAGAGCAGCACACGGAAACACCGTTTACCTTCCCGCCAGAGCGGTACCTATTTATCTACTTGCACTTTTTGGTGTGCTTTCAAACTGCTAGGTTGACAGGAGCTGGGACCGAGCAATGGGAGATCACCCCGTCACGGGGATTCGAACTTCCAGCCTTTGATTGGCAAGCCCAAGAGGCTCAGTGGTTTAGACCACAGTGCCACCCGCGTCCACAAAGCAAACACACAAAGTATGTACAACAGATACTCATCTCTAAACACCAGCAGATGCACGTCAGGGATCCCTGATTGGGTTGGCCTGGTCTCTACCATGTTTGCATGTTATGGGCATTCAACACAGGCATATGCTGTTCCAAATATGTGTTTGCAAGCATGTGTGCCTAGGGGGTGACTATCTTGCTTTTGCCAAATTTAATAGATTCCTACACGACATTCTCAAAAGCCAACTGCTCTTCTGGCAGAAACCTTAATAATTTAAACAGAGTGTGTGTTGGTGCAGTTGTCTAGTCATTTGGCCTATTTTGAAGGCATTTTCCAATTCTCTTGAGATGACCATCTGCCAAAAAAAAAAAAAAGTTGGAAGTTGGCAGGCATGATAAAATAGAACAGCTGTGGACATTATTTAATAAATATTTGCTTTCTAGATTTCTGACTGCTCAGCTGGTATTCATTTGTTGCAGGAGATTCAGACATCTTTCCTCCAAAGGAAGCTTCTGTTCTGAGGACACTTGATTTCCACACACACACTGCCTGGTGTTAGATCCAGGTTTTGGAGAGTTGCCTTGGGCAAGCCACCCTCCCTCCTGTGAGTCTGCTTCCTCACTGCTGCAAGTCCAGAGGGCTTCTTCCAGTAGGCCCCCTTCCTGTGGTGTGGGCCTTTGGCATATGCCTGGCCATGCTGACCCTGGGCACCACCCTGCTGAGCAAGCAGTGCACTCCCTTTCTCCAGAATTAGCATGAACGTCTCCCTTTCCTGTAGAGAGAATAAAGAAGTGGCAAACAGGATTAGAGTGTCTTTTTACTTTGCAGCAGTCCAGTACAGTGGTACCTCGAATTACAGACGCTTCAGGTTACAGACGCTTCAGGCTACAGACTCCTCTAACCCAGACATAGTACCTCCGGTTAAGAACCTTACCTCAGGATGAGAACAGAAATCGTGCTCCGGCGGCAGCGGGAGGCCCCTTTAGCTAAAGTGGTACCTCAGGTTAAGGACAGTTTCAGGTTAAGAACGGACCTCTGGAACAAATTAAGTTCTTAACCCTAGGTACCACTGTACTTGGTACCAGATGGGGGAACTAATATAAGTTTAGCACTAGGAATCCCTTAAATATAAGATTGTACTTGTATCATATAGCAGTGGTTCCCAAACCTTTTTCTTCCCACTGACCACTTGAAAATCGCTGAAGATTTTGGTAGGCCATGCAATATTTCCCCCCCTGCCAAATGTAATGCTCTGTGCTGGATGTTGATATGATGTTTATTGTATTTTGTTGCTTCTTTTATTTCTTATATTGTATTACCACTTGGTTTCCATAGAATTCGAATTCTAAGTGTTTTTCACAGGCACTCTGTGAGCCATCTGGTCCGTGGACCACAGTGGGAACCCCATGTCCTATTGAAATGGCATGATAACAAGCAAATTTAGTAGCATGTGGAGGTATTTTTAATGTTTAGGGATCCAAACCCACAGATAAACCAATTTGCTTGCTATTTGCTTGTTTGTTTTTATTTATAAAAGCATTTATCTACCACAGTTTCTACACTGCAATATCAAGGTGGTTTGCAGCAATAAAACATCATTAAAAAAGCAATCATTACAATCACTGGCCAGTCAAAACAGCTTCAAACAGCAGCATAGACCTGTCAGCATAAAAAAAGTATTGAAAAGATGCGTAAAAGTCAAAAGCGAGGATACCTGCCAAATCTCGGCTGGTAGACAATTCCACATCATGGGGTTGGTGACACAATGGCTGCATATGCACTATACATTTAAAGTATATGCCTGCTCTGTGAGGGCTACATTGCATTGCCCAGCATTCTTTTTGGCGGGGGGGGGGTGTTCTTCCAAATGTGCTTGAAAGGTATAGCATGCACACAGCCGAAATGCCCAACTTCTAGTTGTTATTTTGCTGTGTGTGAGAGTTTTCTTTCCTATCCAGGCCACAGACCACACCTTCTTACAGAAGTGCCATTACCACCATGCCAACAGCTCTTGGTACGTCAAGCCGAAGCTGCCTTTGCCTGTCTTCACTGTGCAGCATTATGCAGGACCAGTTACCTACCAGGTATATAGGAGCCTGCTCCCCTCCCAACATCCCCTGCTTCCCCTATTTAACCTGCGCTTCTTTGCCTAGCTCAAGCAGCACAAAGCAACTTTTGCTCACCCAAGCAAGTAGGACAGTCACAGGCAAACTCCGGCCCTCCAGATGTTTGGGACTACAATTCCTATCCCTGACCACTGGTCCTGTTAGCTAGGGATGATGGGAATTGTAGTCCCAAACATCTGGAGGGCCAGAGTTTGCCTATGACTGAAGTAGGACATGTCAATTTGCCACAACTTCATCTGGTGAGGTTCTGGACGGCAGCGTACACAAGTGCCACTTTACTGCTAGTAATCCAAAGGAAGAGCCCTGGTTGTATCAGTCTCTTCACTCTGGATTGGTCACCCAACAGGGGTGTCCAAAGAGCTCACAGTTTTGCAACCCCAAATTTAATAGTCTTAAAGTGCCTTCTAAACATGCATACAGTGGTACCTTGGGTTACAAACCCTTCAGGTTACAGACTCCACTAACCCAGAAATAGTACCTCGGGTTAAGAACTTTGCTTCAGGATGAGAACAGAAATCGCGTGGCAGCAGCAGGAGGCCCCGTTAGCTAAAGTGGTACCTCAGGTTAAGAACAGTTTCAGGTTAAGAACGGACCTCCAGAACGAATTAAGTTCTTAACCCGAGGTACCACTGTACTGCTCTTTCAATTTGTCCTCTTCCAATCTGTTATCTAGAGTAGAATTCTAAGTAGCACTAAATGGGGTATGCATACACCAAATGAGGTCAACTCGCTCAATAAGACTCCCCCTGTCTTATTTCCCTAAATCTGATCTTGGTTTTTCTCCAACCCTCCAGAACAGATTTACGGGACAATGGAGGGGGAAGTCCCATTGTGAGAGTAGTTCTTGTTTCAGGTATGCAACAGCTTACTTGAACGCTGCTAATTGTATTGGATGGTTCTTTAGAAAAAGAAGGGCTAGACAATTTTTTGGGGGGCGGGAATAGAACTGAAATTATGACTTGATTATTATTACTTGATTTGGGTTGGGCAAAATTGTTTATTTAACTGGATAGTGGTCCTCCAGCTTTGCAGGCAGCTATCCTGGTTTCTAATCTGCAAAAACAAGTCAAGAGTTGGGGTTGAAGAACTTCCTCAGAAAAGGCTGGAAATCAGGATTGCAAGTAAACTAAGAACTATACTGACAGGAGATTCACAGTGCACTCCTGAACATGTCTACTTAGAAGTCCCATTGATGGACTTCAGGGGAGTTTACTCCTAGGTAAGTGGGAAAGTTGGTATCGGATTGCAGCCTCAGAAGCTCTGTTAACGTAGTTTTTAAAAACAAATGAGAGTGATGTGGAATTTGGCTTTACAGGTCCACAAATTTCTGAATAAAAACCACGATCTGTTACGCACAGAGGTCCTGGAGATATTTTCCCACAGCCACCACAAGGTACAATCAAATAGTTTGGGTTAATTATTATGCTTCACTGCAGACTATTCCTATGATCTCACAGTCAAGAGACGTAGAGCTCTGTCTGATACTAATTTCTTTGTGCTGCGGTACTGGTAGACATCAAGAGACACTTAATTGTGTACCAGTTTCCTGGTGGATAGAAAAATCACTCCTGAGGTGTATATGCTTTCACATGACACTCCCTTGTTCCAAGATAGCTTTGTTTTGTTTGTTTGTTTCAGAGAGGAGTTGGTTTACAGTGGTGCCCCGCAAGACGAAAAGCTCGCTAGACGAAAGAGTTTTCCGTTTTTTGAGTCGTTCCGCAAGACGAATTTCCCTATGGGCTTGCTTCGCAAGACGAAACGTCTTGCGAGTTCTTGCGGGTTTGTTTCCTTTCTCTTAAAGCCGCTAAGCCGCTAATAGCCGCTAAGCCGCTAATAGCCGTGCTTCGCAAGACGAAAAAACCACAAGACGAAGAGACTCGCGGAACGGATTAATTTCGTCTTGCGAGGCACCACTGTATTTTTAGATTTATTTTATAACTGGTGCAAACATCTGCATCTATGGTTTCATCTTTTGCATAAGCAGCACTGGTTGATCAAACTTTTATATATAAAGAACACAGTGGTACCTCGGGTTACAGATGCTTCAGGTTACAGACTCCACTAACCCAGAAATAGTACCTCAGGTTAAGAACTTTGCTTCAGGATGAGAACAGAAATCCTGCTCCGGCAGCGCGGCAGCAGCAGGAGGCCCCATTGGCTAAAGTGGTATCTTAGATTAAGAACAGTTTCAGGTTAAGAACAGACCTCTGGAACAAATGAAGTTCTTAACCAGAGGTTCCACTGTACTGTGTAATTGTAGAACCTTATGTAAAGGACATATGTTCTAAGAGGCTATAATAAAAGTTTTATTTTATTTGTTGATCTATTGGATTGTTTGAAAACTGCTCTATGCTTTTTTCATTGGCAGAGTATGGAGGGAGCTGGTCCTTCTCCATGCTAACGTTTCAACTAAATGTTCTAAGTTTATTCTGAAACTTTGATTTCTTTTGTCCACCTCTCTGAAGCTGGTGTCCCACCTTTTTGAGAAAGTGAAGGAACAGCAGATGAACCAGAGAGAACCGGGAAGTGGAACTAGAGTCCAAGGGCCGACGCATCAAGCTTCTACGTTAGTGTCTAGATTCCAGCACTCCTTGCAAGATCTCACAGCTAAACTAGACAGGTGAGGGAATGTGGTGGTGCTACCACCAATTTGTGTTGCCACCTCACGGCACGGAGCATGAGCCTGTGGGAAGGCGAGGTCAAAGAGTGAGCTGCTGATCACCCATTCAGTGAGCTGTGGTGCTGAAGATGGAGAATTAGTTTGGAGCCACATCTCATGCTGTTTTAAAATGGACGCACTTTACTTCTTTTCTCTCTATCCTACAGGAGCCACATTTTCTTTGTTCGGTGCATCAAGCCTAATTCCAAAAAGGTAAGACTTGGTCTTTGCAGGGCTAGGCTGTACCTGAGGCTGTCTTTGAGATGCTACCAAAACAATGCCCCAGCTGAGTTATGCAAATCAATGGAAAGTTCTTCCATACACATGCTCAAGGATAGCTCAGTCAGTAGAGCATGGGACTCTTAATCTCACGGTCACGGGTTCAAGCCTCATGTTCAGCGAAAGATTCCTGCATTGCCTGGAGTTGAGCTAGATGACCCTCATGGTCCTTTCCACCTCTACAATTCTATGATTCTGTGAAAACATGCTCTAACCCAGGTGTTGGGGACCTCTGGATCTCCAGGTATTGCTGAACTACAGCGTCCATCAACTTTTGCCATTGGCAGTTCCATGGATGCTTGTCCAATTACCAGAAAGTATGCTCCTGAGCACAGTAACGTTTTGGCAGCCCACCCCACATATTCTGATGGCTAGAAACAAGCTAGAAACTTGCTGTAAAAACAAAGGACACTTTAGATGTCCATCTAGTTCCTCTGCTAGAAACAGTGTCAAATTACGTATACAGTGGTACCTCTGGATGCGAACAGGATCCGTTCCAGAGCCCCGCTCGCATCCTGAAGCAAACGCAGCGTGCACAGGTCGCGATTCGCCTCTTCTGTGCATGTGCGTGACGTCATTTTGAGCGTCTGCGCATGCGTGAGCAGCAAAACTTCTGGGTTACTTCCGGGTCGCCGCGGAGCGCAACCCGAAAACGCTCAACCTGAAGCAACTTTAACCCGAGGTATGACTGTATTTGGAAGCTAGATGAGAAACTGTTTTGCTCATTGCAGGTCTTGTACCAATATTCCCTCTCATGTATTCAAAATCTCAGCCACCCAGTAAATAGTAATCATGTGGACTATAACACCTAAGAAGGGCTGGTGTCTTACTCTACATAGGCTGCCCTGACACAAGCCATTTGGGTAGCCATGGATTTGCATTATCCATCCCTTTAATGCAAGGGTGTCCGTATGATGTCTTCCTCACCCCAGTGTTGTCCTTTATCTACCCCCCCCCCCACTTTAAATGTGCTTTTCCTTTAAAATCTTTGGAAAGTCGGAATTGGGAAAAGACCTCCAATTAAAGAGGGGAAATGTCCAGGGCAGCACAGGAATATCCACATGTTGTTCGGATGTGGACAAGCCCAGGGATCACAGATGTACCGGTCATTTGTGGGGGGAGCCGACAAGGTACTGGTTCTTTCCAGTGGCCTTTCTGTGTCTTGTCCTTGTTCCCTTCTTTATTTGGCTAATTGAGACCATTCTCTTTAAACTTCAGGTGCCAAACATATTTGATACTGAATACGTGGCTTCTCAGCTAAGGCATTCTGGGATTTTGGAGGCCATATGCATCAGGAAAGAAGGTTATCCCATCCGCATTCCATTCCGCCATTTCCTAATCAGGTGAGCCTGTTACCTCTTATTTTAACACATAGGGGCCCTCCTCCTATTTTAACACAACGTTGTAAAAGAAAGGCACACCAATAACATAATAACAATTTAAGATGCAATAACGATAGTAAATCAAGCACGCCAAACCAAACAGTTGGAGCAATAAAACACAGCGGCTCTCGCAGCCAACTTCAAAAGTTTTAGAACACTAATTGGAAAAGACTTCCAGGGTCAAAATTGGGTGTTATTCCAGACTATAGGAGCCATACTCAGAAGATACAGCAGTTGATCCTACATTTGGACATTCTCTGCAGACTCTTCATCTGACATTAGGGAGTTGGAGGGGTGGGAAAGAGGGAGGTTTCTGAAAGCCTGGAACTTTGTGGTAAGGAAAAATGCACTGGAAAGCATAGAACCACCATGCAAACAAATCAGAACAAATGCTCCATAGACAGGTTGTCCCTGGCACCTGAAGTGCTGGGATTTGCTTCCTTTCTCTGTAACACCCTGTGCTGAAGGAGTTTTAGCAGATGGTTCTGTCTCCTTTCTGCTCATCAGGTATGGAGTCCTGGCCGGCCGAGGGCAGAACTCCTTGCAGGAGAGAGATGGCTGCGCCACAGTGCTTTCACAGGTGGTGGGAGATCTCTCGGAGCTCTATCAGATTGGAGTCACCAAGGTGGTGTGCCTTAGTACTTCTCTTCCCCGCAACTTATGAAAGACTGTTGCATGCTGTTGGTTTCATTGGGGGGGGTGCATTCTCTTGGTAACCTCATGACTCTTATCACTGCCATGTGCTCTGTACAGGGCTACCCTTGGCCTGGTGCAAAATGCTGCGGATAGACAGTTGATGGAGACAACAACTATCGTCAGCATGTAACTCCAGCGCTCGAAAGCTTTCACTGGCTAGTCATACGCTACCAGGCCAGGTTCAGGGTTCTTATATTGATTTACAAGGTCCTTAACAACTTGGGTCCAGGGCATCTCAAGGACTGCCTAATTCCTTATATGGCCAAGTGGGGATTTGAAGGTCCTGGTCTAACACCTGGCCACTATACTACAAAGGCTCTTGATTCCAAAGGGGCAACTGGATTAGAGACTTGGGGAATCTCCAGGCTTAGGGACCAATTTTGGCCCTCCAAGACTCTCTATCAGGCCATACCCTTCACTGACCCAAATGTTTTTGCCTGTAATGTGTCCTTATACTCTGATAGCGACTCTTACTTATCTGAATGGAGGATAGAGGGTGTGTGTTGGAACTAACTGTACAGAGATAAAATGAACATTTGTTGCTCTACCCACTTTCACCACTGGCATGTGGTCCTTTCGAGGTTGCCCAAAAGGAATGCTGCCCTTAGGCTGGAAAAGGTGGTTAGCCTAAATGGGCTCTTTTAGTTGCTAACTGGTAAAATAAATATTTTGGTATAAATCAAATATATACACTGAGCCTCAGCAACTCTTCATGCTCGACTGGAAAAAGAAAGTAAAGATGAAATAAACACTCACTAGATGCATTTATTTGCATAGTCTTTGACAAATTGGTCATTGAAGACTTGGGCGGAGGTAATAATTAGGGGTGTTCACTTGCAAATAGCAATGTTCTTTATTGCCCCCTTTCCCCGCCCAGGTGTTCTTGAAGGAAAAAGCGAGGCAGATGCTAGAGAGAAGATGGAATCAAAAGCTGAGCTGGGCGATTGTTACCCTTCAACGCAATCTCAGAGGCCTCATCAACCGTAGGCGGTTCCAGGTCTTCAAGGAGAAGGCCTTGGTCATCCAGGCTCATTTCCGGGGTTACCTGGCCAGGTCAGAAAGTGCAAAGGCTGCAGTGCTGTTGGAAGGCTTGAAGGCCACAGAACTGAACTGTTTTTAGCATTAAATGAAAGGCCAGACTCCATTCAGCCCTGGTGCAATCATGTGTACTGATTTCAGTGGGACTGGCTAGAAAGCTCCCCACCACCACCACATTCTCACAGTTGTCTCTTGTTTCCTGACTTCCCCTTTTCTTTGTAACCTCCAGGAAACGGTACCAAAGATTGAAGAAGACCCTGATGCGGTTTGGGGTGGCCATGCTCGTCTCTAGACCACTGACTCATAAGAGGAGGCAATACCAGGTAATAGGGTTACTGACAATTGGCAATGCAATAGGTAATATACTTTTCTGCTAGAAGGTTTTATTTGAGGGATTGTGTGTGACATGGGTTAAAGCTATGGTTTTCCCAGTAGTGATGTATGGAAGTGAGAGCTGGACCATAAAGAAGGCTGATCACCAAATAATTGATGCTTTTGAATTATGGTGCTGGAGGAGACTCTTGAGAGTCCCATGGACTGCAAGAAGATCAAACCTATTGGTCCTGAGTGCTCACTGGAAGGACAGATCCTGAAGCTGAGGCTCCAGTACTTTGGCCACCTCATGAGAAGAGAAGACTCCCTGGAAAAGACCCTGATGTTGGGAAAGATGGAGGGCACAAGGAGAAGGGGACAACAGAGGAAGAGATGGTTGGACAGTGTTCTCGAAGCTACCAGCATGAGTTTGACCAAACTGCGGGAGGCAGTGGAAGACAGGAGTGTCTGGCATGCTCTGGTCCATGGGGTCATGAAGAGTCGGACACGACTGAACAACAACAACAGTGTGACATGGGGATTCTCGGCACATACGTTTTAGACAAGGTCCCAGCAACAGAAAGCAAGGCAAGTTAGCAAGTTAATGCTTGCAACAGTGAATGGTAGTGGAGATGGTCGTACTTTGAAGTTGTCCGGAGGTCCAGCAGAAGATATAGAAAAGAGAAGCAGTTTCTCTGTGTGGGCTATCCACATGCTGTTCACACACTTCAGGGCATTCTGTTATTGGAAGTATGTCACGGGACAGAGAGGGAACGCCCTTGGGGCAAGGGAAGGAGGAGTATCAGAGCAAGGAGAATCAGAAAGGAAATACAGGGCTCTCTGATGCTGCAAAGCCCTGTCACCAACCAGGAAGTTCAGGAACAGAAGGGGAAGCGGTGCCTTCCCACGCCTGCTATGTTGGAGAAGGAACCAAAGGAAGCCACTCCCCGAATCTGACTCGTCCGATTCAGATGCATGATTAGGAACTGTAGCTGTTTGCACATATGTTAATAAAGAACTGTAAATATCTCTCTGAGTGAGCAGAGGGTGTTTATTGCGAAGAGCAGACATCACCTTGACAAAGTAGGACTGGTGGAAGAGGGGGGGAAACAGAGGTGCTGAAACTCACCATGAACACCTCCCTTGTTCTGTTATAATGACAATGATGCCCACCTGAGAGGTACCAGAACTGAGTTGCAGCGAGTTCTGGCTGAAAAAATGCCCTGATTGTAACCATTATATACATAGGGCAGAATGATGTGGTCGATTTGAGTGGTAGAAATCTGGGCTGTACCTCTTTAGGAGTCATATGGAGTCATTTATTTACTTTTTGAAACTCTATGCATGTAGAAAGTTGTGCATCAGATTGGAATGTTGAAAGAAGACCTCTTCCTGATATGCTAAGATCAAGAACAGGCATAGGCAAACTTGGCCCTCCAGATATTTTGGGACTACAGTTCCCATCATCCCTGACCACTGTTACTGTTAGCTAGGGATGATGGGAGTTGTAGTCCCAAATCATCTGGAGGGCCGAGTTTGCCTATGCCTGATCAAGAAGCTTTTTTAATTGAGGAAGCAACTAGCTAAGGGTAGGAAATGAAAAACAATCCAAGGTGGCATTTTTGGCGGGGACGGTAGATTGGAGTAAGAGTCTCTGTAATGCATTTCCAAAAACTTGCCTAGGGAGTAGCCCAGTTTGGACCTGTGTCACCCACATCTGGCTACTGGAATTATCAGGTGGTCTCAATTTTTGTGTGAGGTTAGTCCAGAATAATGTGTGCCCAACTCCCAGAACGGCTGTGAGCACTAATCATGTGTGTATGTTTTGAGAAACACCCTGAACACTCGTCTGCTGTGCTCTGACAACTTCATTTATATCTCTAAAATATTTGTTACCAGTGCTAGGGTATTACTGGTGTTACTATACTAGAAAATTTCAGCGTTTTCACCAGCAGTCATGACTCTGGAGAAGATGAAACTTGGAAAAGAAACCGAGGCTAGCGCTCATTGTCATTGGTTTTTTTATGATGCATATTCTGGCTAAAAAGCAACCCCCCACCCCTGGGCTTTTAATTTGGGGAGCACCTTCTAACGATAGTTTTGTTCTGGGCACCGGCAAATGAGGACTGCTTTTCAGTCCAGGGGCAGTCATGGTAACCCTGTGGGTAGCCTCATTCTATTGGTGGGTAAGGATGAATGCAGGCAAAAGTGGGTGGAGCAACAGATGTGACCATCACTTTCGTATAGCCAGCTGCATTCTGTTCAGAGGTTTCTATGCATACACTAGGGCCGCTTGTGGACGCTAACTGGTTCGCAGCACAAAAAATGTTTGCTTTTTGCAATCTGGAATCATTCGTGTTCATCCTAAACATGCTGCTTTCTGCGTAAATTGAATCTGGATCCTGCCATCCACAGGGACGGGTATGGTTATTGGATACATGTTTGAAAAACCTTCCCTTTGATTAGGTTATTTGGAACCTTTTGCTTGCTGTACATGCCCCAGGTGAACAGAGAAGGAAGTGGCCCATGTGAATGTGGTATATGCCTACCCACAATGTCACTGAGTGGGTGTGGATAGAGCTGCCTACATCTGTTGCAAGGGAGCAGGTGGCACTGATCTTCTTGGTCTTGCTGATCAGAAAGTTGGTGGTTCGAATCCCCACAACAGGGTGAGCTCCCATTGCTCTGTCCCAGCTCCTCCCAACCTAGCAGTTTGAAATCACATCAGTGCAGGTAGATAAATAGGTACCCCTACGACAGGAAGGTAAATGGCATTTCCGTGCGCTCTGGTTTCTCTCACGGTGTTCTCTTGCACCAGAAGCGGTTTAGTCCTGCTGGCCACATGACCTGGAAAGCTGTCTGTGGACAAACGCCAGTTCTCTCAGCCTGAAAAGCGAGATAGTTGCCTTTGACCTGTCTTAACTGTCCAGTTGTCCTTTACCTTTACATCTTTTGTAAAATGGACTCACTGCGAGGTAATGCAGTGTGGATCTGCAATGAGCTTGTTTTTGGAATGAAGCCACTTTCTCATTTTTAGGGAAGAAAGATATGAAATAGGCGTAGATTGTGTGAGGACTACATAGAAAATACAAGTACAGTCATACCTTGGTTGTTGAATGGAATCTATTCCGGAAGTCCGTTCAACTTCCAGAAATGTTTGCTGACCAAGGCGTGGCTTCTGATTGGCTGCAGGAGCTTCCTGCACTCAATCGGAAGCCGCAGAAGCTGCGTCGGACATTCAGCTTCCAAAATTCACAAACCATTCACAGACCAGAACACTTACTTCCGGGTGTGTGGCATTCAGGAGCCAAAACAGACGAGTACCAAGGCATTCGACAACCAGGGTACAACTGTACTCTTTATCCATTGATTCTAAAATAGAATGCTAAGTGTCTACAGCCACCACACTTTCTTTATCTTAGAAAGTAAGAGGCATTATCACACTCCAGGCAAGTTTATTCAAGAAGGGCACAGAGGAGGGCCAGTGAAGATTGTGGTCTGGGAAGGGGCTTGGGAGCGTCTTAAGGGCTTTATAAAAAGGCCTGAAGACCATATTCAGCGTCTCAGCCTGAGGTTCCCCACCCCTGGTTGTAAATGAGACTTGTCAGGTGTCTTACATGCAAAGCACAGGCAGCCTTGATCTCCAGGAACTACGAAGAACCCTGGCTTATTCAAATGTGACGCAATTAATATGTGGGAAGGTACAAGGTCAACATGAGAAACTCTGACACACCTTTCCACCTGTTCTCCGGGACTCCCAGATAAGCAGAGAACATCCTGGTGTACCATCCAATGCTTCTGGCTAAATTGCTTTTTGACTCGCCCTGAGAAAAGAAAGCTCAGAGGGCCAAAAGCCATGGCAAGGATTGTCTCTGAAAGTACCAGGAAAATGGCCACCAGGTGTGTGGTGATAAGTCCTGGGAGGCTCTGTGATATGCATGCACTTCAAGTCTTCCTAGTCTGCTGTTCTGCCTGAGTTGAGCATGTGCTGTGCACCTGTCCTTCCCAGCCTGAATAGCTCCTGGCTCTTCTATCCCAGGAAGCCACCACAAAGCTGCGCTTTGGCTTCATCATTCCTGCCCTCAGTGTTTACTTTATGAATACACTCAGCACTTAGGAAAGAAAACGCAGCAGTGTAAGGTCTCAAAGTTCACTGTTAAGACTCGCAGAACCTCCCTCTCCTTGTCATTCCGCACTGGGAGGACTTTAGCCCTCTTCAGCCTTAACCTGGGCTGCGCCCCCTTGAAGCTCCTTTTGGCTGCTCAGTGGCAACAGCCACACAGCTGCGTTCAGTGGGGAGGAAGAGAAAGGATACTCCATAGATCACGGAAGAGCAGGCAAGTGCCATTGTACAGGGCTCAGCAAATGTTTCGTTTACATATGGGAAAGACAAAGCCAGATAGGAGATTATGATTCTGCCACTCTATATGTCCTTCTGGGGAGAAATAAACACTCAGCTGTGAACCTTCATGGGCTGGTTTAAAATTGCATTCTCCAGCAGCTGGAAGGACAGGGGAGAGGTGATTAAATTTTCCAAGCACAGTACTGTATACGTTTGCTGGGAGCAGTCATATAGGACATTTGTAATGTTAAATGCTAATGTAGCTTAGAGTTAAATAACTGGGACTAAATAGCATTGGGTAGAGAATTGCATTACCCTCTCCCATTCCATGCTGTTAAAACTTCCTGAAGCACCTGATTTTAGCCCCAGTTGGAGACAGGATACTGGATTTGATGAACCATGGGTACGGGGCCCACCTGAAAATAAAGTTGTATGTGACCTGCCAAGGACATTGCTATAAAGTCATTGATTCATATTCTGGTTAAACATCTGTGGATAATTGTATTGTAGGCATAAAAGAGTTACCGTAGTTTGCCATGCATAAGACAATGTTTTTTTGCTTAAAAAATTGGGGGTCGTCTTATACATGGATGGTGAATGCACAGGGGTTAAAGAAAACACTACTTACATCCCCGTGGCTACTGTGAACAAGCTGCCAGAACCGCCCAAGCCACTGTCCCTCCCGGGTGCCAGGCTTGGGCGATCTCTCAAAAAACACTCAAAAACTTTGGGCGATCTTGGTTCCTGGTGGGGCATGCTACCCCAGGTTGCTATGCCAGTGCCGGTGCTTTGAATATTTAATAAAATATCAAAGTTGTTCTGTTTGATGTTTAAAATATTGATTTCTTAATTCTGGGTTCAAAAAAATAGGGGTCGTCTTATACCTGGTGGTGTTTTATACACGGGAAAATACGGTATCTGCTGCCCTGACATTACAACAATGATGATGTGGTGTGTGCAGGGTTACCGATTGTAGGGTTTAACAGGGTTATAAGAAAGGTCTGTGAAACAAACCAGAAATGAGGGGAAAGTGAAAGAGTCTTAAAGAGCTCAGCCTGCCTTGGTTTTCAGTCGTACCTTCAGAGATGGGAGTTGCTATACCTTACAGTGAGGGTACCCAGTGTGGTGCCCGCCCTCTGATATTCTGAACTACAACTCCCATTATCCCTGATTGTTCACCATGCTAGCTTGGGCTAAAAACATCTGGAGGACGCCACATTGGCTACTGCTCTACAGTAGGGAGATTTGCATCATCTAGATTGACAAGAGAATTCAAATCCCCTTATCATAAGGAGAACATAAAAAGGGCCTGTTGGATCGAGTCAGTTGTGGTGCATCTAGTGCAGTACCCTGTTCTCACAGTGGCCAACCAGATGCCTATGGAAAGACCCAAAAAGAAGGACATGAGAGATGAGTGCCACAACTCTCTCCTCATCTCTGATTCCCATCAACTTGTATTCAGGAGCATACTTTTCTCTGGGCAGTTTTGTCACACCATGCATAAGATTACCGCTCTGTATCATGTCTCCTCTTACCTTTTCGTTTAAACTAAAAAGGCCAACCTTTCCTCACAGAGGAGTTGTGCCATCCCTTTGATGATTTTCCTGAACCTTCTCCAGCTGTATAATACCCATTTTCAGGTGACTGGAACCGTACACAGTACCCCAAGTGTGGTTGCAGCATACGCTGTCATAATATCAATACGATCTGTGGCAATTTTATTTTAAATTCGTCCCTAATTATCATTAGCATGGAATTTACCGTACCTTGCCTCACATGGGTTCATCTTCATCAAGCTATCAGGCACGACCCCCCAGGTCGTATTCCTGGTCAATCATCTCCACTTCATTTTTTAATAATAATAATAATAATACAGTGGTACCTCTGGTTACATACGCTTCAGGTTACATACGCTTCAGGTTACAGACTCTGCTAACCCAGAAATAGTACCTTGGGTTAAGAACTTTGCTTCAGGATGAGAACAGAAATCGTGCTCCGGTGGCGCGGCAGCAGCGGGAGGCCCCATTAGCTAAAGTGGTACCTCAGGTTAAGAACAGTTTCAGGTTAAGAACGGACCTCCGGAACTAATTAAGTACTTAACTCGAGGTACCACTATAATAATAATATTTATTTATTTATTATTTATATTTTTTAACATGCTTTTTATTAGGTTATTACTACAACACATACACATACACACCACACTTTAAAAATATATGTAAAAAATCAAGTCCACTTCAGACCCCTTTTACCCTTGTTTTCATTGAATTGCATTTGCTGTTTTGCATCCCCTTCGTTCAGTTCAGAGAGGTTCTTTTGGAGCTCTTCGCCACCCCGAACAATTGAGTATCATTCGCAAACTTGACTACCTCATTGCTCACCCCAAACCCTTATATCATTTATAAACAATCTAAAAAGCACAGCTCCTAGTAGCAATCCTTGGGTAATGCTGAAATTTCTTTTGCACAAAGGATAGTCTGTCAGTGAACACACCTTGCAAGCATGCATGATTTTTTTTTTATCCTGTCCTGATTACAGAGGAACGAGTCACTGGGCAAAGGTGCTGAGGAACGCAGGTGTCTGGAAAATGGTATGTCAATTAAATACAGGGTATAATCTGGCAAAGCCTGATAACATTTGTGAAACCAAAGCTTTGTTTTAGAGTTTTATGCTGACACCCCCGGTTTGCATGGGAAATAACTACCATTCACTTCAATGGGAGATGTTTTCCCCTGTGTAAATCTCCAGTATGGAGGCATCAGTCCAGATTGAGACCATAGTGGGGTGGGGGGTGGTCAAAGGTCTGGACTGGGCAGCTGGGCTGGCAGGGATGCTGTCACAGCAGAAGTCCAGGGTCCCTCTCGCCAGAAAGAACAGGAGGGGTCTGACAAATGCAGCAGGTTTCACTTACACATTTTAAAGTGAAGTAATTGCCATCTGGGACGCGGGTGGCGCTGTGGGTTAAACCACAGAGCTTAGGACCTGCCGATCAGAAGGTGGCGGTTCGAATCCCCGCGACGGGGTGAGTTCCCATTGCTCGGTCCCTGCTCCTGCCAACCTAGCAGTTCGAAAGCGCCTCAAAGTGCAAGTAGATAAATAGGTACCGCTCCGGACGGAAGGTAAACGGCGTTTCCGTGTGCTTCTCTGGTTCACCAGAAGCGGCTTAGTCATGCTGGCCACATGACCCGGAAGCTGTATGCCGGCTCCCTCGGCCAATAAAGCGAGATCAGCGTCGCAACCCCAGAGTCGGTCATGACCGGACCTAATAGTCGTTACCTTTTTACTAATTGCCATCTAAAGAGGGTCCTCACATCAGGCCGCTAAGTACGAAATCTAAAATTATCTGACTCCAACACTGCAGGCTGACAGTGTGTGTTTTTAAAATGCCATGCTCTTAAGGACACAGTTACAGAGTTGACATATTGTCTAGTTGAACCCTTGGTGTCTCTACTGTGTCAGAGACAGCGTTGGCAGCAAGTTGCCCTGTTCTGTGTCGACTTTCTTGAAATTGGTGCCTGCAGTTATAAGATGGATCATGCAGTTACAGTGCCGATACACCAATGCCAAAACATATAGGTGCTTAAGGTGCTGCCAGGACTCTTTGTGCTCAGTCTGTCCCTACAAAAGATCTGTCTGTCCCTCTGGAATACTGGCACAGCTGTGTGTGTGCAGATTTAGCAAGCACAAAGCAGAGTTCTTTGAAGTCCACGCATGCCCAGGTTCTGGCAACGCCCTAATACTCTGAACATTAGGGCAGATACAAATTGAAAATTCTGGTATTTCTCTCACAGTTGTTTTAATAGGGCCCTGCCACAAAAGGCAACATGGTAAAGCAACCTTCTCCAGGTGGCAGCAGAACTCAGGAAGGGAGAATAGAGGCAGAGATTGGGGTCTGAATGCTGCAAGAAGCCTTCCTAAAACGTTGACCCTATTGTGGGGGGAGGGTGCTATTTGGGCTCCACTTTAGGCAGCAAAACCTCTTGGCGTTGTCAAGCTCTGGTATTGCCAGGTGACTTTAATCATTGATCTTTCCACTCTGTGATGATTGGTTTAGTGTGATTGTTAATCATTGGTTTAAAGTGATTCACATGATGTCACTCAAGATAGCACTTGTGTTAAGGCAATTATCACATTTTGTTGGCGCCCATTACATAATGCCTGTGGCACATGAGATGCAGCTTCTGCCACCATGCATGTCCCTGTTTGTTTTAAAGGTTAGCATTTTAGTAGATATGCTTTTTACATTGTTTTAATCCCATGGATAGCTTAATAGCTAAAATATACGAAAGCTTATTGTTTAAAAACTATGTGTGTGTTTTGTCTGTATTCATTTTATTTTTTGTGAGCCCCCTTGAGCCCTGGTTTCAGAGAAAAGGTGGAGTGTAAACAAGCAAATAATCAAGAGTCACTGAGAGTGATTCCACTTGGCAGGTTTTTGAGCATGGGTAGGCAAACTAAGGCCCGGGGGCCGGATTCGGCCCAATTGCCTTCTAAATCCAGCCCATGGATGGTCCGGGAATCAGCGTGTTTTTACATGAGTAGAATGTGTGCTTTTATTTAAAATGCATCTCTGGGTTATTTGTGGGGCATAGGAATTTGTTCTTTCTTTTTTCCAAAAAATCAAATAGTATGGAATTTGTTTGCAACTTTGTTAACAGCATGTATTAACATCATAGACGTACATCGGTCTTTGCTGCCCCTTTCCTTTCTCCCTAATCTGACCTGTGAATACCTTTTGTAATGCCTCTGGTATTTTATGCAAGTGTAAGGAATAGGAAGGTGGACCAGGGGTGATTGCAAGGACACACAGAAGCAGGCTGGGAACTGCAATGAGAGGGTTAATTGAAATCTGGGTGGAAGGTATGGATATGCTAGAGACTTCTGGGAGGTGGTCTTTGGGGAAAAATATATCTCTGCAGTAATGGGGCAATTGATACCCTATTAGCATTGGCCCTGTGTTGGTTAAGCTGTCAGACTAGCTCACTGGGTGAGTAATTAGATGAGCTGCAAAAAAAAGAATAAATTTTGCAGGCTTAGATGCCTTTCTTGACCTATGTAAACAGGAACAGGAACTTAAAGCAGCTTTCAGAAACTCAGGTTGATTTGTGGAGAGCGTTACTATGAGATGAAAAGTAATTAATTCTTCTGAATGTCTTTTAACTGAGCAGGAATAATTAACAGCTGTATTTGTATTCTATGCTTTTATTTTAGTTGGTCAAATAACAAGTTTGTACTCCCAAGTGTTGTTTCTGATGTTGCTTTATTGTGTTAAACTTTTTTTTTTAAAAAAAGCTGAGGCACAGCAGGTGGCCAGCACCCCCCCCCCCTTATACCGCTTCTGAGAGGGTAGTTTGCTTTGAACACTAAACTCCTTTGAGGCTAGACTGAAACAGCCACAAAATGTGCTACTGAAGAAATTAAAACTGTTCTTGCAAAACAAAAACAAAAAACAAACAAACACCCATTTGTTCTCCAGAAGGCCTTCCTGTGACAATTTATTAAAAGATAATTAAAATCTTGGTTTTTCCATTAAAATCTTAGCTTTACATTGTAAATAACATGTCAGACTTACTGGCACTGAATGTTGTAATGGGCAATAGTTGGGGAGATGTGTGAAATGTGTGCAGACGTAAAGGTGCCATCTGTGTACAACCTTGTACATTCTTGAATTTGATTAGATGCTGTTGCGATTGTAGGTTTGTTCCAGTAAGCTTCCCAAACTTCATCTTCAAATTCTGTATTCAAATCAGTTTCCCAAACGTATTTTGAGGCCTGACATATCGCCTCAATCTATATCTAGCAAGACCGAGTGGATAGCAGAGACTATGTGTTTGTTAAGCCCCTTTCATTGATGAGGCATCACTGTCCAGGTATTATTATTTTTTGCAAATGTAGTTGCCACTCGGATCACGATGGGTCATCACACTGTATTTCTTTACCATACAACTCTGCATCCCACATCACTAATCAGTCGTTAACTGCATGGGAAGCGGGTGGTGTTTGAAAATCACATGTTTTGATTTTGTCACATAAGCATTCCGGCAGGTACAGTCCTCTGTACATAGAACATGGTATGTCTTTTCCTGTTTTCCTTTTCCTTAAGGGTGAATTCATACACCAATGCATAAGTATTAAATATGGAAGTTTTTATCAAGTGGAAACATCTATCTTCTGCTTTTAATAACAACGCTTTGAGTGTGCTCAGAGAGGCACTCTGTTGTTCCATTCAAACTGCATGACTTTTGTACCTCGCTCTGGATTCTAGATCTTGGGGTTCTGGGGGGGAGGGGAAGCAGCTCATTCAAGTCTACCTACCCACTTACCCTAGTTTATTAAGTTGTTTATGGAAGGGATAGATTGCTGTTGTATTCTTTTGAGTTTTTTTCTTTTAAAAAACAAAACGCTAATTTTTAAAAGAGGGGGAAAGTTATTCAATCAATCAATCAATCGATCGATCGATCAATCAATAAACCACCCCTTTGATTCATTTCCTCTGTAGGATGTTCGACGGCTGGAAATCCCTGCTGAGCTTGCTGCCTTACTGCGTTTGGCTGAAGGTGAGCAGAGAGCCTTTGACTCGTAATTTTTTTTTTTTGCTAAAGTCCATACACTTCACACGTGTTATGCTTTAGAGTAGAGCTGAAATAAATTCCCCCTCCAAAAAAAAAGTCTTGTAAACTTACATAGGGTGTCTATGTAAGGACTATGTCCTGCTGCTTGTGGGCTTCCTAGTGGCATCTGGTTGGTTACTCTTGGAATAGAATGCTGGCCTGGATAGGTCTTTGGTCTGATCTAAGCAGGGCTCTTTGTATAAATATTGTTTCAGCAGTTGCTTAAGTGATCACTAGCCAGTAATGTTCGATTTCAATATTAGATACAGTGGCACCTCGGGTTACAAACGCTTCAGGTTACAGATTCCACTAACCCAGAAAGAGTACCTAGGGTTAAGAACTTTACCTCAGGATGAGAACAGAAATTGTGCGGCGGCAGCTGAAGGCCCCATTAGTTAAAGTGGTACCTCAGGTTAAGAACAGTTTCAGTTTAAGAAGGGACCTCCAGAACGAATTAAGTTATTAACCTGAGGTACCACTGTATTGACAGATAGTGCTTGCCAATTTGTGATAGCTAATACATGCAGTGGTCTTCCAAGCTTTGGGGAGATACTTTTGCCATTGATTTGTTTGCCAAAGGACTTGAGTGTCTGCCATAGAACCACTACTTGTCACAAAGGATTCTGGGCATAAACACTGCTGGGCCTCACCATGAACCTTTGTGAACTGAGAATGTGCTAGTCTAGAACCCACCAAGCATTCGCTTCTGGCTATCTGGGTGGCCACTGTTAGAACAGGATGCTGGACCAGATGGGCCATTGACCTGATACAGCAGGCACTTCTTAGGGTCCCCCCCCCCCCGCCCATTGTAGCTACAGTTGTCGTTATTGCTTTCGCTTAGTATTTGTTTGGACACCCAAAAAATCCCTGTTTATCTCAGTAGCCACATAAAAAAGCAAGGGTGTGCCTCACCAACTGAGCTAACATTATTAGTGTTTTCCTGTCTTGCAGGTCACCACCATGCCCAAATTAATCAGGTCACAGAAGTCTCCCCTCCAGAAGTTAAAGCCAAGGCTGATCTCTCTCTGCCACCTGACATCAATAGCTTTCCATTCTCTTCGTTCATAAGGTCGCATTTCCAGGTAGGAGGTTGTTTCGGAAAGTTGGAGTTCACTAGAAAAGCCAGCGGCCATCATTGTCTCTTCCACTCACTTCATAAAATGTTAAGAGTTGGAAGGGACTTGGAATGCCATCTGGTCCAATCCTAGGTGCAGAATGCAACTTCAACATCCCTGACCCATGGCTGTCTAGCCTCTGCTTAAATGCCTTAAGCAAAGGAGAGCCTGTCATATTTCAAGGCAGTCTAATTCATTGTCAAACAGATCTCAGTTCTGTTTATTTCCCTGTAGTAAAAGTCCATCTATTTGATGGTGATCATCCAAGTGTTTTGCGGGAAGAAAGGCTCTAGATAAGTCTTTCCCAGACACTGGGTCTCCAGCCGTTTTTGGACTAAAGGTAAAGGTAAAGGTAAAGGGACCCCTGACCATTAGGTCCAGTCACGGACGACTCTGGGGTTGCGGTGCTCATCTTGTTTTTTTGGCCGAGGGAGCTGGCATACAGCTTCTGGGTCATGTGGCCAGCATGACTAAGCTGCTTCTGGCAGCACGGGGATTCTGGCAGCACGGGGATTCCCCCGTCACGGGGATTTGAACCGCCGACCTTCTGATCGGCAAGCCCTAGGCTCTGTGGTTTAACTCACATCGCTGCTTAACCCACAGTTAATCCACAGTTTTTGGACTACACCTCCCTTTATCCCTAGCTAGCAAGACCGGTGGTCAGAAATGATGAGAATTGTAGTCCAAAAGCAGCTGGAGACCCAGTGTTTGGGAAACACTGATCTAGATCTTTCCTTCTGGCACCTGTAGCCCCCCAGTCCACTGAGCTTCTTCACCCTTCCTCTTTACTTTGGCTGTCAACTCTGCTGCTGTCACATGGGAGAAATGATTGGGGGAAACAAAAGGCCCTTTGCTTTGCCCTACCTGAACAGTGGTGGCTCTGAGAGCGATGCACATCGCAGTGTCTTCACTTTGCCTAACATTAGTAATGCTGCTTATGAACTCAGTGCTTCTGTTCCTCGTCCATTGTAGGAAGTGGGTTTCCCTGCCCTTGGGCAGCCCCTGCAACAGCCTTTGACCAGACTGGATGGTGAGCAGAGGCAAAGTGCTCTGCAGCTCAACAAAGTGGTAAGGGAAAAAAATATATGAGCAAGCAGTTAAGTAGCTAGGCCTCGCTGGAGATAGGAGATGGTCCCGTCCCCCCACTCAAAGTTAAAGGAGCTTTGAAGGAGGGAATCACAGCCCATGGTGTGTACAGCTATACTGATTTTCCTCTGGGGAGCAAGCTTTGCAAAGTGTTAGTATGGTTTCAGAAGCCTGCAAAATCTCTTTGACCTAGACACAATGATGACCTGTTGCATGCTTGGCTGGGGGTGGGGTGGGGGGTTGTGTTTCTACACTGTGGTGCTTCCAGTCAGGGGCTTAATTGCCAACGGGTTGTTCTGCTATCACAAAGGAGTGGTTGGCAGCTTCTTCAGATGGGGGACTGAGAGATGCCAAGGGAACTCCTCCACAACTCAGAGAGCTTCCTTTGCGTTTGTGGACTTACTGAGGAATCCAGAACAGGAAAATGCTGAGCAACTGAGAAAAGAGGGGAGAAAAGGATTGTGGTGCCCAATATGGGTGCAGGTACCTGAGGCCCAGACACCTTTGTTCTCCACTCAGCAGAAGCTCTGAGAGATTAAATGGAGACACAGGCTTGGGTATCACTTTTTCTGGAGGTGGGGCTGGGAAACTTGCTTTCTTTTTTTGGCCTGTCAAGGCTTCCATTCTCTTAGGGGTTCCATTTGGTTAGGGGGTCACATGCCAGATATGGATTGGGCCAGAGCCACCCCACAGTCTTTGGCTGAATACTATACACATTCTGAGTCTCTTTTGCCCCTCAAAGCATTCTGTAGTTTACTAAGGGTTGCTAGGAATTGTACCTCTGTGTGAGGAGTAGACTACAGTGGCCAAAATACATTGCAAGGTGGGGTAGGTGTGAGGAATGAGCTTTTCACGCGTTGTAAAGGTTCAGTGCTTATGCAGTCTTTGTCTAATCACCCCACATTCATTCTCTGTCCCCCTCTCTCTTTCTCTATCACACACATGACAGAGAGAGCAGGGAGAAGCCAAGTCTAATAGTGAAGCATTTTTGCTGTAAATGCAAGGTGGCAGAATGGGTGCTCCTAGACAGGCGCACTCTTTCCTTCCCACATACACGAAGCACCCCATACTGGGAGTGGCCAGGAGAAGTGTTTGGGGCCTCCCCCTGCTCTGCTTCCTCCTCGCACTTCCACCTGCAGGATGTTGCTATTGAGAGGCAACAAACAAGAAGCTGCAAAGTGAGGGTTGCGGCGCTGCTCCTTTCCCAGACCCTGTGAAGGGGAGAAGAATGTAGACTTGGCACTCAGAGCATCTCTCTTTGGGTGGTGGCAGGGAGGGGAAAGGGAGGTGGCAAATTATTAACCACACGTCTGGAGAAGGGTGTCTTGCTCCCATGGGCGTTGTGGCTTTGTTGATGGACCTTCGCCCCCTCTCACACAAAGATACACAGCCTAACCCCTCCCCACTAACCCCACTAGGGCCACCTGTGCACTCCCCTTCTCTCCCACCCCAGGCCACACCGTTGTCATGCGCAACAGGGGAGTTGACAGCATTGGCTTCACAACAAAAGGATGTAAGCAGCTGCTTGCCAGCCTTCCCTTTTTCTCACTCTGTGTGCAGAGTCACCGGTGTAAAGGAGTGGGGAAGCAGAGAGGGTGAGATGTCCCCCGAAACTCAGAGGAAAAGAACGAGCCTGTTTCTCCCTCTGCCCTCCAGTCTCTCTGGCCGCCTCCTGCACACTCTCACCTCTCTCCTGTTTTCACAGTATTCAATGTCTTCCCTCTCAAATCCTCTTGTTGGGGAGACCGCAGGGCGATTAATGTGTTACTTGATGTCTGTTAGCGTGCAGTGGCTCAGGACTTGCAACTCTTATGTTCGGAATCATTCAGAAGCCATTCTGCTGGGAAGCGGGAAGTGACCACAACTGATCCACTGGCCGCATGTTTTGCAAATCAGTTCTGGTAACTGGCTCTAGAGAGAGGATGCACGCTGCCTTCCAGTTAGTCCTTAACTGTCCACCAGCTTCCATTCTTATTTATAGGTTCTTAGAACTTGAAGGAACTGAGCAGTAGGTGGATCATTTTTGTGACTTTGCTGTGATCATGAAGAGAAGCTATTCTTAGGGAGGAGGCTGAGGGAGGACCAGGGCTATGGAGATAAGAATAAGTTTGACTCATACAATGTGTATGTACTACTAAACCCCTTCACACATTGCTACTTATTTAACGATTCTTGAAGGAAGGCAGTTTTCTTTTTAACTAATCGTCTATGGGAAGATGGTGGCTTTTAAGTAACTCTTTTTTTAACAGGGTTTTGTTGTAATAAGGGAAAAAAAGAAAGCCGCCATTTAATCCAGCTTGCACATTGTGTGTATTTGCACCATACATTTAAAGCACATGACTTCCCCCCAAGAATCCTGGGAAATGTAGTTTTTCCTTGCAAAGCTATAATTCTTCTTAACAAACCACAGCCCCCAGGGATCTTTGAGTTGAAAGAAATGTGTTTTAAATAGGCATGGACTGAGTTCTAAATGTGTGGTGTGGAATGAGAAAGAATGAGGGCAGACTCAAGGTCAGAGCAACTGAACAAGAATTCCTCCACTCTTAGCCTTGGACATATTGAAGGGCTTTCCTGCACGATGGGCAAAACCGTTCCCCAGCGTGTAGCTCAGCAGCAGTGGAGCACATGGAGGCTGAGTGCAATCCAGATCTCATGCACATTTTTTGCTCCCAAAAAGCGCAGAGAGAAACCAGTTTCGTTCCAAAAACAAATGCTCATTGCCTATTGATTCTGCATTACCCTACAATGTGTCCATTTGAAAACAGTTGTAGGTGGTCCTGGAAACTGGAGGTGCATCCACATTGTGGCATTGTGGGTTGGGGTGTCCCAAGATCACAATCGCTACACCCTCCTCCATTCACTTGGGGCAAGTGCAAGGGTGATACTAATCAAGGGGAGGGTTTCCAAATGCAGATCAAGTAACCACACCCACCTCCTTGTTTAGGGCTGAATCTAGACTTAATCTAGATTGAAAGCAGCATGTTGAAGATGAAGATGAATGACTCATTTTTTTTTTTTTAAACCCACTACATTTTTGTGTGTGCAGCAAAAGCGAAGTAATCTGCTTTGGGCACAGTTCTGCTGCAAGTGCCAACTGCCTCTGTTCCTACCTGCCATGGAAAAGCAATGGTTCTCCAAGAGGGTGATCAAGGTGGGGGCTTGATCTTGTCGCTTGAGGTCTGCTGCCTGACTCGATCACACCTTTACCGGTTCCCTTACAGATCCTGCGGTTCATCAATGACAAAGACCTGCAGGACTGGGAAGAAAAACTCCTGGGGAACTATATAGCAAGTCGAGGGCTGGCCAGCCTCTCCCTGCGCAATGAGCTGTTGAGCCAGGTGGCCAGTCAAGTGTGGAAGAACCCAGACCTGGAGCAAGGCCAACGAGGTTGTGTGTTGATGGCTGCCCTCCTGGGCTCTTTTGCCCCTTCTCCAGCTCTGGAGAAGCCCCTGTTGAAGTAAGAAAAAGGCTCCGCTCTCCACTTTTTAAAAACACCACTCATAAAATGGAGCCGTTTACAGAAGGATTCTGCTTTTTTGGCGTACAGGTTTGTGTCTGACCATGGTCTGGATGGATATAACGGCGTTTGCCAGCGTAAACTCCTGATGTCAATGAAGCAGATGGAAAGCGACCCAGAAGTGTCCCGTAGCTTTCCTCCCACCCAGCTGGAGTGGACTGCCAATCAGAGGAAAGGCAAGATGGTGTTGGATGTTTACACCTACAAAGGTAACAGCGAATACTTAGCATACTCACAAGGGCAGACCTTGGTAATATGCCGCCCTGTGCGAGACCATTGGAAGCCCTCACCCACAGCCGTCGTGGCACCAACTTAAGCCAGACTCTGGGAAGGATGTGCAAGGCCCTCTACCTCTTTCCCAAAGCCCAGTAAGCGCTTGGCCAGCTTTAGGAGGGAGGCAGGAGGACTCTAGGACCCTTTCAGAGCCCTACACCTCCTTCCCAAAGCAGGGCAAGCGCTTACCAGGTTTTGAGAAGGCACCCTTCTTGGCTATGTGCCTGATGTGACCGCACCACTCACACTGCCCTAAATCTGCCTGTGATACCCATCAGAATTGTTGGGAACAAATAGTATTTCCGGACCGGGCCCTCCTTGATTTTGCAGTTTGCAGTTGTAAGGCTTTTATTTTAGCATTTTGTCTTTCGCTTTTTTCCTCCCTGGCTTAGAGGAGAGGCTTTCAGCCGAAGTGGAGTCCTGGACAACAGGAGAGCAATATGCAGGCTGGATCCTGAGTTCAAGGTACACACAGAAGCAAAAGGAGTAGGTTTTGATCTGACAGTTTCTGTTGTCAGAGCAATTGATCTTTGAGGTCAGCAAAGGCTCAGGCTGTTATCAGCGTGTTCTGCAGCAGCATGAGAAGGGTAAATAATTATGTAAGGACCAACCCCAGGCCGTGTTATTACTTCCTCATCCCAGGCTGTTGGAGTTTGTCTTTAGTCATAAAAATGAATGTTTGAGCTCCCACCTTCCCTTTTTTATTTTTTTAACTGGAAATCCATTTCATGCTTTGGAGAAGTTAGACTGGCTTTGGAGAGAAGAGTGGTATTCATGGGCCTCAGTTCAGCTCTTTTTCCTCAAAGAGCAGTGGCCTCCCCCCAACCTCATGTGCCCCCCAAGTGTTTTGGACTACAGTGGTACCTTGGGTTAAGAACTTAATTCATTTTGGAGGTCCGTTCTTAACCTGAAACTGGTCTTAACCTGAAGCACCACTTTAGCTAATGGGGCCTCCCGCTGCCGCTGTGCCGCCGGAGCACGGTTTCTGTTCTCATCCTGAAGCAAAGTTCTTAACCTGAGATACTATTTCTGGGTTAGCAGAGTCTATAACCTGAAGCGTCTGTAACCCGAGGTACCACTGTACAATTCTTGATCAGCCCCAGCCAGCGTGGGCAAAACCAGAAGCCTTTTGTTTTTCCCTCTCTGCCTCACACCCAGGGCCGTCTTAAGCATATCCGGCGCCATGGTGCAAAGATCCCTCTGGCGCCCCCCCCCTTCCCAGAGTTGTCAAACCTTTCCCCAAGCCTCTGCAGGGATCGCTCTCCTCCCACTGAGGCTTGGGAGGCAAGCTGCATACCCACCAGCCATATGGTTGGCAGGGTGCCGCTGGTGGGCATGCAGGGAAAGGGGAGGCCGCCGGCAAAGCCGCACAGCTCCCCCACTTGCTGGGGTGCCCCTGAGAGGCTGGCGCCATGGCACAACGCGCCACTAAGCCCAATGGGGATAACGGCTCTGCTCTCGCCTTCTTTCTCACCCCTGTCTTCTGGCACCCTGCACTTCCTCTCTGTGTCGTAATGTCCCCTCCCTCTGCTGATTTCAGGGGCCTGGATACAGTACCTCGCGGCTGGTCTGTGTCCATGTTCACAGGCAAGGCGTGGCAGGATTTGCCTGGTTGTGACTTTGTGCTGGATCTCATTGGAGAAATAGAGGAAGGCAACTGGCCCTCTGAATCCTCCCCTGACTATCCTATAACCCCAGAGTGGGATGAGAGCTATTCCTATCAGAGCTCTTCAGATAGGTGAGTGACCTCCTTCCTTGCCACTTGTCCCCAGCTACAGCCTCGATCGTATTCCCACAAACCTCTGCTTCTGTGACCTTACTGGCTTTCTCCCCTGGCAGGATGCCCTTGGACATCCCCCCTGCTCCAGGCATTCGGGCACCTTCCGTCCCCCCACCCCCCCTGCCTCCAGACTTGGACAACATCGCTCATTCAGGTGAGTCCCAATCTCAGGGCAGTGATGGTCCTAAATTCAAAGGCGGCTGGACAGCACCAAGGAGTGTGTGAACCTGAGTGTCTGGTTTCCAGGCTTTGAAGCAATGTGGGCTTTGTGTGTGTTCAGTGTGTGCGGGAGACTTAAAGAGAAAATTTTGAGGCTGTAGAATTAGCATAGGTAAAGGTAAAGGGACCCCTGACCATTAGGTCCAGTTGTGGCCGACTCTGGGGTTACGGTGCTCATCTCGCTTTATTGGCCAAGGGAGCCGGCGTGCAGCTTCCGGGTCATGTGGCCAGCATGACTATGCCGCTTCTGGCGAACCAGAGCAGCGCATGGAAATGCCGTTTACCTTCCCGCCGGAGTGGTACCTATTTATCTACTTGCACTTGACATGCTTTCAGACTGCTAGGTGGGCAGGAGCAGGGACCGAGCAAAGGGAGCTCACCCTGTCGCGGGGATTCGAACCGCTGACCTTCTGATCAGCAAGTCCTAGGCCCTGTGGTTTAACTCATAGCGCCACCCACATCCGTAGAATTAGCATGGGGAAGAACAAATGGTGCTAAGAGAGTAGGGAGGAGCTTGGCCTGATTTGTTTCCATCTCCCAACAGAGTCGAGCTACAGAGGTAGCTCCAGATCCGCTGGAGGGCTGGATCACTATGTGGACGGTCTCTTCATGCCTCTGCTGCATCATGGGGCCAGGAGTCAGACGCCAGTAAGTCTGCTCATTTCTCATCTGTTCAGTTGTTTGCTGCTCCTTTTCTCGTGCACTGTCCTTCCAACAAGTCTGTCTTTCCGTTTCCCGTTTCGTTTGCTAGCATTTAGATCTGTAGTGACCATTCATGTAATTCATAGTGAATTACGACCCTGTCCTACGTTCAGTTGTCTGAACTCAAAGACCAAATGAGGCGGATAAGCTGTGTACTAAATGTTGGGCTGTCTCTTGCTTCTCTGCAGGATATGGAGAGTGAAGGGAATCTGACTGGACGCATGAAAGGAGGTGGGAAAATTGGACCCACTCACCATGGAGCTTTCTCAGGTGCGACCCAAGCAGGAAAGATCCAGCATTTGTACATGATGGGGAAGGGAGTTCAGGGTTTGGTCCTTTGGGGATGATGGCCACCAGCGGCTGTTCTTTTAGCAAGCATTAAGCTGTATGTGATCTAAGATGTGTGTGGAATTATGCTCATATACCTGGCACACACTTCATGCTGTTGGGTGTGAATAATGAGATTCTAGACATGCACACTTTGGACATGTATAAGCCCTAGGAAATTCTGTCAGGCCTACAGAATCAGGCAGGGACCTGCTTCCACAACATGCAATGGTTGCCATTCCCAGAATGCCCAGCAGCACCCTCACTATATGGCCAACTACGCCAAGGTTATCTCAGTGCAAGTCCTAGGAGATATAATTTTTTAAGGATTTTACCTTGAATGTCATTTCCCCCAAAATAATAAGCATTTCTATGAGTCCTCCATTTTCTCCATTCCATCATATTTCTACGTGTGGTGAAATAATTGCCTTCCCTAGAGCCAAATGGTAGTAGGCTCCTACTTTGTGGTGGTGGTTGCTGACTAAAGATGAGGGAGAAATTTGGTTCCGTTCCTGTTTTAATGCGAACCTGCTTAATTCACACTTCCTGAAACAATATGAAATGGCTTCCTGAAACAAAAATCTGCACTTTTCTGACTTTTGTAATGTTGTTCTCCAAACGAAACAGTGTTCAGAAATGTGCTTATTAGGGGTAAGTGTGCATTGCGTAAAAATGCACATATAAGTTAAAGTAACATACAAAAATGCATCATTTTAGGGGATACTACATGCAAAGAGGTGCCTAGGAGGAGGAGAGGTGCACACTAAAATGCTGACTTTTCATGATGACTTTTTTAAAAAAACAACCTGCTATGAAAATGTGATTGGAAAAAATGAGAAACCAAAAGAACGGTGTTGCATTTTGGGCAGGAATTTTAAATTCCTCTTTGCCGCTCTCTTCCAGCCTTCCCAGCCTTCTCTAGTTATTCAAGGGGTTTGTATGTCTCTTGTGGTGGTTTGTGTGCATTGTGTGCTGTTGTTGTCCTTGGTGATGTCTGGTTGCTTGTTCTGACTTGGGAAGATACTTAGCCGGGTACCACAAGGATGGAGCCAGCAGCCTCTAGGTTTGCTCCAAAGGTATGGAGTGTGTGTGAAGATTAGTAGTTAATGGAAACCGGGGTGGGGGTGGGGATTTGCCCGGTGCATGTGAGCAGGACCATCAGTAAGTCTGGCCGATCAACTTGGTGATAACTTTCACACGAGACACAGCAAGCCAGTCTTTCCTTCTTCCATTAGGCTATTCGGGAATGATGAACATGCCGTCTTACCAACCTATGCCTGTCATGGGCGGAATGATGCCAGCCACCATGCCGATGATGCCAACGCTTGGTGGAATGGGAACAATGCCAGGTAAAAATAATACAGAAAATGTGGCAAGCGTTGGAACAGGTTGAAATGCAGGAGATTTTGAGGTGGGGCAGTGGGGAAGGCTGTCATTCATCCTTTGCACAATAGATCCCTGTGTCTCTTTTCTTACTATCCAACTGGCTTGCTAAAAGAAGGCTGAGAAGAAAATGCGTAAGTTTAAAAACAAGTCTTCTTGCCTCAATGTGTTACAAACAACATAAAAGCATGTGGAATGTACTCTGCAACTGTACTTCTGCTTCAGTCATGCTTTAACAACTATTTTACAAGCTTTTTTGGATTCACTGAATATAGTATTGGAAAGAGGAGAGTTAGTATGGAATTGTGTTGAATTTTGCAGTCCTGTCCCCTGATAATATTATCCCCATCTGGGAAGAAGAGCCTCTGGTTGCTGTGCATTCAACAGGAAGTAACCACATACTATGTGGATCTCGGACGTTAGCTTGATGAGCCTTCATAGATGTCTCTTTCTCTCACTCAGCTATGGCTATGCCTCAGCCTCAGCCCATTATGCCATCAGTGGATCCAAACCAGATAGCTGCACAGCAACAAGCCTTCATCAACCAGCAGGCCATGCTCATGGTAAGTGAAAGGGTTAAGAACAATGGGCGATGAGCAAGTGAGTACAAGGAGCTTTGGAAACATAACTATGCTGTTGCCTTTTGCCATGAATCATGTCTCACTTGCCAGTCGCCTGCTAAAATGTTTATTATGCACCACAAGTGTCCGGTTGTTAGGTTTTTAATTCTTCTCTCAAATGTTGTTTTTGTGTTCCTAACTGTTTTTAATTATTTTATGTATAAATCGCCTTGGGATGGCGGTTTAGAAGTCAGTTAATGAATTAACTGTAATAACAAACAAACATATAAGTGCTCTTAGTAGCTTCATCCCTTCTCTTTCCTCCAATATGTATCTACTAGTCTCAAAATCCCCCGGGTTAAAAGCCTGAAACTGCCATGTTGATCAGGCCAAAGCTCCTGAAAAATTGGATTTCATGTTTCAGGCTCAGCAGATGACCCTTCAAGCCATGACAATCTCCCAGCAGCAGCAGCAAAAGGAGCAACAGCGCCAGCAAAAAGACAGGTCTCCTGAGCTTTCAAGGCCAAGACGAACATCACCACAGAGGAGGTCACCTGAATTTTCAAGGCGAAGTCGAGCATCAGAACAGGAGCGATCGCCTGAATCTTCAAGGCCGAGGCGAGTGTCACCACAGGAACGGTCACCAGAATCTTCAAGGCCAAGGCGACTGTCTCCTCCTCCACACCTGCCAGCTCCAGCTGCTAAACCCAAGAGCCTCAAAAGCACCACCAAGCAAGATGCATCAGTGCCTGATCTACAAGAATCTCCATCTCCGCCACCAGCACCGGTACTGGGTGTCCAGCAAGTATTCCTCTGTAGAAATGCCCGCACGACTTCTGCATCATAGCGTGGTTTCTGCAAAACCAAACCTTAAAGCATTGGTCTTCCAGATGTTGCTGATTTGCAACTCCCATCACCCCCAGCAAGCAAGGCTAGTTGCCTGGGATGATGGGAGTTGTATACAACAACATCTGGGAGTTGTAGTTCAGCAACAAAGGTTCCCCACACCTGACTCTAAAGAGAGAAAGAGCTGAACTCTGGCCATGCTGCTTTATGATTTTACGCTCCCGTTGCTCGGTCCTAGCTCCTGCCAACCTAGCAGTTCGAAAGCACGTCAAAGGGCAAGTAGATAAATAGGTACTCCTCTGGCGGGAAGGTAAACGGCGTTTCCGTGCACTGCTCTGGTTCACCAGAAGTGGCTTAGTCATGCTGGCCACATGACCCAGAAGATGTACCTTGGCCAATAAAGCGAGATGAGCGCCGCAACCCCAGAGTCGGCCTCGACTGGCCCTAATGGTCAGGGGTCCCTTTACCTCTACTATTAGCTTGTTAGAACTCAGATCTGATTCTCACAAACAGCAGATAACATTCTAAACCTTTGCCCAAGTGGGGGCTCACATGACTGAATGCTACTCAATACAAAAAGAGGTTCCCTCTATATAGAAAAGATGCAAAGGTGAAAGCCAGAATTCTTTCCCTGACATCTAGTTTTGTTGGGGTTTTCCTTTAAAAAAACCTTAATGGGGGAGCATTTAGTCATGTGAGCTCCCACCTGCAGCTTGCAGCGTTAAAGCCCAGGCACGGGTTTCTTTTAAACTAGCTTTGAGTTGGGCATGACTGAACTGCCACAAAATGCTATATATGGGGTGGGGAGATGGCTCCTCGTTTTTTCAGACATCCCTGACTAGGATCAGTCAGTGAGGCCTAACTGAGGAACATATTGGGTTATGTGTTCTAGATCCCCCTCCTCCACGGAAACCAGTCCTCAGACATCAGAGAGGACCCCATCTCTCGAGAGTCATTCCAGAAGAAAGTGGAGTTCTTCCAGAAAATTGGTGAGCCACTTCACGCTGTTGCCCTGGGCTTCATCCCAGACGGGGCATCATTCCATTTTTACACATCAGTATATTTTCATGCTCCACACTAATACAAATTACTATAATTATTAACTGCTTTGTGGTACTAATTCATTCCTGAGGGGAGTGCCAGTGTTTTGTAAGAACCCGAGTGTATTCCTGGGGAATAAACATTATTTTGAGTTCTGCCAAGGAAAAAATAAGTATCTCTAGGTGAATGGGAGGCAAGATGAGGAACCTCTATTGACAGGTCAGTCTTGTGCTTCCATGGCTCAACTGTTTGGGTTGAGGATGAAAATTCCCCCACCCCCCGGTAAATCCTACTAGGAACATTTCTTCACCACCATCTTTAGCAGCCTTCCTCAACGTTGTGCCCTGTGGATATTGTCCCATCTGCCCCAGCCAGCATGGCCAGAAGTCAGGGGTAATGGGAACTGTAGTCCAAAACACTTGCAAACACCAGGTTAAGGAAGGTTGATCTATATCTGTGTGTACTTTACTAAACTCTCACCTAAGGTATGACACGTTTTATGTCCCTTCTGCTGTGCTTGTGGCACACTATCACTGAAAATAAAGAAATACAGTGGTACCTCGGGTTACAGACGCTTCAGGTTACAGACACTTCAGGTTACAGACTCTGCTAACCCAGAAATAGTACCTCGGGTTAAGAACTTTGCTTCAGGGTGAGAACAGAAATACTGCTCTGGCGGCGCGGCAGCACCAGTAGGCCCCATTGGCTAAAGTGGTACCTCAGGTTAAGAACAGTTTCAGGTTAAGAACGGACCTCCAGAACGAATTACGTTCTTAACCCGAGGTACCACTGTACAGTTGTACCTTGGTTTTGGAACAGCTTAGTTTCCGAACGTTTTGGCTCCAGAACGCCGCAATCCCAGAAGTGAGTGTTCTGGTTTGCCAACATTCTTTTGGAACCCAAATGTCTGACCTTCCGCAGCTTCCGATTGGTGGCACGAGCTTCCTGCAGCCAATCAGAAGCCGTGCTTTGGTTTCTGAACCTTTTGGAAGTCGAACGGACTTCCAGAATGGATTCCATTCCGACTTCCAAGGTCCGACTGTAAAAAACATTAAAGGAGGATGCACAGTCAGTTTAGGGAGAAGGGGTGTTTTGGGGAACATCCTAAGGGCTAGGCAGAGAAGCCAGGAGGGGCTCATTGAGTCCCCAGGCCTGATGTAGGCTGATCTGCTAATATGGGGCTGATTTACAAGTTCCTTCCAACCAACAGTGGTTTGTATTTGGTATTCTAACTGGACTGATGATGCCAGTCCAGGTTTAAGAAATTGTTGGTGCTTGATTGCCCCTGCTTCTCCACACAGGGCAGCAGAAAAGTCATGTGAAGAAAGCACCTCCTTCTCCAAAGAGGTGGACACCTCCAAATAAACCATCATCAGAAGACCAAGAGACTAGCCCACAACCAAATTCAGGTAAGTTCTGGTCATGAATATAGTCTTCGCAGAGCCTTTTCATTCCTTGCTGGCTACCTCACTTGCCCATTCTAGCTTCAGTAATGGAGATGGATTGCAGCTAAATAAGGAAGTAGCAAAATACTTATGCATGAGATTGGGAAGGCGCTATGTAGAAAGAGCTAGCCAGGGGTAGAGAAGTGTGTAAGGTAGAAACAAGGCAAACTCTTTTTGCTTATTTAGAAAACAAGCACGCACACCTTTTCTCTTAATCCTCTGCTGCAGGTTCGCCACACTCTACACAGACAGAAAATGACCAACATTCTCAACCAACCCAGGAGATACGGAGGATCATCAAAACTCACAAGGCTCAGCCTGTCCCACCACCAAAACCCATCATCCCACTCAGGTGAGGAATGGACCTGAGCCTGGTCACGGAATTAGAACTCCTTTTAGATATTTGTGCCTGCAGAAGCTTCCATGGTTGCCCCTGTGCCAATCAGAGAACATCTAAAGGTTTGGTGGGTTGCCACAATGTTGGGCTTGTCCACATGTCACATTAAAGCCATAGCTAATGCCAACCGTTGTTAACATTATCCTTCGTTTATGAAGCTTGGTTAAAGAGGAAGTACGATCGGATTAACCTTGGTTTGTTATGCTGCAGCTGAGTTTATCTGAGTTAATCTCAGTGCCACCCAGTGGCGTGCGGTGAAATTTTTTGTAGGAGAACAATTAGGGCATGGGTAGGCAAACTAAGGCCAGGGGCCAGATCCAGCCCAATCACCTTCTAAATCCGGCCTGCGGACGGTCCGGGAATCAGTGTGCTTTTACGTGAGTAGAATGTGTCCTTTTATTTAAAATGCGTCTCTGGGTTATTTATGGGGCATAGGAATTCGTTCATTATTTTTCCCCCAAAATATAGTCTGGCCCCCCACAAGGTCTGAGGACTGGCCCCCTGCTGAAAAAGTTTGCTGACCCCTGAGTTAGGGCCAGAGGAGCCAGCTTGCAAGGGCGATGGGGGAGGGGATGTTGTGTGTGTGAGCATCATGCCCCGCTCCCTGTCGTCGCATTGCACCTCCCTCCCTAAGCCAGGCAGAAGCTTCCCAGGCTTTGGAAGGAGGCACCAGGCATTAATACCATAATTTACCATGAACATTTAGGAGACTAGCCTAATCCCTCAAGTACACTGACCACACACCATTGGTGCACCTTCTCCGTGACTCCAACTTGTTATCAGAGGCCTTTGTGGCACCCTTTCCCTGGCAATGCCTCACTGTGCCAGTGGCATCACTAGCCTGCTTGTTATTATTGGCTGGTCAGACAGACGCAGTGGGCCCAGCAAGGCCAATGCGGTTAGCTGCTTCGCAAACCGTGAACTTCCCAAGGGGCTGGATGTTGCCTGTGCACGAACCATCTTGTCATAGCAACCCAACATGGGCAGAACTCTCTAGCTGTTCTTTGGCCAACATGGGAGGAACGGCAGAGTTGTCCAGTTGCATTTGTAAGAGACTGTCTGAAGAAGGGTCTCTGAGGACAGGCGTTTTGTTGACTTTTACTGTTGGCCCATGCAGCTAACTCCACCAGAGCTGGTTTTAAGTTTTTCCCCTCCTATTTGACTTACAGAAACGTCTCTAAACCTTTCGTGAAGAAGAATGACCCAAAGGAGGAAGCTCTGGCAAAGCTGGGGATTGTGGGACACTCACAGGTGAGTAATAGCTTGTAACTTCCAGATGGTTTCTGTTGCGACACACCTAGAAAAACCAATGTGGTCAGCGGCCAAAGTCCTGTTGGGATTCTCCAATTAGCTGTCAGGGTGGCAATAAAAATGAGAGAAATCCATATAAGCCACTACATGTTCCTTAGAGAGAAAAATTGGGATACAAATAGGACAAATAACAAACAAAATATATATACCAAGTGTGACTGGATATCAGAAGGCTCCAGACTTTTATCGATACAGACTTGCTGTACTACCATCACCCCTCTGTCTGCACCTCTGCTTTTGGAGCAGCCGCATGAGAGCCATCTGGTTGAAGCTTATTTGGGTTTTAGAAAGATGCTTGAGATTGAAATGAGGAAAGTATCACAATTTTCGTTAAGAACCATTCACCACTAACTCTGATCCCGATGTCCTTGGAAGGCAAACTTTTGTTGATTTACAATGCAGTAAGCTCACTTTGGGGGTAACTTCCCTGCCACACCCAAGTCACCTGGAGTCTTGTTACTGGTATGGTTACTTTAACCCTCCAGTCCAGGCCTGCTGGAGTGGGTTATCCAGAGAAGTAGCGACACGGATGTCTCTTGTCTCCTGCAGTTTACGAGATTACTGCCAGAAAGCTTTCCTAAGTGGGTTAAATTAAGCAGTTTGTTTGCTCTTCAGCCTTCCATGTTGCTACTCTAGGACTGCAGGTGTGACCTGTGGCCATGTTTAAAACACGTCTCTGCCTTGCTTTTTCTTTACGCAAACAGCTGTCCTCTGCATCACCAGAGGGGAGCCCCCAAGCATCTCCTCCTCCACTGCCACCACCTGGCAAGTTGTCCAGCTCCATCAAAGAAAAGCAGCTGCCCCTCATGAACCTATTTGCTCGGCCGCCACCAACCTCCCCTCCTAACCCGGAGGTTCCTCCTCCCCCCATTCAACCTCCACCAGCCCTTCCTTCGGACTACGCTTCAGAAGAAACTGGCATGAGAGGTATGTGGAGGAGCTTAGACTCTGCAGCCTTGACTTTGTGATTAGTGAGTTGATCTTCTCATCCCCTGTGCCTGCTGATTAACTGTGGCTCATCTTTAGGGTGCAGAGCTATGTGCTCGCTATCCATTCAAAGCACATTTCCTGTCCTCAAAGAATCCCGGGCACTGTGATTTATTATTAAGGGTTGCTGGAAATCGTAATTCTGTGAAGGTTAAACTGCAGTTCCCAAGAATTCTCTGGTGGAAGGGATGTGATTCGAATGTGTTTTAAATGTATGTACAGTGGTATCTCGGGTTACAAACACTTCGGGTTACAGACTCTGCTAACCTGGAAGTAGTACCTCAGGTTAAGAACTTTACCTCAGGATGAGAACAGAAATCACGCAGCGGCAGCGGGAGGCCCCATTAGCTAAAGTGGTACCTCAGGTTAAGAACAGTTTCAGGTTAAGAACGGACCTCTGGAACGAATTAAGTTCGTAACCAGAGGTACCACTGTAGTGTGTATGCACCTTGGGGCTGCCTTCCCTGCGTCTGATGGGAGTTGTAGTCATAGCATCTGCAGGGCCACCAGGTTGGGGAAGACTGGTATGGGCCACAATTCAAAGTGCTGGTCATTATCGATAAGAGGCCTGTTAGAAATAATGTCTTCTTCCACATGCCTCTGCCAAAGCCCTTCTTTTCATTGCAAAGACCGCCATTTTTATTATTGTGTGTATCATTATTCTTTATAAAACCCTTAATAAAAATTATTATCTGAGGCCATTGTGTGAGTCTCTCGACACCTGAAGTTAGGCAGGTGAAGACCAAGGAGAGTTTTCTCAGTGCCCAACATATGAATCGTTTCCCCCTGAGAAGCTGACATGACATCTACCTTGATATCTATTTGACATCAGGCAGTGGTTCCAATTTGGACTTTTAGCTGGTCTTAAATATCTTCTTCAGGATATTGCTGACTTTGCTTACTCTGTGGCTTTAGCTTATGTGTATTGTTATTTTATTCAGTTTCTTGTGTTCGTTTTTATTATTTTAAATAGTACACAGCCTGGGGAGCCTTGTAATGTAGGGCAGTTTAGAAATTCACCCAACCAGCAAAAACACTTCCCTTTTAGTAAGTTGTTGTTTTAGAAAGCTTTTTACCTACCTTATGGATACGGTAGGCTATAAATCTCAACAATTCAACAAATCTACAACAATATTTACTGAAACCCCTAAAAGGGGAGTTAGATGAATGATGCTTTCTTATTTTGGGGAGAACATGACGGTGGATAGTGAAGATCTTGGCAGTACACTAATATATTGATTTGTAAGCCCCTTTGAGGGCCGCTTTGGTGGAAAAGTGACATATAATTGGTGAAGCAACCGTAATAATAATAAAATCCCTTCTTCTGACATCCCTTTTGTTACACTTAGACTCAGCTCAGACAGTGGTGGAAGACGGCGGGATCAGAACCCAGCTCTTAGGACACTCTGCTAGTGTTACTTTCTCCTATGCCAACCCTACTTGGAAGCTCTTCCTACGCAAAGAGGTATGTCAAGGTCCATTGCATCCCAGTGCTGTTTTCTGGAAGTGGGAGAACTGGCCAATCCAGCTTTGCCGTGTACATCTGTGATGGGAGCATCTCACAAGAGCTGGGAATCCTGGTCATGTGACCTGTCACGGACACTGCTCTGCTTTGTCCTGCTTTTCAAATTGAGCTGGAACCATCTCAGTGTGTTCCCTCGTTCTAGGAAGTGCAACAAAACAAGTGTTGTGGTAAAGACATGCGATGGCACGGCCTCATGGTCTCTCCCACCGTGATAAATTCTGCAGGTTTGGAGTAGGAACAATCCTGGGAATGGTAAAGGAGGAAAATAAATTCTGAATAGGTGTGATGACCACAAGGCCTGGGGCAGATATAAATCCACACACTGTGATAGGGATTGATTTGGACTCTCTGTCATGTTTGCATGCCTTGCCCTGAGGAAGACAGGAGATGAAGAGCAAGAATGGGACTCCTCACTCTCCCTATGCCAAGTGTGTTGGGTGGGCGAGTTGTGTAAAGAATTGGCTGTTCTTCTTCTTTGAACTTCAGTCAAAACTGTGTCCTTAAAAAATGAACTCACACCAGTCCACTGGATCACTGGTTGGCTTGGATGGTGAGAGAAATGGTTACATATTTTGAAGACAGCTTTGTGTTTGTTTCCCAACAGGTTTTTTACCCCAAGGAAAACTTCAGTCATCCTTATTGCTTAAATTTGTTATGTGACCAGGTGAGCAGCAGCGGGGGTGGGGTGGGAGTGGGAACTCACTTTCCTTCTTCTTGGTCCATTAACATCTGAACATTTCTTTCTTTCCCCTTTTTCTTCTCCTTGGGTTTTTGTGCCTTCTTAACAACAACAACAACAACAAGGACTTTATTTGCGTAGCCAACAGGCCATAGCATCAAAGGACAAACACCGACAAAAATACGTTACAAATATAGTTACTTTTTTTTTTTTAAATTGATATTTATTAAATTTTCAAAAAGTAACAAGTAACAACAAACATCTCCAAAAAAAAAAAAAAAAAATTTAAAAATACAAATAAAACAGAAACAATACAGAAATAGTAAAAAAGAAAAAACCCAGCCGCAAAAAAGAAGAAAAAAGAAAAACAGACAAACAGAAATATAAAATCCTTTACGATCTCCATTAACTTCCTTTCTAGACTTCCTCCTCCTTCCGTCTCTTGTTTCTTAGTATTTAATTTTTACAGCAAATCCTTTCTGTTTTTTCATAACAATCTATCATTGCGTTTCCTTATTCTATTTTCCCTCTTGTCATATAAAAACTTTAAAACTCAAAGCTTATATTCAATATTTAGCAAATTCTTACATCATTACCTTTTTCAAATCATTTACCAATCCTTACTTAAGTCATATAATTTCATTCAACATCCTTCAAACATTTATAAACATTCCCAATATTAGAAAATAAGAAAGCAAAAACAATAAGTCAGATTCAATCCAGTCAACTTCCAGCCTCCCTCCCCTGGACCCGGGATTGTCAGTCCTTTTAACCTCAATAATCCGGCTCCTTAACCTGGTTGTCTCATATCCGAGGCCCTCAAGTCTCTTTCTTGCCCCTTTCGCCACTCTTGTTGATATTTCCCTTTCAGTCGTGGATACTCCAGCAAGAAGATGCTTTTGACTCTTTGCAGCAAGTCCATCCCAAACCCATTGCCCAAGCCAGACAGCAGATAATACCACTTCCAATTTCCACGAAACTTGGAGACTTCGACTACTCCATTCCTCTGATGGCCCATCACTAGACTCGGAAAGTCCAAATAACCATATAGAGGGGTGTCAATCCATCCCCCCATTTCCAAATCTGACCACATTTCATCTTTCCGAATCAGGTTTGTCCCAAGTTCATTTATCAAGTTCAAAGGCTGATCTTGCCCATCCATAGGTCCCTCCATCTCTGAAGCCTCCGTCGCTACAGCAGGTTCATATACTTGTATAGACTTTAACTGAATTTCATTTGTTTGCTGCTGTGCTCTGGTAACTTCCGTCCTCATCAAGGTCGACTCCTGACGCATCTGGTCCAGCTGGGCACTTAATTTTGCAAAACCTTCCAGGAACACTTGTTCAAGCCTTTGTACAAGCATTGTCCTTCAAGGTCAGAAAAAATTCTTTCCCACGAGAATGATCCTTCTCTTTTAAACTCTCTGCATTGCAATTTCACTCAGTTCCACTAGATGGAAAACCCTTTTTTTTTTATTTTTTAAGAGGGGGAAAAACAACAGTAACAATCTTTCTTTTTCCAGAAACACTTTATCCAAAATTCCCCCTTTCAAATTCAAGAGGCAACAGTAGAATCAAAATGTTACCCTTCTTTTAACTATCTGTCGAGCTGGATAAGCTTCAAAACGTCAGTTCTGACAGCCCGCTCCTGGTTCAGGGCGGTGGAAAATTACTTTATTTTAAACTCACTCCCGCAGGGTTGAAAAGATCAAAACAACCCCTTCTTCTCCTGCAATCGAAGGGGGTTCAGAAATCTTAGATGTTGAATTTTAGTTCTCTCAGAATTTAGTTTCCAGGCTTTAGTATAATTTGTCTTTGCTTTCTTCACGTAACAAAAGAACGGAAGGCGACTTCCTGTTTAGACCTTTCCGTTCCGAGTCCCAATTAAATTCAATTTCAAGTTCAAGTCCAATGTTATTTATTTATTCACCAATCTTAAAAGTAGTTCAGCTCTTCCAGGATCGGGTACTCACGGATAGATGTTTTAGATGCCAAATTGTCCAGGAAAAAGGCAGCGCTCTCCGAAACGGCAGTGCGGCTTTGCTGCACGGAGGAAGCAGACGACTCACAGCACCACGCACCTCCACTCCGGAGCCCGTTACCGGGCTCCTGTACAAGGGAGAGAGCGCTCTCGGTGCCCGCCGAGTCCCACGCCCACAGGCTTCTTCCGCCTGTGGTTTTTAAGGGTCCCCGCTGCGCCGTAGCGGCAGGACCCAAGCCTCCGTGCAGCGGGTTCCCTTCAGTTCGAAGGGAATTCCGCCATTTTTCGGAGGCGCCACCCCGGAAGTCCTACAAATATAGTTACTGTATAATCTTATGGCCTATTAAAACCCTAGGTAAAAGCTGGATTATCATTCATCAATGACCCTCTGTCCCATGGGCGGCGGCCTTTTCTCTGGTAGATTGTTCCAGGTCGGTTAAGTAAATAGACCAGCCAAATTGAAAGAATATAAATATAAATGGTCAGGACAGGGAGAAAGATAATAATAACCAGATGCAGATAAATTAATAATCTCAGTACTTAAAACTTGGCAGAGATAATAAAATACTAATAATAAAACATAATGATAATAATGATAAGATTCTAAGCGAGAAATCCGGGTGACGACACTGATTTCATTCAGATGGCAGCTCTCAGTCTCATTGCTCTCTTGATAAATTTAGCAACCTTCTCTGTTGTCGAGCTGTTCTGGTCAGCTAGGAGTGAGAACAATTTGGCTTCACAAGAGCGGCCCGGGATGGCAGATAGGAGTGGCGTGATGGTCTCGTCCCTGAGATCTTTATATAGGGAACAAGACAGGAGAACGTGTGACACAGTCTCTACGTAGCCAGCTCCACAGGGGCAGAGCCGGTTCTCTACCTTCAAGAACAGCTGAGGGTAACATATTTAGTCTGGCCAATGTAAAGGCCCGCCTGAGTTTTGGAATAGTTAAGGTAGACAAATAAGGTGCCCGAAAATCAAAGTGGGAGGGGGGCAGATAAGCGTACCAAGCACTAAATTTCTTAATATAAGCCAGATTATTCTGCTGCTCAATATTCTTCATGCGCTGGTCAATAATGGTTTTGGGGAGACCCATTTTCAGGAGATGCTGTGCTTGGAGTGTGCCTTCTTAAATCCACGCACCTGCTTTCTGCTTTGAGCTTTGAGCTTCAAAGCTCTTGGACTGATGTTTCCAGTAAGACGTATGTGAGTCTAATCAAAGTCTATCTTCTTTGCTCCCTCTCAGATCATGACAGACACTTATTCAGAGTCATGCATTCGGATCTCCAAAGAGGAGAAGCGTAAGATGAAAGACCTGTTGGGTAAGCAGCCCCCTCTCCAACCACTCAACCCTAACCCATGCCCCATATATCTTGGGGACATACAGTTTCTTCCTGGAATTAAAAAGGCTTCTTGGATGCATCTGCCACAGGCTGTGCATTAGGGATGTGTGGACTGTCATGTGCATATCCTGTCTTATAGCACACTTTGTGCTGCCTCGGTATTTTATTAACTTATCAAACAACCACCTAAGATTCCTCTTCGTTCCACAAGTGTGATTCAACAGATGTTAGAGTTGCCTCTACATTTTTGCAGATATAGTATTATATTACCTGTCCTTCACTCTAAAATCCCAGGGTGAGTTACAACCATTTAATGCAACATTTAAACAGGTTAAAAAAAAAGTTTTTACTGATTTTCACGGACAACAGAGGTACATTTGGTGTGAGACATTGCTGTCATAGCAATTGTGAGGTTTGGTGGCAGGAGGTGGGGAGAGTTGAGAGAAAGAAGTGGGGTGGTGATTTTGCTATCAGAATATCAGATTCCTGCTTCTAGAATTTTGCTTTCCTTGCTTGAAACATTTGGGGTTTGGTGCTGCTTAACTAAGGGGGCTGACTAAATGTACGAGCCCATTTCTCCAGCAGAGTTAGCACAGCTTAACTCTGTTAAGACTACTAATGACAAATTTGAACCATTTCCTGTCTCTGCTGATGAAACGTTTTCCTTTCTGCATCCTTGCCAGTGGAGTTCCAGGTGGGCATGGATGCCAGCTCCATTCTAGATGATGGGATAAAGAAGAGGATTGTGGTAGCTGCTCGTGATAACTGGGCCAACTATTTCTCTCGCCTTTTCCCAGTTAAGGTAAGTCAGGCTAGCTGTTGCTTGAGGGACCTGGGACCTTGGTCTCCTGTAGTGGGACAGGGCGGGGGGAGAGACTCTCTTGGGTTTTGCTTGCGAGTTGGGTGGGTGATTTGTTTATGTCCCTCACCCTTTCATTAGCTACTACTCAACATTGGTGTTGACTCTACCTAGGTCACTACTTGGAATGTTTTAAACAGTTAAACTAACAACAACAACAACAACAACAAAAACTTTTATTTATACCCTGCCCTCCCCAGCCAAAGTCGGGCTCAGGGCGGCTAACATCAGATATATAACATTAGTATAAAATCAAACAATAATTAAATTACCTCCTAAAAACAGGTCAAAATCAAATAAAAGTCTAATTAGATGGCTTTCCGCAGGGTTAGGGTTGGGAACAGTACGTGCTCATCAGCCCAACTGTGAAGCCACAAGCTTCAAGTTAAAGCTCATCCCATCCGTTACCTGATTGTATGGTGTCTTAGGCAAGCCATGATCCCCTCAGTGTCCTATCTTCAAGCAGTTGGGGGCAAGGGTTGGAGATGGAGTAAGAAAATAGTACCTCACAGGGCTAATGTAATAAGGAAATACAGTGGTACCTCGGGTTACGTACTTAATTCGTTCCGGAGGACTGTTCTTAACCTGAAACTGTTCTTAACCTGAAGCACCACTTTAGCTAATGGGGCCTCCTCCTGCTGCTGCGCCGCCAGAGCACAATTTCTGTTCTCATCCTGAAGCAAAGTTCTTAACCCGAGGTACTATTTCTGGGTTAGTGGAGTCTGTAACCTGAAGCGTATGCAACCCGAGGTACCACTGTAATTTATGTGACTATCTCAGAATGCTTGAAATGCTCTGCATATATACAAGGTGGTACTATTCAAGCAGGCCTAACACATCCTCAAAGCCAAACCAAATGCATTCAGAATAATCCAGTGTTTGTGTGTGTGAAACTTGTTGTACCTGAACAACTTAATGCTGCAGTTGGGAGGTTGCATATTTGAAAGCTGGCCAATGTGCGTATTGAGAGGGGGAGACTCCCTGCACTTAGGAAATGACCTCATTGGCGAGGAGATACTGTCGTGTTGGCCTTTCCCTGGTGAATAAGTTCTCCAGCCCAGTTTAATCAACAGCTAGTTGAGTGGCAATAACTTTTCTGCTCAGCATGTCATGCTGCTCTGCTTCCTTATCGAGGAACATAGAAAGCTGCCTTAATGGTTGCTCAAGCTATATATATATCTGCTGAGCCCAGTGTACTGATTAGTGGCAGATCTCCAGGGTCTCAAGCAGAGAAGGCCCTTTTCCAGCACCCACTTCCAGTATTCTTTTCTTACACATGAACTGCCGTGGGTTGAACATGAGGCCATCTGCTTGCACTCCACCACTGGAATCATGAAGGCCGGCAGTTGTAAGGTGTGGAGTGTTAAGCATGATAAGTTGTCCACCCACCGCAGCATGCCAATGCTATTCACACAAAGTGACGTGACCTGGTTTAAATGAGACATAGGACACCTGGAACACACCACACAGTTATATTTTCCTTATACGCCTCCCCCTATGTTTAAATGAGGTTTCCCCCCTTCACAGTGCTCTGTTTCATTATGCTTAAGCATAATGGCTTCTCTCTCTATCCCTCCATCTCGCTTGGTCTGGCCCCCAATGGACACATCTCAGAGTTGGTTGCCCTGCAAGATTTTCTGACGCTTCTTGCTATCTCTGCACTAAAGGTGCCCCTCAGGCCACCACAAGACATTCTGTCAGTCTTTTCCTCCTCTTTATTAAAGGGAGAAAATGGGAGTGATGTTCAGATTCTGGGTGTTTCTCACCGGGGGCTCAGGCTGCTGAAGAGAGCAAAAGCAGCCAGCTTCAATGCTGAGCAGCTGAAAACCCTTTGCAGCTACAGGTAAGAGGCAATAAAATCCAGCTTTAAGGAGATGGTGGTGGGTTTTGGGTTCATGAGGTTGCTGAGAAGCTGCAACAAGTTGACCCAAACCTGATCACTTTGTGGACGAATGCATAATATAGATCTAAGAAGTTGGCTGTAAGTTGGAACGCATCCAAAATTATTAAGATTTGTATACTGCCCTATACCTGTAGATCTCAGGGCGGTTCACAAAATGGCACAGCTCTGTAGGAAAATCTCTTTGGGGAGAGTTTGATGACATTCAGGTTCCCAGTAGGATTCAGAACATGTGTTGCTCTTTATGGCTATAGCAAAACATCTCTCCCCTTCCTTTGGTATGCCCACTTCCCTTTGCGCTGTTAGATTGTAAGTCTGTGGTCAGGGCCTGTCTTGTGTACATTAACTCCCTTGCAGCACCTGAGATCTTTGGTAGTTATATCTTCTGATTCTCTCTCACAAGATCAACTGATTCCCCCCCCCCCATGGCATTTATGTACCAGTCTTAACAATATTTATCTCAGGACAGTTTACTATGCATATTAATAAAGCAAAAACAAGAATAAGAGATGCAGCAAAACAATTAAAATCAGTAATCAAAGAATACATTTAGTGTGTAAATTGAAAATATGAAACATGGCTTGGTTCAGTTGCTTGATTCATCTGGAGCTATTAACTCTGCACACTGTGGTCTGTTTTGGATGAATGGGTTTGTGTGGGAGTCATGGAGGGATGATCTAAGCAAGGGAATGGGGCAGGATGGCCTTTGCCTCTTCTTTGCATCTTCTCTCCTTGCCCATGTCTTGGCACCTTTTCTGCTTGCTATTATTTGTGCACCAACCTTGGATTTCTTTCGAGCGGCATCAAGGCAAGGAAGGTCCCAGGGGCCTTAGTGAGGTGCAGCCACTGAACTCAGCCAGGTATAAAGGCCAGCTACGAACCACATTCTCTGGGTTTTTCCAGTTATTCAGATGTGCTGTCCTTAGAGCTGATGGACCGCAATACCCTTCAGTTCTCTCTGAAGGATGAGCAGCTCATCCTTCACTCTCGAAAGGCTCGGCAGATTAAGACCATGGTGGAGCTCTTCCTGCTTGAACTGAAAAAGGTGAGAGAAAGCGCCTTCGAAACACCTTTACTCTTTGCTTAAGAAAAGTACAGGACTCACTGCCACCACCTCCAGAATAACCACACCTCCTTAATTGTGCTATTCCTTCCTCTCTCCGCTCCTCCCCGCCAAAAGGACTCCAACTACGTCATAGCTTTGCGCAGCTATGTAACAGATGACAAGAGCCTCTTGAGCTTGAAGAAAGGCGACTTCATCCAACTACTGCGCATGGAGGGACTGGAGCCAGGTGAGAGGGTCTGGCCGTGAAAGACCACGTTATTGTTCAAAGGTTCCTTCCACATCTCCAGGTCCTTAGCAACTTGCATGCCTGCTACAGACATAGCAGCATAGTACTTGGTCGGTTAAAACATCCCAATACAAATGATTTGAGCAGGGAGTGCACTGCAATTAACCAGCTGCTCAATCTTGCTCTTAAGGATCAAGCTCCAAGGAATCCTGGTCTTCCCATTTGCAGCCAGAGTGAGCTGTGCACAGCATGGATTGGCTAATCCCTGTGATACCATCTCCATTCTGCTTCAGAGAAGTTTTTCATAAAATTATCGTAGGTTTGGTTGTTTTCAAAAGGAGGTTAGAAGCCAGCATTCACTTGAATGACTCTGCAGTCCTGTGCTTTAAAAAACCTAAAACTTCCCAAAAAAAGGGCAGACATTCCCCTAATTTCCCCCCCTGAAAGCGCCAGACAGTGGGGGTGGGGGAAACAAGACAACTGATTGAATCCAGAGTATTGATTGTAAAAAACAGAAGAAAGGAAAAGGAAGCCAGAATTGTCCTGCTGATACAAAATTCAATTACTGGGTGCTTTTATTTATGTTCACCTGTGTGCATCCATTCATAACAATATATTAAACATATGTGTGAAATGCAGGGTTTCATAAAAAAATACAGGCTCGGAATCAACTTAGCTAGAAGCTGGGTATAGAAAGGGAAGCTTCATAAGCAGCCCCATCCGCAAATGTCCAGATGTGAATTTCAGCCTCTTATCCCCACAGGCTGGCAGTTTGGCTCCGTCGGAGGTCGCTCTGGCCTTTTCCCTTCCAGCATGGTGCAGCCGGTGGCAGCTCCCACTTACCACCGTTTCCATCCAAACCGTACAAACCGGCAGGAAGCCGTCAGGAAGAGCCTAAGGAGAGAAACACAGCTGGAGAGAAACATTAGCAAGGAGGTGAGGCAGGCTGTGAGGAGGAGGAGGAGGAGGCGGTGGCAAATGATTCTACAGTTTCTCTCATGGGTGGGGGAAAATACTCTGACAGGGAGTAGGGCCTGTGGATTTGAGAGGTCTGTGAGGAAATACAGAGCTCCAAAAGAGTTCTGCAGTGGGAGAGAAAGGTTATTTGGGCATGTGTGTTTTTGCTGTTGGAAGCATATGTAGACTGCTGTTAATTATAATTATTTGCTTATAAAAATATTTATTTATGATTTGCTTAGTTATAAAATAATTACTTATGTGCTGCTATTCATTTTTTAAAAATCAGAGCAGTTTTTCCAACAGTTATACATAAAACCTGAAGTGACGTTTATATGAAGGTTTTCTCTTCCTGCCCCATCAGAACTTGACCTCCAGCCTGGAGTCAGAAGTCAATAGTACAACAGCCAGCACTCCTCCTTGCAACTATACTATGACGGAGTTTGCCGCAACACACTTCCAGGAAGCCCAGTCCGCGTGAGTAATATGTACCAGAGGTCCTTAATTATTGTGGGTGCTTCCAGATTGGTATTTCTTATGGGATGGTTGCTCCTCATGTCTGCAGCTTTTTCACAGTAGCTATACAACATGGTTGGCATCAAAACACTAACCAGTATTTCCCATCCCATTTAATTTTATTTTTTTTAAAGATGGGATTGAAATATTTTAAACGAATAACACTCTGCTGACCTCCCCTCTCTCTATTTCCTTTATACAAGAGGTAGGGAACCTTCTTTCCTGCAAAGGACCTTTGACCAATGGGAAAAGTCAACTGGAGGTCGCAGCCAATAGCAGGCAGAGCTAAAGGCAATGGTGGGTGGGCTCCCAGCTGAAAGTGGGTGGGAAGAGGGCCAAAATTGAGTAGAATTTGCAGCAAGACTGCAAGATGCTGTAGCTTTGCTCTTTCTTTCAAACTGCCACTCCATCTCTGAGGGCTGCCTGACATTAGGCTGCAGACCACAGGCTCCTTACCCCTCCAGCTTTATGCCATATTTTTGTCCCACTTCCACATAGGAAGTTGTATGCAAAAGAGTTCCCAAGGAGGGCATGTCCTTTGGCAAGGTCTTTGCCCCCACCCACCCCAAATTTCTTTGGGCGCAGATATTCTTCCTCTCCCTTCCTGCCAACCTTCTCTGTACCCACTTATTTTAGATTACTAGTATTTCAGAATATGTAGGCATGTGGAATGGTTTGAGTTTGCAATATAGTAAGCACATAACTGCAAACTCAAACCATTCCATATGTATAGTAAGCACATAACTGGGACGCGGGTGGCGCTGTGGGTTAAACCACAGAGCCTAGGACTTGCCGATCAGAAGGTTGGCAGTTCGAATCCCCGCAACGGGGTGAGCTCCCGTTGCTTGGTCCCTGCTCCTGCCAACCTACCAGTTTGAAAGCACGTCAAAGTGCAAGTAGATAAATAGGTACCGCTCCGGCGGGAAGGTAAACGGCGTTTCCGTGCGCTTGCTCTGGTTCGTCAGTAACAGCTTAGTCATGCTGGCCACATGACCCGGAAGCTATCTGAAGACAAGCGCCAGCTCCCTCGGCCTGTAAAGCGAGATGAGCGCCGCAACCCCAGAGTCCTCTGCGACTGGACCTAATGGTCAGGGGTCCCTTTACCTTTAAGCACATAACTTACACAGGGGTTACACTCCAGGGATTGCTCCTAAAGCCAAAATCATAGAATTGTAGAGATTTTTTGCCCACAACCCTGAGATTAAGAGTCTCATGCTCCTATACCTGCGGGTGTAGGCTGGTATACTTATAATAAAATAATAATGATGCTCTGCCGAATGAGCTATACTAGGAGCAATCATGTATAGTCAAAACACATTGGGTGCTATGGCGGGTGGGATTGCCAAAGTCTTCCCCCCCTAGACTTCTGCCTCCTTTTAAAAAAATAAAAAAATAAAAGTTTTCCAAGCACGTAAAGCTGAATGCGCACATTAAACACGCGTAAGTTGCGTGGTTACTGTATTGCCCTAGGGCCTTTGAAACAAGAAATGTACTGTTTCTAGTGATAGCACACACACACAAGTGGAAAAACATTGATGAGAGTAGGAGACTCACTGGAAAAAAGAAACTTCAAAGGTAAGAATACTTCTAGAACCTTCTTTTTCACGCAGATAACCCGAAGAAAGCTGAGCCTGCTCCTCTCCCTCTATATCACTACATGCTTTTTAAACCAACTTCATATCAAATTGGCAGCCGAACGTTCACTTGTGTCTCTGGAGATATCCATGGAACAGCTACCATATCAGCAGTGAATATTATAACAGCCATAAATAATATCCTCTGAACACCCCTTCTGTACGAGAACCACTCTTACATTTGGGTTTGGGAGCTGGACTACTTGGACAAGAGTTTGGAAGATAATGACTGCATTGCCCATTTGAGAATTCATTTGCTACGCTGTCAAAATGAACACAAAGAAGCTCCCATATGATGCTTTTCAGCTGATGGTATATAACCTCTCAACTCCCATGAATACTTCCAAACTCTAACAAACACTTTTGGAAAGAATGTGGACAAATGGGCACCTACTTCCACCTTTGGTGGGAATGCCTTCCTTCAATACAATGATTTTGGAATGTCTGCCAGAACAGTTGCTCTCCAGGCCACGTGGGGCCTCCAAAGCAATGCTAATGAATTGTTTTGAACACAGTCATTCTGGTGGTTTGGATAAAGACTTCCATAAACAACTACATGACAACAAAATGATGACTAGTGAGGAAGTGGAAGCATATCAGCAATAGAGTCGCCATCCATCCAGATTTCCCTGGACATATCCAGAATACTGCAGTCGGCAGCAGTGTCCATGCAGAAATCGGGAAGAAAAAATCTGGGGAAATCCAGACTTATGGCCGCGTATGCTGTTTTTGCCTGTTTCCCCACAAAAATAGCTTGAAAGCCCTAGTCAGCAACCTTCCCAGAAAAGTATATTGATAAGGTATGGAAAATACTGGCTACATGCTAAATTATCCATCTATTACTTCAGGTAGCAAGGAATCTCACTCAAAAGAAAAGTCCTCTGACCCCATGGTTTCGTTTACGTTTCCTTTGCTAAGTCCTAGGCCATGAGCACATTCCCTTAAAATACTAATGTGTATATTTAATTTGATGCATTCCGTAGAATTTATCATGCCACATCTTACTAGAATTCTCAACAAAATCCCAGGAATCGTGCAAATTCTTTACTATTCAGTTTCTATTTCTTCACTCCATTTTGTTTACTGAAATCCCTCTTGCTATGCTGTAATGATGTGCTGAATTTTTTTTGTGAGTTCAGTAAACCTAAATAAAATATGGTTTAAATTATTTTTCTTGGACTATAATCAAATTCTACAGATAGCATTTGATCTGCCTTTTGTATATTTCCACACACATGTCAATAAAATCATGTTTAAAAATTCTTCTAACTTTTCTAACTTGCCTGCATTTGTGTTACTATGATGAGGTGGTACCAAGATCTAAAGGAGTTGTGCTAAGATAGCATTACATTTTCTGATGACAAAATTCCCCTGGGTGGGACCTGTCTGACATTTTCTTTCATACCACTTCAAAGGAAAGTATGGGCATCATGGGATATTAAGAGGGAAGAAGTTCATCCACATGACTTGACATGTACCTCAAGTGTTGCCCAGACCAAGAGGAAAGGATTTGGAGTTACTTTGGAATTCCCCACTTATGCAACATCTACCCTCTTCCTAGAAAGGCCTCTCTTTTCTCTTCATGCCATCCATTTATTATTGTAGACTGGGGAACTGTGAAGTTTCCACCACAGCAAACAAAGAACCTTCAACTCACTCTTGTTGTTTTTTATCGTTGTTTCCCAGACCGCTGGTAGTCCATGGACTGCAGCTTATGAATCACTGCTGGAAACAGATAAAGCTGCTTTATACCATTTCAGGCTCTGTCCTTCTATCAAAAGACTGTCAATTCCTGGAGCAGGGAACCTCAGACCTTGTGAGGGGGCAAGTTACTGGCACTCCAGGACCAATTCTCAAGGCTCTCCCTGGGCCATACGCCTCTGCTTCACATCCCAAGTGTCTTTGCCTGGCTGAAATGTGTGGTTGAACTCAGAAAAATTGGATGAAGGATTCAGAGGGCGCTGTGTGTGTGTGTGTGTGTGTGTGTGTGTGTGTAGAACCTAGCCTGCTGTAAAATGGTAAAATCTCCATTCATTGCTCCACCCAATTTGCCTTTGGCCTCATCTACTAATGGCATGTGTTGTGGCCCTTGGAAAGTTGCCCAAAGGGGAATATGGCCCTCAGGCTGAAAAGGGTTCCCCACTTCTATATTCACCTGTTACAGACCTTCAGGGTCACCTGATACCAAATAAATCTAGGAGATTCCAGGGATAGAACCTGCAACCCGCATGTGCTTTGCCACTAAGCTAGACTGCAAAGCAGCTGGAGAGTAGGGCATATGTCAGACCAGATTCTTGAATGTTTTTTTCTCCTGGGTAATACCCTAATCTTCTGTCTCTGCTAGGCTGGGATGGAAGGGGATGAGTGCTGAACAGAAGGACCCAGCTCTCATGGTTCAGCATACTAAGGTAAATCAGAGGGAGAGGGGAGTCATCTCTGGGTAATTCCTTTATTACTTGGAATGTGGATAGTTGAAAGCTTGCCTTTTGGAAGTCAGTGCTGAAGTATCTGATGGTGCTTGTTACATGGGTCACCAGGCAGAGGGCCTTCTCGGTATTGGCGCTGGCCCTGTGGAATGCCCTCCCATCAGAGATCAAGGAAATAAACAACTATCTGACTTTTAGAAGACATCTGAAGGCAGCCCTGTTTAGGGAAGTTTTTTGTGTTTGATGTTTTATCGTGTTTTTAATATTCTGTTGGGAGCCACCCAGAGTGGCTGGGGAAACCCAGCCAGATGGGCGGGGTAGAAATAATAAATTATTATTAAGGGTGTGCACACTTCTATTAGACCCACTTGAACTTTGCGCTGAGGGTATCAGCTGCCTTCTTGGGCTTTGCCTCTTCTTGATTGCTTGTATTCTGACCTCACAGGAACCAATCAAAGAATCACTCCTGTTCTACTCTGATGGGAAGATGAATGACCTGGCTACGAAGAATTTTCTGAGTAGGTGGTTTTTCCTTGTGCTAGGTAATGGGGGAGGTGGCAGTGGCTGTGTTTCCAGAGCTCGTCTCATTTATGCAGTTCTGGCACCAGGGGAATGGCCTGAGACCATTTCTTTTCTCCCCTAATGGGAGAAACCATTATCCAGACATTTGACTTTCCCCTTGGTTTGTCAATATTGGCAGAAACGGAGGCTATAATTTTCTTAATTCCACTATTCCCAGTGCCTGTGTTTTCCTTTTCCAGTTCTGAAGTAGGAGCAGAGATTAATGCTAGCTCCTGTTTTGCAGCTCTGATGAGATTTATGGGAGACCAGCCAGGCCTCAAGAGCAAAGATGAGGTTGATTATGTCTATGAAATCCTCCAGGTTTGTGGCTCTTTTTATGATGGGCTTGCGTGGGTGATGGCGACCAGAATGGGCTAATGGAAGGGAAGATCACAATGTCTCCTAAGTGCTCGACTCCTATAAGGATGGGAAATAAATAATCTATCGATTTTTTAAAATGAGATTTTTATTCTGCCTTTCTGCTTCAAACAGGGAAACCCCACGGGGGCCCCTACATCATTTTTTTTTTTAAAAAAAAACAACCCTCAGAGATAAAGCAATTTAAAATACACAATATGGGAAGCCGAAACAGAACAGCATCGGGGAGCAAAGTAAAAAGTAAATAAAATAAGCTAATCAGGAAAGTGCCATTGCATTCAAGTCCTGCTTGTGGGCTTCACATAGGCATTTGGTTGAGCACTGAGAGAACAGGATGCTGGAATAGATGGGCCATTGGCCTGATCCAGCAAGCGATTTTTAATTCTTATGTCTGGCCAAATACCTGCTGATGAAAGGGAAGGAAAAGCTGGAAGATACCAAATGCAGGTGAGTGTTGGAGGGACCGTTTAGATCAGGGGTCAGCAAACTTTTTCAGCAGGGGGCCGGTCCACTGTCCCTCAGATCTTGTGGGGGGCCAGACTATATTTTGAAAAACATAATGAATTCCTATGCCCCACAAATAACCCAGAGATGCATTTTTAATAAAAGGACACATTCTACTCATGTAAAAACACGCTGATTCCCAGACCGTCCACGGGCCAGATTTAGAAGGCAATTGGGCCGGATTCGGCCCCCAGGCCTTAGTTTGCCTACCCATGTTTTAGATGCAACGTGCTTATTGAGCCAAATTATTTTCAAATATTCTGGTTTAGGAGTTGCTATCTTAAGTACAACCCAATCAAATCTTTAGACTCTAAACCGCTGCAAAATTATTCTGGTCATCGTCATCTTAGACCAGTCAAGCTAGAGGCATCTCCTGGGACAGTGAGTCCCACATCCTTTGCACTGCATCAGAGAAGGCGCTTTCCTCCCGTGTTCCTACCAACCACGACTTCATGGGACCCACAGAACAGCCTCCTTCACTGACCTCAGTGGATGGGCGGGATTGTCTGGGAGGAGTTGGGTAATATTACCAACCCACTGATGGCTGCCTTGGGGGAAGAGGTGCCAAGTAGGGATCAGCTTGAGAAAGACAGGCCCTCATTAACCATCACCCCTCTCTGTTGACCCCTGCATTGCCCAATTCCATGCAAGATGATAAGTCAGGAAGCAGTACGGAGGTCTTTCTATTCTGTGTAAGTTACGGATGTTCCGAAATGTATCTGCTTTTCCTCTTATGCTTCTCTGCCTTGTACAGCTGTGCAAAGAGAAGGAGAATCTGTGTGACGAGGTTTACTGCCAGGTCATCAAGCAGATCACGCGGAACCCCAGTCAGTAAGTACCTCTGCATGTGTGTCTGTGGGCGGTGGGAGCTCTGAAATTGAAGGAATAGGGGAACATGGGTGGGGATAATTGGGATGTCAGTGTGAAGTGTTAAGTAAGGGAGCCTCTTGTTAGAATAGAGGAGATGTAGGTGTTAATTTGAGTGAAAATTTCATCATTAGAAAATCAAGATCTTTTGGTGGGTGGGTGGGAGTGAACCCTAATGATGCATTTTTTTACATTGATTTAACTGGCTGTTGGCTCCAATCTGTTTAATTTTTTGCCAAATTGGAATGGTGGAAGAAAAGCGGAGATCTGAGTAATGGATTACTGATGAGCCCCAGCGCTGAGGCTCTGGGCATGAACCGGGTGTTGGATTTTAAAGGAGTTGTTTATGTATATTGCAATCCTCACCCCGCCTTTCTTCAAAGAACCTCAAGTTGGGGTCCTTGGGCGTCCCCCCCCCCACTTTATCCTTACAACAGCCATGTGTAGTTAGTTAGTCAGTATGAGATATAGGGACTGGCCCATGGTCTAAGCACCATAGCCTAGCTTCTACAGCACACTAGCTTCAAAAAGTAATAATAATGAAAATGTTCTAAACCAGAAGTGCAGGGAGTCCTTTCCAAATATTGTCTGGCTTCTATACCTGTAGCAATACACTTGCGCAACTCCAGCTCTCATCAGCCTAAGTCAGGCATGTCCAAAGTCTATTTCAGGGGCCTAATATGGCCCGCCGGTTGGTTTAATCCAGCCCTTCACTTCATCAAATGTGGCCCTCTTTGAAAAAAGTTTGGACATCACTGGCCTAAGTCAACATGACCAGCAACATCTGAAGAGTCCCCTTTTCATGGAAAAGTGTTGGTTTTCTCTGTAACCCTCTTTGGGCTTTTATTGAAAACAAGATCACAAATACTGAGGATTCCACAAATTCAGCACTAGCCTGCCAGGTTCCCAGGCGTTGTGGCTGCCCATTCAGCTGCACTACAGAAATGTCAGGGTTATGTAGCTCTCGTTTATGGCCTGTTATAAATCAGGACTGATCCCATTCATGTGACGGGAGGAGTCAATGAGAGAGCAGTCTAGCCTCAGATATCAAGTTGGGACTATGGTATATCCTCCCGTCCCTCTGCTGTCTTCCTCGTTGTCAATCATGGACTGTATTTTCATCTTCTGAGGACTGTAGCTGTGGGCCTGAATAAAGGGAATTGTAATGTTGAAGTCAGGGCTTAAACATATTTATTTATTAAACTGCAAACTGCCCATCTGTAGACCTCAGGGTGGTTCACAAGTAAAAAACACAACATACACACTCAAAACAAAACAATAACCTCCCCATGTGTTGATACAGTGGCTTTTGTGCCTTCCATCTGCCTGCCTCACTGCTGTGAGGCTGTAATTGCCCCTTAGGATCTTTGTATTGAATCATAGCCTTTGAAAGTCAAGGACCTTAAAGTGAACTCTGTGCTGTAAACACCTGCGACTTCTTTGGAGCAGCTTCAGGGCTCATCTACTTCAGGCTCTTTGCTCTTCTTCAGGGAAGATGCATTTCTTATGAACTGAGCAGGTACATGGAGTACCTTAAAGGTAAAGGGACCCCTGACCATTAGGTCCAGTCGTGACCGACTCTGGGGTTGCGGCACTCATCTTGCTTTATTGGCCGAGGGAGCCGGCATACAGCTTCTGGGTCATGTGGCCTGCATGACTAAGCCGCTTCTGGCGAACCAGAGCAGCGCACAGAAACACTGTTTACCTTCCTGCTGGAGTGGTACCTATTTATCTACTTGCACTTTGACATGCTTTCAAACTGCTAGGTTGGCAGGAGCAGGGACCGAGCAACGGGAGCTCACTCCGTTGCGGGGATTCGACCTTCTGCCGACCTTCTGATTGGAAAGTCCTAGGCTCTGTGGTTTAACCCACAGCGCCACCCGCGTCCCATATGGAGTACCTTAGACACACATAATCCGCCCCCCCCCACTCCTTGGAGCTTCTCATTTCCCCATCTTTCCCTTCCAACTTTTCTCTTTTCTCTCCCCCTCAGTCCTCCTTTCTTCCTGGATCCTTAGCAGCCCACCAGAAGTTGTCTTTTGTCTAATCCTGCTCTGTGCTCTGCCCAAGGGAACTATGCCCCATGTTTTTCTCTGTCCTGCAGAGAGAGCTGTCTCCGTGGCTGGAGGCTCCTGGGCCTCTTGACTGGATACTTCCTCCCTTCCAGCATTTTGATGCCATATGCCACCAAATATTTGCAGCAGGCCAGCTCTGACCCCAGTTCCAGCACAGGTATCGTCTGCCTCCCACCCTTGGGGCCATATGTGCTGGCTTCATTCAGCACCAAGGGAAGCGTGAGGGAGAGCAAGAAGTGGCTCTTACTTCACTCCTGGAGTGGTGGTCTTGGGAGGGACTTTGCTGACTTTGAACTGAGGTCACACCACCTGCAGGATTCCATAATTCAACAAGATTCCATACATGTGGCTGTTGTCTACACAATGTCTCCTCAAGTTATGATAGCCAGGAACTCCGAACTCTGCTTCAGTAAATTATATGAGCAGTAGGCCCTAGCCCTTGAGGCTCGGCTGGTAGGGATATGAACATAAGAATAGTCTGTTGGATCAGGACAATGGACCATCTAGTACTCATAGTGGCCAACCAGATGCCTGTGGAAACCAGGGAGCAGAATATGAGCACAAGAACACTCTCCCTTCCAGTGGTTTCCAGCAACTGGTATTCGGAAGTATTATTAAATCCAACTGGAGGCATAGCATAGCCGCCATGATAGCCCTCTCCTACATGAATGTGTCTAATCCTCTTTTAAAACCATCACCCTCAGGGTACTACCTTCCCAATTGAAAATTGGGTGGGTAAGGGCTAGAGTAGGAGGCCGTAACAACTATAATGGACTTGGACCATCCTAAAAGGTATGGAAAGAATCCATTGGCCTTCTTTGGTCTGTGATAAGTTAATGAGGCTGGCTGTGAAAGAAGCAACTCAAAAGCTTCATTGAATTTAGCTGAGGGGTTTGGTGGGATCTTCCCAGTGCTGGGCACAGTATCACCGACTGCCTCACTCCCGTGTGGTTCTTTGGACTTCCCTTCATTGTCACAAGGCAAGGGATATCCTAAAGGGTTGTTGGGGCTCCAGTTTTCACACCAAATCGGGGGCTAAATTCAGAATCCCAACTGAGCAGAGTTCTCTAGCTTGTAGTAGTCGTAAGGCAACACTCGTAAGACTCGTGAGGTGACAAGCTCAGCCCTTTGCCCTTTCTCAACCACAGAAATAGCCAGGATTTGCCAGAGCAACCTGAGGAAAATGGTCATGTACGGAGGCCGTCGACACTTGCCGTTCCGTGTGGAGACTGAAGCGCTTCTGGTAACTGAGTGAAATATGGTTGCAGGAGGTCGGGCGTTGAAGGGGGTATTCTACCATTTGGGTTGCTAAGGCAAGTCCCTGAGACAGCAAATATTTGGGGCTAGGAGGTATGTGCCAGTACAGGAACTGTGGAGTGGACTTTCCTTGATGCAGGGCTGTGCCTGGACATTTTGCTGCCTGGGGCAATGGACAAAATAGTACATACAGGCACACATTACACTTAAGAGGCAAACAGTTGAATCTTATTTCCATACTGGCATTGGAACAGCATCCCCCACTACACTTGAGGGAAGAAGGACAGTTTAAGGACAGGCTGTGTGGTACTTACAGCATGGTGCTCCTTGCTGTGTGAGGCAGTCACCTCACTCTGGTTAATGGGAGGGCCGGCCCTTGCTTTATGTGCTGCATGAACGGGAACTCTGTGGATATATACGGGAAGGAGACAATATTCAGCAAGGGAGAAGAGGAGTCGATTATATACTGGTTGAGATTGTTCGTGAGGGGTTACTAGCGTCTGACTGGGAGGTTGTGAGCCTACATGTGTGTTTATAAAGGGGAACTGAGTTTCCTTTGTGGATGGGATTTGTGAGGAGAGGTGTTAGCGATAGCAATGGATGTTCTGAGGAACAGACAGAATTTCTTGGGATGATGGATGTGGTTGAATCAGGATTTGAGAGAGAGAAGAGCTGCCAATAGGAAATGCCAAGGGAATCTTCCCCCTCCAGCTATGCTGCTCTCCCGGAAATCACAATGCCTTTGATCCATGATGCTGAAAACCCAGAGCATGCTTAAGTAACGCAAATATCTTCATTCATTCAAGCTATGTTCTTTAAGATATTAAAACCCCAAAGGTCACAATCAGGTCAGGTTTTTAAGCCCTATTCATTTCACTGTGAGAGTCAAGCAGATGCTGGAATCTGTAATGGAAAGCCCCAGTAGGGTTTCATAGTGATTACATTTGCCTGGATCCTGCTCTCTGGGAAGGGGACAAAGATGTCTGTACTGGATTCTCTCAAACCCTGAATCCTTTCCCATTGGTAGAAGGGACGTGGCTCACGTCATGTATCGGTCAACCTACCTGGAGGTATGAGATACAACACGAAAATCAAGACATTCACGGTGAGTCCCTCTTTGGCGTGTTCATCAGAGTGTTATGGGGTGGGGGGATTGTGGGGACAGTGCTGGCCATGTCCATTTTTGGGTGGATGAGACTGACTTTTGAAATATTTCTGTCTTTTGATTTTCATCTCCCCTTACCGAGGTGACCCAGAGTAGGTCACCCCATTTTTTTAAATGCTATTTAGATACAGAGATCAAGAGAGCCAGTTCTGCACCTTCTGCCATTGAAACAGCCTCTTTCTATTGCAGGGGCCTGTGGTCAGTCTCATCACCCATCTGAGCCAGGGCTCTTACGCTTGTGCTATTATTTTCTTTTATTTCCAGGGGTGGGGTGGGGGCATAGTTCAGTGTTAGGGCAGCTGCATTGCACACAGAAAGTCCCAGTCTCCAGATTAATTCCCTGTCACCTCCCGTTAAAAAAGATTAAGGTAAAGGTAAAGGGACCCCTGACCATTAGGTCCAGTCGTGGCTGACTTTGGGGTTGCGGCGCTCATCTCACTTTATTGGCCGAGGGAGCCGGCGTACAGCTTCCGGGTCATGTGGCCAGCGTGACTAGGCCGCTTCTGGCGAACCAGAGCAGTGCACGGAAACGCCGTTTACCTTCCCGCAGGAGCGGTACCTATTTATCTACTTGCACTTTGACGTGCTTTCGAACTGCTAGGTTGGCAGGAGACGAGACCGAGCAACGGGAGCTCACCCTGTTGCGGGGATTCGAACTGCCGACCTGATCGGCAAGTCCTAGGCTCTGTAGTTTTACCCACAGCACCACCCACGTCCCTTTAAAAAAGATTAGGTAGCTGGAAATGTGGATGACCTCTGCCTGGAGAGCCACTGCCAGTCATGGAAGATACGTCCTGGGCTAGTTGGAGAAGTAGTCTGTCTTGGTCAAAGGCAGCCTCCTGTATTCTTCATCTCATGAACTCAATGACTTTCAAGGGAATCATAAGGGCTTGCGTCTGTACACTGTGATTTAGCCATTTCCCTTCCCAGGGAAATGGGAGTTGGGGGTTGGACGCGAGCCCGCCCCGTGCGCAGGGGTGTGGCTAGCCCCTGCATCATAGGGAGTCCCCTCCGTGTCACGCCCCCAGGCCAACCAATCCGGGCAGCCGGGGGGGGCATGGCGTGCTTTAGGAGTTGGTTGCAGGTGTGAGGGTATTGGCGGCGAGCCATTTGGCTCGGGTGGTAGTTAGGCATTGGTGTATTAGATTGGAGGGGAGGGGAGGTAGAGGCCATCACCTACCCCTCCTACTTCAAGGGTATTCCATTAAAGGAATCTGGGGGGCGTGATCCTGTCTGAAGCCCAGGTGAGGGCTATGGCTATGGCACGACCCCTATCAGTAACCCTGGGGGAGCTTGAGTTGGTTTGCATCAACAGGGCTCTCCCTACCAGTGGTTAACCCTTCTGAGACTTCCTGCAGGTGGGCAGGAGTCAGGTATAATCGGCTCGGTTCCAATGCCTAAGCCAATACCACTCACATTCTGTAACCAATAAAGTTGTGGCCTTTTTTAGCCCATTAACCTAAAATACTGGTGTCAAGTGTCTTTATTCCAACAAAGGGGCGGGTTCGGGGCCTTGCCACACAACCCCCATTCTTTCCAGCAGTTCCCCATGTCCTCCCAGAGGCTGCTTGCAAAGTATCTTTGAATTTGGAAGGAGGGTGCTGCCAGAGGTGCAAGAGTGTACTCTTGAGAAGCCCTGCTGTATGCATAGAGCTCACCATGCATCAGTTTGCCACTGGGGCCTATGATGAGCAGACTGAGCATCTCCCTCTTTTCTCCCTTCTCTCCCACTGATGTGAATCCAAGAGGAGCCATATCATCTTTCGGAAGCTGGCCAGATTTGCAGCTCACCTGTCCCTTCCCAAACTTACTGTTTTCTGTTTGTGGCTGAACACATCACAATGGAATTAAAACTACAGTGGTACCTCGGGTTACATACGCTTCAGGTTACAGACTCCGCTAACCCAGAAATAGTGCTTCAGGTTAAGAACTTTGCTTCAGGATGAGAACAGAAATTGTGCTCTGGTGGTGTGGCAGCAGTGGGAGGCCCCATTAGCTAAAGTGGTGCTTCAGGTTAAGAACAGTTTCAGGTTAAGAACGGACCTCCGGAACAAGTTAAGTACTTAACCCAAGGTACCACTATACTGTACTATAAAATCTCGCTAGCCCTCCTCCCTCCCATCACTAAATGAGGGGGGCTGGAACTTATGCCAGCACAGGTCATTCCCTTGTGTTTGGAAGCCCTTCCAGTTGCTTACAAATGGCTAGGATGCTACTTTTAGACAGCCAGTAGCAGGGTAAGGGCTAAAAGTATTCCTTTCCCATTTTGGTTGTAGGTTGCTGCAGACATCATGAAAGAAATCGCTGAGCAGATGGGGGTCACTGAGCCAGAAGAGATTCAGGAATTTGCCATCCTGGCCAACAAAGATAACGGTAAAGTGCCCCCATAGCAGTGGCAAATGGTCAGCTGCAGGATACTTTTCTTATACAGTGGTACCTTGCAAGACGAATGCCTCGCAAGACGAAAAACGCGCAAGACGAAAGAGTTTTCCGTTTCTTGAGTCGTTCCGCAAGACGAATTTCCCTATGGGCTTGCTTCGCAAGACGAAACGTCTTGCGAGTTCTTGCGAGTTTGTTTCCTTTTTCTTAAAGCCGCTAAGCCGTTAATAGCCGCTAAGCGCCGCTAATAGCCGTGCTTCGCAAGACGAAAAAACCGCAAGACGAAGAGACTCGCGGAACGGATTAATTTCGTCTTGCGAGGCACCACTGTATGATGAAATGTACTAAAGATGACTGCCCAACAGCAGGAGCAGGGAAGATGAGTAAATGGCACCCTAATCAAGACAAGATGGGGATATTTCCGTGGGTAGTTTGTTGACTAGCATGACCTGGGTGGACTCACATCCCTCCTAAGACCATCAAGTGCCCACCAGCCCAGGAATGCCAGTATGCAGAGAGAGAGGCAGTGTGAATTACTTCGCAGACTGCGTAGCTGGCCCAAGGTAAGGGGTGGCTTATTGAGGCTGTACTGATGGAGGGCTTCCAGATCCTTCCTATGACGGCACCACTAAATGAGAGGGAATTTAGATCTTTTATTTTCATCTTAAAAACACCACCAAAACCTTCAAGGTTCTAATGGGGACAGATGGAGACATAGGTGCAGATTGTATGAATGAGATGTAGTAGCCGTTGTTGACCAGTACGTTTCACATGAAATCGCCTTGTGCAGGAATGTGCAACACGGTGCCGTTAGGGCTGAATCCTGGGGAATAAGGTGCCTTTGATTTGACGGGGGAGAGGATGACTTGAAGCGCCACATCCTGCTCTCTCTGCTTTACTTAGAAGTGGGGGTGATGTTCAGGTGAGCAGGGTTCTGTCTCTTGTTTTGCCATGCAGGTAAGATTGTACGTCCCTTGCGCCAGACTGAGTACATCCATGATTATTTGCTTGAGGGAAGTTCGGTAGAGCTGGAGTTCTGCAGGATCACCTGGAGGACGCCCTTGCACTTTGAGAATGACATGTATATTAACCTTCACTTCAACCAGGTAAGCTTAAGGAGAGGCGCCTTTCTTCCTTCTGTGCGTTTTAAATTACAGTTGTAAATCTTTTAGTGGTAATGTTATCTTTTTTTTGTAAACCGCTTTGAGTTTTTTCTGCAATCTGTAAAATTTATGTAAAATTCTGTAAATTTTATAAACAAATACATAGTTACAGGATTTCAATGGCAAACAAAGCTGCATGTCTGCCCAAAATTTTTTGAAGGCACAAACAGTGCTGAAATCAGAACTGCAGATGACCGTTCCAATGCCATTATGAGCAGAAATCACAATGAATGCACAATAAAAAGGATGTCTGAAGGAACCCTTTGCAAAAGGCTGGGGATTCCTCTGAAGATGCCGCACACATTGCCTGTGAGCGTATGGTGACATCTTGTTCCCATTAGGCTAAATTTGCTGTGACCTAGCTTGATGTTTGGGACACTTTCAGGGCATCAGCTGCCAGAATTTGCTGAATATCTAGAGTTACATAACCATTAATAGGACTGTGTTGTTCAACCAGCAAAAGGCTTCCCTGCTGGTTCCTGCTCAAGGGATTGTAGGCAAAGAGTGAAGTACAATGCAATGCTCTCTTTGTTAGGAGCATCCTACTCTCGTGTAGGAACCTGGTAGAGACACATGCCCGACTGGCATGTTCTCTCCCTCCTGGTCGGTCGTTCGGGAGCTTCAAAAGCTTTCTTCTGCCTGAACATCACAGTGACTGATACCAAAAGGCATTAGCACGCTTAGGGATCCGCAGAGTATTCGCAGTTTGCGTAACAGACTTCAGTAGCACAGCATTTTGGCTAATCTAAGTTTATTTACATATAATACACTCAGAGCATTCTGACTTGGCTCCATCCTCTTTCTCATCAGACAGCACAGAGAGAGAACAAAGGACAATAGTCCCACTTTACAGAACACAGTAACACAAACATCCTGTCTCCATCACTTCCCACACTGTGGAATGAAAACATACACCGTCATGTGATAGACAACAATCCCGTGACTGCAGACACGGGGAATGAATCTCCAACACTCTTGTTGGTTGTTCCTAGGTGCTGCAGAATTATATGAAAGGGAAGCTGCTGCTGCCACACACCAGGGAGCTAGAGAAGCTGGTGTGTGCCTTGTCTCTGCTCCAGCACTGGGCCAAGGGAGCTGGATCAGTCCCTTCCATGTAAGTCTCCTGTTCGTAGCCTTGGGTGGTTTGTGTAGGCCAGAACCTGATGCTTGGCAGAGACATTTCCCTATGTGTGTCAAGAAGACTCAGGGAGGGTGAAGATGTATTCACAAAGTCCAACCATCCTTAATATAGGCAAGACGAGGTCCCTGGCCTGATCCTCATTATTCACATCCCCCTCCCCCCAGCAGTTCTTCTTGTCTTCCTCAGAGCATGTGCATACTATCACACTCCTAGTCCACACACTCAGAAGAGCTACGTGACTCTTCCCTGCCATTTTGGGGGTTTAGCCAATGTTGTTTAGAGACAGAGCAGGTAAAATGTCTCTCATACTTGTTTGCTAATGGTAACTGTTCCAAGAAAGTGGTAACAGGGCCAGTCTGCCCATTAGCCTCAGGCGGCTGGCTGGGGACAGCTAGAACCCAGATGCCTAAGGAATGTGCTGTTTGCCACCTCCTGTGCTTGTAGCTCGTGGCCATTGCCTGGGAAGAGTGGATCCACTATTGCCACCTGATCCTCTCTAGCCTCCTTTCCCCCCACCCTTCCAGTTGCCTCAGGCGGCGGAGGCAGGAAGGACAGTGATGGCGGAGGGACACCATTCTCTGTTTTGCCTTAAGTGGCGAAATATCTTGGGCCGGCCCTGGTGATAAGGGGACTAGGTTCTGTCACTCACTATAGGTTGTGGATGATTCTGTACTCTTACCCACTTTTGCATGCTAAATTTCAGCCCCATTATGGTTTACTTCAGGGGTGGTGAACAAGTGGCCTTCCAGATATTGAAGCACCAGACCCCATCGGTCCCAGTCAGTATGGCCAGAGCTGAGGGGTGATAGGAATTTTAGACTAGCAATATCTGGATGGCTGCAGGTTCACCATTCTTGATTTACATGATCCATATACCTTGGGGGTGAGAGAAATGATGCAAGAGGTCCCGCTTACTAGTTTATTTCCTCTCACATCCTCTAATTAATCTACTGAACGTTAAATGAAGGCACCATTCACACAATCTGAGTACAGAGGTACATTGGTTCTCGAACGTAATCCGTTCCAGAAGTCAGTTCGACTCCCGAAACAGTTTAAAAACCAAGGCGCAGCTTCCAATTGGCTGCAGGAACTTCCTGCACTCAAGCGGAAGCCGCATTGGATGTTCAGCTTCCAGAAAACGTTTGAAAACTGGAACACTTCCGGGTTTTCGCTGTTCGGGAGCTGATTTCTTCAACAACTAAGCTGTTCGAGAACCAAGGTAAGCATATTTCTTACTTGGGCCCTGTGGCAGCAGAGTTCTTTCTACTAAACCCAGCCTGAGGGGAAGAGGAAGTAGTAGTATTCTTGAATTGTTGTTCAAATATTTCTTTCCATGGAGCACAGCTATGCGTCCTAACCATACCTTTATTTTCTGATCACCTAAATAGAGAGGAACTAGTAAGTTACATCCCTGATGATGTTGCACGCCTCATCAACCCAGTGATTGTTCAAAATTCTGTCACCTATCAGCTGAAAACCACGAACCAACTTGAGCGACAGGAGGCAAAAATCAGTTTCATTGGTAAGTTCAAGTGGGCAATACGGTTGGAGCTGGTATGATCTTATTCTGTAATCCCAAACTTTCTGCCAGTTTCCTGTTGCCACATGGTATTCCTCCCAAACATCAAGGCATGGAATCCAGGAACATACTGACATGTTTATTTTGCATTCTCCAAAGAACTCAAGGCAATTTACATGGGGTTATCTTATTTCATTCTTCAACCTAATTGTTATGAAGTACATTACTGATTCCCACGTTACCCAGAGCTTGACTTTCAGTGAGATCTTCCCTGAGTCTGGCTTTTTTCTTTTATGTACATGTAGATTACTTGAGGGGAAATGCACACATATTGCAAAACGTGCTTTCTCTTAAGGGCAAGCATCTACAAATTACAGCAGTAAAAATGGATTGAGGCATTTATTTATAGTATGTCTTAGTGCCTGTGACTTTTGCTTTTCCTTTGGTACAGCAAGATCACCTCTAGGTTCCTATAGGAGGATGGTCACAGCTTGTTCTTAGTTCTCCTTTATTACTGTTCAAGTAATTCTAAGGATTTTTTTGTAAAAATGTGGATTATCACTCTTCTGGTCCCATCAATAGCCTTTTTTGAAACACACAATAATTCTGATCAGGACACTGGTCTGTAGGGTAGGCAAAATGTGAATGCAAAATGTTCATGTTTTTATGTAGCGGGACTCTTGGTGTCAGCAAAACCCAACACAAAAAGCGTCTCTTATCTACAAAGAATGCCCAATCCTTCAAAACCATGATCACCACCTGCAGGATCCTTCCAGCTGAATGTAGAAATGTGGTCCCCGCTGTCGACACTTTGCAAACAGCCTTTTTTGCTGCCTCAGCTGCACTATAACTTCCAAATACTGAAAATAGGTGGCATCCAATGCATTCATCCCATTAGATTTACCCTTGCGCAATGGTATTTTCGTCCTGTACCTTCCCCAGAAGAGATGGGGTGGGGTGGGAGCTAAATCCTATGCTAACAGAACAAGGGACTTGTGTTCTATATTGGATATAAGCCACTGTGTGTGACTGTAGAACTGTACTGCATTATCAATAATGTGACAAATCACTGCTTCTGTAGTTTTTGGATGTGCCAGGGTAATTGTGCCCTCTGGCTGTGGCAGCCTTGGGAATACCAGGCACGGCACAATAGTCTTACCTTTTAGCCATATTCTTTTCAGGAGATGGGGCAACCCCACTGCTACTAGAAAGTCAGCAGCAGCAATACAGTGGTTTGGCTTGGCCTGTGGGGTTTGACATCATGACCGCTTCCTTCTCTTGTCCCAGAGCACGTGATCCAGCTGCCACTTTTTGGCTACAACGTTTACACTGTGGAGAAGATCAGTACACTTGGGATCCCCACGCCTTGCTTTGTAGGAGTGAATGAGGAACAGATCATTGTAGTGAATGGGAAGACCCAGGTATGGCTTTAGTAGAAATCCCTGGAGTATTAGCAGCTTACTTTAGAGTAAGTAGCAAGTGCAGGGTGCCTAATCCAGATCAGGACCATGCTGGGGGCTTTAATCCTCACCCCCCCCGCCCCCCATCTGCTATCCTTACCTGGCTCAGGGAGGCATTAATGCATTAAGAGGAAAACTCACATTGGTTTCAACTATAAATCACAAGTGTGGTGGACCAACATGGGTTGGGGCCTCAAAATAAGGGAGCATAGCCCTTTGCTTCCTGGGTCTGCACACAAAAAAAGAAAATTCATACAGTTGTATCTAGTTTAACTTTTCTGAAATGTTCATCTGTTTCATAAACTTAACAGTAAGAACCCTTTATGTATCTCATAACGTGGGCTCTGGTCCATGAAAGCTTCTTTAACTTCTTCTGCTTTCAAGATGTCACAATAATCCTCGTTTTTAAACAAATCAGTGAGTTTCCATGTGATTGGGCTGAATATAGTAATCAGCATGTAAATGTCATAGCTACCCACAGTGAGCGTTACCCAAGTGTGCTTTGGCAGGCTTCGTACAGAATCTGAATTAACCTTATTATTTTAATAGTACTTACAATAATTTCAATAAAGAATAATTGTGGAGAATGATGGAACAGAGTAATTTCCACAAAATTTTCAAGTTCTTCTTCTTTTTTTTACTATTCCTGCAGCTGCATTATGGAATATCATGAAATGGGTGTATAGAGTGATTTACATTTTGAGAAAAGAATGTCCCTGAAAAGGCAGTTTCAGGGGGAGGGAGACTCTGCTATGAATATTTGCTCAGTTCAGAGGACTGCTGTTGAATTAGGACTCCTAAAAGGCAATTTGAAACATGCATTAAGTTCTGCGAAAGCTCGTGTGGACAAAATAACAGGAATTAACTTCTCATATGATTGGCTACTTATGAGAACAGGACACTGCCATGAGATGAGTCACTGACCTGATCCAGAAGGTGTTCTTAATAGTCATGCGGTGCTTTTGATCCTCCACTGCAATATACGTGTCCTAACGGCAGTTTCCCTCCCTTCACCCAGAACCTTCACAGCCTTATTCCACTGGCGACGATACAGAGGATGCGGACTTTGCGCCCCATGAATGAATCTGGGCTTCCTGGCCTGGAAATTAACTACGGCTCAGCAGCAGATCCCAAAACGATTTGGTTTGAATTGAAGCAGGTAATATCCCTGGTCGTCGCCTCTTAAGTTAAAAGATCCAGATGTAATTTTTAGCTTTGCACATTTTGGGCCGTAACCAAGTTTACAAAAACAGACACAGCACAGTTGGGAGATCCGAATCTTACTAGGGTTTAGCAGTATTCTACGGCCTGAAAGTAGTCTTATTTCTGTTTTGTGGCATTCCCCTAGTGCAATACACCATAATAGAAGCCTGCTCTTTCTACAACCAGTCGTTCAGGGCTCTTGGCAGAACTTATTTCTAGAGGTTAAAATCAAGTGAATTTCTAGCTACCCCAAGGCACTGACTGGTATGCTACAAAGAGGTATGTTCTGCTGCTAGAAGGCAGGAACTCATGGGATTAAAGGCAGGAAGCCTGTTCTGCAGCATCCCCTTTCATGCTGTATGCTTGGGGATAGGGCACATCTCTGGCCTGCAGGAACAGAGCATAGTGAGGAGTCCTTTATCTGGAACTAAACCCACTGTTCCTGCACGTGGTTCCCTGGAGGTGCTACTGCCAACCTGTGTAGCTGAACCACAGGACAGCGTTGCTTTTGAAGCAGGAGAAAGACCGCCATATGGGAAAACAAGTTAACTACAAGGCTTTTGACTACTGGATTTTTTTGTTTTTTAAAAAAATACTGGCACAAGGAACACCAAGCTCTAGTAAACGAAGGCTCCATCTGGGTCTCACTTAAAATTATTTTTTTAGTTGGTGTGGGCTTCCTTTTGGAAAGTAGAGGTGCAAGCACAAAATGAAACGATTTCTCAAAATGAGGGGGAAGGAAGTAGAGATGGCAGATGAGGGACTTTTGTTTCATTGAAGTTTCTATCTTGACAGGCTAAAGCATTGTACCACACGACTGCCATCATCCTAGAAGAAACCGAATCTGAGGCTTAGTGAGTGGCAGAAATGTCTTTTTTTTGAACTCTGAAATCATAAAGCTTCATGCAAATTCTGTTCATCACAAGCATCTGAAGTAAGCACTGTTAACGTGGTTCTTGCTCTGCCTCCTAAGCCCAACCTCACTGCAGATTTTCCCTCTTTATTCAGATGCGTTTTTTTTAAAAAAAATACACGTTTAGCCTTTCAGTTACTAGAGAGCAAAACTGGCTTAACAGTTCTAGACATGCTTCTTATTACATGTAATGAAGTTCAAGGAAGGACACGGGTATTTACAGTTTGTTTTGCTCAAAGCAGATCCAGGTTTACCCAAAGCATTGCTGACTTTCACCGTTACTGGCGCTGACAAATTTACACTACCTAGATGTTCAGGTATTATTAAAGCACTGGCATTCTACCTTTACTGTCCTCAATGGCTGTCGTGACTCTCCTTGATGCTTGTTTAATTGTGGTTCATATATGTGCTCTGAGCAGCATCAGTACAAATATTCCTTACGCAAATTGGAGGGGGAGGGGCTTGATCAGCTGTGGGAGGGGGCCAGGAAGCTTGCCTCTCAGCTGATCAACCCCCCTACCACTCTTTCTTACGAGAGCCAGAGCAGTATGGGGCTGGGTGATGTTAGCTCGGCTGCTTCTTCCTCTCCCAAGGTGGGCAGGAAGATCCTTCCTTTGTATATGAGCTACTGCCCTGGCCCCTGTGTGTGATTTCAAGTGGTAAAAATAATGAGATTAAGCAGTGTAAGGTCTTTTAACATTCATTTTATTAGCAGCTCACCATGAACCTTTTAAAGTAACAAACCCCTAGCTCCCAAGTGCAAGCTATTAAGAAGGGGGTCCCTCTGCCAGGCCCACCTTTGTCTAGGGAGTTTCCACTAAAGGAAAAGGTTAATGCTTCTCTAAGGCACAGAAGAAGAAAATACAATTGTAAAAAACCATAATCCCAGCAGGGAATCTAGTCTATGCCAAACTTGGAACTATACATAAATAAAGCAGCATCTTCCTGCTAAAACCCCTGGGCAATTTTGTCACAGTAGTCTGATAAGATGACATGAGAGGCACAATGCAGCAATATGGCTTTAAGTGAATACTTGCACAGCCCTCATACCAAAGACTCTGCTGTGCAGACTCACCTCTGCCCAGTCAACTGTGATATTTGGAAGGCTAGTTCTTTTAACATCCTGATGGACAATACAAAGTGGCTAATACAAATGGCTACATCTCATATAATAACCTGTAAAGTATTTTGCATATACACCTGAAAAACATAGTTCTGCACATGCAACACACTCATGTTTTCTGCAGGTGCAAATGTCCAGGACTCCTTACCGTGCATCAAACGCACCTGTCATCACAGAGCTTGTGAAGCAGCCCTAATGTGAACCTACCTGGAATCACATGTCAGTAATAAGCTATTTGCAAAGGTCTCTGATTTCTTTAGACTTACTCCATATGCACAAAGAAAAATGCAATTATACATTGCAATGGCAACAACTTTCCTGAAATACGTATTAGGCCTTTTCATCAGAAGGAGGTGCTCCTGGATACAACTGTTTACTGCAAACAAAAAACAGAATATAAACACTAGTAACCACCAAATAGAATTTGGCGGGGAGGGAAGGGTTGCCCCATGGCCTCTATTTATTCCTGAGGTTTCACAAAATATAAAACTCTTCAACTTATGTAAGCAAGGACATGCCCTCAAGCCTTGAAGAAGACTGTTCTCTCCTGAAAAATAAAATTGTATAAGTGTCTGACTACATGTTACATGCATTTGTATGTAACACAACTCTGATGGCCATGGGGAGCATAGAAGTTGGCAAACATGTATTTCACAACCTCATGTGAGAGTGGAGTCATTTGGGATAACACAGCTGACAGCAACTGGCACCAATAACCTCCCCTGCCCTGCTGGCGTTACAAAATCACCCGCTTCCCATAGCAGCTGCTCTCTGTTTAAAGAGGTAGCTTTCTGGATTTTATTATACTGTAGATTGATTTCATGCAACCTTTAGTTAGGCCCTAAATTTACTTTCTGACAGAGAGAGTTGTCCCTGGCAGCACTTCTCATTCTTATTGCAATATGCACAGTTTAAAAAATAATAACTCTAGTGCAAGGAGACACTTTTCAGCACAAACAACACAAATCAAAAGGGACCTGGGCAAAGCAGCTCTGCCAGACTCCCTCCCACTGTATCAAAACGAGAAAGCCTTCTTCAAAGCAAATGTATTCCATGACAACTCTGAGTGATGTTGCTGCTGCTAATTAAAACAACATAGTAACGGACTGGGGGTTGAGGCGGGAAATCTTGGGTAGCAGCAAGATTCCTACTCAGCAAACGAATCAATTACAGTCTCGTGGTATGTCTAAAACAAGCAAAGTTGACTGTATCAAAGGGCAGCCTTGTAACTTAAAATTGGTGACTTCATCTGCACAACAGACTTTACCTAGCTAGGTTAACATCTCAAAGGCCTTTCCCCCAGGCCGGTGCTTAACTGGGTCCACCACCACCCCACTCCCATAGCTACGATGATTCCTTTAAGTGCTTGGGGTCCAGCAGCCACAGGAAGCAGAGAAAACCAGTGCCTTTCAGGTGTCATGTTTCCAAGCTGGTTAGCTCCTGCCAGTCTGTCTCATTTTCACACTTGTCACGGGTTTTGAAAAATTCCTTGATCAGTCTCTGTGCTTCTTCTTTTACTACAAACAGAAAGTAACACACAATACACTGATGCCCAACCTTGTTCACCACCGTTAACTATAGTATCATTTAACTTTGTCTCCAAGCCATCTATGAAGAAAAGAATCTGCATAAACCTCCCTTCCCAATAACACACAAGCAAAATTAGGTTAGTCTGATACTACATCTCTCTCATGCACATTTGCACAAATGCTCTGAACCATGAAAATATTCCAGTGGCAAATGCTGTTTAAAGAATAGGGGACTCGGGGAGAATGAAATGATCTACCACCGAAACACCGAGGAGATGCTAAGGAATGAAAACTATGTGCTGACACCAGTCTTATAACATTCCACATACACCTTCCAATTCCTATACCTTAGATACACCACTTGCATATTTCAAATATTTTCTTCAATTACACATATTAGATTATTTTACCCTACCCCCCCACCCACCATACACAGCTGGCTGCCTGATCATTTTGTACTGGTGTTAGATCCAGTATCTACTGGTACAAGGCACTAGACATTCCTCCCCAGCCATCACCTGATAACTCACCTGTCTTACGGAGAGGACTCTTGTCTGCAGCCAGTAAGTGAGAGAGGTGCCGGGCAAACCCTTTAAACAAATCCTGCCAATTAGGGATGAAGAAACAGAATGAGCATAACAGGGTTCTCACCCTCACTGACATATGATTGCTTTTGTGTACTCTCGGAGACATCTTGGTACTCCTATAACGTTTCCCATATTCTAACGACTAGGTGCCGAGACCAAAATGGTAGGACCTAGCATCTTCCAGTTGTGCATCACCCAGGACATGTATCTGACCTAATGAACTAATCACTTAGAAATAGAAAAACACCAATGTCTTGTATAAGTGAAACTTGTTGATCTGCAAGAAGTTCCTAAGGAACAAAGTCACAATGTAAGTATTTAAGCTCTCATTACACACAATTTAAAAACAAACACAGAATTAGAGTGCTCTTGTTCCACCAGTATTTTTTTTCTGATATTGTCTATCTAGCTCACTGAACATTGGCTATAGGAAAGGGTAATATACCCTGCTCTTTCCAGACATGGTTTACCCTCACCCTAAAAGGGACCCAAGACACTGGCCAATACAGTGGAAATGGTCTCTCCATGCTGCCAGTTAGATAGGACAGACAACACTACTAGGCACCCCTTCAAGAGGAGGAAAAAGCAACATGGCTCATAACCAACCTTGGAAGCAAATTTGCCACCTTTGTAGAAAGGGGTCAAGTATTTTACAACAATGTCTGCCGTTTCCTTAAGTGACAATGCCTTTGTAGTTGGCTGGATGATTCTGGTTGTTCCTTCTTTATCAACCTGCGACAAATTGGGATCAAACGTGACTTTCTTTTTCATCAGCCCATCAGCTTTCCCCTCTGATTGCAATGTGATTGAAGACTTGGTCATCATCCGTAGCCTCTTTCCAGAAGGGCTTCCCAGATCCTTGAGAGAGAACAAGAGAGGAACAAATACTCATGAAAGGAATGTTGTGAGAAACAGGGAACGCATAGCCTCTGCCAGCAATCTACCAGAGTTTCCTGACTTCTATTTCTTTGTGCCTTCCTAATGTCAAGGGACGGGGTAAAGATCCTTTCCAAATACTTTAAACCTTCAAGAAACAGTGTGTGGCTAGCTCACTTAAGAAAGTAAATGTCCCTCTTCAGGTATTTTTGTGTCACTGATCTTGCTATGCCTATTCATTACCAGTGGCCCACATAGTTGGGAGCAGGTCACACCCTTGCTGATTGAATCTTTTCCCCCCTTTGTGTTCTGTGTATAAATAGGCTTCTGCATAGCCTTTTCATCTCATTAAAAAAACAAAAAACCTTTCATCTCTTAATACTTGGAATGTAGGTGACCACTTCATTATCTAATGCCTCCAGCTCACAAAATCTGATGCCACAATATATTTGTTAGTCTTTAAGTTGACACAACATTCTTTACAACAAAGTAAATCAGTTTCTTTTACAACAAACAAACATTTCTGGCCTCCTGGGATTTGCCCAACACATGCCAAATGGGGACCACTCTTCCTGCTACCCCAGTAATATTAACCATGCATGCATATTCCAGTGGCCACACCTTAGTCCCATCCTAAGGTCTGAGTGAGCTTTCCCACCATAAGTTCCTGCAAAGCATGCTTTGCCTGTATCTCAGGGATGTTTTTGTGTGTGCTCCTATGCAAGAGAGAGAAGGGGATTTAATAATAGTAATGAAGTATCACCTCAGCTGACCCTGGTCTCTTTCCATTATGGTTTCGACAACTGTTTGTCATTCCATCTTCAATGAAAGGCTTAACTCTGTGGGGGGATAGGAACAATCAGATACTTTGTTCAAGGATGGTGTATTTATGGTATTCAAAGGAAGCAGTAAAAACAACAGTCTTGACATGTGGTTTTCAACAGGTGAGCTACAGAAATAAAAAAATAGTGTTGGGGCCCTGATTTTTAAAACTGACAATTCTATTAGCAGCTCCTGCAACAGACACAGATGCCATCCACAAAACATCTGTAACCACCTGAATTTTAAAAGCACAACCTAATAAATATTTGAAATATATTTTAAGGACTGATTCAGCTGAGAATTCTGTGAATTTAAGCAATCCAAGCATACTTATCATCCATTTGCTGTTTAGAAAGATTTTACTCAAATAGCATTATTATTATTATTGTGGAAATTAGTTACAGATAGTTAACACCCATGGAATGCCCGACTCAGGCCTGCTTCTGCAACTCCAAACTCAGTTCTAACCATCCTCCTGATTTACAGCCCAGACACCTTTGCTTCTGTTCTAAAAGCCTTTGCCAGATCAGAGGTATGTCAATTCAACGGCTGCCTTCAGCCTGAGTCTTAAATACAATTGTGAAGGAACAGCTATGAATAATCACTTTTCTTCTAACCTTCTACCAATTGGGAATTGGGTGGGTATCAGGTAGGAGGCTAGGGAAGAGCAACAACAAGGAAATATACCCCTCACCTCGGTTTTCCAAAGGTTGTTCCTGAACATGAGGATTCTGTTCCTGAGCTAGGAATTCTAAGGGTCAGACCTCCTGCTTTTTCTGATTCTTCCTCTTCTACATGGGATGTGCTAGCTTGTTCTTTTTTGGGGACCATTTCAGTTTCCTGAGATTCTGCTTTCTCGTCACATGTTCTTTGGCAAGGAAACTGAGGTAGTTCATCATGGTAGCAGTTGTTCTCTTCTGCCAAATCAAGCGCTGACGCCAAGGACCCTGCTTTGGGGATGGAGAAGAATTTCGATATCTTCTGAGAGTCTTTCCTAGCTGCTTCTGCCAACAGCAGCTGTTTCTTACTGGGTTTGCCCTTCTTGGTGGGACTAACTCCCAAGCAGACTATAGCATCAGGGGTGCTTTGCTGCCCCTTCTTCTCAGGAACCTCCTCGGCATTTTGGCAAACTTCTTCAGCCACTTTTGCCTGTCTCTCAAGTGTGCCATTAATGTCCATAGGCTCAGGGTCACAGTGGTGACTTCCCTGCTGGTTAATGTCCTCCTTCAGAGGCTTAACTCCATCATCTCCCTTGGCAGCCAGAACTTCTGAAGCAGATTGGAATACATCAGATGACTTCCGAAATCCAATCCCCACCCTCTTGGGTTTGAACTACATTAGAAAGAAATGAGATGAGAGGTAGCTAGAGGGCTAGTTTTTGCCTATCTGCCTTCTGTCTTGGAAATCAAATCCTAGTCCAGGCAAACTGTAGATGCGCCTTAAACTCAAAGACCACCTCACACCTTAATGTTTTCCATAGAGAAAAAATTAAAAGCAATGGGACAGGAAAAAGAAGACTGCTGGAAGCCCACATAAAAAGAAATTATGAAAATGGAAACCTCATAGGCACCAGGACACAGGTTGCTGCTGCAAAATCACTTTAATATATATAAATAGAGAGAGAGAGAAAAAATGCTATTTAAGGTTCTAATAGTGCCTATTTGCACTTACCGTATTCACCTTGGATGCGGGGATGAAGCCATCATCAGCTGTTGCCACTGGTTCAGTCTTCAACTTGGAACTGCCATTGACTCCAAGGGTGGAATACAGCTCCCCATCTTTGGAAGCCTTGTTAATTTCGGTTACCTTTATGTAACAAGAAAGGTGAAAGTTGTCTTGATAAGCTCTCTTATGTACAGCACTTTTTGCAACACAAAGCAAGGACAGGGTTCACAAATTCTGCTCTTCTTGTCCAAACTAATTAATGCGGAATTCGCACCACCCTTAATTCTCTAAGTGACCAGTAATGCCTTAATACAGCATAGGGTCCATTCTTGTAACATTCAAGCTTGGATGAACTTCAATTAGGGTTGCTATTGTTTATTTACTTCAGCTACTTGGTCGAGCCAGGATTATAATACGTCAGAATTTTTGGGGTTCTACCCTTGTTTGAATTTTGGAAATTTAAAGTTTATGATTTTTCTATTTCCTTCTGAGGAAACTGAGTAGTTCAGTGAAACGAGGTTTGTAGCCGGCATCCCGTTAAGGCTTTGTTCTATTTTAGGTTTTTCTAATTTTTTCCCTTAAGCTTTTTAATTTTTATTATTTAGTTGATTTCCACAAGATAATATTTCTAGTTGATTACTTCTTGTTTCAGGGATCTTCATGGTATTTTATTTGTTTTGTGCAATTTCCCAGAGAGGAGCTGGCAGCCGCTTTGTTCCTTCCTGGTCCTTTTTGCTGCTGCACTAAGCTAAGCCGAAGTTTGGCTTAGCGTTTGATCCAAACTGGGGCTCTAGTTAAGCTCTCTCTGCACTAAGCATGAGCTGCAGTCAAAGTTTATTGACTCACAGGAGGTGGAGGGAATGGAAGAGCCAGGCTGCCAGAACCAGATCTTCACTCTGGCGCTAAGTTGACTGATTGTTTACCGTATTTCTCCGTGTATAACATGCCTCCGTGTATAACACGCCCCCTATTTTGGGGGACTCAAAATTAAGAAAATGGGGGGAGATTGCCCCCATGTATAAGACTACCCCCCTTTTTAGTAAAAAACCCCCTAGCCTTATACATGGAAAAGTATGGTGATTTCTATGCTGCTTAATATATTTTTAAATATCTCTAAGCGGTGTACAAAAAAACTGCTCCAGATGTTAGCTGAGCACTGCCAAGACAAGACAGAAGTGATTGTATATTAGGCAGTTGGAGCAATGCACTTTTCTGTAATGCTTAAAGCCACTCAAAGTATGGATTTATACATCTGGAAGGTCAAGACAATAACTCAAGTGGTTGAGAATTACCACCTCAGTGACCATCAGTGGAAAGCAGGCCATTAATTAGAGCCCATTTGTATTTCTCGACAAGCAACACAGAATTACATAAAGCCTGCAGAACTGTATAGCTTCAAAACCCACTGCTCATTAGAAAAACAAACAAAATGCTTTCAGAATGATGTCAAAACTATTGGCATATTCTCCAAACTACGCATCTGAGCTTTGCTTGAGTTGAGTTCTAGCCTGCAGAAATTAAGGGTCTGCCCAAACACCCTCTTCTAAGACAGCAATGAGAAAAGATGGAGTAAGCAGTGTTTTCTCCATAGTACACACACAGAAAATACCTAGCCACTTTCTCTAGCAGAGTTGCATATTTGAGAAACCAACACATCAGGGAGATCAAATGAAGCCCCTTAAAACTACCAACTATTTCTTACCTTCTTTAAAACAGTCGCCTTGTACAGGTTTGCCATTTTACTGGCCTGGAAAGCTTCATACTCCATTTCCACAGCATGTACTAGAACATCTGAGCTGAAACACAAGACAGTTTGATCAGTTGCAGTGGGACATATTTCTCCAATAACAGAGGAAGTTCTCCAACACCTGTCAGGTCCGTTACTATGGAAGAAAGGCTGGAACACTAACAATTAAAATCTCGGTGCAGAAATATTGGTGGAAACTTATGGTTAATGTGGTGTTTGTGTGGGCAGTTGGGAGGCAGGGCAGAAGACAGGGGTCTAAGAGCATATTTCCCCCTCTGGATTACTTTTACCCTATTATGAAGGTATTTCTACCGTTATCAGTGAAGTATCACAACCTCCTCTGTGATTTCAAAATAATACGTTTGTGCAGTATATTACTACCCTCTAGCGGGAACTAAAGAAAATTGCAAGCTTCGTAGAAAAAAGAGGGTTGTAGCTGTTAAGATTCATATTTGCACACCCACCTCAACCTATTCAGAAAATATTGCAAGAAATGATTTTTAAAATGTTATTTTGGCTTTAGCACACAATATTGTCTTCCTTAAAGGTGAAGGTAAAGGGACCCCTGACCATTAGGGTCCAGTCATGACCGACTCTGGGGTTGCGGCGCTCATCTCGCTTTATTGGCCGAGGGAGCCAGCATACAGCTTCAAGGTCATGTGGCCAGCATGACTAAGCTGCTTCTGGCAAACCAGAGCAGCGCATGGAAATGCTGTTTACCTTCCCGCCAGAGTGGTACCTATTTATCTACTTGCACTTGATGTGCTTTCGAACTGCTAGGTTGGCAAAAGCAGGGACCACACAACGGGAGCTCACCCTGTCGCGGGGATTCGAACCGCCGACCTTCTGATCGGCAAGTCCTAGGCTCTGTGGTTTAACCCACAGCGCCACCCACGTCCCTATTGTCTTCCTTAGGAGTACACAATTTTGAATTCTAATTTAAAGTATGACATTTAACTTGAAGTGCTCAACTTTCTTTAAGTTTTGATCTACAAGTTTCAAGCAGTTTCCCCACAAACCTGAAGTTATTTATAGCCCCCCCTTCCAAAAACAAAAAAAACAAAACCTTTCGCAGTGCAACTTTGGAACATATACAGGGTGAGTCCTTTAAAAGAGGCCCCGTGGATACAGAGTACACATGTTCCACTGGGCCTCTTTTAAAAGACTCACCCTGTAGAAACATATTAATAGAACACAACTAATAAAATGATAGAAAATTGTTCTTTTAAAAACTACCTTAGAACAACAGACACCTGTTTCTCATGCTCCCAAAAGCAGTGAGAGGGAATGAGATGTTAAAACGTTGGAACCTGCAGCATAATATTACTGGTGGCTGAGAAAGTATTTCAAACCACAACACTGCATTTTCCAAATGGCTGTGACATATAAAATTAGGTTAAGGTATATAAGTTGATCCAGCACTGGTGCAGTGCCTGCATGTGCAGGAGCTCTCTTTTCCTTGCTTCCCATCACTACCACTGCATGTGCACAAGTATGCAAATGGAAAGCACATGAGCCACTGCAGAGAATGGGAGGCTTGCACAGCTCATGAAGGGAGGGCTGGATGGGAGATATGTGCACATGAGCCCCTAGTGCCATGCACCGGCTTGCATAAATTCCCTGGCTTGCATAAATGCCCACTGCTTGCCCTATGGAGATCTATGGGGCTCCCCCCGGACTAGATAATAACTTCCTACCCATCTCTTGTTAGAGCTGCTTCCCGGTTGTTGCTCAGTGCTTCTTTCAGCATGTTCAGACAGTGTTCTCTAGCCTAAAATTGAAGGATAAGAGATGAGAGCCAATTTCAGATTGCAGAAGGAAAGTGAAGCATCATCTATTCTAACCAGCAGTTCTGGGACAGTACAAATAATGTAAAGTATACTCAATATCAATTTTTTGTATTGTAATTTTTTGTTGTGAATCTCCCTGAGATCTTCAGAGGTAGGGAGGTATACAAATTTAATAAATAATAATAATCAAACCTTCTTTCACTACTATATGGACATGAGTAATCTTTTCCCAGCTGCTCTATAATATCTGCTGTTGTCTCTGCATCCTCTCCAATTTATTTGCTTTCCTAAAACCTGCCAACTGAAACCGGACAATATACCCCAGTTACATTCCTATGCTACAATCTAATACAGATCAAGATGCTATCCTTCTCTTAAGGCATTCCACCACACCACGCTTTTATGCCTTCACCCCATTTTCATCAGTGCTATTTTCTTGCCAGTTATTTCTCACGCCCATGTCGTAATCCAGGTGGGGAGGGGAAAGGAGCTTGGTGTAAGTAATCACAGCCCCTTCTTACCTTCACTGTGATTTTAGCTATTTTTCTGCTGGCTGCATCCTTCAAGGGACAATCAGCATCTACAATGAGACAGATACACAAACATTTTCTGACATGTTACCTTACCTCTTGCAGTAGATGAGTGGGTACAAGAAGGATATAGCCATTTAAAATAATAAACTAGACAAGTATCCAATGTGGTGATAGTACTTTTTAGAAGCTTTTTTTTAATTACATGTTTTAATATCTCCAAAATCCTAGATAGCAGATTTTCTAAAGTATTCTTCAAGGACAGGTGCTATCCTTGCAATCATTTAGAGCTGGAACCAGCCTTTTGTGTGTTTTTCTACTGTAAATTCTATCAAGGAGTCAGAGAACGTTTAATCTATCCCGTTATAAGACTCCTGGTCAATCTTTAGACACCCTTGCGAGAATCGTATTGGAGGGAGGTCTAAATAAACCCACTACTGAGCAGGTGGCACTCTATTTGATTGGCATGTGATTGGTGATGGCTCAGCCAGGGTATTTAAGTGTCCTCTAGTTTGTCCTGTGTTTCCCATGCTGATCTAGGGTTGCCATTTTTGTAAAAGTCAGATGTGAGGGCGATCTGGCTGCAACATCTGTCACCCCATCGATTGCCAGGGTTGATTCGGCTTATCTGGCTGGCTAGGCGGGTGTCTCCTTCACTGCTCCATGTGCATCAATGAAAGACGACAACCATCTCATACAGAAGGAGTGTACCATTCTTTGGTCAAGGGTATACAATAGCTGCGCTCCTCTGCCAGAGCCTCCAAACAAGCTCAAGGTCTTTTTTGTTAAAATCAGTTAGGTGGTGTAGGCCTTTGGCTTGCCAGGCCCTTACTTGGATGCTTTGGGGTGCAGAGTGGAATAGTGGTTGTTGGGTTGGGGGAATTATAGTGGAGATGAGGTTGGGGACAGTTTCCCTACTTTTTCCTTCTATCCTTTAGCATGGACTGTGTGAACCTGTTTAGTGTTCTGGGGATTTTCCTTAGTTTGTTTTGAAGGAATGGATACGCTGTAGTGGGAGTCTTTCTGACTGTATCTATTTCCAATACCATTATTAATAAATACGAGACTCCATCTTGAACTTCTTGAAAACGACCCAGTGACTGAGGAATTTGAGATCCAACACTGGCCTCCACTTCTTGTGGCCTTTTTTTTTGGAACCACAAAGATTGAGCAAAGTCCTTGAGATGTTTCCCAGAATTCTTTGCTTCCCCGCCTCTGTCACGTGAAGAGGGTCATATCCCAACCCATCTCATCGCAACCCATTTGGTTCATCGGCAACCGGCTGAAATATGTAAATTAACTGTAGCTATTGCGTTTGATACACTCATAATTTTCATGTGAAATGGGAAACAGAAGTAAGAAATTGATTTGGGCAGATAGCAATCTCTCCAACTACTTTTGCTACAGTCAAGTTTAAGCCCAATTTTTCTGGCAATAAGCTCATCATTGTGGGCCACACTTAACTTTGGGTCAAGCATTAACTCCTGAGCTCTTTAGCTTCATATACAGATAGTGCTATACTGTATAAATAGTAACTTTAGTCATTGTAAAATCCCCAGAAAGAACCATAAATGTTTTGTCTGAAGCATCTGATCTATGAAGTAATGCAGAAATTTACCTGGAGGGACAAAGTTGTCTTTTTCAGGTTCCTGGCCCTGAAAGAAATGTAAGAGAGAAAATTCAATGACATAAACCAGGAAAAACCTATCTAAAAGTATAGGTTGGGACACAAGACTAGATTTAGAATCTGAGTTCTTTTTTACACAAAAGACCTTCCACATTTACACAACAATTTTTAGTCTGAGCCAAAGCTTGCTAAGGCTTTGTTAAACGGCGTGAGTTGATAATGAATTGGAACAATCTAAGTAAGAACTGGAAACATTATAAAAGGAATGGGGGACTTTCACCACATACAGTGGGAATGCCATTTCTAAAAAAATATTAAGAGCTCAATAACAGGAATTACAATGCTATCCCAATGAATCTGGAATTTTGTTTTTTCATTGAATTATATGGAAAGTACAGTAAAAAATAAACATAATAAATTTAGTCTTATACACACTGAAAGCAGTACGAATATTATAAACTAGTACATAACGACTGCCAACAATAGAAGAATGGATTAATAAAACATGGGCATTTGCCTTAATGGCAAAATTAACCTGATTTACAAGAAAAAAGACAGCGGGAAGGTAATTTTAAGAAGTGGAATTCATTTACTGAATATTGTAGGAGAAACACAATACCTCCCCATTCAGCAGGTGGTTTCATACTGTTTTGAGATGTAAGATTAGATGTATAGTAATGGCTTATTTTATGACATTTCTCATAGTTGTAGACTGAATAAATAAAATTGCTACCTTATTTTAACAAATGGACTAATCAAAAGGGAATAAAGCAAAAAATATGTGGGGCAGCATGAGAGGATGGGTGTGTAAGTCTGTATGTGTATGTGTGCACATATATTGATTGCATGGATGGACTGCACACATATACTGTATGCACCTTGCATTTTGAAGACATAAAAGGAGAAACAAAATGATCCATGGGATAAAACATTGGGTCATTCATTTTCTTCCAAGCTGGTTTGAGCAAATAATTAGAGTTGCCTCTACAGTGGTGCCCCGCAAGACGAATGCCTCGCAAGACGGAAAAACCGCTAGACGAAAGGGTTTTCCGTTTTGAAGTTGCTTCGCAGGACGAATTCCCCTATGGGCTTGCTTCGCAAGACGAAAATACCTTGCGAGTCGTGAGATTTTATATTAGCTTATCCCCCCCTTTAACTAATCTGCTAAGCCTTTAAAAGCCTTTAATAGCCTTTTAGCAGCTAATCCTCTAAGCCTTTAAGCCTTTAATAGCCGCTAAACAGCTGATAGCGCTAATAGCGCTAATCCGTCAATGGGCTTGCTTCGCAAGACGAAAAAACCGCTAGACGAAGACTCTTGCGGAACGGATTAATTTCGTCTTGCGAGGCACCACTGTATTAAGTGCCTCATCTTTATGTTTTCTTCTACAATAAAGTGCAATTTTACATTTTCTTGTATTTAAAAATGTCATTTTATAATTTGCAGCTGCAATGCATAACAAGGAATGGTTGGCTTTTAAAAATAGCATTAGAGTTACTAGTTAAGTCTTAGAAGGACCCTTCATTTAGGCAGTAATTTAGCCCAGGAGTTCTTTTTTTCTGTGTGAAAATCAGACACCAAGAAAAGCCATCCACTTTCCATCCCAAAGTCCCTAATCTGCACAGATGGGGTTTGGTTTCAAGACTGAATGGGACTGCATTCTAGTCACATAGGAAGGGGTGGTGAATTCAACCAAGAAAATGCTTGGAGACAGAAAGAAAGCACACACAGAGATATGCACAAAAAGGCCACTTTAAGAGCTCTCCTCATTAAGCACCCTGTGGTAAAGCATCATAAAAATTGAAAGGTAAAGGTACTATTCTCTAACTAACAAAGAAATGTCAGAGCAAGGTAAGTTCTTTAATGTGTGAATGATTTCTCACATATTAACATAAGAACACAATAAAGACCTCATGGTAACACTTAGGTTGCAATCCTATACAGTGGTACCTCTGGTTACGTACTTAATTCGTTCCGGAGGTCCGTTCTTAACCTGAAACTGTTCTTAACCTGAAGCACCACTTTAGCTAATGGGGCCTCCTGCTGCCGCCACAGCACAATTTCTGTTCTTATCCTGAAGCAAAGTTCTTAACCCGAGGTACTATTTCTGGGTTAGCGGCGTCTGTAACCTGAAGCGTATGTAACCTGAAGCGTATGTAACCCGAGGTACCACTGTACCCTTTTACCTGTGAATAAGTCACGCTGAACTCAGCGAGGCTTACTTCTGAGTAAGCACATATAGGATTGCGCTGTTACCTACTCTTTTCCCACCCGTCAAGATAGTATCCGTCTCCTGCGAGGAAGTTACCAACTTACCTTGCGCAGACTCATCTGCCTCTTATAAAAGTTGTTCCATTCCCTTTTCTGATGGTCCTCATTCGTTTCAGCCACACTCCCGCCGTCTTCATCATATCTGAACAATAACCCGGAAACAGTTGGAAACTGAACAGGAAGGTTGCCCAGAATTACTTCAAACATTATACTGGCATCAAGGAAATTTGATCTAGCAAATACATCACAATATCCCAGAGGATTGTGGGCCTGAGTCCCAGTCAGATTTCATTCCAGGGTGCGACTGTCACATTTCCAGGTTTTCTCTCAAATAAATCAATCCAGAACCGATCATTTCCTCAAAACCAACACAGACTTCTATGTTCCTCTTGCCATGTGTTTTATCGGTTGAATTCAGAGAAGATTGAGTTGAACTCACTTGGGCAACAGGGTCTTCCCAGCTCCCCACTACTGTCCCCTGTGCCCCCCAGAATTTGCTCCTGGAGGCCAGAAGACCCTCTCTGGTCTGGCATGAGAAGGGTCAGAAGAGCTACAATGGGACAGGGAAATCAGAGGAATGTGACAGGGCACAAGTGTTTTTCCACTCATGCAAACCCTCTCTAGACTGAAGCTGGTTCATTTATGAATTGTTAGCATCAGAAACGTATGTGTTAAATAATAAGTCACTTTTAAAGTTCTGAAGCTTTTAACTACTTAAAAGCGATCACTTTCCTTTAAAGACCACCCTGCATAAAAAGAATAAATTTACAGATGAGTTTATGCAAAATATGCAAGTCAAGTAGAGCGGAAAATTAAATTACAAAAGGTGAAATATATGGCTGGTTTATCTTTGTTTCATAAGAAGTACAGATGTTAACCGCATGCAATGATCAGGGGATAACAAAAGAGAAAATATATAGTGCAAACTATTTCATTTAACCGGGAAGTAAAAGGAAAACGGCAACTTAACATTTGGTTTTAATCTTTCTGCTGCATACCAGAACAAAACGCAGGTCACGAAACAGAACAAAGGCCAATCTAGCCAAAATTAAGCACTTTCAGATCTTGTCGTTCGCAATGGGAGAGTGGTGCTGAACATACACTTAACTTTCCTATTGAAATCAGTGAGTCATTTGCTTACGGTCACTAGTCAAATTCTTCTGAAAAAACCCCAGTCATGGTGCTGTGAGCACTTTCTGGAGACTAATCAGAGGCAACAGGGCAAGAGATGAATGTCTGGGGCACTTGGAAGCTAAAGAGGACAGTGACCTGCTTCTTACAGCATGGGCAATCTTTCTCTTCCTCTTCCCAGGGTGCCCCCATCCCTCCTTTAAGAGGGATTAGAAAGCACAACATTTTGCCAGAAGCTACTGCTCTCTGTTGCATCAATACAGAACAGGGTGGAACAGCTGAAAACACCAAGGTCTAATTTCACACATTTACTGACTCACGCAGTCTCACTGAAAATCTCCCTGACTATGATGAGATGAGAGCTGGGCTTTGATAAGCGAGACAAGTCTGAGGCTTCCCCCATACCTAGTGCTAAAGAACAGAATGGATGAACCCTACTTCCTTCCAGCCCTAATATTCAGCCGAAGCCTTGGATGTGCTCTGGCTCTGTGCTTGCCAGGAGAGGCACGAATGATTTGGCTTGCTCTTCCATCAAGCCCATAGGAAGAGGAAGGCTCTGTCGTCGCACCTCCCCTCTCCTTGCTGCCAATCCTTCAGCCATCAACTGCTTTCTGACCTCCTTCTCCAACTTCATTGCTGGAGAAAAAGGAGATTCCCTCCTGCCTCCGTTTGGAGTCAAAACGTGAGGTCAGATACAAGACCTTGCCGCTTGAGGGTGAGCCTGCAACAACAAATTGCTGGCTGGCCAATAAGAACAACAATATTTGTTAACCCCTGGCTGCATCACGACATAAAGGCATTTATGCCACATTTTTAACCAGTGTTTTCTTTTTAACCTACAGTGGTACCTCTGGTTACATACTTAATTCGTTCTGGAGGTCTGTTCTTAACCTGAGGTACCGCTTTAGCTAATGGGGCCTCCCGCTGCTGCCGCGCCACCGCCACGCAATTTCTGTTCTCATCCTGAAGCAAAGTTCTTAACCTGAGGTACTATTTCTGGGTTAGTGGAGTCTGTAACCTGAAGCGTATGTAACCCGAGGTACCACTGTATTTTCTGTTGGTTCTACTGAGTCCAGCTATCAACTCCCAGGCTCAGCTACACTTCAAGGAGTTATCTATTCCTCTGGCTGATTCATGAAGTCGCAGTGGCTGCTGAAGTCATGGCACTTGGCTTAGTTTGTATGCAGCGGGGAGGGATGCGGGACTTCAGGTATGAGGAAACTACTAGTCCCAAAACAACTGAAGCCGCCATAGCGGAGAAAAGAGGAGAAATCCTTATTATTGTCAACAGAACTCACTTCTGCTGGAGTCAGAAGCAAAGCCATACCTGCTGAAGCCACCCATGCCTCTTCTGCCTCCTTCGTACAGGTCTGGGTCAAAGGCATTCCAAGAGGAAGCAGAGGGTCCAATGCAGGTTCTATTCCAGCCGCTGCCGGTGTGTTCAAGTGCCTCTACGTGCTTTTTCACTGCTGCTGGATTCTTACAGTAATCACAGCACTTATTGCACTGGGGGACGGCGTCTCCAAAATAGTTGGCTATAGCGGCATGACGACAACTAAGAGGTAAAGACAAAATAATATCATTTCGAGGGAAAAGGGCAGCAAAGAGACTTTGCCCTAAATCAGGCATACGCAAACTCTGGCCCTCCAGATGTTTGGACCTACAATTCCCATCACCCCTAGCTAACAGGACTAGTGGTCAGGGATAATTGGAATTGTAGTCCCAAACAGCTGGAGGGCCTGGCCTATGCCTATGCCTGCCCTAGATGGTTAAGCAAGCCTAGAGTATGGTTACTGGATTTTTTTCAATGAATCCAGGGACACTATTTTTTATTTTTATTTTTTGAAGCTGAGTAGCAACAGGGAGTCAGTAGTGGGGATGGTGAGGCAAAAGACCCTGGGCCCAAGCACACATGCATATTGTATAAACATGCAAAGCCCTTCTTTCGCACCCTGTGAAACATAAATGCGCAGAGTTTTTCAAAAACTGGGCAATGGCTCACCACCCACCTGTGACTCCCAAGCCTTCCCCAATCACCTGCCCCCTTCCACCTTTGTTTGGGGGAGGCTTGGGAGTCACGGGTGGGTGGCCGTTGCCCAGGAGGGGCGCAAGGCGCGCGGTTTCTCTGCCAGGCAAGGTGCAAAGCCCTTATTTCCCACCCTGTGAAACATAAATGCGCAGAGTTTTTTAAAAACTGGGCAACGACCGCCCGCCCACAACTCCTGAGCCTCCCCCAATAAGTCAAAACAAAGGGGGAAGGGGGCAGGAGATCTGTACCGCCGGACATCCCCAGTTCCCCTTTGGCAGCGGCGGTGGCAGCGGCAGTAAGCAGCCTGGAGCCAGCCTGGTAGCACAGTTGGCTCTGTCTGGCTTCAGGAGCTGCTCGCTGCCGTGACGCCTGCCATTTTTCCTCTCCGGAAGTCCCCATATGATGTGTTGTGCCAACTGCACTACCAGGCTGGCTCTGGGCTGCTGAGGCTGCCGCTGCCCCATTTCCCGAGGACAGATATGCAAATCCGGGGACTATCCCCAGAAACCGGGGACGTCTGGTAACCCTAGCCTAGAGAGGTGGCATAATGGTGGTCAAATTAAAAATAACCTCAGAATCAAGGCACACTGCCACAATGGGAATAATTCAGAAAGCAAAGTTTCTAGGTTATCTGAATCGGGAATTTGCTGGTTTTTAATTTTAGAATATTCAAGCACATGGCTTGGTAGCCACAAATGGTTTCTTGACAGTCTCTCCTACTCGCTTTTAAACAGAAGGTATGTTAGCAGTTATGACGCTCCAAAATGCCAGCAATATTTAAAAGAGCTACAAAGAAAACTTTGTTTCAGGGCTGGTTTATACTGCCTTCCACACAACCAGTTGCAAACACAGTCAAGGACAGGTACACACTCAAGCAGAAAAATATTGTGATTCACACGTCACGATCTTCATGTGAGGGTAACAAACAAGTGGCTGAAAATGCATTGAACTCCTTGCAGCATGAAGCAGCTCTTATGTTGCTTGGGCAATAGTATTCCTCTGGGAAAGGGTTTTATAAAACAAAGTTGACCCCGGAATTTAAGCAAAAACTTCTGCATGCACAACAGAATTTCCCTCCCTCTCTTTGCATGCTCCCAAGGCTCCCAAATATGCTCTGGAGAGTTGGGAGAACCCTCAAAACATGGGAGGAGGAGGAGGAGGAGGAGGAGGAGGAAAAGTTCTGTTGTGCAAGCAGAAGTTCTTGCATGAACAGTATGACTTGGTTGGATACAATCCAAAATATTTGGGGCCCAGCTCATCAAAGCACTGCTTCAAAATGCTCCTTCTTGCCACCACAGCTTCCAATAGTGCCCATTTATGTACATCCTAAAGTTCATCTATAGCATAGTGAAGACACATCACTAATAAAGAAAAGCAATTGGCCAAGCTTTCCACTCTTGTTGGAATCTTCATTGTACAATGAAAATGCACAATATTGATGGGAAAACATATTCACCAAGGTCCATTTGCATTCTCTTTTCATATCTGAAGGAAAAGCTCCAAAGCTATAAATGACCCCATGTATGTATGTTTTTGAATAGACTACAACTAAATGGAAGTCCAAATGCTCCCAGCAGTTTAAAAACTAACATCCCCCCCCATTTGAACACAAGCTTGGGTGGGGGGTGGGAGCAACACTGAATCCCAGTGAAGTTTAGAATCCCAGCAAAGCACTTTTGTGGTATTTAAAATCAGCATGTGAAATGTTTCCTACCATCCTGGCAAAGGTGTCAAACAGAAGTTTCCTGGAACTGGCAGCTTTTGAGACACCACCAGGCAAAACTAAGAACTCACTGTGCTAAAACGGGAAGGGATGGTACCCCGGCTCAGGTAGAGAGAGAGCTGAGCCAGTGTCAGCCGCTGCATGGAGAAACAGAGTGGGGAAGCGAGAGAGATGCGACAAAGCTATCTTTATAAACCTTGCAAAATGGCACTGACTCACGTAGACTCTTGAGCCTAAAGAAAGCACTCTTTTCACAACCTCTGAAAGGCTATCGTGTGTAATTCCCCCCCCCCCATGCCCCTCCAAAATCTTGCTAACTCTATCCAGCTGGAAATGCCAAGGGTCTTTGGCAAGTCAATCCTTTGTTTTTCAGAACACGAGAAAGGCAAAATATAATTCCGTCATGCTAGGAGGATAATTTGTGTGTTTCAGTTAACAGGAACACACACACAAAATGAATACTCATTCTTCCATTCCCCCAACACTGCTTGCAGAAGAACAGCTCCTCCAAAAACCCATACTGTAGTGGCAAAAAAACCTACTGGCGAGTCAAAGGATATTTAATGTTTCTAACTGGTGTTGAGGGCAAAGGGTATATCTTAAACAGACTCCTTAATGAAAAGATCTCTGCCAGAGATGATAGGAAAATGCTGGTCTGCCAGGATTACTTGGCTAGATTGCACCATTGTTCTGACTTAGCATATTGGGAAATCCAGAGCTTTTGCTCATGACATAAAGGAGAACAATCTCTTAACTAGAAGAAGACAGGGCAGGAGATGGTAGGCACTCTGCACCTGCAGAAAAATAGCAGAAGATTACACTCCCAAATTTCCTTTATGGAGACTGAACATGCAGGTTTCCTTCACCTGCAGCAGAGACAAGCACATAGGGCTTAACCAACATAATCCCTTTGGAAGTGCTTAAGTGAAACTCAGTCAACAGACCAGGAAAACTCTGGGGAGAATGTCAGGATTTCATCCCCTCCCAAGCACCTTCAAGCAGCTGTCTCAGCTTCCATGGAGTCTTCCTGCCCCTGGTTCTTTCAGGGGCAAGCAAAGCTGTACGTAGCTTCTGGCATATTGAGTTGTATCCAGCGAAGTCTTCCCTTAGCACAAGGACTTTCGTCTGCACAACACAACTCTCTCTTCTCTTCCTCCCCCTGCACAATCTGTTCTGGGGTTTCTTTCCCAAACCCCATGGAGCAGATTTGGGGTGAGGGGGTGAGGAAGACTTCTTGCACAGGCAAAAGTTCTTGCACTAACAGGACAACTTTGTTGGGCGCAACCCAATGTCTCTTAGCCCAGCTCCTCCTTCCCTAACCCTAACCTTCATTCAGAACAAAAGTGTTAGCTCAGTTGGTTAGAGTATGGTGCTGATAATGCCACGGTTGCATATTTGATCTCCGTCCAGGACACCTGCATATTCCTGCATTGCAGAGGGTTGGACTAGATGATCCTCAGGGTCCCTTCCAACTCTATGATTATATGATATGATTCTATGATTATTTAATTAGGTGTTCCCAGAGGCCATCAGATACCCACTCCTGCTTAAAGCAGCCTTTGAGGTGATAAGATATAACCTGTTTACAGAAAAGCCAACCAACAGTCATTATCCACAAATTCAATTTAAGACTATTTAGAACACTGACTTTAATGGGAATAAGATGTACTGAAAAATCCAAAGTTATTTTGTCTTTTTGAGGAGACACGCTGAGAAAAGCGTAGGAGTTCAAATGTTTCCACATATTTTAAGTCCAAGTGCCGCTGCAAGTTCTCTCATTCCTTATCATTGGCTTCTTTACAGAATAGCTGTAGATTTTTTACTGGGAGCTAATAAAGAATTCAGTAGCCTGCAGAAAAGCAAATCACTTTAATATACAGGCAGATAAAGGGAAGGGAGCTCCCTCAACACTGACCCAGGCTGCATGGAAAGAGGTCTAATAAAAATAGAGAAGAAACTTTATGCACAATCAAGAGTTACACAATGAGCTTGTAACAAGTGTTGGTTTCGGGAGCTCTGCACTGGGGAGTTTGCGCTAGCTGCAAGTCTCCATCTGTGATCCTCCCCTTAGTGCACATGTAATATGAAACTTCACATCTCCAGGACGACCAACAACAAAAAAAAGAGGGAGAGGGTGAAAGAGAAAGCGCAGGCACAGAGCAGCTGGCTGTCAGCAGCAGGGAAAAGAGGAGTTGAGGGAGGAAAGAGATAGGAAGCAGAGAGGGTGAAAAAATGTGGGGAGGGGGGAGGAGAGCTGACATGAAATGACAACAGAAAGAAAAACACGAAGGACAAAGGGACGGCTGGTTCTGCAACACTACTTGGGTAAGGCTGACTTTTACCTCTTCTCCTACTCGCTACAGCATCTTTGTACGGGACAATTGGTTTGTTCAACTTAAGCCTGTGCCAAGATTTCATAGTAAACGTTGCAACGTGGGATGTCAGAGGAAAGTGCGTGAGGAGGATGGGTTGGGTGGGAGAACGTGAGGCAGGGAGACAGAACAGTTTGTAAGCAGAGTTTTTGAAGTTGCACTGCATTAAAGAGAATGTCAACAGATTAAGTTCTTCCATGTTCACTTGGATTCTGCTCCCCTCTGAATCAGGCACAAACACAGTTAGAAACAACAACCTGAAAAGTAAAATTCTAGCAATTTTTTTTTAACTTGTGCAAATATGACAGCCAGTTGCAGAATTAATTCCATACAATTTTTAAATGCATACAATCCTAGTTGGTTTGGAATGTGTGTGTTCACTTTAAACAAAATTCCAACAGCTAAATTGCAGATTAGCCATGGGACGATTTAGGCTATCTTCCCAGGAACCGAACATCGTCCCAACAGCAGGCCTGGCATTTTCCGACTGTCAGCTACATCCTGAAGGAATTCTACTGAAGATGCCAAATTATGTGACATTCACTCAATTTTGTAGCACATTTACCCCAGACAGTTAAAGCCTTTCCTTGAGCAACAGAGCTCTGCTGCTGCTGCTGCTGCTGCTGCTGCACACAAATAAGAGTTTGTCTCAAGATTCTGGACTTCGTGCCAATTAGGAACCATTCAACATTTGTATGCTGGCAATTGGCTCTCCAGCAGAGTTAGAAAGCAACAGCTGCAGAAACAAGGCTCAGGTTTTAATGGAGTATGTTATCAAAGAATTCTGTGTTGATCATATGTATTTTTATTTTTAACCAATTACTAGCAGTGCTGCAGTCATTGGTTTTGGTTCAGAGTACTATTTTAACAGAACATGATGTTCTTCCAAGCACAGCATGCTCTAACCATTAGGAAATGCTGGCCAGAGTAGAGCACTAAAGCTTTCATTGAAATCGGTTTATTATAAGCAGAAATGAGCCATTTAATGGAGACAGAAAATGAGGAACAAACCAGGTGCCCACTCTGTGCCTTTTCTCTATGCTGATAACACTACCAAGCCATATTACCAAGAGCTTGTTCACCTGAACCTCTTCTAAAGTGAAATATATTAACATCAGTTATGCAGGACAGTCTTTATGCAAGAGGCTTAATGGAAACAAACCACATGTTAAGTATTGCAAAACTAGGAAACCAGTGGGGGAGCTTTTCAATCTCTTTGAACATTCTGTAACATACATTAAAGTCACCAAACTCCACCCAAGTAGATTCAAAAGAAGACTCCAGTGTGAAGCTGCTGAGCTGGAATCTGCACATTTTACACTGTGACATTTGGTCTGAGCAAGCTCTGGGAACGGATAGCTTACTACAGAAAACAGTTGTCCCTCCCTGATTTTTTTTTACTTTTCAGAACTCAACTTGTTATACCTGTTCACTAGCAGCAGCCTGTATTTGGGAGTGGGGCACACGCACACCGACTGGCTTCACTTAATGTAATAAAAATTATAATAAGAGAAGTGCTCTTGCTTTCTTTGTTCAGGGATATTCACACAGACTTTATGGATACCTATTGGGCCTTGGCCCCTGTGTGCTTATACGGCACAATGCTTTCGTTACTCTTCAAAGTGACATAAGACTCTTCATTGTTTTTGCTGCAACTAACTGTGACTTATTACATAGGCTCAACAAGGAGATCTTGTTAAGCAGCTTTAGGCAGGGATAGTGAGAAGATGAGAGGGATCCTGTTCCAAAACAGAGGTTCCTGGTTGTTGTTGTTTTATTTAAAAACAACAACCCCAAAGCATTTGTTAATGGGACACATGAACCCAACCAATACCTTGGGCTACTCTGTCTCTAGCAAGTACACACTTAACCACTGAAGATTAACTCTCAGTTTACTTGCCATACTGAGCTCTCGTTGAGGAATACCGTATTTTTCCGTGTATAAGACGCCCCATGTGTAAGATGCCCCCTACTTTCGGGGACCCCAAATCTATAAAGTGGGCATATGCACTATCTGTGCATAAGATGCCCCCAGATTTTTAACCTTATTTTAAAGTAAAAAAAAACTAGTCTTATACACGGAAAAGTACGGTATGTTGCAACGAAAAGTAGTCCACAGCTATGGCAAAGGACTAGATCTATTAAATCTGAAGCCCACTTTTGAGAGGTGCTTTAAAGCAATTTTCAAGTCTACCTAACTGTGTGTGTGTGTGTGTGTGTGTGTGCGCGCGCGCACGCACACACATATGCACACACCCACACACCCATAAAAGAATACCAACCTAATAAGTGCTTCAACAGTGATAAAACCAAAAGCCTAAAGCCCATCATTTACCTACAAAAGGTCAGCTGTAAAAAGGGTACTCCCTTAAGAGGAAGCTCTACAAAGTTAGGTGCCACAACCAAGAAATTCAGGAGGTAGGCAATGTACTTGCACACACCAGAGAGAAAGCCAGTTTTATTGCCACCTATCAAGGCTTTCTACTACCAAAATATCTTTCCTCACTTGTTACCAAAGAGAAAACTCAGGGAGTCTCCCCCCTCCCTTTTTTTATTTGCATACAAAGCCAATTCAGCCTAATTACTTCCATAATGGTTCTGCAGCCATTTTTGGATTGGTACCCCAGTAGTCTATTGTTTTTTTGCCTGCAAAATCCTGAAAAGCAGAAACGGCCCTGAGCCAATTTTGCTTATAAAATAGATTTCTTTCTACCACTCCCCACTTCATGCAATGTGCCTTCATGGAAAACTGCAAATTCGTTTTGGATCTTGCTAACTTGCAAGAGCTTGCATATTCTGGCAAACTGGTTGTGTAAAGAAATTAGAATATTTATATGGAAGGCTGCAATAACTGAACACACCACCCTTCTTCCTGGCAGAAACCTGAATTCCAAAGTTCCTCTTATAATACAACTTCTACCCCTTTTTGAGAGATCGGCAGCTTCTGTTATTTGAAGATGGAAGAAAAAGTTAAATAAAAATGCAAAAAAGCAAGCAGAGGAGTACAGGAGAAAAACAGACCAATGTTTTCTGGAAAAAGAAAAAAAATGCTGAAGGGTTGGCAGGAGCCTTATGCTGCAGCTATGGGGAAACATGCAATTTGAAACACATGTCTAGGAATAAGAAGGCAGAGCCCTGGCTTGTGTTACCAGCTGTCATACGCTAAAGAGGCCTCTCAGTCTCCATAAAGCACAACTGCCCAAGAGCGTTTGCCAGAGACTCTACAGCAAATTTGTGTACTAGCCACTCACATCAGGAAACACTGACTGTGTGGTATTCTGGAGAAACTGTAACACACAGCTCCAAGTCAAAATTTTGTTTTTAACTTGGTTCTATTTGTTTCCCCACACCGTTCTGGTGGATTTTTGTGCTATTCACAAACCACTTATTGGCAGGCAAGTTCGATTAAATGGCCTGTTTCAACCTATTTGTTTGTCCTTGCATTTCCAGCTCAATTCTGCTGGCCACCATCAGTTTCAGTAAGTAGGTGAGGTGGTACAGGTCATATTAGAAAGGCAGGTCACGTGGGAACCACTGTGTCTTTATGCAAGTTGTTAAAAAAACATATCCAGCGTGTGCACAGGCTTTGATAAAGCAAGTTTTGCACATTGGTACCTCGGATTACATACACTTCAGGTTACAGACTCCGCTAACCCAGAAATAGTACCTCGGGTTAAGAACTTTGCTTCAGGATGAGAACAGAAATCGCGCGGCGGCGCAGCAGCAGCGGGAGGACCCATTAGCTAAAGTGGTGCTTCAGGTTAAGAACAGTTTCAGGTTAAGAACAGACCTCCGGAATGAATTAAGTACGTAACCAGAGGTACCACTGTATTGCACCCTGAAAATGCTGTTGGAGGCCTCACGGAGGCACATTTGGAAGAACATGCAGCTAATGAGATAATCTGCACATGAATACAACTGGAAAATTTTCCTGCAAAAACTGACTATATAAACATAGTACCAAAACATCTTGCTTCCCCAAGCATCATGTAAAAAGGAACATTTCCCTATGTTTCCGTTAGGCCTCTGTAAGACCTAAATATTAATCATTTTTATTGTAAATAAAGTTGGAATAAACTGGTGGTTTAGAGGAAGGAACATCTGCCTTTGGGGAAAAGAAATTACTGGAATTATCCAACTTGGATCACTCCATGATCATCGTTTGAGAGGTTTGTTTCTCTGCAACGATTAATGCTAATTCCTTTCAACAGAGTCCCATTTCACAGGACACACACATGCCAGGTCACAAAACCAAAGACAAACCTTCAAAGAGATGTACAGAGTGCCACACTAGCTTTAATGACATGCAACCGTCAATGCTTGCAGAGCAAACATCTGCTTAATTTGAAGGTAAACCATGGCTCTCTGCCATGTGGATGAGGTTTGAAAGCCAAATAACCAACTATTTTCTCAAAGTACAGAGAAATGATAGACTGGTGTTCCAATTCTAAATCTGGAAGCTCTATTATGGTTTACAGATGGATGTTCTACATGTCCCATCAAAAGGTGTAGTTAAAAGCTCCATAAGAAGCGCTTTACAGATCTCCTGTATCACAAATGCCTTTGGTCACCATTCTTTACATTTTATGGATTGGGGCTCTTCTCCACAGCTTCATGGGTAAACTGTGGATATTTATATCCAGTTCACTTGGGGCCAGAATCAACATTTTGTCCAGTGAATCATAGCTGTGGTATTTTAACAGACACTGTGAACAGTGACTGAATATTAGTTGGTAGTCTTGGTACATCAGTCTGGGGATAGAAAGAGTGTTCAGCAACATAATATTCTCATTAGTGTGTTTCCAACATACTTGTTTGCCTGCAAGAAAGTCTGGTTTTGCACAGAACCGTCAAACCAACAATTACTTCCAGTATTCAACCTCCACTAAGAGACAGACACAAGTCATAAATACCATTTAGTCTCATTTGTCAAGCCTGAAAGCACAAAGCTGAATTATTAATTTTCAGAGAAGTGGCCGTGTTTGTCTGTTGCAGCAAAAACAAGAGAATCCTGTGGCACCAGGCACCTTAAAGACTAAAAACATATATATTATGACATAAGTTCTCAAAGACCAGAGCCTACTTTGTGAGATGAAATGATCTGATCGTCTGATGAAATGTACTCTGGTCCACAAAAGCTTTGCCATAATAAATTTGTTAGTATTTAATGTGTCTGGTGCCACAAACTGAATTTATTTGGCATGTAACTAGTCTGCTTTGCTCACTCCTTACAGTAGGCTTACAAAAAATGCAAACTATCTACTCAACCAGCCATTGATTTCCTATGGGCCTGAAAATAATGTTATTCAGATGTCACACAAAAAATGGTTGATTGTGAAGGGAATAAGCCCAGTCTCCCTGCTGTTGAATGGGAGCGCCTGCCTCCCCACAGGTACAGCTGTGAGATTAGATGTTCACTTCAGATTTCAATTAACCAGAGTTTCGCATGATGTCTGAACTCTAACCTCTGGTTCACTTTGTCAAAGCAAGCCAGTTTCATAAACCACAGTTTGAACTTGCATGTTTCCAACAAACCATAGTTAACCACAGTTTGTCAGGTTCAGACACAATAAGCTGATGTTAACTGCAATCTGAAGCACAAGTGTGTGAGACCACTGGGAGGTTAGGATTGTTCCTGTCTTCATGATAACTCGTATATTCTTACTAAGTTGGAAAACAGTTACTGAATATCTCGAACATGCAATTTAAAATTCAGCGACTGGATCTCAAAACTACTTCAGGCAGGACCGTGTGGAAATGGAGGCAGAGCAGCTATGAGCCTGACTATTAATGGGCACAAACACAGCCCATCCAAAGCAGTTCAACAGCTGTCAAGTGCCAGTGGTCTCCTGCCACAGAACATATCTCCTGGGGAAAGTGATAAGAATTTCCTTCTGCAGAGCTTTTTCCTTAGAGGAAGGTGTCTGCTATGCAGTCAGGACTCAGATGGAAGCAGTCTAACAAAGCATTTAATACCCAAGAATGCCTATATTTAGCCATCTGCAATTCATCACCAGCTGACAGAGCTGCATACAGGAAAGGCAGGTATGCATCCACTGCTATACCTAAATGCTGACACTGCTCTGAACTGTAACAAGCTTTCACAAGAGCTCAAGTGTTATATAGCAGGGATGGGGAACATCTGGCCCTCCGGATGCTGTTGGACCCCAACTCCTATCAGCTCCAGCTAGCAAAGGCAAGGATGATGCGAGCTGTAGTCCAGCAATATCTGAAGGCCCACAGGTACCCATCCTTGTGCTATAGGATTTGGGTGGGGAGGAGATTATTCAGAGGAACAGCCTGGGCAAGACCATTCTGAACAAGGAAAAGGCAAGAGCTAAACTGGAGAAGGCATATGATGAACAGGCATTCTCTTAAGTCAAGGGAGATAATGCACAAGCTTTATCCCCCTCCCCCCGCACAGAGTTTTTTGTAGCTCCCAAGATACCCAATATTTACTTATACTACTCCTATGGTTCCACCACTGCGATGCCAGCATGCAGAGGTTTTCTGTGGGTCTCCAAGTGGCGCCCCTATTTGTCTCTTCAAACAACATTTTTAAAAAGGAAGAAAAAGAAAAGAAAATGTAAACAGAACTGTGATGCCAAAAGGATTTTGTGTCCATTTGTCCTTTACACTTTTTTGGCAATGCTGCTTTTATATTTGGGTTAGCTGCTGCTGTATTAAATGATGGGATTTTTACAGGTGAAACTGTTCATTTAGTCAATCTTTATGCAACCTGCTTTATGAATGCTTAGCAACACCTCCCATTACTTCTGCTTAGGAAGACACATGAAAATGAAGGCCCTATAGGATTATGACATGTTTCTAGAACCACCCAAAGGTAAAGTTCATGCAGAACATGCAGAATTCACAGCTGTTCGAATAATTATGTACTTCAAGCACAAGGCCATCCTCAGTCAGTATGTACAAAATGGTGTGTTGAATTAGTGCCCCGATAGTGGCAATTTTCACAATATTCAATAGGCGTTGCATAACAAATCCACATTAAAAAGCAGAAAACCAACAGGAATGTTTTCTGGCCACTACTTTAATCTTAAACATCAGCAAGACAGCCAGCAGAGCTTATCTAGTGCCATGATGTATGGAATGGTAAGATAAAACAGGCAGCTGAACATCAGTGGCTACCCTGCTGTGTTGCATTGCCTTTTCAAGCTCTTTAATAGCTATCTTGTCCTACAGCTTTAGTCACATTGTTTTCCTTCACTTGCAGAAGGGGAGTTCAGAAAGTCACATGAAGGTAAAGTTGTTAAATGAAAGGATTATTGAGCTTTTAGTACAAATATCTATTTCCAACTACAGTCATACCTCTTGTTGCGTTTGCTTCACGTTGCAGCTTTTTGGGTTGCAGACGCAGCAAACCCGGAAATGTATACTTCCAGGTTTCGCCGCACGCGTATGTGCAAAAGCGTTCTATCGCGCTCCACGCGTGTGCAGAGGCGCAGCTCTAGCTGCAGACTTTTCAGGGTGTGAATGGCACCCCGGAACGGATCATGTCCACAACTAGAGGTACCACTGTATAAACCCACTTGTATTTTGAGATAAGGCATCATTTACCTGCAGTCATGCAAGCAAACTAAAAAAACTCCCAAGATTTAAACTCCCTTTCATGGGCCAAATCTCTTTCCTAATCCAGGCATTGGCACACCCATGGAATGTTCAACTTCACACCAAACCCTGAAGGCCTAGCTCTTGCAACAGCACTGCAATGAGGTTTCAAACCCCAAACCCTGGATGTATGTTATGTGGCTGCTGACAATAAGGCCCAGAAGCTCTCAAGGTTTTAAACAAATTAATTAGCTGCTTCAACCAAGAAGAGAAAAGACCATGTATTTCTGCACACTGTTAACATGAGGGTTGGAAACCCAAAAATCGACATTTAACTTTTTTTATTTATTAATGCTTTGTTTACGCGCATGATAGGCTACGAAAGAATAGAAAGGGGACTGATCCCACCCAATTAAATACACATTCTTATTTAATAGCTGCAGTGTTCGAAACTTCTCCAGGAATAAACTCCAGATTAAGGCACACTGTGAAGATAATGCACAGAGTATGCCTGAGTTACGTTTAAATGGGAGGAAATTTACTGTATTATCATTCTTAGATGTTAGACCATGGGTAGGCAAACTAAGGCCGGGGGCTGGATGTGGCCCAATTGCCTTCTAAATCCGGTCTGCGGATGGTCTGGGAATCAGCGTGTTTTTACATGAGTAGAATGTGTGCTTTGCTTTAAAATGTATCTCTGGGTTATTTGTGGGGCACAGGAATTCGTTCATCCCCCCCCCCCAAAAATAGTCTGGCCCCCCATAAGGTCTTAGGGACAGTGGACCGGCCCCCTGCTGAAAAAGTTTTCTGACCCCTGTGTTAGACCTTTTAGAACACATAACAAAGCAGCCGGTGTCCAAGCGGCTCTAGAACAAAAGAAAATGATTCTCAGTGGAATAGAACTGAGAATACGGAATGCTACAGCATTATGCACTTCATGTGGAACCCAGGCACTTTCTTCTGAAGGTGAAAGGAGTAGAGACATAAGCCGCTTCTTCTTTGATGGAAGATCAAAAAAACTTTGCTATAAACTTTAATTATTATGGACAAAATAGTTATGAACAAGTCTGTGCAGAAGGCTTATTTACTTATTTACACACACACACACACACACACACACACACACACACACACACTTGTAGTCTGCCCTGTGGAAAGATGGGATATACATATTTTAAATAAATACCAGACATGGGCAAATATTTCTGTGGAGGAAGAAATTCTTCAGGAAGAAGAGCAAGATTATTGCTGTAACCTCTGAAATAATGAGAGTCAGAATTAGGGAAATCAATTTCTGATTGGCTTGAATGTACGTTCTGTTTGGATGTGTCTAATAAGCCTCCTTCTGAACTGCTGTGCACATGACTAGAAAATCAAGGGCAGAGCCCTGCTAAACTTGTTTTGCTGGTGATCTCAATTTAGTTAGCACCACAGAAAAGGCAGTTCCTTGTTGGTGTTCAGTTTATGAAAGTTAACAGTAGAAACTCTGACAAATTCTCTCTTTTGTTCTTCCCACCCCACCCCCCGTCCTGTCCCCCAGTGTTACAAAACGTGGGTTAACCCAAGCAGGATGTCTTTCAAGGAATTTCAGAATGAACTCTATGCTCTTGGTAGCAAGCTATGGCTCAAGCTCGAGGGACTATCCAAGGCTGAACCTTTGGAGATTGTGTTCTTTTTCATCATCATCTTGTTCATTGGTAAGTATGAATCATGCTTGCAACTTTCTGGGCTCATCAGATGGGTCTATTTTGTCATTCAGGAGCTATGAATAATGTATTCTTTTTTTGAGCCTTTCTTTAATCTACATGGTTTCTGACTCCTCAGCAATTGTGATGCTCAGGACAGGCTTGAAGTAAACCTGTTTGTAAGAATTCAGTGCAGATCTACGCTGCTAAGTTTCACCATACAATATAAATGCTGTTTATATATGTGAATATTTGTGTGGCAGAATCAGGACTGGCAGCCAGCCCCTAGGTTCTATAGCACTTAAAGTTTCAATCTGAACTTTATCATATGAATGGCATGGGAGCCAACATTTACAGAAATAGTTAACTCTGGGTCAAATGGTAGTGTTGCTTTGGGCTACCATACTACAAGATTCGGGATGCGGGTGGCGCTGTGGGTTAAACCACAGAGCCTAGGACTTGCAGATCTGAAGGTCGGCGGTTCGAATCCCCGTGACGGAGTGAGCTCCCGTTGCTCGGTCCCTGCTCCTGCCAACCTAGCAGTTCGAAAGCACATCAAAGTGCAAGTAGATAAATAGGTACCGCTCCAGCGGGAAGGTAAACAGTGTTTCCGTGCGCTGCTCTGGTTCTCCAGAAGCGGCTTAGTCATGCTGGCCACATGACCTTGAAGCTGTACGCCGGCTCCCTCGGCCAATAAAGTGAGATGAGCGCCGCAACCCCAGAGTCGGTCACGACTGGACCTAATGGTCAGGGGTCCCTTTATCTTTACCTTTTACTACAAGATTATGCAGGAGGTAGCATGTACAGTTTAGAGCTAACAGCGGAATCTCCCAGCATAAAGAGAATGAGGGCCAATTCACACATAACTTCTCCTCACTTGCATTCTCAGATGAATGTATGAAGTGTGCATATCCATTGCAAAGCACCATATCCAAAGCAGTATGAAAGCTCTGTCTGTGATAGATTTCAAATATGAAAGTCATCAAGTGATTAACATGCATGTGTCCAAAGATACACCAGGTGGCATGGAGCAGTTCCTAAAACAAGTGACGGAGTAATTAACAACCATAGATACCGAAGAAAGCTGGTAGATATAAAAGCAACTGTATAATGTTTTCTTCTGTTGAATTCCAAAGAAGAAAAGCCTGCTTGTGTACTGCAACAAATCCTCCCCTTGTTGGAATTGGGAAAGAGCCAGATGTGCCTAGCCTTCTTTCAGCTATAACTCTGGGCTAGCCTGAACTAAAGCTTTTTGACTAAACATGTTGAAGATTATTTCCTTTGCCCTTCACCTGCTGGTACTCCAGTTCCTTACATTAGAAATCAGCTGTACCTTTAAGAACAGCTACTACCACTCATATTCTGTTTGATTTGCAATGGGGTTTATAATCATTGTGCAACTCACACCATCCTTTGAGAACTGTCAGTATTATTTCTGTCTCGCTGAGGTGCTAAACAGTGGCTTGTACAAGGCCTCACAACAAGTTCATGAGAGAGGTGTATGACTTGAATCCAGAGATTCCCAGTTCCAGCGCTCAGTGCCACTCTAGCGTTGGCATGATGTAAAAGGAACAGGGAACACAACCCCACACTTTGTGCTCTTTTGCCATATAGACAAAAGCCATTAGTAGTAATAGTCATTGTTCAGCAGAGTGGGTTAATGTTCGTAAGTTTGAAAGCCATGCAAAATCCTTCCCCAACCCATTACAAGAATTTCCTTTCCCAGTCTCCACTACAGCCCAAGTGTTGTTTATGTCCTTTATCCATTCCACTTCCCAGGCCTCAGAGAACCAGCTGCTTCTTCCTTTCACTCCCTCCCCCTGCCTGTATTTTCTAGGAACCCATTACCTTGACAGTGATCATGACTGCCTACTCTCCACTCCAAGCCTGAGCGCAGCTGGGAGAGCAGAAAAGCGAAGGTTACTTTTTTTTTTTTGTAGGTGCCAAAAGCAAAACAATTAAAAACAACGAGCATAGTTTGGGCTTGTTCTAGAGCTCTTGTTGTTAGCAACTCTTGCGCCCTCTAGTAATTCCAGAGGACACAAGACAAATGTAAAAGCCACAACTGTCCCTTTCTGGTGAGCCTATTCATTGTATTAGCAGGTTGGGTTGTTCTAACTCCTGGCTAGCAATTCCAGAAGCTAATATTCTCTCTCTCTCTCTCTCTCTCTCTCTCTCTCTCTCTGCCTTTCAGTTACGGTACTTTCAATGATGATCATAGCTTGCAGTGTTTGCTGTGCCCGCTGCTGTAATGGAACACCTGTTCACAAGCCTAGGAGGATCCAAGTTCGGCCGGCAGACTGTGTATGAGAATGCATTAAGAAAAGGGTGTGGATGTACTGAGGAATGTGTGCAGACTGCTACCAGCTGGCACCACAATACTCTTCTACAAGATAGTAGATGAGAGCACTAAGGAAGAGAAGCGAGAAAGAGACCTCGCCCTGCCTAGGGTCTTATGCCATGGTCACTGTAGGGCACTGATGAAGTGATGGAGCTCAGTATTTCTCTCCCTGCCCCTTTGCAGACAGTTTACTATCAAGACGAAGACAACTCCATCATGGCTGAGTCAGTTAATCCATAAAAGTGTGCAAAAATGCCACAAGCAAACTAGCCAGGATTAAGACTGTTTAGACTTCTCCACCTGGTGGAGTTCCAGGAAGATGTTGAATACAAGCAGTTTCCACTGAACTTCGAGCCACGTGCAATGGCTCAGCAGAACAAACGACAACATAAGCAGTGTTTCCTCCTCGATGTCCAACTGTCTGCAGCCAAGAACACAAGCACAACAATACAAACAATTTCATCCTTTCACAGAAGATGGCTCGTTGTCCGTTTGCTCTCTTTGGCAGTTTTCTTTCCTTAATGGAGGCAGTGAGGGATGGGGGGGGGGGAGTTATTACTGATGCTCTTCTTCACTGTCTCTGAATCTTTTAAAAACCAATCACAACACACAGGGTTTAGTTTTTGGTTCATTGTTGTGTCAAGAATACAAGAGCACGTGATGTCTGATCAAGGTGATGGAACATTGCAGTTGGCATATGGTTTCAGAGACTGTGAAGAACACCACCAGTAACAACTCCCCCCCCCCCCATCCCTCACTGCCTCCATTAAGGAAGGAAAACTGCCAAAGAGAGCAAACACACAACGAGCCGTCTTCTGTGAAAGGATGAAAACAAAAGGATGCCGAGCTACCAAAACACTATGTCGTTTTGCTTGCCTGCCTTAAAGTGAATGTTTTCCTCTTTCAAAATATTATTACATATTTGAGTGTTTTCTTTCTCATTCAAAAAGCCTGCCTTGTTTCCATGTTACAAGGCAGTTCTTTAGTACGGTGAAAGGGGAACAACATATTGTTTATATGTTTGGGGTTTGTAGTTAAATGCATTCTCTTAAATATATGTGATATGAATAGTTTATATTTGTGGCATTAATATATCTTATTTAAGGCAGTTTACTGGGAGAGTTTACAAAAAGAGGGACATTTTAGAGTGTTACTTTAGAGTTATTTGTGGAAAGAACATAATAAAAAAGGTTAAATTCTTCAATCCATTCATTGGTCTCTGTAGTTTAAAGTGTGCTTGTACACAGAGCTAATAAGATACAGCAAGGGCTGGCTTATTTCAGGAAATGTGTGCAGCAGCTGGGCAAGCTAAAGCACAGCCAAGAATGAGCTGCCCAGCTACAGTTTGCAACTGAAAGGAAATCCATTTCCACAAAGGCAGACCTTGTGGAGATTTGGTTTACACTCCAATGAACTTCAAAAGAGTTACATGCGTACAAGGCAAAAGGAATGGAACCAACCACGTGCAAAAGGGGGAGGATTATTGCCACAATGCAATGAACTGCACAGGTGTCATTCCTAAAAGATATGTCATCTATAGCAAAGCCCCTACATTTAGGAGATGCACTTATTCAAAAGATCAGATTTGCCCAAGTCATCAAGACCACGACCATGCACCACCAGAAGCGAACAAAGAATTATGTCCATTTTAATTTTTTTATGTACTTTTTTTTCTTTTTTGGTGTGAATGTGTTATGTATGTTTTTGTTTGTTTGTATGATGTTACAAAATGAATTGAAACCAATAAAAAAAAAGTGAAGGATCTCACAGAATTCTGCAAGTCTTACGGTGTACTCTTATTCACAACTACTTGTTAAGTTCAACTGGAGTTACCCACAGGTAAACAAGCATGAGATCCCAGCCTAAATAATGAACTTTAATGCATACCTTCATTTTTGAAAGGGTAAACATTTAATCATTACAAACCTGCAGAAGGCAATTAATTCCCTATGTTGCTCCTGCTAGTCTTTTGTGACAGATCTACCTGCTTCCACACAATTGCTGGATCAAGCTCAGTTGTGGGACCTTTGTAACACACAGCAGGTGGGATTCAACATAGAACTAAGTGGAGAATGCTGCACGAAACAAGTTCCACTTGAGGAACAAGACTTTCCTGACTTTCCTCCCTCCACGAGCCCCCGAAAATGTTCTGGGGGTTCCCGCCAGTAAGGATCCTGCCCAGTAAAATTAGTTAAGTATGGTCAAAGACCAGAAAGAAGAAACAGTTTTAGCCTGCATGTTCTCCCATGTGCCTTCGCCAACTAAGCAAATATTACTGAGCTTTGGAGGTGGCTCAATCAATAATAGTACAACATGGATAAAATGAAGCCTGATTGTATAATTCAGGCTTTCAGATAAGCCTCACCCTCTCCTGGCTGTGTTAATAATTTGCTAAAGTACAAACAGATATTAGACATTACACACTTTCTCTTTGCACAATTAAGGAGGTCTTCCCAGCCGACAGGTTCTAAAAAGGCAACTACATACAGCTTAAGGTGAGCAGAGTGTTCTTCTCTATTCCTACTTTTCAAAAATTTACTAGAATCATCTGTAGTGATCTGTTCGCTCTGAACAGACTGCCACAATTATTAAGTTATTCTTGTGCCACAATTACTTCCGTCATTCTATGGGAAATGGTTTAAGGGTCACTAAGGGTCCTCCAGATTACAGATGAAATTTGCACAAAGCCCATTGCTGTTTCTACTTTTATTAATCTGGCTGTACACATATATGACCTTGCTAAAGCAAACTGTTTTTATTCCAACAAGGAAGCATTATCCAAATATTTTTGCTGTGGTGCAGACAACTGGAGCGTGCCTGAGAGATTCAAACTGAGCATGGCTTTGTGTGGGAGAAATGTTACATTCCCCCTTAATCCCTCGTTTCATGCAGCATGTAGGCAAAAAGAGAGAAAACAACAAAAACCCAGAAAGCAATGATACAAATGCAGTGAAATTTAGCTGATGTTTCATTCTTTCTGCTCTCCAATTACTCCAATCTTTCTGCACAGCAGCAAATGTGAAGCGAGGGAATAATCCACATGCCCTTTTCAATGAGAACAGAACGTAGCAGGGGAATTAAAAGTACAAGCTGCTTCCAAAGAGATGTCAGGTTGCATTTAGATGTCACAACAATAGGCCTGTAAGCACTCCAATCTGAAAGGTGATTGGAGAGATCAGTCTTCTACAATTCTAAGAGGCTTTTAAGTGGGTGAGATATTTATTTCAGCCACAGTTGCTTTGGGACTTTCTATTGGAATCTCTAAGAACAAACAAACAAACAAAAACCCGTAACATATGAAGCATTTGACACTTTGCAGGATGCAAGTCTTTTTGAATGGATGTATGTCATCAACTGAAATGCTAATACAGGCATAGGCAAACTTGGCCCTCCAGATGTTTTGGGACTACAACTCCCATCATCCCTAGCTAACAGGATCAGTGGTCAGGGATGATGGGAATTGTAGTCTCAAAACATCTGGAGGGCCGAGTTTGCCTGTGCTAATATGTGAAATTTCATGGTGAGCTCCAAAAAGAAAGGAACTGTATAGAAATTTGCAAGGAGGTAAAGGGCAATTCTGTTTAGCACCACCATTTGGTCACAAGAAATTAACAATAATGACAGCCAAGCGAGGTGGGGAGAAAAGTCCATCCAGTCTGCCTTCAGTAGAAACCATTTCTGGATGTGATAGGGTAAAAGTGCAGGAACTCAAAGAAGGAGTGGAGTGCTGCTTCTATCCTCTATTAATTTCTTTACTTCATTTCAACATTTTTCTAGTGCCAGCTGCATTATAGAGTGGGGCAGCAAGTTCTGCAGATCTGTTTACAGATAACAGGTCTGAACACTCTTAATGTGGAATGCAAGCCTTGAATTCACTTCTATTTCTGGTGACTTAAGACTCAAATTTTTGAAAATGTTATTTGAGCAGACGCCTAGATTTCGCGGCATACACATCCGTATTAAAGTAAACCCCCTCCACTTAAATGGAACGACACTTTAGCTAGAATCATAGAATTGTAGAGCTGGAAGGGAACCTGAGGGTCATCTAGTCCAATCCTATGTCAGGGCCTTTTCTGTTTCAGCATCTTTTTATGTACAGAATGCAATGGAAGTTGAGGATTTCCAGTAACGGCACCCAGCTGTTAACAGCAGCAGAATCAGCAGGAGTAGCTGCAAATGCAGCAAGGTGCAGAATGAGCAAACAATTGAAAATAACCTTGCTAACTTCTATATATATTTATGGTGACTAACTCCTGTATCTGTGAATTGATGTAAAAGTCAATTATGTTTCTACAACGTAAAGAATGTGTGTTTCTGTATCTCTCAGAAGACAATAGCAGCAATATACAACAAGTTGAAACTTGAATCTCTCCGTGCTAGGCAAAAGTATTTTTCTTTTCCTAGACACCTTAACCTCTGGTAAGCATATTCAAATACAGGGGAGCCCTTAATAAAACCCACCAACCCTGACTCATGGAAATTTGGCCAAACAAGGCCCCTGAAGCCTTCTAAAAGAGTAGCTAAGGGGACCAGGCACCTCTGCTCCCAATAGAAGCTGACACTGTCCTAGCGATGCTGCTCCTATTCCAGTGGTCTATGTATTAAATGCACATATTGTTTTAATTCTCCAGGGCCTGGCAACGATGTCCACTTCAATACAAACTGCTTCTCAAGACATTCTAAAACATCTGAAAATTCGGATTCTGTCAGATGACTGGGCTCTTGGGGGACTGGTAGTAATAGCTTCTTTTGTCATGGTTATCATTGCACTCCTGTTGTTTGCTGCCATCTTTGGCTGCTGCTCAACTCCAAGGAATAAATCTGGCCCCATATAAAACAGCAAGAGCAGCCTTGTCTGCGGAATCTGAAGAATGCTGAAGTGGGACCAAGAAGGGGGAAGTATTGTTGCTTCTTGACACCCCTGTTTCACATGTACAAGTGAACATACTACAGAGGAAATTTGGCACTGTTCAAAGGTACACAACCAGCTTTCCACACGAGGCCTGACACCAAATGAAATCAGCATTAAAGAAGCATGTGCCTGAGCAGGTCTGATTTACAACTAACTACTTCTAGCAAAGGAAGCGACAAAAAATTGTTTAAGAAATAGCTGACATGTAAGAATTTGAAAATTCAAAGAATGTTCAGTTTTCCTTGAAATTGTACATTTGTCTTTCTTCTTTTGCAACCGGTATAAGTATAGATAACCTAATCAATAGTGAAACTAAATGAGACTAAATGAGCTGTATTTTTAAAATGCATCCACATGAATCCCTTCCCCCAATTCTTATTTTATTTCCATAATCTTCCAAAGGCAGCTGGCTGATAGAGCTGAGCCAAAGGGTGGAGGAATAATGCCCATTTCATTAAAATCTTCAATATAATTGATGATCCTCTTTCTTTTATAGATATTTCAGGCTGCTTCAAAAGGGTTGAAAAATCACTTTGCTTGTTAGTAATTCTTGAATAGAAAGGATGACCAGTATAGAACACATTGCTCTCTCTAAATGAGATTCTTCTGTCACTAGAGAGTTTAGCACATAGCCCACCCAGGCATAGGCAAACTCAATCGTCCAGATGTTTTGGGACTACAACTCCCATCATCCCTAGCTAACAGGACCAGTGGTCAGGGATGATGGGAATTGTAGTCCCAAAATATCTGGAGGGCTGAGTTTGCCTATGCCTGACCTAACCAAATCTGATTGGCTACTTAGCAATGTAATATCAGCACATGAACCCTAAACAGCTAGAATATCTCAAGGTTTGGAGGAGCGACCTTGAAGCAACAGTAGAAAGGGAAAACAGTAGCTATAATCATCCAGCACTTTCATATGAATTCAGGCAGCCAACACCGAAAACTATAAGAACTGAACTCAAGGATTATATTATAAACTACTTGTCTTAAATAGTTTAGGGATATTTTGTTTCAACCAAAACACAATTATTTCAAAATTTTAGACCAGGGACGTCCAAATTCTCATATCATACTCTGCCATGGAACACATGGGCCGCCCCCTGCCTTGTTGCACGGGGTGGAGTGGGGTGGGGTGGGAGTGAGGCCAAATTTTGACACCCCGCCAACCCTCACGCTGTCTTCCCAAAGCCCAACACCTCACTTACCCAGCTTGAGGGGGGGCATCAAATGTTGTTGAGTGCCGCCGGGTGCTTCAACACCCTGTTTTAGACCATGCATAAGTCAAAAAAGGTAACCTTACTTTAGAATGCCTGACCAATTTGTCTTCAAAATTACGGAATACATATTCTATGCTGGAATAGCTCTGTTGGTAGAGCATCAGACTATGGGTTTCAGAGCTATGGGTTTGAACCCCGCTAAATTCACATTACGAGATTCAGACTATGGAACCAAGAGATTACAGTTATACAGGATAAGAAAATCAAAATAAGGAACTATGGCCTTCTACCTGTCCCCTTATTCTATTTTAATAGCAAGTTAACGCAATAGCAGTCTGCATCATAAGAAAGCTGTCAAGCATTTTTATTTGCTCCTACCGTATGACCATACCTGTAGTAGGGTATCTGCGTTAGATTATGGGCATATCTACATTTGCCTACTTAGCTAAATATATATCACTCTTTTCTCTCCAAAAATAAGCCAGCGACAGCTTCAGCATAGCATTTTGTTTCAAGTACAGAGTTCTCAATTTAGTACAGGTTGCAATTTGTGTAGTGGTTACTTGTCTGTAATTAGGGACCCCTGCTGGACATGTGCATATTGAACTGTGTCGGGTCGGCCACGGGCATGGATGACCCCCAGGCAAATGACAGGAACGTTTCCAGCCTGTCCCTCCCATCAGCATGCAGCTCTAGGGAGTTCTGACAGCCTTCCCCGACAATTTAGAGTGACTCATGCCTTGGAGACACTGAGCACACATCCAGAGTCCAGCAGAGATCAAACGCAGTCAGAGCTAGGCTGGGGTTGTAAGCACTAAGCTACTTTATTAAGCATAAGGCAGAACAAAAGAAAACATGTCTCCTCTCTCTGGTCTTCCTCAGAGAGAAGTCAGAAGTGAAAGCAAAAACAAATGGAAGCAGAGTACAGTAAACATCCGCTCCCATGATTCCAACAGTTGGTGCTGGAATGCATAACACAGACATGTGATGAACCAATCCTACACAATATCTGCACTGTGAGAGGAATAGAAACCCAACAGGCTGCAGTCAACTAAATAGTTTCGCTAACAGGAACCAATGCAGTTAGACTCCCCGCCCTCCCCATATCTCTTTGGGAGGTTAGGAGAAACCCCAGAAGAGTGCACAGGGATGGGAGAGAGGAAATTGTTCCGTTTGGCAAGCAGGAAAGCTTGCACTCATGGAACGACCATAATAGTACTGCAATGAATTCCATCCAAAATATCCAACTCTCTAAAGGGCTGACCATTCCAAACTTCTATGCAAAGTTTCACAACCAATGGACCACCATACATCACAGGAGGCAGATTCATGACTAAACAATATTCAATTAAAATTATTTCTACATCAAGCCATTAGGTTTCATATTGCCTTTCTTTTCAAAGAAGTTAAAACTAGTAAGAGGTTCCAAAAATACAGTAATATGTAGAATAGATTTCCTACCAGAAATCTGGTAAACATTCCTACCAGAAATTTCCTACCAGAAACCTTTAGCAGAAATCTGATAAACATAATACAACATGGGCCATTTGTGCTACCACATACATATAAACCTCCATTATGAGATCAGTCTATCACGCTGCATTTCCACGTCATAAAAAGCAAAGCCCTCAAGATTCCAACCACTAGGAAACAAATATATGTTTCTCCAATCCATCAACTATTAGGATAAACCTACCCCAGTTCTTCAGAGAAGGCCACCATAGCATCAAAGTCTTTCAACATAGCTTTACTGGAGTCTTTCCATCTGGAGCCTCGCTTTTCCTGAAGAAAGGTAAAAACAAATAAGCAAAACCACTTATTTTTAGAAACACTGTGTTCAAAAGCAAGCTTTCTTTCAGAACTACGCCTCTTTCCTCTAGTTGCATTGTGACACAATAACCAATATTCATTCAACTCTGTAGGAGTGCTACACATAGGTAAAACCACAAACTTTTCAGGTGCACCTTTTGTGCACCTCCGTGCAACCAAACCTTAATATTATATTTTTCATCCTAATGTTGCCTCCAGTACTTCTCTAATGCAGCAACAAATGACTCCATACGTAGCCCCTCTGAAGTGACAGTAGGGAAATCTAAAGGTCTCTATACTGCCACGTATTTAGTAAAATGTATATCTTCCTCTTAATTAGCATGTGAAAGGACCTCACAAAATTAAAATTACATACAATTACACTACATCAATGCAAGAGCATAATATATAGTTCACTGTAATCAAAGGACTATTAGCTAAGGCACGTGAACTGCATTGAACCATGTCACACAAGGTTCTCACCTGCAACGTAGCAAGTTCCTTCTTGATCAGGAAGCTGATTTGATCCCTGTCATCCCGCGAGTAATAGAGGCGACAGCTGGACGGCTTTCCATCTCTCCCAGCCCTTCCGGACTCCTGGTAATACCCAGCTATAGATTGTGCAAGATTCCAATGTGCAACAAATCTGCATGGTGTAAGACAATTAAGCTATTACTTTCAAATCCCTATCTGAACAAAACTAGAACTGCATACAAATCCCTGACCAACCTAAGCATACAAAAAAAGAGAGACCACTCTGTGAGAAGCCCAATTTTTGCTGTTACAGTGGTGCCCCGCAAGACGAATGCCTCGCAAGACGAGAAACTCGCTAGACGAAAGGGTTTTGCGTTTTTTGAGTCGCTTCGTAAGACAAATTTCCCTATGGGCTTACTTCGCAAGACGAAACATCTTGCGAGTTCTTGCGAGTTTGTTTCCTTTTTCTTAAAGCCGCTAAGCCGTTAATAGCCGCTAAGCCGTTAATAGCCGCTAATAGCCGCTAATAGCCGTGCTTCGCAAGACGAAAAAACCGCAAGACGAAGAGACTCGCGGAACGTATTAATTTCGTCTTGCGAGGCACCACTGTAATTACACCCTTCTGTTAAGAGGGACAGGCAAGGAAATATAGTGGTACCAGGTTCTTCCAGATGTTGAGCAAATGTATATTGAACAATCAGTATGCATCGCCCATTTGGGATGACTTCACACACCTGACATTAGCTTTGTCAACTCCCATTCCAAAACTGATAGTAGCAACAATAACTGGAACCTTCTCCTCCATCCATTCATTCTGAACCGATGTTCTATCTGCTACTTTCAGTCCTGAGAAGAAGCAAAAGACAAGAGTGCGATACCAGCAGGAAGAACCTCTGCTCTTACCGTCATCACCAAGGAGCAAACCACACCAACCTATCAGTCCCTAGTTGTCTTTGAATCCATCTACCTGCCTACTTCTCCTATCCTGTTTTGCCAGAATATGTGAGGGGAATCCAAGACCTAAAACAGAATTTTCATGGTCTGAGGATGGAGTCTAACTCCATAAGCTCCCAAGACTATGTGTACTCAGATCCCCAAACCTCCTTCAGACACAAAAGGGAATAAAAATGTGGTCCGTAAAGCACTGTGATTAGCAGGGAAGCAATGAGGATTCCAGTTTGGCCAGGCAGAAGAATTAGAAGTCCTGACTGGGTCAACAGAGCAGCACCTACAGCCTGTGACACTCTAGGACCCAGCTCCTGATGGCAGGGAGCATGTGTTAGAGTATACATTCCAGTTCCTTGCATAGCTGCCTGTGATCCCAACCTAGTACTGACAAGAAGTATCATCGAAAAAGCAGTACAGAACAGGTTTAGAAGCCAAATATGAGACGTTTTCCCTTGGAACTCATGTGTGGGGAAACTAAAGCAAAGTTGAGTGCAAAGGGCTTCAGGGAAAGTCAATACACCAGAAGCACTCAATTTAGCAACACTTTTGGCATTAATTCAAACATCCAGTTGCAAGCCAAATAAAAAGGGGAAAGGGAAGAAGGTAGTGGATTGAGATAAGCATTCAGAAATGGCAGAAGAAACAGGAGGACTAGGAAGGGAAGCGTGGGAGAATCATGAGGCAAAGAAAAGCAAGCCGGAGCAGGAGAAGTTTGGGGGAGGTCCAGGAAAGGAGAAATTACAATAAGAAAGCACATAGAGAAAAGGGACTAGGAGAAAGGGAGCTGGGCTAAAGTTAACTAGGAATAGAAAGGAATGCTGGGGTATGGCAATCATTCACACACATCAGCCTCCCCAAACCCAGTGCCTCCCAGGTGCTATGGATTATAACCCCCATCATATCTAACCATTGGCCATGCTGAAGAGAGGTGCAGTCCAGAACAGATGCAGGACTTTGCCACTCCCTCTGGCCCTGAATTTTGAGCGACCTGAAATCTTACCCCTGACACAATGATCTGGCAGGATAATAAGGCTCCTGTGCTTTGGAATGGACTCTATTCAGCAAGATCATATCAGTGTGGTACTAAATTTGCATTCTAAAGAACATATTAAAGAAAAACAAGTCAAGACCGGGCTTTACAACCCACAGTATACTGACTGGACCCTGAGGCTAGAATAAAGAACTCTTTTGCATACTTAAAAAATGCTTACGAATCAAAGTAACACAGCTTTTTCTACCTGCATGATATGCCTTGGAGTTGACTCCTCTGTAGCTAAGTTCAATAGCCACTTGTTCACATACTTCTCTCTTCCTGCAGTAGACAATTCCGCAGCCTGAGTAGCGCTACACAGGGGGAGGAAGAGTAGGCAACATAAATCAAAGTGTCATAAGGAAACCTATTAATGTTATTAAGAGCTGGTATAGATCCAAGGTATCAAGAAGAACAAAACAATGGGTGGTATTCAACTGCCACATCCCTGTCAGCAAAAGGATTTCCACTTGTGCAACAGGACTTTCCCTCTTTTCCACACAAACAGAAATCCTTGTGCTGACAGAACAATAAATTTAGTGCTGTGATGGATTCCAGCCAGTGGTAATAGCCTTTCATATGCATGCCTTATGGTCAGCATTGTACATATTTTATGCAGGAATTTCATAGAAGGGAACATGCAATCCAATGAAATCAACTCTCTTGAGAATCTCAGATTTAACTCTTCCTCCTCTCCCTTAAAAGAAGTTATTGGGAAATGCTTTAAAAATGTATGAACTACAATAAACACTAAATCCACAGAAGGGCTTCTGGTCCTTAAATTCTATGAATGACTCTGACAGATCTCTCAATCCTACCTTCGCAGTGAATGACAGCATTGCTTTACAAGCAAAGCCTCTGGTCCTTGGGATACCAGGCTGCCAAATTAGTGAGGGGTTCTGAAGAGATTAACAGGGTAAAAGGTGGGCACTTATCCAGTGGGTGCCCTTACGATGCTTGCTGGCTGGAAATGGAGGCTATGGCAGCACTGGACAGAGTTGCTTCAACTCCCCTGTGCAAGGTTTCCATGAGCCCTTGCTGAGAGACATTATTAAAGAATTTGGCCTGCTAGTTCATTGGCAGAGTTTGGAGCTGGGCTGCCAGGAAGAAGAAGAAGAAGAAGAGTTTGGACTTGATATCCCGCGTTTCACTCCTCTTCAAGAGTCTCAAAGCGGCTCACAATCTCCTTTCCCTTCCTCCCCCACAACAAACACTCTGTGAGGTGAGTGGGGCTGAGAGACTTCAAAGAAGCGTGACTAGCCCAAGGTCACCCAGCAGCTGCATGTGGAGGAGCGGAGACGCGAACCTGGTTCCCCAGATTACGAGACTACCGCTCTTAACCACTACACCACACTGGCTCTCGCCAGTAGCTCGCCAGGAGAGGTGGTGGCTTTCTTCTCTGAAGCACCTCAGTGACTGCAGAGTGAGAGAGCATGCTGAGTGCTGCACATGCCCAGTGTGGTTCCCCACGCCACCCCCGTTGCCACTCCCTTTGCCGGTGAGCAGAGCACCACATACAGGAGGCTTGGAGACGTCTACTCACTACTCTTGAATCTGCTTGCTACTCTGGGCAGCTATCTCCCTCTCTTGATGGGGGATGCAAGGGGCTCAGGGAGATCGTTTGCTACCCTGGGCAGCTGTCCCGTCAGCTGGAGGCTGTGCAAACTGGAGGATCATACAGCGCTGGGCACCATCACAACACCCAATGCTCTAAAAGCATTATAATCTCTCCCTGTCCCTGTATACGCCTAAGGACTATAAGCAACTGCCAAGCAGTAGCCCAGGAGCAACCACATTACCCTGCTTTTCTCTAGAAGGCAGAGCCCAAAGCTGGAAGGTTCCTGCTTTCTAGACAAGCCAAATGTTGTTTTTTCCCCTGATTGGCCTTGCCTTTTTCCCAAGTGGAGTTAACGGTTTACCGTCTGCTCTGCTGATCGAGAATCCCCTTTCATTCATCCCCTGCCCCAATAAAGTTAAGTTTTAGGAAATATATTCCAATCCACTTAAAACGAAAGCTGCCTAGAGTAAGACAGAGAGGGGAGAAAACTTTAAAAACAAAATATTTCCTACAGATTTAACTCACCCCGGAGTCATTCTTCTGCCCAAGACACTTCAGACAGAACTGTTTCAGGTTTTCATATGGATCCGTTAAGGTATCTTTATATTGCACATCATAGAACAGGTTGGACCTGAAGCAAGGTGTTTTGAAAGTGGCAACAGGCCTCTTTAGCTTAAGCGATGCAATAATATCATCTTGGACCTGTTTAGTGGCTGTGGCCGTCAGGGCTATGCATGGAGTGTTGGGTATTTGACCGCGCAAAGAGCCAAGTCTCAGGTAGTCTGGTCGGAAGTCGTGCCCCCACTGAGAAACACAGTGAGCCTCATCAACTATTAGGTAGGAAAGGAGGTTTCGAGACACTAGAACCTTCAGGGTAGGCTGAAAGGAAGAGGAAGCTGCCATCTCTGGTGTGATGTAGAGGAGCTTTATCTGAGGCTTGTCACACATCAAGTCAGCTAAGATGGCCTTTTTCTCCTGAGCAGAAATCTTGGAGTTAAGAGAGCTGGCTTTCACTCTGAGCAAGAGCAAATGGTCCACTTGGTCCTGTGAAAGAAAAAAGAGCAAGGCGCTTAGAGGAAAGCATCCTTCTACCAAAATAGCTGTCATACAGATATATTCCTAATCAATCAGGCTTTACCACCAGCCCTGTAGTTTGCAAAAAACATCTCCGTGTTATATTTATTTTAAAGACTTAAAATATTGTTCTTTTACAGAAACTGGTTGTAATTAGGCAGCCCAACATAATCAAATGACAAGACTGTCAGTCTCTAGACTATTTCATTAGCAATGATCATTTTACAATGTCTGGCAATCAATTTGTTTCTCTGAGGTAGTGAAGTTCAAGAAACCATATTAGTTTACTTTCGAGAACAGGGAATTGTGTCAATATATTGCATTTTTATCTGCATAACAAATACATTAAAAAAAACAGAATAATCTTCACTCAAACATCCAATACATTACGAATATTAGGAATTATTATAAAAAGGATTATTTCTATCAGGTTATATAGCACACCACTGAATTATACACTAACATAACTATGATCTGTGTTTGGTCAACTTGACACCACAGATGAGGTGGATTCAGCTAATATGGTACCTATTCTATTTCAATCATCTCAAATTTTACTTTTTTGACCATAAGCAAGACACAACAGGTTCTTCAAGATTCCATTCTTTCTTACAATAAGAGGTATTACCTGAATCAGTGAAATTAAAGGTGAAATTACAATAGTGATTCCTGTTGCCAGGACTGCTGGAAGCTGGTAGCACAGGGATTTCCCTGCGCCAGTGGGCATGCATACAAAGACATCCTTCTCCCCTGCAAAGGCAACAGTGCAGCAATCAAGGCTTTTTAAAACACAAATATATTTATCTGCATTTCTGGGCTGGGGGCGTGGACACTAAGTGTTTTGGGGAAAGCTGATAACATTTACAAAATATCTATATAAACATTGTGCTGGCAAGTCAATAAATTGATAGTTAACAGAAAAATAGAACACTTGTTACACAGAATCATAGACTGTAGAGTTGGAAGGGACTCCGAGGGTCACCTAGTCCAACACCCTGAAATGCTGGAATCTCAACTAAAGCATCCGTAACAGATGGCCATTCAACCTCTGCTTAAAAACCAGGAGAGTCCACCACCTTCTGAGAGAGTCCATTCCACTGTCAAACAGCTCTTCCTGCCAGAATGTTATTTCTGATGTTGAGTCAGAATCTCCTTTCTTGTGACTTGAAGCCATTGGTTCAGATCCTATCCTCTAGCTTGCTCCAGAAAGCCCTGCACTAGGAAAAATGCAATGGGTACCCCACTTCTGTTCATAGCCAATAGACTGTGAAGGCCAAGAAAGATAGGGATGGGAAATGTCCCCTTTCTCAATTTTTCTAGGTTTCCACATCTCTAATGGCCAAGCATGGGCATATGCCAGCCATCAAATGACAACACAAAACCCAGCTTTGTAGTAGACTATGCCTCAATGCACAGCCATACAAATGAACATAATGAAATGGCCAAAATCTGAATGTGGAATGTCTCTTTCAGCTCCCAGCTGGAAAGCACGACACCTGTATGCTATCTTTGGCTGCTTCTACTTCACAAGCACCAATGCCAGTGTCACACAGTAGATCATGCTTTAAGGTTCCGTGCAACTGTTCCAGGTTTAAAGCTTTGCTCAGCTTAAGGCAACTCACTTTCAGACAACATACTGCAAAACATAAACACAATTAATTGACAGTAAACGTCAGTGAACAGAATGAGGCTTACTTCCCAGCAAGCACATTTAGCACCGTGCTGCAAACCTAATAACCCAAAAAATAAAGGAATTGCCATAACCAAAGCAGTAGATTAGGACACAGTGAATTTAAGAGACTGAGAGTGCAACCCATGTTTGCTTGGAAGTATACCTCATTGTTCAATAGAGCTTATTCCCTTGGGCAGCAGCCTTGGCCAAGCATTCACTTGTTCCCTGTAAGAGACATTTCACTGAGGAATTGATAATGGATTGTAAGCCCTATGCTCCTTTGGGAAGAAGAGGGTATACATTTAATAAAGTAGGGCTGGCTAACTTGTGGCCCCACAGGTGCTGTTGGATTTGCAGCTTCTATCAATAACACCTGGAGGGCCACAGGTCAGCCACTCCTGCCTAAAATTTGACCACAACACCTTCAGCTATAGGGGAAGTATATTTATACAAATTGTATAGCCTTTGTACCGTATAGTGTAATTAATGCAAACTCCAAAGCAGAAATCTAATTTCTGTAAGTATCATTTGTCATCGTATTTTTTACATTTGCAGAAATGAAGGAACTGTGGTGTTTTGAATAGTATGTGAAAAAGACAAAATTATTCAACCCTACTACATATTGCAAAAACGGGTATTTGCAATTTACCTTTCACAACAGTTCTGGTTGCACTTTCCTGCAATGAAGTCTTGAAAGTGTCAAATCCAAACACTTTTTTCAGAGTTCGTTGAACTCTATCTTCTAGTCTTGAGGAAGAGCAGTTACTCATCTTATAAGGAGATACTGGAGATAATTCAAAATAGAGATAAGGAGAGGATCGTTGTGCAATTATGATTGTCTGCTACAATCCATCATTTAGCCACAAGGGGCTTCTCAGGGCAGGCGGAGCGGAACAGCCCCATTTAGATATACCCAAACTTACTTATGTCCACACTTTCCTTTTGGCACAAACATCTACATTCAGCTATGTTCTCTAATCCAATAAAACAGAAAGAGTTCTCGAAATGCCTGCGCCATCTGAAAAGCCGAAGATGTAGGCGCAGCAGAAGAGGACGCTACCTGAAAGCAAAAATACCTCTCATATCAGAACACACTGCTTCTGATTAGCTGCTGCGAGTCACTTTTGGGCTGGTTTTCTTCGCTCCTACTAATCCTACAGCTGCTTTTAAAGTTATGTTACTTCCTCTGAAGCCTGACCTCAATCCCATTTATACATCCTTTTAACCCAACTCACATGCCAGCTCTTTCAGAAGAAAGAAACTGAAACAATTCCTAAGCACAAAGGTAAATCAGCTCCCACCCTTACTGTGTAGCCAGAACACTACGATTCTTAACGACCCTCTTCCTCCTGAATTTTACTAGAGTTGCAAGGCCTTCCCTGACCAGTTTCCGTTTCCTTCTTCCCAAATAATGTCCAGCTGCCCAGAACTACCACAGATAAAGCGGGAGGGCGAAAGAGCGCGGACTACGTGGAGAGCCTCTCAGCCCGGCTTTCGACTTCGCGCGCACTCCAACACCCTCCGTCTCAGAGAAGGCAGGCCACTGGCTCCCAGCTACGCCTCTGTCAGGGTGGGTGTTTTAGTTTTACAACATCGTCCAACGACACTCCTGGGCCCTTCCGAGTCGCCGCTTACCGCCCACCCGCCACCCGCGCGCTCAGGCAGTTTCCGGCAGCGGCACGGATTCGGCGCGCGGCGAGATGACGTCCGCGACGGCTTCCGTTCGCGAGGCTATAAGAGCGGTTGCCGCGGCAACAGCATTTTCCCCAGCAGCCCGCCTCGTGCGTCATTCGCGCGCACCGGAAGGCAATTCGCTCGCGACGCTCGGATAGAAGAAAATGGCGGCGGCGAAGAAAAGCGTCCTCTCTTCTTTGGCCGTTTATGCTGAGGATTCCGAGCCCGAATCCGATAGTGAGGCCGGTGGAGCGGCCAGCGAGCGAGGTGCAGGGACGACGGGTGAGGCCTTGGCGGGACTATGGCGGGGCGGGGAGGGAATTAAGGAATAAGGAATGGTGTCTTTTTTTACGCCGGGGCCTCCACGGAAAGCTGGTCTGTGGTGGGAGGATATTCCCCGCCCCGCCGCTGTTCGGTAAAGGGGGGAAATAATCACGCTTCTCTGGGATGATGGAAGACGACGTGGCGTTTCGCCAAGCAGCATCTTCTGCCTAGCGTTACTTTGTGTTTAGGGCATATAGTGAGGCTACCTAAAATTTACGTGACGGATTTACGTATAAGCTAAACAAGCTATAGCTAGGGCCCCACTCTCTGGGGGGGGGGGGCAAAAAAAATTAAAGGAAAAAAACTGGATGTAAATTTCCAAAATATAAGATAAAAAACAAATAAAATAAAACCTACATACAGCAACAGTGTTTTGTGTTGTGTAGGCTCCTATTATGTGCTAATGGCTTTAGATACCTATTAGGTCCATAAATTATCATATAGCATATATTCAAGACACCAAAAAGTCACAATTTGTTGTTGACAAAGGACAGCTGGACATATAAAGGGTCCCATTACCTTCAGAAGCTTAGGGCCTCATCAAATCTAAATCTGGCCCTGACGTAACTTATTGTTATTCGCTGCTGTATTGTGGCTGGCAGTGGATCCCAAAAGCTTGGGCCGTTGGCTCTTCCTTGGCATTAGTGCTTGATATCCTTTTAAACGGAGATGCTTGGCATTAGGCATTCTACTTATAAAGCATATGTTGCGCCACTGATTTATTTCCCCATCCCCAAGCCTACGCAGGACCTTAGTCCCCTCCCCCCGTGATGTCTGCCTTCCAGCCAGTTTTCTTTCTCAGAGGTGTATTTCAAATGCTTATGATTCAAAACTAGCTTCTGATGTGCAGCCACTGTGGAACCTTTATATGTAAAATGTGCTGTTAGCTTTTTAACAACAACAACAACAACTGCAATATGCAGCTGCAGTGTTTGATTTTATGAAAGCTGTGAATTGTGTGCCCAAATTTGTAATTATTGGGGCCATCACACAATTTTAAGGGCCCCTTGCAGTTGTTTGTGTGTGTGTATGTGTATTAATTGTTATAAGAATTCTAATGTCTCAAATATAGATTAAATGTTCATAAATGTAACCACGTATATAAACCACATATCTAAAATAGTACAGGACAGCAATCCTGAAGCCATTTTGTCCCTTCCAAAAGGGCCTCAAATATTTCTCTGCAGTTGGAGGGAGTTTTCCAATTGTCTTTTCACCTCCAAATCCACTTAATAAAACTACCTGTAATGTAGTGGCTTACATCTCCCAGCAAATTCAGTCTGGCAAGAATCTGTTAAGGTGAGCAGGCTATCAGGAACTATAGTATTTATCAACTCAAAAGGAATGATCTGGCTACCCAGGCAATGCAATCAGGAAGATGTTATCAGATACCTTGATAAACAGGAGAGAAGTTGCACTCAGACTTCTGCTGGAGACTGCCTTCTTCTGTGATGTATGTATGATGTTTTTGGGGTGGTTTTGGGCTAAGGGGTGTGCAGTTTCAAAAGTCTTTATAGGGGCTTGCACACCTTTATTCTGGGTCTCTTTCACCTCCTTGCAAGTGTGACTCTGTTGCAACAGATAATGAAAGATATTCTTTGCTTTCACTGGATCCTTGCCTCCATCTATGCATCTCTGACCAATCATGGACTATGGGGACTCAGTCCCTTGGGGAGTTGGGCAGCAAAAGCCAACCCCCCATTTTTCTACAAAAACACATGCTATTGTTAAATCTGTATCAATCTCTTGCATATGTTTCCACTGGAATACCAAATGATCACTAACTTGATTTTTTTATTTTTTCCCCCTTGTTTTGGATGACGTAGAAGAAAAAGGAGGTCTGGTGTCAGAAGGCTACGGAGAGGATGACTTCAGTAAAATGGAGGGAGAGGAGGATGGTTATGATGACGATGAAGATGAAAATAGTAGACAATCGGTAGGTATATAATTATATTAATGCTGAGTCTATACGAAATTCTTTTGTGCCTTCCACTTTGTAATAGATTTGCCTGACTCCTCACCTCTTATTTCTTTCTCTTATTGCTATGTATGTGCTTATGGAGTTATAGCTTAAAATGTCAGAAAAGTAAATCTTAACACATCTGGAAGTATGACTTTTCATAGAACTGTAGAGTTGGAAGGGACAACTGGGGTAATGTTGTCCAACCCCCTGCAAGGCAGGAATCCTTTACCCAAAGTGGTGCTTGAACCCACAACCCTGAGATTAAGAGTCTCCTGCTCTACCAACAAGCCATCCCTTCAGTCTTATAGTGGGCTCTTTGGCATCCACTTGTTACAGTAACATTCTCCTATTTAAGTTGTCAGTTCTTTTACTAAGTGGTCTGTACCCTAGACAAGTTGTAAAAGAAACTTAGTTGTATTTCCTCCCCTCCAATTTTAAGGAACAACATTATCTCAAATAAGCTGTTAAAATGTATGACGAAAGATGTCTGAGAAGGGTCTGTGGTAGACCTGTAGTCTAAGATATGCTGGAAAGGTGTTCCTTTACACCATATATTTTATTACAGTAGTAAATTCCATTTCCTGCACTGTGTGAGAAATGTCTAGTACACAAGAAGATGAAGTGGGGCGGGGGGGGAATCTACAATACAGTTTATATTAAAATAGTTGCTTGATGATGTTGGCAATATTAGCATGACAGACATTTGAAATGTCTTGTCCTATACCTGGTTTGTGTGTGTCGGGTTGTAACTGTATAAATTTCATCCTGTAACCTGTCAGAGGGAGAGGACAATTTGCTCCAGTTGTTTTGCAGTAATGGTTTCTTGCTGGGTTAAGATTTTTTAGCATTGTGCTTATCATTATCTGTAAAATTGCTAGAGCAGACACTCAGATGGCATTTTGTAAGAGGTTACTGTGATGAACATTTCTCCAAACTTTTTTTCATTTTATAGTACTTGTTTCACCTTTCACAGCCTTTTCCAACAGAAGTCATGTGCATTTCTGTTTGTTTTTACTAGTTTGCAAGAAGCAAAGTACTACTGCAGTATATGTGGCTTCCTGTCTGCATACCTGTTCCTTTTGTCTGGTGACAACTTTGCATATGTATATTGTTCAGAAATAAAAATTAACAACATTCTTAGAACCAAACACATTAAAAAGTAAATATCTTGAGGACAGTTTTTCAGACTATGGTCTAATTCCCTATTTTTCTGTATGGTATTCACTTTAGCTTGAATAACAGTGCCTATAATTGGTATTATTTTACCTGAGAACAAAGCATGTTTGTATTGAGTGGAATTTTTATTTAATGTTTTACATAATACAGCAACTAAGCTTTTGTTCTTGTTAAAACTTAGGTAATCCTTTTTATTGGGAATGGGATGAGGGTAAACTACCGTTTTATAGTCTTGGTTGATTTTTCTTTTGGTGTCTGTGAAATGGCAATTGTTCAGTATACAACAGTCTCATAGAGAACCTGCTAGGTCTACATCAGTTGTAAAAAGATGCACAAAATGGGTGTGGTAATAATTTTGGTCTCTGCTGCTGAAAGAGAATGGAAACTTTGGGACTTCATTGAATTGTTCTTTAGCAATTATCAGAGCCAACAGATTGGTAATGTAACTTCAAGGCAATACTTGTATGCTGATCTTCTTAAATACTGTCTTCCCCATTCTCACATTGATTTCATCTTCACCAACAATTTGGTTTGTCCTCTTCAAAGGTGTGGATTTTGTTGGTTTAAGAGCATAAGAGCCTGCTGGAATGGGCCAAAGGACCATCTTGTCCAACACAGTGGGCAACTAGATGCCTATAGGAAGCCCACTATCAGAACCTGAGTGCAACAGCACTCTCCTTTCCTGAGATTCCTCTGAACTGGTATTCAGAGGCCTACTGCATCTGACACTGGAGGTAGAACATAGCCTTATCCTCCATGAATTTGTCTAATTTTCTAAAGGCATCCAAACTGGTAGCCATCACTGGGGATGTGGGAGCGAGTTCCATTGTTTAGGTATGCACTGTGTGAAAAAGTATTGTCCTGACTCTTCTAAAATTGAGCTTCATCCATGAGTGTCATGAGAGGGCAAAGAACTTCTCTGCATCTACTTTCTCCATACTATGCATCATTTTATCAACTTCTTATTCACCTTTTCTCTAGACTAAAAAGTTCCATATGTTGTAACCTTTCCTCTGTCCCCTTGGTGATGCCCCCCCCCCCCCCGGAACCTTTCTAATATCTTTTTTGAGATAACACAACCAGAACAGTACACTGGTTTCTTAGCATGGTTGCACCATATAATGAATGGCATTTTTATATTGGCAGTTCCGTATTCAGTCCTTTTACTAATGATTCCTAGCATAGTATTCATCATCTTCTCAGCTGTCACACACTGGATTGATGTTTTTACTAAGCTATCCACTACAGCCCCAATGCCTTATTCTTGGTCAGTCACTGCCAGTTCAGACTCGGTGAGCATACACTGTGTTTTGGAGGTCACAAAATCAGAGAGGTGTTAATAATTGCTAGCGTGTTTAGATCTCATGTTTGTTCACTCTTTATGAACAGTCTTTGTATAAAAGAGTGGCAGTGAATAATTTCCGCTTGACACAAATTTCTTTTCCTATCTGTGCTGGCCTTTTTGTTGTCTGTTTTTCGACAAATCAAATGTTATATGGGCATTTGGAATCTATACCGACACCTGTTTGATTAGATGTAGAGATGTCTTGTTAATGTCATATTTTATCTGAATTGATGTTTTATCAGAGGGAGGGAAAAGCATTGCAAGAACAGCTCAGCTGAATGCAGAGGTGAAGCTGGGCTATTTAATGCAAGTCCCTTGCAACACATGCAAGAACTTGCTGAGCCCACTCTTTAAAGCTTAATCCTGTAAATTCTTTGTCTTATAGGAAGATGACGATTCAGAGACTGAAAAACCTGAGGCTGATGACCTAAAGGTATTTGGAAGAGTGTTATGATGGGAATACAGTGTAAATAGCATGATTAGTTCATCATTTGCCTCTCATATTGTTGACAAGCTGGTGCAAAATCTTTATGTGGGGTCTGTGGGAAGGAACTCTTGAAACACTTAGAAATAGCCCAGATTTTGAAAGGCTACTAAAATGACTTTCTAGAACAAATTAGGTAACTCACTACATTATGAAATATTTTGCATGGGTTCTGGTGCCTATTGGCTGAAAACCTAGTCCATTCAACGAACATATTGTGAATGATCAGATTGCAATTTTTCTAAGAGTACATGTGTACTTATTTGAATCTATACAGTGTTTAATACTGCCTTGTGTTTAATAAATACTGGAGTATGTGGTGAGCCATGCTGCCCAGAAAGTTCTCGTGTTGCCACCCTCCAGACCTAATATGGAGGAACAACATAAAGATGGGCCTCAAATGATTAATGCAGATTCCGGGATGGTTTATATGGGGGAGAGGTGGTCCTTCAGGTATTGCGGTCCTGAGCTGTTTAAGACTTTATAGGTCAAAACCAGCAGTTCAGATTGGGCCCAAAAAATAATCGGCAGCCAGTGCAGTTGGGCCAGGATTGGTGTAATATGCTCAAACTGTCACGTCCCAGTGAGTGACACTGGGGATTTGGTCATAGCAACTGATTTTTGGCACGGGGGTGGGGAGTTGTTGTAAATAATTAAGTGCTGCAGAGTAGACGTAAGAGGATGCCACTGGCGTGTGTTCCCGCCTTCCTCCTCTCTCCTGTATGAATTTGCTTATCTTTTCCAATTTTGCCCCAAGTGTAGCATTGCAGTATGTACTGATGCCAAGCAAAGTTCAGAGATGATTTGCAGACCCTGATACAAGCCTGCTGGTTTGTACTAACCTTGGTGAAAATGTTAGAGCAAACCAAGGAAAGGAAAAGCAGGAGCAGTTTCACAGTATGCTTCCTGTCTTCTGACCATCATTTAGCAGTGTCTGTGCCATGTCAGTGTGATCAGCTATCGTTGTATGTTGAATTGTGCTGTGGCCAGAATCTTGGGCATTCCTTGCATTGACATGCTAAACTTTATGCTGACTAGGTAAACTATACTGATGGTACACTAATGTAATATTTTCCACATAAACTCTTAAGTTTATTTTGTGATTTTTTAAATATAAATCTACTCATTTACATAATATTCTAGCATGGTGTTGTCTGTTCTGTCAGTAGTTCTCCAGAGCCTTGGGCAAGCTCCTTTCCCGCTATCCACTAATTTAAGTAGGGTTTTTCATTTTTTCTGGAGGGCCAGGAATGGAACCTGGGACCTTTTGCATGACAAGCATGTGCTGCACTACATGTGCCATATAGATACTACATTGAATGTATGGAAGCATCAAAGTTATGCCATACTAGCGGTGTTAGAAACACAGATATATAAGCTAGGTGCCAAATGGCTCTTTAAACCAGGGTTACAGTCACCAGAAGGGAATGCCTAGTTGCCATTTGGGGGCCTGATGGCTCAAAAGTCTTCCCCGCCAACCATACAACTTTTTTGGTCCCTGAAATTCATTCTGATTGTGCAGATCAAATAAAACGAATAGAATTGTACAGGATGTGTTGCTAGTGTATGAAAGCAATCAAGATCCAAGGATCCCCAGGGATGCACCTCCAGGTGGTGATTTCAGGTGCCATCCTGGCTCCCAGGAATCTTCACTCGGTCGCAAGTGGCCGATAGCAAGGGCAAAATGTGCCTAGCGTATATTAAATGCTGTGTACCACATTCCAAAACTACTTCATATATACAAACAGGCCGTTTAAATGGTCTCGTTTGGCCTCCTACATTCTGTGTAATGTGGTCGTGCAATACTGTTTTTCTCTTCCTGTCATAGCCCCTCACTGAATCAAATACCACTTTTTATAGTTTGTGCATGTGGAGCACTGTGTGTGGCCTTTGAGTTACTTCCTGTCCTGTAGTTACGTAACACTTTCTGGGCTGGTTACCTGATTATCTGTTATGCAGTACAACTTAAATCTCTTAATTTAGATACAATGACTGAACTGGAGGCCCCTCGACTGACTTTAGGTCCAGTGTTGGACCATTTCGATTGTATACTCCCTGCTGATGTAGATAGATTCCTCCAAGTTGGTAGGCCCACCACCTGCCTCCTTGATCCGTGCCTGTCTTGGCTGATTAGGGAGTGTCCAGATGTCGCGCGGACCCCCCTGGTTGAAATTATCAATTTGTCCCTTGACACGGGGACATTCCCAGGGGAACTGAAGGTAGCAGTAGTGTGTCCACTCTTAAAGAAAACTTCATTAGATCCCTTAGACCTATCCAATTACCACCCAGTTTCAAATCTTCCATATCTGGGTAAGGTAATTGAGAGAGCGGTTGCTGAACAGCTTGGTAGGTTTCTGGGGGAAACATCGGCTTTAGATCCATTTCAGTCCGGTTTCCGTCCTGGTTTTGGGACCGAGACGGCTCTGGTTGCCCTAACAGATGATCTCCGTAGACAACTGGATCGAGGCGGGTCAGGACTGGTGATCCTTTTAGATTTGTCAGCAGCCTTTGACATGGTCGATCATGATCTTCTGGACCACCGCCTCGCCAACGTAGGGATATAGAGCATAGCCCGTAACTGGCTGTGCTCCTTTATCTCTGGTCGGGGACAGAGGGTGGCACTAGGGAGGGAAATGTCGTCGTGCCATTCCTTGGTGTGTGGAGTGCCGCAGGGCGCAATTCTCTGCCCGATGCTTTTTAACATCTTTATGCACCCCCTTGCCCAGATTGTCCGGAGCTTTGGGCTGGGCTGTCACCAATATGCTGATGACACTCAGCTCTATCTGCTGATGGATGGCCACACCAACTCGGCCCCGAACACACTGACCAGATGCTTGGAAGCTGTGGCTGGATGGTTTCGTGGGAGCCGATTGAAACTAAATCCTTCGAAGACAGAGGTCCTATGGCTGGGTCGGGATGGCATGGGGATGAGGGACCAACTCCCTTCTCTTGTGGGGGCCCAATTAGTGCCATTGCCTCCGTTAAGAGTTTGGGTGTAATCCTTGATGCCTCCCTTTCCATGGAGGCGCAAGTTACAGCAACAGCCAAGGCGACATTTTTCCACCTTCGCCGCATCAAGCAGTTGGTCCCTTACCTTTCCCGCCCCGACCTGGCCACAGTGATCCATGCGACGGTCATCTCCAGGCTTGACTACTGTAATTCGCTCTGCGCGGGGCTGCCCTTGAAGCTGTCCCAGAAACTCCAGCGGGTGCAGAATGCTGCAGCGAGGCTCCTCACGGGGTCTCTGCCATGGGAGCATATTCACCCAGTGCTTTTCAAGCTGCACTGGCTCCCGGTGGAGTACAGGGTCAGATTTAAGGTGCTGCTTTTGACCTTTAAAGCCCTTCACGGCCTAGGACCCTTGTACCTACAGGACTGCCTCTCCCGGTATGCCCCATGGAGAGCCTCAAGGTCCATAAATAGCAACACCCTAGTGGTCCCGGGCCCTAAGGAAGTTAGATTGGCTTCAACCAGAGCCAGGGCCTTTTCAACTCTGGCTCCGGCCTGGTGGAACGCTCTGCCTCATGAGACCAGGGCCCTGCAGGATCTTATTTCTTTCCGCAGGGCCTGTAAGACAGAGTTGTTCCACCTGGCCTTTGGCTTGGAGCCAATTTGATTCCCTCCCTCTCTTTCTTTTTTCTTTTTCTTCTCCTCCTGTGATGAGGCTACATTTTAATATTTTAATGTTTCAATATTTTGATGTTGTATTTAAATTTTGTTTTTAAGTTGTAATCATTCAACTTGTTTTTATTATTGCTTGTAAGCTGCTCTGAGCGCCCTTTGGCTGGGGAGTGCGGGGTATAAATAAAAATTATTATTATTATTAACTAGGTTGAGAGTTCTTCCTTATACAGTGGTACCTTGGGTTACATACGCTTCAGGTTACAGACTCCACTAATCCAGAAATAGTGCTTCAGGTTAAGAGCTTTGCTTCAGGATGAGAACAGAAATCGTGCTCCGGCAGCGCGGCAGCAGCAGGAGGCCCCATTAGCTAAAGTGGTACTTCAGGTTAAGAACAGTTTCGAGTTAAGTACGGGCCTCCGGAACGAATTAAGTACTTAACCCGAGGTACCACTGTATTCAGAATCACGCTGTCTGTTCAATAGTACACCAGAAGGTGTCACTGTTCTTCCAGGTGGATTTATCAAAGTTAAGCTAGTATAGGTTGTATTAAGCTGCTGTGTGTTCATAAAAGGCTACCACAGTATTCTTTCATTTTTGGGACTTGTGCTGCTCTTGTCGATGTTGCTATAGATAATATAGTTGAAACTTGACAGAAGACTTTACAGCCACATTGCATATGTGAACAGCATGTTCCAGTAAGGTTTTCAAGTTCAGACATTGATGTCAAACAGTGATTTCCTCTTAAGCCCCAGGGCAAGGCTAGTTAAAGTAGTCCAGAGTCTTTTTAAAAAGGAGGCTCTGGATAGAGCAGAAAGATGTCACAATTCCTTTGGCAATATTACCTTGATACAGAAAAAATGCAGCAGTAATAAACTACAATCACTGTATAGCTTCCGTAGTGTCAATATGGGGGTGTTATAGAACCATTTTCTCCCTAGATATTTCTTTAATGTAATTATTTTCAACTATGGGCAAAGAAATGGAGACAATATTTCAACTAGCACTTAGACTGAGATATGTTAAATGCAATGTAGAGCGCATGTTCTAGATAATGTTAATATAAAAGAAAATTATAAACTGCTTTATTAGTGGCATATACCATATTTTTCTGTGTACTAGGTTTTCCCTCTAAAAAATAATGTCAAAAATTAGGGGGCATCTTATTCACGGATAGTGCCAATGGTGGATTTTCTTAAATCTGAGTCCCTAAAAATCGGGGACGTCTTATACATGGGGGTGTCTTACACACGAAAAAATACGGTAATTCCATATTGGCTAAATCTGTCCAGATAAGGGCAGTAAGTGTTGGGTGTATGGCTAGTAATGGGGCTGACTTTATTCATGTATGGTGGAAATGCCCAATTATCAATCTTTCCAGGAAGAAAACTGCATATGTAATTTCTCTCATAATTCATAAGAAGAGTCCTGCTGAATCAGGCCAAAGGCCCATCTGGTTTCTAAATGTTCTTACAGTGGCCAAATGCCTATCACAAAATGCTATGATACGCTCTCTGGTTCCCCTTTCCCTGTGGCCTTTCCTCCCCCAGAATAGCAGTGACAATGACCTGTGGATGAATACAAACTAGGATTCAAAGCTCAGGAAGGTGGGTAGCATTAAAAGGCAAGTTCCAGTCTTATTTTACCCCTCAAAAAATCCCGCTATGTTTCCTTAGCTCTGGAAATCTTTGTATCAAGGAAGTAAAGTATTTTCCATGAGCTTGAATAGACTGTGTGTGCGCTCCATATAATGATAGAGAGTTTTGATATCTTGGAAAGAAAACCTGTATTTTGCTACTAGTGTGCCCTGGGCTAATTAAGAAACTTGCATACAGTTACTTATTTTGCATACTTCTTTTGGTCATAGGAAGGGGAAATGAGCTTTGCCGAGTTCTGAAGCCCCCCTAGAAGAAACACTTTCCCTGTGGCATTTAAGACTTTCCTCATAATTTCAAGTTTGCTTTTACAGCCATAAAGACTATATACTTTTTCATAAAGGTTTGCTTGACCCCCCCACCCTCAGTAAGTATTATCATTTATTTAAAGTATTATATGAACTGTGCCAATGCAACACTTCCCTGGGTGTAATCCAGTTGTTGCTTTGTGCTCACAAGAGGGGTTTTAATCCAGCTGAGGCTTCAACTAGTGGAAGAGAAAAGGAGTTGATTTTTTGACTGTTCATCCTGCAACTCTTTGTGCTACTTTCCATTCTGTTCTGGAGGGTCTACCACCCGGAGCTGATTTTCAGTGGGTTCTGGGAAGTGGAATCTTCATGAGTATAAGGGCAGCAATTTGTTTCCACCTCTCCTTTTTAAAGAAATTGTCCCAGTTAGACTTCTAAAAGAATTCCAGTCACTGAATGCATTGAATAAAAAAATCTAAAAAGGTAACAGCAGAATATGCACCTTAAAGTGTGTGTCTTGCAGAGGACTCTCCTCAAGGATTCTGTTTCTAAGTTTGAATATAGGTAAACTACAAGAGGTAACAAGTGAGACCATTCCTTCTGCTTAAGTCATCCAGATAATGTTCACAGAGGAATAATTAACTTTGCCCATGATTACTAATCTGACTATGCTGATATGAGCAAGTTAATACACAGTGCCCTGCCCTTTTCAAGTGAGCCTTTGACACTTGCCTGTGTGCTTTAAAACACTTAAACTCCTTTGAGGAGCTCCTTCTCTTTATGCCCCTTTCCAGATTTGGTTAGAATGCTGCCATGTTAGAGTTCTAAATTTAAACAGTATTGAATTTGCAACACCAAAATACTTTTTCCTGAACATTACTTCCAGTGATACTCTAAGAAGCCATGTTGACTTCTCACTGTAACTTTGGTATTTGGCTTTAGCTCTGGTGGGAGTTCAGTGTAAGATGTGAAAGATCAGGTTGTTGCCATACCCTCTCTCCTCTTTACCCCCATTCCCAATGGCATGCTGCTTTTGTATAGTACAGTCATGATCTTTGACAAAAAGGCATGAGGTTTGAACTGTCTCTTGCCCTTTGGAAAGAGCGAAGATTGTCTAGAATCCTTTATTCTGTTGTCGGATCCTGTGCCAAGGACTAAAGTCTGCAAATAATGGATTGTAAATTGCCACCCCTGGTCTTTAACAGGAAGAGGTATTCAGATCGTTACTTAAAATGACAAGAGGAATGAGGGGCACAGTGTGAGTCATGCACTGTCTATTGTGAGTCAAGATTAGAAAACCACTGATAGGCTATAGGGATCACCAACTGCCAGTCTCTGAGTCAAATTATCCTACCAGCTACCAATCCAGATGCAAGAGGGGTATAGGTGGAAATAGGAGATGTACTAGTAGAACTTTCTAGCAGGTCATTTGTGGGAGTAGGGTTACCACCTTGGCACAAGCATTTGCTTCTCAAAGTAACCCTCTTAGCAAAACCTAGTTGGTGTCTGGTCTAGAAAGTAACATACGGTTGTCCCTCATGCATCTAAGCCTAATGTAGTGGGTTTAATGGTTAATCCAAACAGGAGCAAAAAAAAAGGAAACCCAGAACAAAGTCTCTGTCTCCTTCATTACTTCTTTCTGCCCAGTTATTTATACTATAAAAGTGAATGAGGGAATGAAACTTCCTAGGACCTTTGTAGAACAGCTTTGGTTAGCTGTTTGGAAGATGAGACATGTCCATTACGTGTCTGCTTGTTCTTCCCACAGCAGGAGTGCAAGCTGCAACAAACCCCTGACTCCCTCAAGTGTTGAATACCACAGATTGTTGACATGGGTGTGGTGTGACTTTCAAATGGGAGGGAAGGGTATTTTAGATTGTGTTAGCTGCCAAAAGAAAAAAAAACTACCCTTCCCAAATGCCCCTTGCTGAGAGACCTGATGACTTGAGCTAGATGGGCACTGTTCTTTCGTTGCTATTTCTTGACTGTTGACATTCTAGCATTTTTAAAAAACCAAAACCATTTTATATATTAAGCATGTCAAAACCTATCTTAGGACCCAGGTTAAAAGTGAACACTGCATCTAGTCAGTTTCCGCATCTCACGTCATCAAAAAAGTTACCTCTCTGCAGGAAATGGCTGTTCCCAGGGCAAATTGAGACTTGTCAGACCATGAGTGTGTTCATCCACATGCCACTAAGCAAAAGTACCATAGAGGTGAGTGCCTCTTGTGAGAAAAGGTCTTGGGATGAATTCAGTTGCTTTTTTAATCCAAAGAAGCTCTCTAGTGCATGGGTAGGCAAACTAAGGCCTAATCGGCTTTTAAATCCGGCCCGCAGACAGTCTGGGAATCAGTGTGTTTTTACATGAGTAGAATGTGTCCTTTTATTTCAAATGCATCTCTTGGTTATTTGTGGGGTCTGCCTGGTGTTTTTCATGAGTAGAATGTATGCTTTTATTTAAAATACATCTCTGGGTTATTTGTGGGGCATAGGAATTTGTTCATTTCCCCCCCCCCAATATAGTCCGCCCCCCCATAAGGTCTGAGGGAAAGTAGACTGGCCCCCTGCTGAAAAAGTTTGCTGACCCCCTCCTCTAGTGCTTCCTAAGGAGAGGCGCTTTTCCTTTTCTGTTTAAGCCAGCCACTAGTAGCTGTTCAAATACTGTACATTACTAGTGAGTGGGATTTCTGTTCAAGATATGGAGAGCATGCTGCATGAAGCATTAATAGCAACTAGCTGAAAATTGAGAAACCCTGGGGAACTGTAGTGTTGGCACCCTGCCTGAGCAAGACAGTAAAAACCTACATACTTAACAAAATTCAATTGTGGCATACCATTTTCTGACTAAAAGCCAGAAAGTATCTCATAGAATCTTAGAGTTGGAAGGGATCTTGAGGATCATGTAGTCCAGCCCCCTGCAATATAGGAATGTGCAGCTGGTCCCTTACAGGGATCAAACCAGCAACCTTGGTATTGTTAGCACCACACTCTAACCAACTGAGGTATCTAAACAGTGGGCCGGCAAATAAACTCTTCCTTAGTCTAGATGTTGAACAAGACAAACAAATCAAGCAGGGTACAGGGAGGGGATGTTGTTGGTAATTGTATAGTAGAAACTTCATATGCAGCTTATTTAGAAAATCTTAATAAAATGTTCATTGGGGGGACGGAAACGATGAGCCACAATTTCTGTAGCTGCTTTCAGCTCTGAAGCTCAACAACTTTGGGGTAAACTTAAGTCCTGAAAAAAGCTAGTAGTTGATGACAGGTGACTGGACCTGACATTCAGTGTTAGGGTATTTAAGGACTCCCGTGTGTTTAAAAACACTTTCATGATTCAGTTGACTTCTGGTTTGCCAAATGTTGTTTGTTTGGGTGCCTACCGTACTAGTTCAGTGGATTTATACAGTGTTAATATAGCTTAAAGGTAAAAGGCAAAATTAAAGACATCTGCTTTCTGTTATGTTAAGATCAAAAAGATTACAATCTGAGGAGTTGACTCTTCATATATTGATGTTCCTTCCTGTTTGCAGCTGGGATAATATTTTTTTTGTTCTCGCCTCCGCAAAATAAATATAGTTCTCATGCAGGAATCTGGAAAAAGGGGTTTATTTACAGAGGTATACATGAATTTCTCCCTTTACCTTTAGCAGAATCCACAATGTAACCTGCTCAGCTTCCTAATATTTCCCCCCAGAAAAAAAATAGTTTCTCATCTTAAGTTTGGCATTTGTCCTACGGGCTTGTCACGAAGCTGGCAAACAGGATACATCCATGGGAAGTGCGGTTTGTTTTGGGCCTTCTCCCAGTATTTTTCCTCCCACCCTCATTGTTGGACAGGAAAACTTCCTGCTTTTACTCTCCCACAGCTCCATGCAGACTGAAATTGGCACAATGTATTGAAGTTAATGTATGCCATATAATTTTCAATAGATGAAAATAGTTTGTCATGCAATTCTCACCTTGCATGTTTGTTTCCTGAATCCTGGTGGATTTCTAGATTGGATTGAGGGTTCTTGCCCTTCCTCTGAAGTAATAATCTGTTATTAAATTGTATATATGTACAGCAATTTACATATACATTAAAGCCAAGAAGTCTGACAGGTTGAGAACATTAGCTGCTTACAGGCCTTTGTATATGTTCCTCATCTTGTATAGATGTTGCCTTTTAATCAGTCAAGTTTTGAACATGTAGATTATACTTTTTAACATTTTTTATTATCGCTAGCATATCTTCCTTTTTAATAGAAAATTTTCTGGATAGTCTGAAGAACATCTCCTGGTGAGTTAGCAAAGAACTATGTAAACGACAAACATTGCCATTATCATATCTAGAACTCCTGTCCTGTTTCTTCTGTTCATGTGGGAAAGTGCAGAAAGCTGTACAACTCCCTGTGGGCCACAATTGATAGGTTGGTGAGACCACCCACTTGTCAATCACCTATTGTCATAATTTCAGGTGATAGATATTTGTTCATGTTCTTAAAGCAGTTGCTGTAACTACTGATCCTTTGAAAATACTGGAGGATGTGGCTTTGAGTCCAAGCCTCTTTCTTCGGCCCTCTCAGCTTCATAAATATAGCTAGCTTAAATATGAAAAAAATTTCAGAATTGATAGTATTAATATGTTGTGATAGCTTGAATTAATAGCTTAGTTACAGATTTGGTACTGTCAGGTGCATAATAAATTCCTTTGTCTAGAATTACTGTTATGGACTACCATGCAAATGTCCTGCATACATGCTCTATAACTTGAACTTGCAGGCGATATTTAACTTACTGAGAATCCGTGTACTTAAAAGTTGTGATAGCTCATGATTGCAAAGAGAAACTTAAACTGCCATCTGTGACAAGCGGCATTTTTCAGTAACTCCAATATCCTAAAGATGAGATAGTCAAGGCTGACTATGAAGAAGGAAATGATCCAGGTTGCACATAACACCAGGTCATGTTTTAGTGCAAGAGCTGGAACGAGTCCAAGCAATGCTTTAGGCTCCCACCCTCCTCTCCTCCTGTATTCCTGCAACATTTGGCTTCACTTCCCATGAATCTTGGCTTGTCCTTGACTACAAAGCAGAGTTGGTGGTTTAAAACAAATCCAGGTTAGTTTTGAAATAAACCAGATTCATAATCCATAGTTTGAAGTTGCCTCTTTGCTTCATATGTTGGGACAAGCCAGGAAGTGAAACAAAATGATACAAGAGGAGAGGCAGGTGGAGGATAGGATTGGGACTTTGGTCATGATAGTTCTAAACCATGATTTAGTGTTAATGTGAACCAGACCATTATTGAGCTGCTTGTGTTTAGGGGAAGGTTTTTTGGTTGCTTTCCAGTAGCAAACATGTAGTAGGAGCACACAACTTCAAACTTGATCCATTTGACCTAAAGCTTGCAATGAGTCACCACTATCACTAGAAATCTTGGGCCGCATGTACAACCTGTACTGTTTCTGGAAGGTCCTGTCATCTAAAGTGCAAAGCAGCTTTTATTGATTGCTCTGGCCTTGCTGTCATGCCATATCAGTTATCAGGTAGGACAGAAGTGCTATGATTGACCTTGGTTTACAAAAGTGCAAAAGGTTGGCTGTTCTTACTGTCTGTCTGGGATATTTTCCTGATGATGCAAGGTAGCCAGCGGCCGAATAACCTAGCCTTTATTTGCAAACTGATTTGGTTAGAGTGGTTGACAGCACAGCTTGTTTAGAAGAAGTATACGTTTAACTTGACCCGTTCTCCCATCAGACACCCACAACATTCCAGAGCTCAAGGTTACGATAACAAAAGATTGTCTTGTTCTGTACTGCTCCTGAGTGAGATCCAAAAATGACTGATGACACCCTAACATTTGCATGAACTTTCATTGTGCTGAGGGTGTTCACGTATAGCCATGGGTTCCATTTGTGTCCCTAGGTTTGTGATACCTCTATCTCAGAGAAATTTGGAAATTTGAAAGTAGTAATTTAAAAACCTTCCTCTTCTGATATTCACTGTAGTCATTTTAATGACATTCTCAGTCCTACTCTGCACTAATACCCTCTCATATTTTGTACCTCTGAATAAAGCAGTGCTTTCCCTTTTTATATGACAGATCAAGCTTTATACTGAAAAATCTGAGCCAAGTCTGGGGAAAGTGCTGTTTAAATATTTCACATTATAATATCTGCACCTTGTGAAGTCCATAGAATCATAGACCTGTAGAGTTGGAATGGGACCACAAGGGTCATCTAGTCCAACCCTCTGCAATGCAGGAATCTTCTGTCCAATGTAGGGCTTAAACCCACAACCCTGAGATTAAGACTCTCATACTCTACTGACAGATCTATCCCATGATTCATAGGATCATTCATCTCTGCTACTGCCACACACTCACTATGTACAATAGCATTTATTATTCCATGTATTACATACATTTTGATAGTCTTATTTGGCACAGGGATACAGGTTTCATAAGGTTTGAAACCTAGGAGACTTAGCTGCTAGAGCCATGTGTGAAAAAGAAGGAAAAGCACTCTTGCCTTGATGAAGGCACCACTTGATTCTGCTGCAAGTGCTTCTGAGTTGGATGATATATTGCAATGGTCTAGATTTGACTGTCCACTCATTTAAGAGAGAAGCAGTGTACAGCTCTGGTCCACACATCTCAGGAAGGCTATTGTAGAACTGAAAGAGATGCAGGAAACAGCAACCAAAGTGACTAGGGTCCTGGAACAACTTCTCTGTGAAGAAAAGTTTGGAGCTTTTAAATTCATTGGGAGGGGTGAATAAGGGGGAGCATAATAGAGGTGCTCATTTGCTTAATAGTGGGAGATTCAGGAAGTAACACTTCACACAGCATATAGCTAAACTATGGCATTTACTTCTGCAAAATTTAGCAATAGCCACCAACTTAGGTGGCATTAAAAATGGATTTGACAGCTTCATGGAGCATAAGGGTATCTAGCTGCTCGTTTTGATGGTTAAATACTACCTCCAGGACAAGAGACACCATGGCTCTGATTTACTGTGATTTACTTAATGTTCTAAAATGATTCCATGTAGTAATGAGAGGCATGAAAACAGCATTGAGCTAGTTCGGTCATGAAGCACTGGGCACACCTCACTCTGCAGTAAGCAGGATTCATATCCCCTGGGCAAAGTGAGCACTTGATGGTTGATTACTCAGCAGGGCCTGTTTACTTCATTGTGACGAGTGCCTCAGATATACCCCAAGGCTGTGAAGTCTACAGCTGCGGACAAACCATACATTCAAAGCACATGACTTCCCCCAAAGAATCCTGGGAACTGTAGTTTAAGGGTGCTGCAAATTGTAGCCCTCTGAGGGGTGAACTACAGCTTCCAGGATTCTCATAATGTGCCATTCATTGGTGAAAGTCTTCCTTTAAAACAAGGATTTTGAAGACTTTGTAGGCACTTATGAACTATAGTTGGTCTACTGGAAAACCATATAACTTTCCAAAATCACATCGATATCTATGTATCTGTGTTTTTCTAATATTACATAGTTCTCTGGGACATTTGATACTTTCCTATAGTTTCAGTGCTTCAAATTGAAGCCAAAAGCAAGAGTGCAGGCAGGACACAAGTTTCCATTTTTCCATCAGAAATATTAACTTAAAGTGTGTATGTACTAAAAATAGTTCTATGTGTTAGTGAACTAAAATCTTGCCATTAATTAATTAAAACACCTTTATTCATGTTGCAGCCCTATTTCAAGGCAGCCTGGAGATGTCAGATGGCTCTCTGACATGCAGTCCCCCCCGCAGCTTGATCACCTCTATAAAGTTCAACATCATTATGAATCCACTTCTTCTATCATATATTCATTACCTTTACTTGGATATAAATGTCATGGAGTATAAGGCTTTCTATGCTTACTAGCTACAATGGTTATGTTTACCTCCACTCTCCTAGACAGTATGCCTCTGAATGTCAGTTGCCGCTCAGCAAAAGTGGAGAGTGTGCTGTTGCGCTCAGGTTCTGCTTTTGGACTTCCCACAGGCATCTGGTTGGCTGTTGTGAGAACAGGGATGCTGAACTAGATGCACCACAGGCCTGATCCAGCAGGCTCCTCTTACGTTCTGGATTTAAATAAACCTTTTGGCGAAAGCAGTTCTAATTATTCATAGAATCATAGAGTTGAAAGAGACCACAAGGGCCATCGAGTCCAACCCCCTGCCAAGCAGGAAACACCATCAGAGCACTCCTGACATATGGTTGTCAAGCCTCTGCTTAAAGACCTCCAAAGAAGGAGACTCCACCACACTCCTTGGCAGCAAATTCCACTGTTGAACAGCTCTTACTGTCAGGAAGTTCTTCCTAATGTTTAGGTGGAATCTTCTTCTTGTAGTTTGGATCCATTGCTCCGTGTCCGCTTCTCTGGAGCAGCAGAAAATAACCTTTCTCCCTCCTCTATGTGACATCCTTTTATATATTTGAACATGGCTATCATATCACCCCTTAACCTCCTCTTCTCCAGGAGTTCATCAGTTCATTGTGCATAAGTTTCCACATGGCAGACTATTTTGAAGAATGTCTTTTCAGCCTTAGGAAGAAATAGCAGCCCAGTTCACTGCACTTTTGCAAACAAAAAACACAACAAAAAAGCTAGACTTGAGAGTTTTATGACCTCAGCATTCTTGTAGCTACATAGTGTTCTTTAGCAAAGGGGTTGTAAAAACCCCTTCACTGTTGCTAGTGATACAAAAAACAAAACAAAACAAAACACCAACTCGTAATCCCCTAGGGCCGGCCTAGGGACACTATGGGCATTTAGAAATGTGTACATTGCCATCTTGGATTTGGCAGAGCAGATTTCCAAACTAGCTACAGTGGTGCCTCGCAAGACGAAATTAATCCGTTCCGCGAGAGTCTTCGTCTAGCGGTTTTTTTGTCTTGCGAAGCAAGCCCATTGACGGATTAGCGCTATTAGCGCTATTAGCGGTTTAGCGGCTATTAAAGGCTTAAAGGCTTAGGGGATTAGCTGCTAAAAGGCTATTAAAGGCTATTAAAGGCTTAGCAGATTAGATAAAGGGGGAAGCGAAAAAAATCTCAAGACTCGCAAGGTATTTTCGACTTGCGAAGCAAGCCCATAGGGGAATTCGTCCTGCGAAGCAACTTCAAAACGGAAAACCCTTTCGTCTAGCGGTTTTTCCGTCTTGCGAGGCATTCGTCTTGCGGGGCACCACTGTAATTGAACCTTGGCTTCCCAAAAAGCCATTACTTTTGCCCACCTAAAATTGAAAAGGGAACTATAGTGGCACAGTTGCATTGCTAGCCAACAAGCAGGCAGCATTTGTCTACTTGAATGAATAGCATCAGTGTTTAAGGACCTGTGGGCATTCAGGCAGAGTCTTGGCAAATTACGAAAGACTTGCTCGATGAAGAGAGGATGGAGCTCCCAATGTCTGCTTCTTTTTGTCTAAGGTTAATTTAATAGGAACTTGTGCTTCTTGATGCTTGCCCTTTCTCTTTGTTTGCCTTGTATCCCTCATCCTGACGCTTCTGGCTTCTCATAATCTGCCCTGACTTAATTTCTCAGGAGTATCCTGGGTATAAAACCTTCCTTTTCAAGACCTCCTTGGTCTGCCACTCTATGTAAATGTGAAGGTGCAGTTCTTGTGGGTGTCCCTTTGACTGTATTAAAGGAGCTAAGTTAATTCATCTTGAAACCTACCTTTTCCTCTTAGTACACTTCCAGATTCACTGTTTTGACAATTAGTGTTTTACCAACAAGAATATGCACATAAAGTTGTATCCAATCAAGTTTTCCCACTGGCAGTGATACCTCTGCGGATGCAACCACACTTCTGTCCTTTCTGCATGCCCCCACAATCTAATAATTCTGTCACTATTTTGGATAGAAACGGAGGACATCCATTATTTCAATGATGGAAGATTTGGGTGAGGGCAGCCACCTACTTGAGAATATACATTGTATTAACTTCAGCCATGTTTCTGACAATATAGCGACATGAGGGCTCTAACCACAGTTGTCTTGGAGTAAAAATAGTTCTCTGGAATCATAAGTATTGATTGCTGTGAGAGGTACAGTTGCTAGATATTGGGTTGGCACATACATAATAAGCCAAAATACTTTGAAAGTGAAATGAAACATTAGTGAAGGTGCTTCTTCCATCCCTCAAGAGAGTAGTGGGGGAGCATGCAGGTCCAAGGCAGTCTGTCTCTGGCTCATGGACATAGCATTAAAACATGGTTTTACAGTGTGTGTGAACCAGCCCAATGTGCCTTGTTACGTGATCCAATTTGAAACTGAGTTATAGCATACAGTGGTGCCTCGCAAGACGAAATTAATTCGTTCCGCGAGTTTTGTCGTCTTGCGATTTTTTTCGTCTTGCGAAGCACGGTGTCGGGAAAGTTGGAAAAGCTTCAAAAATCACCAAAGTCTTTAAAAACCTCAAAAAGTCTACCACACCGCGTTCTATGAGTTGCTCCTCGAAGTCAAGTCGCAACTGTATTAACGGTGTTAAGAAAAAGGAAACAAACTTGCAAGACGTTTCCGTCTTGCAAAGCAAGCCCATAGGGAAAATCGTCTTGCGAAGCAGCTCAAAAAACAAAAAACCCTTTCGTCTAGCGAGTTTTTTGTCTTGCGAGGCATTCGTCTTGCGAGGTACCACTGTATTTGCAATTCAGTCGAAATATATAGTGCTCTTCTCAAAGTTTTTCAGTTGTGTCTTTGTGACACATGCATACTATAAAAGTCTTTGTATAATGTAAGTATTTAAAGCATGTTCACAGCAGTGGTGGGGAGCTTGTAACTTTTGAAATGTGCCTGGACTCTAATTCCCATCGGTCCCTGTCAAAATGGTCAGTGGTCAGGGATGATGGGAGAACTTTGTAAATCAGTAACATCTGAAGAGCCACTGGTCCCCGCCTGTAATTTGCAGGGTAGGATTGGCTAGTACATACCTGTTTTAAAGGGCTTATTGTACTTACAACTTTTGCTTTTCTCTTTGTTTAGGACTTTTCAGAACTGGAGAAGAGAGATCCCCAAGAACTAGTTGGTGAGTATGAACAAGCTCTAGCATGCCTGTTCTCGTCAATGTTTCCTTGCCTTTCCTGCTCTTCTTGGTTGGCATATGATACAGTATTGGAGATATGCTGGATTTTTGGGAGGTTGCCAGAAGTTACCATTTTGAAAAGAGCAGAAACATTTATGGAAAACTTCCATTGCAGTCATTGTTTTCCAGTCTGCTGCTGCTTAGGTTTTGGAGCAGGTGAAAGGGAAGGCACCATCACCCCCATTGTCAGGCCAAGGAACCTTTGCTTTGGTATGCATGTCCCTTGGAAAGTGAAGGGAAGGCTTCAGCTTTTGTATGCAGATCCTCTGTACTGCAATACTTAAGTGCAAAGCAGTTTCACATTCTTTGAAAATTTGTTAAAGGAGGCTCATTTCCCAAGGGGTGAAAATGTTTGTAAAAACTTCCCTGCCACTTCATTTATGCTCAGCACTCTATAGTACAGTCGTAACTTGGTTCTCGAACACCTTGGTACTCGGATGTTTTGGCTCCCGAACGCCGCAAACCTGGAAGTGAGTGTTCCGGTTTGTAAACGTTTTTTGGAAGCTGAACGTCCGACGTGGCTTCCGCAGCTTCCGATTGAGTGCAGGAAACTCCTGCAGCCAATCGGAAGCAGCCCCTTGGTTTTCAAACCGTTTTGGACTCCCGGAATGGATTAAGTTCAACAACCAAGGTACAACTGTATAGGCACATATTGAATTGGTCACATCTGTTAACATTTTATTCCCATTCATTGGAATTGCTACCTGTATAAACTGTGGTTCTGATACTAGTGGCTGCATCTTGCTTCTTTTTTCTGATTCAGCAACTAAATGTACCTTAGAGCAGGGACTCCCAAACTTTGATGTGCGAGATTCAGGTGTCCCATAGCATGTCAGTAAAAATGCAATTAAAAATCATATAGCTCTTAGGACAGCACATTACAATTGCTACAACTAGCAGAAAAATCATTAGGTGGTTGCCCACGACCCCCAGCAATTTTCAAGTAGTCAGGTGTCTTAGAGCATTATGTCTCAGTGTCTTAGAGTTACAGCATCACGTGGTTCATTCTTCACACTACACACGGGTCCTGCTTTACTAATGTTCACTATGTGAAAATTCACTTATCCACATATGAGGAATTAGTACCCAAACCATGCTATACACACCAGAGATTCAGATATCTGAACAAACAACATTTTTTTACTTCTTTGTTTGCCTTTTGCTGGCTGGCTAAAGAATGGAGGGGGAGTGATAAGATTTTTCGGGGAGGGTTGACTTTTGGGTGTCAAAAATCCTTGTTCGGGAACAGATTACAAATTTTGCCATAGGAATCAATGGAAATTGTTGGTTCATTATGCAAATGCTCACTTAACAAATGATTCCCAGGGAATTCATTGTATTTGGTAAGCGGGACCTGTGCATATATGCAAAATTGTATAGCCGTTTTTCAGTGTATATGAAAATGTATGCAGTACTCTAGAGCTTGTATACAAGAGTTGCAAATGTATCTGATTAGAAAAGATCAGAATGTGCTGATCTTGTTCTGCATTCTTGAGCCCACAAACAGAAGTCAGTAACTGTAGTGGCCTTTCAAAATTGGATGACTCAGTGGCATATTGATGCCTCATATACTTCCCTACAGTTCTATTGTTAGTTGCCAGGAAATAACGAACACCCTCTCTCCCAGGCATGAAGTTATAGCTGGCCCATCCCATTTGAGACTGAAGAGGATTTAAGTAAATAAATGATGCTTCCTTTTGGGTTAGCATTGTGGGGAATGTCTCAGGGTGATTTTGCACACTTGGCTGCAGTTCACCAGCTGGCTGTAAATGTGTAAAATAATTTAAAAGCACTATTTGTTTGTAGGGTTTATTATTCAATGCAAGATCAACTGCAGAATGTGTTATTTAATGAAGAACAAAGTTGACCATCTCTCTATACCAGTGTTTCTCAACCTTAGGTCCCCAGATGTTGTTGGACTACAACTCCCATCATCCCTGAGCTCTGGCCTTGCTAGCTAGGGGTGATGGGAGTTGTAGTTCAGCAACATCTGGGGACCCAAGGTTGAGAAAGGCTGCTCTATACAGATACCCTATAGAAGATTTATAACTACGTAAGTGGTGAACCTGCAGTAAAATGTGATGCGGCGCTCCTCTTTAAGATAATCTTCCTTCAGTTTCCCCACTCCCAATGGTCAGCATTCCATACCCACTGAGCAGACTCAGTCCTTACTGCATTGAGGGTGGGATCAGTCCATCTCTGCTTAGAGTTTATTCTAAAAATACTTAAGCAAACCTTGGGGTTCCCCCAGCCTGCTGTTACCTCCCCTTTATGGGTGGGAGATGCTGCTTAGTCTAATGGCAACTAATTATAACCAATTAATAAAAGCATGCTAGTATCAATCTAGTTTCACTTTAATCCATTTAATACTACAATGGCACCTCGGTTTTCAAATGTCTCCATTGACGAACCTTTCAGTTTTCAATCACCGTAAACGTGGAAGTAAATGCTTCAGTTTTCGAACACTTTTCAGAAGTTGAAAATGCCACGTGGCTTCCATATTGAGGCTTCTGTATTGAGTTTTCGGTTTTCAAACGTTTCAGAACTCGAACGATCTTCCGGAATGGATTACGTTCGAAAACCGAGGTACCACTGTATTCCAGACCATGATCTAAAATAGCCCTTAGAGTGGGGTGAATTACTGGTAATAGTAGGTAAGCTTATGGCTGTCTTAATTCCAAACCTTTGGCCTGGCTAATAAAACTAGCTTTGTTCAGTTCCTCTTGTAGCCTGTTGGCAAAAGCATAAACTTTAAAGGAGTTCCCCAATATTGTTGTGGAGACTTCTTCCATTATTCTTCCCTTCAGAAATCCATTGGGATAAAAAACGTAATTGAGAAGCATAATGATAGAATTAGATGAGCTAATTCCTTCCTTATTTCTTACTACATATCTTTGTCTTGTTTTGGTATGCTGGAGGTACTAGCTAAAATTTGTAGACCTTGTTCGGATCCTTTGCAGGCTAGAATCAAGCAAGGAACTACTGCATTTGTCCTCAAGACCAGCCAGCAGCTTAAATTGCTGCAGCACCTTAGCTGGAGTCAGTCATCTCTTTGGGGATTTTCATCCATATTCATGGCATGTCAAATAGCCAACTGTGGACAGTTGTACAATCCCAGTTCTGTGTTTTGGTTTTCACAACCATGGGCTAGGGACACATATGGTGTCAAAAGCCTCCCTGCTACACATTTAGACATGTAATGGATTTGGGTAGCCAAGTGGCCACTAGGACACTTTAAATGTGATCATATGGGAACGATTCCCCATGGTGGGTAATTGTTTGTATCAACCCCAATGCAAAGCTTCTGGTCTTCACAGCATGCATGGTTTGGCTTTCAAGAGGCATTAAAGGCTGTATTTTGAGGAAGGATTTTAAAGGCACAAGCATTCCAAGAAAATGTTCGTGTTTTGTGAGGCAACAAAGAGGAACTGTAAATCTTTTTGAATTGAGAGAAAAGCCTGGCCCTGTTGATGGACAGGGAAGTAAGACAATAAAAGTTTTTGGCTGGTCATCACATGAAAGAACCGGAAGGTGATGTAGTACTATAGAAACCCTTGAAGTGGCCAGTAGATTACTATGAAAGGAGAAGGATGCCTGTCTGATTTGTGGGTAAAAAGCCAACTGAGCAGATCAGGTTCCTTATATATATGGCTTGTATTCTAGCAATACAATTCCAGTTGTAGATTTAGCCCCAGCTTATTGGTATATGTTCCCTGTGGCTTCCATTGCCTTAGCCAAGCCCTTAGTCAAACCATAGCTTCAAGGTATGAATAATTATTTACTTCACAAGCCAGAGGTTGGGTGTGCCTATAATGGTGAATCATGCTAATATTCAGCTTCCTGCATTCCCCTTGCAGTACGCCTTAGGCTGGAAGCCAGCGGGCGCACACACCCAGTCAAACGGTACAACCAATGTCAGGTCACCACACCTGACTGGCACAAAAGTGGATTTGATCTTTGGGGGAAATGACAGGGTGTAGAATGCACGAAATGTCTGAAAGTGCGCCCTGGCAACATATATTCATTTCCATTTATTGTGGAATTAAGGTGAAGGCAGCAGGTGTTATACACTATACAATGTTGTGCATTTCACACTGCTTAAATTGCTGTAACAAAATTTATTCCTGAGACTACCTCCTTGATTTCAGCACATTGATAAACAATTGGTTCTTGGTTAACTTTCTGTGTCACTCAGGAGATTATATAGGGGCTCCCCCCCCCCCCCCGCTTAGGGCACTTTTTATGGCTACTTGCTAACTTTTGTTGCCGTTATCGTAAGAAGCGCCTGACGCACATGTCTACCAGCCATTTCCTCTTGGGTGCAGATTGGCATGCAGATAGAAGGTGGGGCATACTCTTATGACAGAAAAGAGTGAGGCCGAGAATGGGGAGGGGGATAGTGAAAAGTGCACAAGTCTGAATTCTGAAACAAACCTTCAGCCATATAAAAAGCTAAGTCTCAAGAGAATGCTTCTTGATTCCCTTACATACTGAGCTCTGGTGTAGTCAATCATAGGAGAGCGACCAAATTTCAAGCGTTAAAATATTAACCTATTCGCCATCAAAGCTCATTAAACAGATTAAATTTATTTAGAAGGCATGTGCAAGGATGCAGTAAAATCCCAAACCAAATTATTAGAGGAAAACATATATAGATGAAACTAACAGTATTTGCTGCCTAATTGTAAATGCCATCTCTCTAGCATGCCACTTCTGGCACTGTTTGCCATTCCCTGAGCTCCCGTCAGTGTCTTCTGTAGAACAGTATTAAATCCTTTTCCAGCCTAACAAGGACCCTCAAGAAAACACAAAAGCCTAATACCTAGCTAGCTTTAGATTGCACATGAGGTTGGGTATCTGACTTCATTAAAGTCTTTTAAAAAATCACCTTTTCCCTCAGATGTCTGGTCTCCGTTGTAATGAAACATCGGTGGTACCACCACTTGGTACTTGAGACATTCTTAATTAGAAATGAACACACCCCTCACATCACTGGCTTTGTAACCTATAACAAGTCCGTAGCTTGTTGTCAAGGGGCTCTGGAGCCAAACTGTGTTCCTCTGGGGATGTTGGCAAGATTTCTGTTCTTCACAGAAGCACATTCTCTGGAAATGCCAAAGGACATTTCTTTGTTACTTGTGACTGCTAGCGAACTTAACCCTAAATAGCATGCTAATGGAAGAGCATGTGCTGGAGAGGAGATGCTGCAATTTGGGAGATGCTCAAATTGCAGAATTCTGAAGGCAGAATTAGAATTTTAAACTGAGGCCCAGGTGTTTGTTTGCCTTTGATTACGGTGGATACAAACATGACAAGACACCAGTGGTAAAAAGCTAGAAGCAGATGCATGGCTAAGTCTTCAGACAGTTCTATATGCTCATGTTTGTAGATCCGTCCTGTCTACAAAAGGTTCAGAGCAGATAAGAGTAATAGGAATATAGCAGAATATTTTGCCCCTCCATCCTTTGATGGACATAAGAGTGAGTCCTTAAGTTAATATTAACTGGAAGCAAGTAGTGTAATACAGTTGCTTGTGAACTATAATGCCTGCCTGCTACTGGGGAAATCTTTCTGCCTACACATGCTGTTTGCGATGTAAACATTACTGTCCCCAAACTAGGAAAGTTCTAATCATGTTATTATTATATTATTTAAAAAATGGAAAAATGCAGTGGAAAAGGGATTTCCAGGATGAATGCCCCCACCCTGCCCACTTTTTAAGTAGCAGCCTGTTTTCAAGCTCAAAGAAAAGCATTCGTTCACAAACAGCATATTGTCTGAGCTTTTCAGGCCAAGACTGAAGGCAGAGCCTGATGCCAAGGAAAGGGACAAGAGCGTGGTACACAGTGTCGCCTTGGAATAATGTCCTTTTGAAGAGCAGCCTTTTTCCTGTAGTTGTAGAAACATTGTGTCTAATTCTCTCTATCACCAACAGCCCACATGCATTTAAGAACAAAACCTGGACGCTGCTGCATGTTGGTCAGGTTATGCCCCTATTTTGGCAGTTGTGATACATTTTAAACAAGAAATGTTCAGCATTTGACCTGTATCTTGTTCCAGTTCTCTCTAAACAATTCTCTGCTGCATTCAGTTCTTTGATAAACTTCAGGCTTTCACTTTTCCCTTTTAAAAACTGATTTGCCCACATAAGTTTAGAACCATCATATTTTGAGATGCAGATTTTGGAAATAATTGCAATGCCAAAATTCTTGGTCATCAATATTGGGTGAAATATTTAACTGGCAAGAGGCACTGATCAAACTTCTCGATGCTCCTGTGGTGGTTCTTAAACTGAACAAAGTTTAAACAATAATTGTCTGTGGCTAGCAATTTGCTTTAAGAATAATCAGCAGTTGTTGAGTTTATTAGGTACTGTACCTTGCATATGAACCAGTTGTCACCATGATCTAAACCAATGCTAATAATATATGATAGTAAATATGAAAAACACTTTCCCCAAAAAATTAAAGCTGAAGAATTGCGTTAAAGATAGAAGCATTGAGCTTCCAGTTTCCTGCATGTCTGCCAATGCACTTGCTTCTCAGTCTTCGGAAACCACTGACAAAAAGGGGATTGTTTCTTTTTAAGATCAGAAGTACAGGAACTTAACATGCTTAAATCTCTTTAATGCTCTTTGCTATTCTAATGGCCTCCTTTCTATTTCTAGCTTCCTTCTCTGAGCGAGTAAGAAACATGTCTCCTGATGAGATCAAAATTCCTCCAGAACCTCCTGGCAGATGTTCCAACCACTTACAGGTCAGCTTAATTTTTCATTTTTCAAATCCTATTTCTGTAACCCATGTCATATATTATATCTTGTTGAGGTTTTGACTGTAACTCAAAATTCCACAAAGGTTGCTGGTGTTCTTAACCACCTTTTTGTTTCAGCCAGCCTTGCAAATAATTATTGAATTTGCATATTCTTGCTGAGCAAGGCCTTCCTACCTTTGCCTTCCTACCCCAAGCCCTACCCAACCCCCTGAAAATCCACTCATGAAGGTCAAGGAGCCTTCTGGAATGGTGTACAATGTGGTATGGAGAACTAAAATGGGCAGGAGACATAGTGGGAATCTGGTCCTCCTCTGCCTTTGAGCTAGGGCACTGTCAGTGGGCGGTTCCCTAAACCGAATGGATGGAAGGTTCCCTTCTCCTGATGGGATTACACTCCCTCTGAATGAGTGAATATGCAGCTTCTGGATCCATTGCTGTCACCTGAGGCTCAGGTGGCCTCAGTGATGCAGAGTGCCTCCCATCAGCTTCGGCCGGTGCAGAATTCAGCAGCCAGGTTGCTTACCGAGGCAAGATAGTTTGAGCATATAACGCCAATCCTGGCCCAACTGCATTGGCTGCCAATTAGTTTCTCAGCCTAATTCAAAGTGCTGGTTATGACCTATAAAGCCTTAAATAGCTCAGGACCACAATATCTCAAGCACTGCTTCTCCCTATATGAACCAACCTGGACCCTGTGATCGTCATCCACAAGAGGTCCGGAGGCTGGCAACATGAGAACGAGCCCTTTCTGCGGTGGCTCAATGCTTGTGGAAAGCTCTCCCCAGGGAAGCTCGCCTTGTGTCTTTAGGCGAATACATTTAGGCGAATCCCTCATCTCCCAGGCCTTTGGCTCATTAAACAATTTATGGCCATTTAAATTGGGGGGGGGAGGGTTTGTGTTACTTTTTAACTATGGTATGTATTTTTGTGTTTCTAAATAGTAAAGAGCCCTGTGATCCTCAGATGAAGGGCAGTATAGAAATTTTATTATTAATAATAATAATAACATAAAGAACAGTCCAGATAAAGGTGTGTATATTGCTTTTAAGTGTAAAAGAACCCTTTTGGGCGGATGGGAGTGTGCCATTTAACTTCTCTTTCAATACACGTGTGTTTGCTGTGAAGCATTCTGGAATATTGCCACTGCTTTGTATTGATTCCATGACTCTTTTCTGTGTAGGACAAGATACAAAAGCTGTATGAGAGGAAGATAAAAGAGGGCATGGACATGAACTATATCATTCAAAGGAAGAAAGAGTTCCGCAACCCAAGGTAAGACTGTCTGGTTGCATCTAAAGGGTTCCACAAGCTACATATGGTCCTCTTCTATATTTTTAACCTCTTCAGTGAGAGGAGGGCCTAGTTAGATATGAATAAAGATGGGCAATGCTGAAAAATAATGTATTTTGATTGTTTATTTCAGCATCTACGAGAAGTTGATCCAGTTCTGTGCGATTGATGAACTTGGCACAAATTACCCCAAGGTGAGTGGAACAAATAACTTGGGTGGGGAGGGGGGATGTTAGATGGGATTCCCGACGTCTGTGAGAATAGGTTCCTATTCTCCAGGTTTTTTGGACAGCTGGATGAAACAGTCCATTGAATGCAAGCAGTTTCCTGTCTTTAATACCTCACACCATTAGAATTAATGAGGGGGAGAGCAGGGCCATACTCACTGGTCCCGTCCCTTCCCATCATCCAGCTCTGTCAGTATACGCATTTGAAGATAAACACGTGGGTTTGGAACTTTGCATGATTTAGGATCCTGGCCATGACGAAGATGCAGTAGAGGGGATGGGGCGAGTGAACACACCCCCACTCTCACCTCACGCAGTTCTGGCTAAATACCCTCTGCACAGAATTTAGTACAGTCTCAACGTTCTACTGTTACTGAGTTACTCTTCCCCATAGTTGTGCCAAAGTACATGACCTGATCAAGGCGTTTAAGGGATGAACGTTCTGTGACAGCTAATCCCCTCGCCATCATTCTCTGTCCTTTAGCACCATCTTTCTTTCCCATTTAGATTCTAGTTGTTAGGATAATGTTGTAATGTCTATAAACTTTTATATATTGACTTTTTTTTTAAAGGAAATAAACAAAACTGGAATGCAGAATTAAGAGCTTTGTCTTCTAACTTGATAGATTGTATATCTTAAAATTCATATTTACATAACTTTTCTTTCTCTTCTCTTTTAGGACATGTTTGATCCTCATGGGTGGTCTGAGGACTCCTATTATGAGGCACTAGGTATTGCATCCAGCTTTTGTTTTGATACTCTCTCTAGTGTTTGTGAATGATTCTGGAACTTCAGAGATGGTTTAATTGAACCTATTTATCTGTACAGTGCCTTTTCTTTAAGGAGCTCAAAGCACTGTACCTGAGGATCTATACCATTCCCCCCCCCCCTTTATCTGAATGGGAAGAAACTAGCTGCTTGTTGGCTGTGTCCTGGGGAGAATATTTTTATTGGAAAGGGCTCTACACCGAAAATATTTTTTTGGGAAGCAGGCACACTTAAGAATCCATGCTATCAGTATCTTCTTAAGTGTTGTAGCCCTGTTGATCCTCCTGACATGGGAAGCTCTAATAGGGATTCAAAATTGCTTTGTGGTGTTGAATCTTTTGAGTGTGCTCACTGTTCTGTGGTTCTATTTCCAGCGAAAGCACAGAAAATTGAAATGGACAAGCTGGAAAAGGCCAAGAAGGAGCGAACTAAGGTACCAGATTATAACTTCAAAATATAGAGAAATTATTTTGATCTGTGCTCCTTCTACTGAACTTAATCCAACTGCTTAGCCACCCAATCACAAAATTTCTATTAGTCACACTGAGCAAATCAGAAATTTGCTTTTTATATGGGTTACCAGTATTCTTGAACCAATAGCATGAGATGTTATTTGTGATACTTCACAATTTATCTGTGCATTCATTCAGAGCCACCCCATTGCTATCCATCATAAAACAGAGCAGACTAAATTAGGAGAGGCCTGAATTTGTGTACATTACCCAAATAGTTAGCAAGACATGCACACCCCTTTACATAGCAGTTTAGAGTTTCCTGGCAGCAGATATTTCTGTGGCTAACTTCTTTGTCTCCGTCATTCGGTTTGCCCCTTTTGTTTTACTTCCTGTAATAAGTGCCCAGCTCTGTGATATTGTTTTCTCCCATGATCATAGACTTGGAGACGTGTGCTCAGACTGTGGTTTCTCTGGTTGCTAGATTGTAATCTGTAATGCAGACCATATAAGTCATGCATGTAGAGACATGAATTGCAGAAGCATAAATTGTACAGTGAAGGAACGTGAGATTCTAACCTCATTATTTGAAGTATCTTATGGGATTAGAGAAGGACTAGAATTTGTCGCTCCAAAATCACTCCATCTGAGTCTGAAGATGGAGTTGGTTACCTTGTCTGGTGTGTGGGTGTGTACACACACACACACACACAAAGCTTTTATTAACTACTAGCAGCTAGTTATATCTGTGTTTTCATTTATTGAATCTCTAACAACTTATATAGTTGTGTGTCTTCAACAGTCAACGAAGATGTCCTGCTCATAAACCCTTTTTTGCCATGTTCCTAATGCCAACGAATAGGTATCTTAAGTACAGAATATGATTTGCTTCCACTTCTTTTCTAGATTGAGTTTGTAACAGGCACTAAGAAAGGAACAACAAATGCTCCCTCTACAACCACCACAACAGCCAGCACTGCAGGTGGTGGTAAGTTAAACATCATGACTTTGCATCTTAACTCTGGAATCTTAACTCTGGAACACACAAAAGCCATGGAATCTTCATCATATGTCTCTTCCTTTTGGCATTTACTGTGAGAGAGCAAATAAACTGCAAATTATGTTTGGCACCTGAAAAGTTTGCCCCCCAAAAACTACAGGATCTGAATTTTTTTTGATGAAAGCAGAAAACTCTGATTCTGCAGCCAATACAAACTGAGTAACTTAGAACAGAATTCATGAAACTGTAAAATTAAGTATCTTATGTAATCCTATCTGCAGAAGTTGAGCATTCTTACCAGAACAAGCATGCTGATAGACACTGGTAGAAGTATTTTGGAAAAAAGGGGGGTAGATCACTGCCAGATTTTAATTCTGAAAGTAGATCACAGTCCCTCGGGAGTTGGCCACCCTTGGACTAGTAGAATCCTTCTCCCTGATGTACTAAACTCTCACTAATGGGGGGTTACTGATATGAAGAAATAATTCAGTTATATGCATTCTGCTACCAGAATTCTAAATTGGGACAGTCATAGGAGGGCTGTGCAACATGCTTTTTGGAGCATGTAAGTTGGTTCTGTCAGCATGGAATGGCTGAAAGCGTCATCATTTAAGGGTTGCTCTTCAAGGAATAGTGACAAAAAGCATCTTGTCTGATCTGGGCTGCTGAAATTAATGCTTGCTTTTTGCATACACAGATGCACAGAAGAGGAAAAGCAAGTGGGATTCTGCCATTCCTGTGACAACAATAGCTCAACCCACCATTCTCACTACTACTGCAACACTGCCAGCTGTGGTAACCGTCACAACCAGTGCAAGCGGCTCCAAAACAACAGTGATCTCGGCAGTTGGCACCATAGTGAAAAAGGCAAAGCAGTGACGAGTGCAGTGAAGAGACTGACTTTGATTCATGCCAAAAGCACCACTTGCAGAAGTCAGAGGGGTAGGAGATACTCTCCTTCTGGTGCAAAAACGAAAGACTGTTTAAAAAATGGACACACAAGAAGAGGAGGAGGTGGCTATGCATAATCACAACAGATATCTATGCGTGAAGAAGCTCTCTTTGTTGGAGGAGCTGCCCCTTACTGAGTTGCGTGCAATGAAATGTCAGTGTGTAAATATTAGTTCACTAAATGTTGTATTATAATTGTGACTGTCTTAGGATCCTTTGAACTCTGTGAAATGAGAACTTGAGCAAGAAACTACTGAAGTCAATCAGTTGCACTGTGAACCATTCAATACTGAGTGACATCTACTTGCTCTCGCTTCTCATCTCTGCCTCCAGCAATTACAGGCAGGGGTGCCTTATTCAGTTTTCCTGCAGATAATTGTAAGAGTCATAAAGAATTGATTGTATATAGGCTCACTTTCATGCAAACCATGATAGAGACTTGTGTGGATTGCCCTTATGTCTCCCATTTAGTTTCAGTCATCTGGGGCTTGAAAGCCTGGACATTTGAAACTGCAAATCAACACTGATGTTTATGTCTAGCCGTTCGAGAACCATTGCGCATAATTTGGACTCTACTGAGGAGAAGGAGCTTGTGAAACAGAAAGAAGCACCAAATAGTTTCTACAGATGTAAGCTGGTGCCAGAGCTCATTTGCCCCCTTTAAATGTCAGTGTGCATGTTAGTGACAAAGGTACCAAACTGTATAATTGCAATAATGCTGCCATTTTCACCATTCTAATGACAAAGATGCTGTTGATTTGTATAAGCTTTCTTACCTGTGTAACTGAACTTTGGAATATAAAAACATTTTTTTTAAAAAAAATTGCTGCTGGTGTTTAATCTGCCTTCCATTCTAACTGGTAGAAGAATTTGTAACACAGGTGGAGGGGAGAATGCTAGGGGTGTTGTTGCTATACTTTTAACTCATAGAGTCACATACAGTGGTACCTTGGTTTAAGAACAGCTTAGTTTATGAACAACTTGAATTAAGAACGCTGCAAACCCGGAAGTAGGTGTTTTGGTTTGTTAAGTTTGCCCTTGGAAGCAGAACATATCCCACTTCCTGTCGAGTGTGTTCCATTTGTAAATTGAGTCCCCCACTGCTATGGGAAAGCACGCCTTGGTTTAAGAACGCTTTGGTTTATGAAAGGACTTCCGGAACGGATTAAGTTCGTAAACCAAGGTACCACTGTACTCATAGGCATTTCTGTTAACATAGGTGGCTGACGTCTAAAAATTGGACATAACAGCCCTGTTCCCAAACAGTGGCCAACCAGACTTCGGGGAGGAAGTCCACAAGCGGAACATGACAGCAACAGCATTCTCCTGCTAATGATTCCCAGCAACTAATATTCAGAAGTATCAAGACTAGCAGATTTAATTTGTCTGCAACCCCCTTTTAAAATAATCCCAAGTTGATGGCCATCTATGGAAAATGACAGTGTAAAAGCTTAGGCCTAAAAGCACAAGAAAGGTGGTGCATACTGGGAACTATGTACTGCAAAGTGCTCCAAGGGGAGGCTTCAGATGGTCAGAATGCAGCCTCTTAAATCTTCTTCTGCACTACCTTGATTCTATCCAGAGACAGTTCATGCTACTGGTTTGAATATGTGAATGGTGTAGGCCTTTATACCTCAGCTAGCCTTTCCCCCATATATGTTAACATCAACAAAATGCCTTTGAAGATTAAATCTGTGCACTGTTGGCACAGAAGCTCCTTACTAATGGGGCCGGTTATGGAATGAGTTCCCTAGGCATGTCTACCAGTATTCAACCCTACAGTCTTTTCAGAAGATTCTAAACCAAAACTCTCCCTGTCCCGAGTCTTAAAAAGTGTCCCATTGATTGCAGTCCTCTGCACACTTGCCTTTGAGTAAGCCCCAGCTATGCCTAAGATTGAATAATCAGTCCTCTGCTGCTGTCAGTTCTCCGTATTAACTTAGCTGCTCCTTGACTTGGGGTGGAGTTGACTTTTTAAATTTGTTTTTTTCATACTTGGTTTTATTATATTGATTTTGTAAATTGCTTTGAGCAAAGAGAAGAAAGCTTGGCATGTTTTTTTATATTAAAAAAATACTTACAGGTCAACATTCTTGCCTCTGTGCTTATCAAAACAGAAGTAAAAATAAAAAGTATGGAGATTTTGTAAAGGCTCAGAAGGGCATGCTCTGGATTGCTTTCCTTTCCACACCCCTCTTCTGAAAAATGATGCTGTTTGTGAGAGATCGTTCTGCTGAGCTTTATCATATATCCTCTGACAACTCCCTCACTGCCCTCAAAATGAGTCAGACCTGCTGCTGCTATTGAGTCTCCTGGAGGAGACGCTTTATAGTCAGATACAGCTGCTTTCTTGCGGCTGACTAGCTGTTCCTAGTTTTCATATTGGGGTGGTATTCAACTCTCAGTGCACCCACTAAAAGGAACATTTCTTAGATCCATATGTTAAGTCTACCTGGAATAAAACTTAGTTGAATACCACCTTTTGTTATGGTTTAACCTGCTTTTAAATCTTGGGCACAACTCTGGCTATTTTCATTGCATGCCCACAGTGAGTATGAAACTAATAGCAATTTGCTAAGATGCTGTGGCAAAGTTCCTCTCCTGCTACCCCTCCAAGTCTGTTCCAGACTATCAACTTGATGCCATGCTCTCTCTCCATGATGAAGGTAACCCTCTGGAAAGAGACCTCACCTGCTGTAAAATGTAAGAAGTGGGTCCTAAGACCCTTAATCCTGCTCCTTAAAATACAATCTGAACAAAATTGGTGAAGCAGCAAAGAGTTTATTGAATACATACGTTCTTGCAAGAGCGGGTGTCCAAAGTAGGAACACCCAAAACTGACAAAGCATAAGCTTATATTCCCTATACCCAAAGCGCAACTTCCCTTCCTTGTCTCCCCATTAGCTGGGTACTAAAAGGTTTACAGCCTATCACAACCCCCTAATTTACCTACTAACATTCCTGTCCTCGTTGACATCTCCCATTCCTCAGATTTCGACAACCACCACTTCTGTTTACTGTATTCCTTATTTGGTCTATGTTTCTATGCATTTACATACTGACGCAAGCGACAGAGGCAAACCTGACCACTAGTCCCAGTTGCAAGCATTCTAACCACAAGCTGTTTTTAGTTCCAGCATTGTGACTTATGTGAAAAAGCAACATCCTCATTCCTCACACCTGCATTTATTGTAGGCATGTTCTAAGCATAATGAGCCATTGGGGGAGATCTATTGATCATTGAAACCACATGCTCCACAGGCAAATTGGCTCTGATTCTATCTCTGACATCTCCAGGTAGTGGGAAATTTCCTGTCTGAAACCCTGGAGAGCTGCTGCCAGTCAGAATTGACGCTACTGAGCTAGAGAGGCCAAAAGTCTTGACTTTGAGTAAGGCAGCTTTCACTGATCCTGTAAGTCAGAGCAAACTAACACCAAAGGAACTGCCTCTCCCTACTGCTGACATGTATTGTTTTCAGCCTTCTGTAAGCTAGGGTTATATATTCAACTAATTTTTACTGAGAAGTTGAAATAAATGGTCATGGCTAACTTAGGTCCATTAGTTTCAATGGGCCTACTCTGAGTAAAAGTAAGTTGAATACAACCTTTAGTGTCTGAACCTTCTTTTCCTCTAGAAACACCCTTCCTTGGCATGCTAGAACAGCTCCCATGCGCTGCAGCTCTCAAAGCTACACAGTGGAAGCAGCAGCAACACACACCCATAGCCTCCAGGTTCACCATTTGGAGCTTGTAAGGTGGGGTTGGTAAAGTTTGTTATGTTTACCTCTGCAATAAGTCCACCTGAAGGCTCAAGGAAAAGTAAAGGCTTTCTGTGAGGTGTGAAACTGCTAAATGGAAACCAAGTTGTCGCTCCGTCACATCAACGGCACTAAGCAAACCATTCCTGTGATGTGCATTTAAAAAAGCACATTGCATTGGCTCCTCTTGCTGGTGGGGAAAAGACTGCAGTTTCCCAGCAATAAAGCCATTTTAAGTAGTGGGATAATGCAATGTCCTTCAATTTCTTTGAAAGCAGAGATCATTCCTACGTGACAAATTGGCAGAAACAGTGTTTATTATTACAAACTGATCATCTGCAAAGGTTTTTAGGATAAGTGTATCTTAGTTCTTAGGAAAAGCAATCTATACAAGTTCAAAGACATTCTCTTTATCAGGAACTCTGATTATCATTTTAAAAAAAGAAAAGCTTTGGCTCAGCTTCAGCCCACCTGTGGAACACAAGAAGTGTTCAGTATGGGGTGCCACGAAAGAGTTTCCTGAGCCACTGTTACAATTGCATACAAAAAACTGGCCTATGGGGGGAAGCAACTAGAAACACTGCCATATAAGCATGCATGCAAATTTAAAGAAATGGGCGGGGGGGGGTGCATGCGTGCGTCTGACTTAAACAAAAAGTCTTGCAAGGACAGTTTTCAACTGAAGCCAGAATATTCAGTAAACAGATATTGGGACTACAGTGGTACCTCGGGTTAAGTACTTAATTCGTTCCGGAGATCCAGTATTAACCTGAAACTGTTCTTAACCTGAAGCACCACTTTAGCTAATGGGGCCTCCTGCTGCCGCCGCGCCGCCGGAGCACAATTTCTGTTCTCATCCTGAAGCAAAGTTCTTAACCCGAGGTACTATTTCTGGGTTAGAGGAGTTTGTAACCTGAAGCGTATGTAACCCAAGGTACCACTGTACATGTTTTTGTTCAAACTACAGTGTTGGATAACCTCAGCCAGACTGGTGTCTGCTTATCAGCTCCTAAGTTTTCTTGGGATGTAGCAACTGTAACAGCAGGAAGAACGAAAGCTTAACTTTTACCTTGCTATTGTTCTACCCCACCCTCCTCCAGACAGGGCTTCAATATTATTCTAGAACCTGGTGAGGACGAAAGTGCCAAGCCACAGATGTTTTAGGAGGAAGAGTTATGCATCCACACATGCAAAGACCACCCCATAACGCCACTGCGTGTCAGACAAATGTTACATGCAGCTGTATTACAAATTTGACAACTAAACACCTTTCTTGAAGATTTCGCTAAATGACTCAACATATCATAACATATATCAACAGCTGTATCATCTGGCCACCTTAGATTCATGTCAGAATATCTGCAGCAAAGTTGATCCTCCTTGGGAGGGAAGAAATGTGCAAAAATACTTAATACAAACAAACTACAGAACACTGTAGAACATTTGCTATTGGGATCAGAAAGGGTCTCTACAGCAAAATGCGGCCAACATCCATTCCCATTTTATTAGTGGAACTGAGGCTGCAAAGCAGCTGTTCAACCATATCTCATGTGATGCGTGAGAGCCATTATTTTACTTATTGGATATTATTTATTAAAAAATACTTTCACCCTACCTTTCAATAAAATGTTTTCAAGGTGACTTCAACATGTCAATAAACAGTAACTCAGATGATGATGAAGTAGCAGCTGAAAGCAAGTCTCTAAGGGTATGTGCACATCAGAGACTTAAAATACAGCAATGTTGTTTCACCACCTATGTTTCAAACCACACTAGCTCTACACACCAGATTGCTCTACGCACTCCATGGGCATTGCATGATTTCCCCCCCTGTACCTGGAACTTCCCAAGCTCCTATTCTAGGAAGCCGTAATTTGTGCATGTGAAACTGCTGTCTGAACTGTATGCACCTCAGCTTAACCACGACATGTTTTCAAATCAGGGAAAACACAGTGAACAGGAGTATTTCTCGAGAAACTACAAGATACAGATAGACTGTGGCTAATGTCATGTGTACTTGGCTTCAAACACCAGTGGTAGGAATGCACTGGAAGCAGAATACATGGTAATGTGCACGTATTCTAAGGCTGTCCAGTTCTATACACACTTAAGGGGAGAAAGTTTCAGAAATAATGAATGAATGAC